TCCAGGACGATATATTGCTGAAAATGGTATGATTTGTCAACTAATCATGGAAGACGCACAACGAAAATGGACAGTTGCGGAACAACGGGACGACGATCCTACATTTGGCTCTTTGGATGCTGATATTGGCCTTCTCCTTGATCAAGAAAAGGCATATGATCGTGTAAATTTAGACTACCTTCGGCACGTCTTGCTGAAATTTGGCTTCCCCCGTCCTTTGGTGAAATGCATCTACAAGTTAATGGGTGACAACCTGATTCGCATCAACCTCAATGGACACTTATCGTCCGAAGTGGCGAAACTGAGAGGTTTGAAGCAGGGTGATCCACTGTCTCCAATCCTATACAATCTAGCTTTTGAACCCTTCTTGTTGGCCATTATTAACGATCGTCAATTCCAAGGGTACCTTATGGGAACTGAACGAACCAAGCTTCTTTGTTATGCTGATGATGCCTTGGTATTTGTCCACGATTCTGCTGATCTCGCTCGGTTGCAAATACATATGTCCAGGTATTGCGGCGCTTCCAATGCCAAATTCAACTACGATAAGGTGGAGGCTTTTTCGGTATCTGGCAGAGATACATGGGATATTTGGGAGACCTCGTTGGCTCAAATCCACATCAATCATCTACATTCCGTCGAAGACGATGTACCTTTAATCTATTTGGGGTTTCCTTTGGTTCAAAGTCGTCTCCAACGTGTCAACTTCATGGGCTCGCTGGTAACAAAGATCAAAATTGCCACTCAAATACATTCTACTCGATCACTGTCGGTTGTCGGTCGAGCTACTGTCTTGAACTCTCTTTTGCTCTCCAAACTTTGGTACATCCTACGGGTTACTCCGTTGACTCTGGCAGACTTCAAACAGCTGAGATCTCTTGCCATACAATTTTTGAGAAAGAACATATTCCCCGTCATCCCATGGTCTGTCTGGACTCTCCCAAAGGAACTAGGTGGTCTCGGGGTGATCGACATCCAGCTACAAGCTTCGGCGTTGTACTTTCGATGGTTGCAACCTTTGTTGGTGTATGATCAATCCACCATTGATGCCCATCCTGTGTCATCTCTTCTCAGCCATCACATTCGAAATATTAACAACTGCCAATTTCACCAAATCCCTTTGCTTTTTCCCTCGTCTCGTTCTCAAGGGTTACTGAAACAACGAACTGGCACTGTGGATATGATATATCGTGCTGTTGATTATCTCCCTCGTTCTTTTGGCTCTGCCCGCATTAATACAGCTACTGCTATGGCGTTGCCACTGCAGGCTGCAGTGTTTGTCCCTCCCTCCTCCAGCTTCGTGCTTCCTCTTCGTGTCAAAGAAATGATGGTGGCCGACGTTTTTCAGTATGATTCCCGGCTCAATTTCGTCCATTGGAAGGATACTCGCGACCCCTCTCTGCTCACCTGGAAAAGAACTCCCTCCACAGTGTTCAAAGGCCTAGCGACAGGGAAATTACAGTTTCAACCTTACTTCGAGCCAGTCTGTAGCCCAGCTCCTTTAGAGGATTCAGTCGTCTCATTTGCTCCTTTGATTGAGCAGTTTCGCCTCCTTGATGATCAACCTCTTGGTAATGTTCAGGCCTCGGCTAAGGCATTTCGTCAGGCTGTCCTTTCGTCTGTGGTCTCTCCTTTGGCATTGCGCAAAATCTCTGCGTCCAGCTGGAAATTTTTTTGGTCCCTGTCTCTTACCACTGTCCAACGTAATGTGATATACCGTCTCATTCTGGGTCGAATTCCTCACCGTCGATTTTTGCATTTTATTATGCCCAAAGTCTTTATGTCTCCTCTCTGTCCAGTTTGTTTGTCTATGAACGATTCCCCAAGTCACCTCCTCTTTCATTGTCCTTCTAAAGAGAAAGTTTGGCAGGGAGTCATCTTCGAGTTTCTGTGGCCTACCACCTCGATTCTAGATATTAAAGAGGCTCTTCTGCAACTTGATTTCTCCAACGTTTGGTATTGCCAAATTGCTGGAATCAAGCCTTTCCGAATCCTCATCATCACCCTTGGTCAACTGTGGCTTGCCCACATGAGGTTCATCTATGACAATGTTCCTATGGACCATACAGCGATATTGGCCAGTATTCGAACCAGTGTTCGTCAGACCATTGCGGAAGATCAGTGCCATTCCCTCCTGTAATCCAAAGCCAATTATTAGATAGTTTTTTTTTTATATAAGTTTAGTTTAGTATATTATTCTTCATATTTTAGCTTATAGTTATCCAATTCTTTATCTAAATTGCACTCGCCTCTTCACTCTGACCTATTACTCTCAGTGTACGCGAATCAATCAATAAACAAAATTTAAAAAAAAAAAATAAACGTTTTTGCCAAATTTGACTATGAAAACTGTCATTATCACACCCAGCTTTCTAATATGCCTTTAAAGGACTAAAGAAGCCGCATCGAATGGTGTTAATTACATTCAGCTTTCAGATCGAAAATAATGAGCAATTTGCAAAAATATAAAAGCATGTTTTTTGCGAAAATGTCGAAATTTTACATGGGAAAATCTCATAGAAAGAGTTTCTAGTATTGCGTTACGTCTTTACGATCAATTTGATATTATATGTATCTTAGGAAAAGTCTTCATTTTTGGGGTGAAAAACGCGATTGTTTGATTTTCAAGAATTTTCCCTTACTAGTACACATGAAAAAAATGAGAATTTTTATGGATTTGCAATGACCCAAAAAAATTTGAGATAAAGCATCAGCAAGTAAAGCGTGGCCAAGAGGAGCCGTTTGGTGCTATTCCAAGCGCTCAAAAAGCTTTGTGGCAGGAGTTATTCGTGATTGAAAACGACGACTAGATTTGGGCAGAATTTGACTTAAAAATAAGGCGTAGTAGGTTGTATTGCCAAACGAGTAAGTAAATCACATCTCTACTTGATGATCCAAATATACAGCATTGTACGAAGCTCAAGTCTTAAGTGATAAGAGTTTTTATTCAGGTTCTAGAGTGCGAAACTTTCTTTTTGAAATGCGCAATTATAGTAATTTGAAGACTTCAGCGTTGATGATATTATGCAAATTTGAATCTAGCAACTTTCTCGGATCAAACGAGATACTTTTTATGTCAGCATGACACCCTTGATGGTCGTCGTTCACAACAGATATGCTGTATCTAGCCGTAAAACTAGACCTAAAGTCTATGCAAATTATTGGACACATAGTTATTAAGCAGAAATGGCTGATACTGCATACGCTGAATCGGTTCCAGCACAATTTGGGAGACAAACAATAAAACCATGTATCAAAATTGACTAAACAGAGATTTACGATACCTACAAATCCTGTGATAAAAAGAGTCGACATCAGGCAACTGTAGTGAAATCGGCTTTAAATGGAATATTCACGGAACTGCACTGCCGAAAAGGCAAATTGTACAAAATCAATCGCTCGAACGCTGTTTTTCGCTATAGTATAGTAGCGCATATAAGTTTTCTAATGTGCGCCATCACTAGTCAAGATACGTCCTGGATTTATTATTCTATAAATTTGAACACCTTAAAAACGCTTCTGTGCTATAATTATTGAAGGAGAGTGTATTTTTGCCATGGTAAACTCCAGATTTGCGAACTAAAAACACGATTTTTGAACGAAAGCATCTTAGATGACCAAACGAGGCCTCATTCTGTCGAACAAACACAAGGAAATAAATAGAGAAGCCTGGTTGAGTTGGCAGTTAAACCAAATGATAGCGTGCAAGTATTGTTCCTTTTATATTTTTTGGTTACTTTTGACTCACTTGTTTATTTGACAACCAGTGTAGCGATCAAAAATCCGTTTACGTTCTTAGAAACCCCTCAAAGTAGATATATGATAGTTCTGTTGTAATGTCTCTATCATCATCAGTATAGGGCTTGGAATAGCTGTTCTCCTTTTTCATAGAATGCGCAGCACGGCTTTAAACCTTTACTACATCACAACGAAGCAAGTTATCATGAAGCGGATTTAAATACAACGTTTGCCAACATCTTGTCCATCTATCTATTGCTCGCAATTATTTGTAATTAACAGATTTCAACACGTTTTGTATAAAGGACTATGCTAAAAGTTGATTGATTTCGACATTTATTCGTTTGTTAGCAACAACTCATTCAGCAACTTGTTCACTTTAAAATCCTATTACACCATCGTTTTTTCTCGCTAAATGTGGCTGTAGGAATACGCTACTTTCAATGCTCTAGCATCAGTATTTCGAATCTCGATTTTGGATTATCTAAAAGCTGGAATCGAAAATCGTTTTGTGCATTCAGGACCTGATGTCTGGTAAAGAATAGCACCCCACAGAAGTAATATATGCGGTGTATTGGTGTTAAACAACGTATATTTGGCTGGAGAGCTCAGAAGAAGGACATTGCGAATTAACAAGTACTATAGCTTAGTCTGATCACTTGTATTGGCTCCTGTTATAGATTCTTCAATCTGAGAATTTCAATAATTGTAAATGGCTCGTCCAAATGCGAAATAGTCATCCAGTTCTGACTGGCATATGATGCTAGGAGTATAAACCCTATTTTAATTTGATGGCTTCTATGGCAATGATAGTACTGTACAAGGTAATGTAGAGCATTGAAATAAGCTATTTATTGCATGTCATCATATTGGAATGTGATGGCTACTATTAGCTTTTGCTATCAGAATTTTCATAACAACAATATTGCACCCATCAGTAACCATACTACAGAGCGAAATCTTCATTAATCTTTAGTGAGAGTAGACAGCAAGTAGATAGGTTAACGCTTTCATCAAGATCCAATAACCATGTGTAGTATAGCTAATAGAGGATAGACAAATCGCAGCGCTGGTAAATGATCCACAGTATGTGCTTCTCCTTTATAGCATGGTGAAAGTTTGTGCAACTGATGCACGTCTATTTAAAAAAACCATCTCAGCACAGTTTTTCATGTGAAAAAACCTTGTATAAAATGGTTTCAAAATTGACGTGATGTATTCTTCAACCTTTTTCCTCTCTTCTTTCTTTCCAAAACACTAAAATGACCAAGGACGCATACGACGGCATAAAGCTACTGTTCAAGCTTATCACTGATGTGTTCTTTCGAGAAATTAAAGTGAGGTAATGTATATATGTGCGCATGATGTCATGTTGAATGTGTTGAATTGTAACTCGAGTGATTATCTATTAGTGGTGCTCATAATGTCCCTAAAGATGAACCATGTATCTTCATTGTTGCCCCTCATGCAAACCAGTAAGTATTGACCCTATCTCGGCAAGCATGATAGCTTTATTAAGTCGTGTGCGTAGATTCGTTGATCCTGGAATGGTCATCATATCCAACCCTCGTAGATTCTCACCTTTGATGGCAGAGTCTTCGTTCAAGCGCAAGATTATTGGCGCTGTTGCTCGAGCATTGAGAGCAAGTAAGTTTTGGGGAGCTTTAGAGCTGGAGATACGCTTTTTACTGATATCATATTGCTACCAGTCCCCGTTATTCGCCCACAAGATCTCGCCACCAAAGGCAAAGGCCAGCTCCTGGCAAACAAAGAGTCCCCTACTACATTAAATGGCAAAGATACCCAATTCAAGACGCAAGTCGCACCTAAAGATACGATTGTGCTTTCGAAAACGCTCTCGTTCGTGGTGACTGAAGTTGTATCCGATACCGAGTTGAAACTAAAGACCGAGTTGACCCTGGAAGCCATGGAATACATCTCTCACTCTACTGCTTACAAGATCATCCCTCACATTGATCAGAGCGTTTTGTATGAAAAAGTACACGAACGATTGAATCAGAACGAATCTATTGTTATTTTCCCCGAAGGAGGTAGTCATGATAGATCAGAAATGCTTCCATTGAAAGGTACGATTGCATGGTACAATTGTCGAGTGTCTGCGTGAACTGACGGGATATTATGTGTAAATAGCGGGTTTTGCCATCATGGCATTGAGTGCTATGGCCGAGAATAAGGATCTCAAGATCAAAATTGTGCCTGTGGGCCTCAACTACTTTCATCCTCATCGCTTCAGATCCCGTGCTGTTGTCTCGTACGGTGTTCCCATCACCGTTGACCCTGAATTGGTAGCGGCTTATATGAAGGGCGGACCAGCCAAGCATGATGCTATATCAAAAGTATTGGAAGCTGGATACGAAGGACTGAAAAGTGTCACCATCAATGCACCCAACTATGATACGCTGATGGTAGGTACATGTGTAGTGGAAAGGCAAACAATAGCACTGATATCCTGGTGTAGATTATCACTACTGCACGTCGTTTGTATAGACCTGCCGCAGAGCATAAGCTGACCATCGATCAAGTAGTTGAATTGAACCGAAGATTCCTGCTTGGTTACAGACATTTCGAAAAGGATCCTCGGTTGCTTGATCTCTCCCAACGCATCAAAGCATACAACAACACGCTCAAATACTTCGGTCTGAAAGACTACCAAGTGGCGAGAACACAATATACAGCCTATTCAGCGGCACCCATTCTGGTCTCTCGTATCATCAAACTCGTTTTCTTAGCAATTTTTGGTTTTCCATCGTTAGTATTACACACAAACAAACAAAAAAACATGAATTGCGTATGCCAACATTCACTGTTTATACACGCAGGCTTTTGATCAATTCGCCACTGATCATTCTGTCGCTGGTGATCAGTCAAAAGAAACAAGAAGGTAATTGCATCTTCTCATTTTTAATCTGAATGGCTACAAAATGTGCTATGCAGTGACTCATGTGATTTGTATCCATGTAAATAATAGAGGCACTGGCTGGTTCCTCTGTCAAAATTGCCGCGCGCGATGTGCTTGCTACCTGGAAGATTTTAGTTGCATTAGTTGGTATGCCTGCATTGTATAGCTTCTACTCATTTTTGTTATTTCTGTACCTGTATCGTCACGGCTATGCTCATTCTTTCGGATTTTCATTGCTGGTGTGGGCTGCATTGCCGTTCATTCAGTACTTTTGCGTTCTGGTGCTGGAGAACAGCATCGACATTTACAAATCGCTGAAGCCGCTCTTCATGTCGCTCAGCAATCCTGATGGAGCTGCTGAACTACGCAGAATGAGAGAGAACTTGTCAGACACCATCACCGCATTTGTGGATGAAAATGGGTCCACCGCCTTGAGAGACTTTGACAAGAGCAAGTTTGACAAGATGGAGCTCCATGAAAAGATCGAATCTAGACGAATTCTCAACGGCCTGGACATTGCTCCAACTGTGCTTACCAAGTGGTTTGACGACAAGAATTTGTTTAATTTCAATTCAAACAGTAGTAGCAACGGTTCCGATGATTCTGAAAGCGAATAAATAAAATTGTAGTGTAACATGTATTTCTACGTTTTTAGTTTCACTTTATATTGCTCTCCTCCCCCTCCCTTCTTGCTCTCTCTTTAATTCAATATAAACACTCTTCATTGCAGCAAATTATTGTTTCCCCCCCTTTCTTCTTTTTTCTTTTTTTTTTCTTCTTCTCCCTTTTTATTCTTGCAACATTTCATTACAGAAGGAAACCAGTGCTTTAGTGAAATAAGGAATCCAACACACAACTAGAACTTTAATACATATTCATTCAAGTATGCATTTCCACATCTCCATTCAGGCCAACAAACAAAGAAAAAGACTAACAACGTTCACAGAATGAGTGGTGGAAACATCAAGGTCGTTGTGCGATGTCGTCCGTTAAACTCTAGAGAACTTGCGCGTGGTGCAACATGTCTAATTCGCATGGAAGGAAATCAAACCATCATTACTAAACCGCCAGATCACAAAGGAAATCGTGATATGGAAGACGTAAAAGCATTCACCTTTGATAAGTCTTATTGGTCTGCTGATAAGAATGACCCAACATATGCAGATCAAGAAATGGTTTACAACGATTTAGGTGAAGATTTGCTGAATCATGCATTTGATGGCTACAACTGCTGTATTTTTGCTTGCAAGTATTACACACACTTACATGTAGACTGTATGGATACTGATATCTCACTGCTTTAGATGGTCAGACTGGCTCAGGAAAATCCTACTCCATGGTACAATATTTAGGCACACACACACATATATATGCAACAATGCATGACTGACTCCATGTTGTTTAGATGGGATATGGCGAAGACAAAGGTATCACACCAAAGACTTGCGAGGAACTATTCAACCGCATACAAGAGAGAACACAGCCCAACCTTACTTACCGAGTGGAAGTCTCCTATATCGAGATCTATAATGAAAAAGTCCGTGATCTATTGAACCCTAAAAATAAGGGCAATCTCAAAGTCCGTGAGCATCCATCCCTTGGACCTTACGTTGAAGATCTTTCCCGACTTGTCGTTCGATCATACGATGATATCAACCATCTCATGGACGAAGGCAACAAAGCTCGTACAATTGCTGCAACCAACATGAACGAAACCTCCTCCAGATCGCATGCTGTATTCACCTTGTTTTTGACTCAAACCAGACTAGACGAAACAACAAAATTAGAGACAGAAAAAGTAGCTCGTATCAGGTAACAATGTTACATTTGGCATCGATACACACCCAATCATATATTAATACACGCACCAAAGTTTGGTAGATTTAGCTGGCAGTGAACGTGCTAACAGCACCGGTGCTACCGGCGCTCGTTTAAAAGAAGGTGCCAACATCAACAGATCACTCACAACACTGGGAAAAGTCATTTCGGGCTTGGCAGATCAGTCCATTGCAGATGCAGCTCCAAAGAAAGGCGGCAAAAAGCAAAAGGAAGTGTTTATTCCCTACCGTGATTCAGTACTGACGTGGTTGCTCAAAGACTCATTGGGCGGTAACTCCAAAACTGCCATGATTGCAGCTATTTCGCCTGCAGACTACGACGAGACGTTGAGTACACTTCGATACGCAGATCAAGCCAAGAAGATTCAGAACAAGGCAGTCATCAACGAAGATCCCAACGCCAAGATGATTCGTGAATTGAAGGAAGAGCTGACAAATCTTCGAGACCGTTTGCGCATCTACGCCCCTGAAGTGGTCGAAGAGCTAGCGGCCTCCAGCGCCTATAGACAGGAGGGTACGTCCAGCACCACCAATGACGGATCCAGAACCCCCATGCCGACTCGCTCAGCCATCACAAACGCAAATCAAGTGCTGGTGATCGAAGACAGTCAGGGCAACAAGAAGAAGATGACAAAGCAAGAAATCGTAGATCAGCTTCAAAGTTCAGAAAAGCTGCTTGCCAATCTCAACGAAACGTGGGAAGAAAAGCTGAAGCGAACGCAAGAGATACACTCAGACCGAGAAAAAGCACTGAAAGACCTGGGCATCACCATCGATAAAAGCAACATGGGCATCTACATGCCTAAAACTATCCCGTTCATTGTCAACTTGAACGAAGACCCGCTCATGTCAGAGTGTCTGATGTATCAAATCAAGGCTGGAAAGACTCGTGTTGGCAGATTGGAGAGTAAAGCAGACTGCGAAATTCGACTTAGTGGAGCCAACATCCAAGACGAACACTGCTGGTTTGAAGCAGGGCCTGACAACTCAGTGACATTGCATCCCAACCACAAAGATGCAATGACTATGGTAAACGGCATTCGTATCAGCGAGCCTCGTCTGCTGAAAAATGGTTATCGCATCATTCTTGGCCATCACCATATCTTTAGATTCAATCATCCAGAAGAAGTACGCCGAGAGAGAAATGACGCACTAAGACTCACTACAGCGAGCTCTTGCACTGACCGCTCATCACCAGGCTTCCTAGGCTCAGAAGAAGACGACAATATTACAAGCGCAGATCTCAGCAATGGTGTCGTCAATTCAGATGTTGTGGACTGGAATTACGCTCGCTTAGAGGCTATGCGAAATCATTATGCTTTGGAAGAAAACTTTAAGAACCTGCCAGACGATGAAATCGAGAAGCTGTGGGATAATCTTGGTAGAATACGCCATTCCAGAAGAACGCGCACTGACAGCCGCGCTGATTTTGACGATGACGAGTCTGCGTCCAGTAGTCTGCATCGACTATCAACAGCAGCTACCATGGTGGACGATGGCAGTATCTGCACAGAGGCAACCGTAGTCTCTCAATCTTCTCTACCAACGGAGAAGATACAGGAAAAAATCAAAGACGTCAAAGAAAAGCATCAAAAGGAGCTGGATCAGCAGAGAAGCTTCTACGAGGCAAAACTGAACCGAATGTCTTCTATGCACGCAGCTGATTTCAGCAGTACAACCAGCGGCATCACCATCTACTCGCCTCGCCAAACAAAGCTCATCCAAACAGTTTTCCAGCGTTGGAAGCGACTGCACTATGTCACCATGGCAGAAGTCGTTTTAACACATGCTGTCCTTTTGAAAGAAGCCAATATCATTTCTCGTGAACTAGAGAAGGACGTACTCTATCAATTCACCATCATCGAAGAAGACTATGCACAGCTCAAATCACACTGGGAAGAGACATCCAGCTTACAACAGTATGAACAAGATGACCATGACGATGAAACATTAATCAGCAGCCCGAAACCTTGCATTGGCATTCGAGTGATTGACCGCAAAAACCAAGTTGTCTATGTATGGTCTCTTGACAAACTCAAAGCTCGCCTCCACAAGATGAGAAACCTACGCCATTTCATTGACAGACCTCAGTATCGCAAGCATTTCAATTGGGAGGACCCCTTTTACGAATTGCCATGCCCAACATACTCGTTTGTAGGAAGCGCCTCCGTGTCTGTTCGCAACCTCACTCGCAAACAACAAGCATATGAAAGCTGTGTTGAGATTCTATGTCGCACCACTGGCCAGGTCAAGGGCAAATTGAGACTGCTCGTGTCTCCTATTGCTCGTTCAGGCGCTCAGGCCAAATATCTCACTGAAGAACCACTCGACATCAATGCATCCGAGGTAGAGAAAGCCATTGACGACGACGATGTGTTGGAGATAGGTCAGCAACTGCTCTTTGAGATTCGCTTGTTGGAGCTGATTGGAATCAACGAAACCGAGTTTACACACATCCATGTTCAGTATCGTCTCTCGTCCTTTGGAGGTATTGCGCCCTATGCTGCAACCGAGAAACTGTTTGCTACAAATCCCATCAGCGGGTTCGGAAACAGCAGTAACATCGCATTGGATTACAGCCAGACACTATCTATTCTGGTTACTGAAACGACAAAGGACATTTTACTGCACAAGATGATTGCCTTTGAAGTGTATGGTATCGCACAGCCCAAAATTCTATCTGCTTACGAGCGTTGGGATGATCAGCGTGAGAAGCCCAGATTAGCTGAAATGTTGGCATCAAAGCAGCAAACTCCTCAACAACAGCAACTACAGCTATCATCGTCATCAGCAGCGGTTGCAGATCGTCGTCCTGAAGAAGAGCTGCTGGCTACCGAACGACATGATGTTCTCGCTTGGATACAGATTTGCGAACTGATGCCCAACGGTGAATACATGCCGGTGCAAGTGGTATCTCAAAACTCGCTTGACAGAGGCGCATTCCATTTGCGACAAGGTCTACAACGTCGTATTTGCATCACCTTATCACACACCTCTGGACGCCAACTGATTTGGTCCAAGGTTTCCAAGGCGATGATTGGTCAAGTTCGTTTACTAGATGCCAAAGGACGTATTATCAACTCACCTGCGCATGAGGATATAGTCATTCGTCTGCTATCGCATCAACAAGTCCAATACAACAACGATGGTACCAGCGTGCTCATAGCTCAAGGCTCTTGGGATTCATCACAGCATGATTGTCTTTTCCTCAACCGACTGACAGCTACACAGACTCGCATTTTGCTTAATGTCAAATGGGAAATTGAAGTTGAGAAATGCTCAAAACCCATTCAATGCAGTATGGACATTGCAGTTCGAATTCAAGGCAGAGATGCATCCAACTTTGGCCTCAGAAAACTATTGGGATCTAACAAGTATCTCAACAAATGCAGCGGCGTCTTCTTGATCCACCTGCGGCCTCCAATGACTCGTAGAGTGAGTCAGCTCTGGCGTCTGAATACAGCATCCAAATTTGTGCCTGGAGAAGAGTTTTTAGGTTCATGGCGTCCCCGTGGTGTTTCATTGATCAATGATTTCCGACACATTCAGGAACGCATCTCCAGAAAAAATCAAGTGGCTGCTACATCGCAAGCACTCATGCTACACACGGCTCGATCTCAGACTAGCCAAGGCTCTATGAGCGTAGATAAAGAAACATCAAACAGTATGGCGAGCACCTTCTTGCAACCAAATCAGTCCGAGTTGGTCCGAAAAATACTCACTATTTGGAACAGTAAGTGGGGAACAGACAAGGATGTGAGTATCTAGTTCAAATGTCATCGGTGTTACAATGACCTAATCATACGTTTTTTTTTTTTTTTTTTTTTTTTTTTTTTGATTCATGCTACTAGATTATCCTTAGCCAGGATCCACCTATTCCTGGTATGCAAGACTCAAATCTGATACCAAAAGAAGCATGGAATTCATCCAAACTGATTTCTGAAGTCAAACTGGTTACTGAATTGTAAGCAAATGTTGCTGTGTCAACCAAATCTTGCATGATTTAACTCTCTTCATAGTGACAATGTGACAAAGAAAGGATATTTAACCTATCAAGAAAATGCTCTAGATGATAAATGGGTTAAGCGATGGTTTGTTTTGAGAAGGTAAAACACTTGAGTTTGAGTATTTGTAATTTGCAATGACTAACATTTATGGAAAAAAAATAAGGCCATACATTTACATTTATTCTAGTCAATCAGAGACAGAGGAACAGGGCATCATCAATGTATCAAATGTCAGAATTGACTATAACCGAGCACTAGAGCAGATGATCAAAGTAGGTTACATATTCAAATGCGATTTTTGAAAGGGATACTCAATGTCTATATAGCGTAACAACGTATTTTCCTTATATACAAACAACAATGCATACATTTTACAAGCAAGTTCGAAATCTGACATGACTGATTGGATGAAGAACATCGACACATTATACTCTGTGGACAAAACCATCAGATAACACACACTATGACACCAACTATGCTCATCTACTTCTTTTTTTTATTTTTTATTTTTACTATGCCATGTATCTGTATACGACACTATGTAACTTTTTTATACACACTTATACCAAAAGACGATACCCAATCATTCATTTACCACCATTCCCATTCATTCGTGTAACACTTAATATCTTACTTTCCTTTTTGTACATTCTTTTTGCCAAAATCATGCATAATGTTATTGCTATTAAAGCTCTCTTTTTTTTTGTATTCCTCATATTTGAGAATTGGAAACTTATTCTTTTGTGCCCATGCGGATCAGTTATGAAGGTAATCATGAATGCGGGATAGTTGCTATGGTTACCATAGACATGTCGCATCTCAAATGAATGAAAATTAAACGGCTTCTCGCTTTGTTTATGCATGCAAATACAAATAAACAACACACACACACACATTAAATAGAATTATTAAAGTTTTATTTTTCATGTTAGTGTGAGAGACGCACATGGTGAAATGGGAAAAATAAACATGTAATGTATCAAAAAAAGTGGAGTGGGAAAGTAGCAATCAATGCACCTGACTTGAACCCGTCACCAGCAACCACTGTAATGCCTATAGTATTACATTGTGTATACAGAATCCCACCAACATATAAATACTTGTTTCTGATTCAATTCTGTCTCCATCTCTTTTTGTTTTCCTTTTCTTCTTTTTTTTTCTCATCTTATAATACATCTCCTCAAAAAGAAGCCTCCTCTTCAAAATGTCTCTCAAAAATCAAATCATTGTCGTTGGTGGTGGTCTTTCAGGTCTCTCTGCCGCACATACTGTCTATGAACAGGGCGGTAATGTCTTGTTGCTTGACAAGAACCCTTTCTTTGGGTAAGAATTACATGTTTAAAAAAGTCTTAAATGTTGTGTGTGTTACTAACATTTCAATTTAAAACTAGTGGTAATTCAACCAAGGCTACATCTGGTATCAATGGTGCCTTAACGCGTACTCAAATTGCCTTGAACATTAAAGATTCCGTTGAGCAGTTCTATCAAGACACTCTCAAGTCTGCGCGTGATTTAGCTCGTCCTGATCTCATTCGAGTGTTGACTGGTCGCTCCAGTTCCGCTGTGGAGTGGTTACAAGACAAGTTTGCATTGGATTTGTCCCTCGTCTCTCGTCTGGGCGGTCATTCCTTCCCTCGTACGCATCGTGGTAAAGAGCAATTCCCTGGTATGACCATTACTTATGCCTTGATGGAGGGCTTTGAAGAATTGGCTGAAAAGCAACCTACTCGCGCAAAGATCATTAAAAAAGCCAAGGTTGAAAACTTGATTAAAGATTCCCAAGGCAATGTCGTTGGTGTTGAATACGTTCTTGTTGGAAAGGGTGCTACCAATCAAGTCTTTAAGGAATACGGACCTGTTATCTTGGCTACTGGCGGCTATGCTGCTGATTTCACAGACAACTCTTTGCTCAAGCAACATCGTCCTGAACTGTACAACTTGTCCACCACCAATGGTGATCACTGTACTGGTGATGGTATTAAAATGGCCGCTGCTGTAGGTGCCAACACCATCGACTTGGAAAAGGTGCAAGTTCACCCTACTGGCTTAGTGGATCCTAAGGAACCCGACGCCAAGGTCAAGTTCTTGGCTGCTGAAGCTCTTCGTGGTTGCGGTGGTCTCTTGCTTGATGCTGATGGCAAGCGTTTCTGTGATGAATTGGGTCACCGTGATTATGTTACTGGCATGATGAACAAGAACAAATTCCCTATTCGTTTGGTTTTGAATACTGCTGCTTCCAAGGAAATTGAATGGCATTGTCGTCACTATGCTGGCCGTGGCCTCATGAAGAAGTTTGAGAGCGGTGAGGCTCTTGCCAAAGAAATGGGCATCCCTCCCAAGCAATTGGAGCAAACATTTGAGACATACAACAGAATCGCTGAGGGTAAGGAGAAGGATCCTTGGGGCAAGCGTTTCTTCCACAACGTCCCAGTCAAGATGACTGATGACTTTTACGTTGCCTTGATGCAGCCCGTTCTTCACTATACCATGGTAAGTTCCGTGAGCGTGTCTGTTGACAAGACATCGCATTAACCTTTTCTCTATTCTTAGGGTGGTGTTGAAATTACTCCTGATGCCGAGATCAAGGGTACCAACGGTATTCCCATTCCTGGTCTCTTTGCTACTGGTGAAATGTGTGGTGGTGTTCATGGTGCTAACCGTCTTGGTGGTTCATCTCTCTTGGGCTGTGTCGTCTTTGGTCGTGTTGCAGGTCAAACTGCTTCCAAGCACTTGTTCTCTCAATTGATCAACAATAATACTCAAGTTGCTCAACAACGTTTGGGTGCCATCGGTCAACACTTGAACGGTGGTGTTGGCATCAACATTACTGTCAACCCTAACCAGCCCGGTGTCATTAGCTTGGATATCTCTTTGCCCAACGGTGGCAGCGCTCCTTCTGGTGCAAACACGCAAGCCATCGAAGCACCAGCTGCTGCTGCCTCCACACAATCAGCACCTCAAGAAGAAGCCAAGACAGTCGATGAACCAAAGAAGATGGGAGAATACACATTAGCAGATGTTGCCAAGCACAACAAGCCTGATGACTGTTGGGTTGTCGTCAATGGACAAGTCTTGGATGTCACTGATTTCCTTCCTGACCATCCCGGAGGAAAGAAGGCCATTCTCATCTATGCTGGTCGTGACGCCACTGAGGAATTCAACATGATGCACAAGCCAGATGTTGTTCAAAAGTATGCTCCTTCTGCTATTATCGGTACTCTCAAGAAGTAAACCAAAAAGACTCTATTCATTTTCACATGCTATTATTTATTTTCATTATCGTTACAAAACAAACAATAAATCACTGATTTGCTCCATATGGTTCCCATGTCACTGTACCACAGTCCATCTCTCGGATACCATAATAACATTTAGTATGAGATATACACGTGCGATTGCCGTCTTGTTCAAGGGAAAAAAAGGGTGTAGGCCTTACTCAAACGTTGAGCTTACTGTGCAAGTACAGCGTATTGATATAGTAGCCTCATTCTTGCCATAGAGGATCAGGTCCATGAGTAGTACTTTTTTTTTTTTTTTATATAATTTGTGGAGAGAATATATATTACAAAGTGTATGATGTACGAATTAAAACGATGCAGCAAATATGATTAAATATCAACTTATTCCATCACAGTAAGTTGAGGTAAATTCAAGAGTGTAACACCCTTTCTATCGTCGCAATCAAAGTTCCAGTCTTTCCAGTGATTGCTTTTACCATGGCATGGATAGCACATGCCACACACGGATGTCTTGAATCCAGCGCACATCTTGCGCCCGTTTCGAAGATTATCCAGCATATCGTACATGGTGCCTCCAATCGCATCCGCTTCGCCAAAATCACCAAAATGCTTGCCAATCATGTCGTTCTCGCACACATCAATTTGCTGGATGCGGCGATCATGGATTGGCAGGATATTGAAGGGAAACAGCCAGATGCCCAAATTTTGATCCTCATTCTTGACAAACATGCGGGGCCCTTTCACGCCTGCAATCAAATGGACAATATCTCTCGACAGAATATACAATGCGCCTGCTGTGTAGGGAGGGAAAATGGGCAGCGGATACACTAACTCACCATTCTTGTTTTCTGAATTTCGGATGGGTGGTATATTCCTACATGAATCCAATGTGTTGATGAGAATAGATTACTTTTTCAAGTTGACTGCTACGTACCAATACGCTAAACCTCGCCAATATCTCTGGGTTCTGCCTGCCAGCTCCATTTCCTTACTGACTGTATCCCATCTCACAAAGATATCGTCGTCCGTCTTTACAAAGTAGTCAAAGTCGTAGTTGTCAGCCCACTCAAAAGCAGCATACACCTTTTTACTGAGATCTTCATACTTGTCAGAGCAGGGCAGAATCAAGACGTCGTTGTGGTCCTTGATTTCTTGTTCCACAAGAGGTCCAATTGTTGATCTCACTTTGTCATTGGGAGGCTGGCCCAAAATAAACGTATAAAAGTATGAGATATGTTCATTGTCTTTGGGCATCAATTTCAGTGTGGTTTCACGAAACACCTTGCGCTTGTCGACACTCTTGGCTGTCCATGCACTGAGCACAAAGACCATGACACGCACCTCTGATTCGGCTAACTGAGGGTGTCGTTGTGCTACTGGCATCACCATACGCTGCTCTGACAAAACTGCGGATTCCTTGCGCATTTGGCTTACTTGATACAAGGAGGCAAACATGGTGATAAACACGACGACAGTCAACGGTAAGATCAGGACACGGACAAAGGTGGATTTGTGGTTGATGCGAGGTCCCTCGATATCCTCTGTTCTAGAGTAGTACTTTGGTGTTGCTGCTAGTGTGATTTTGAGAACATTGGATACAAAGAATATAAGGCACACTGTCATCCACTTCCAGATAGGCTGATCGATGCCGTAATGAGAACTGAGGTAGGCAGACACTGACCAGTTGATGACATTCAATGTGATGAGACGAACAACAGCACTGCTAATCTCGTAATAGTGCAGCCATCGTTTCAGCATGCTTGTCGTCAGTATCCAGCTCCAATATCCAGCCAGTATGCACTATACAGAGACCACAGTTACTTTTTTTGCTCTGCGTACGAGATGAGCTTTGGTTCTCTTACCCATAATAAAGCCACTTTATGGATCAAAGGGGTGCTCTTGTTTTCGAATAATCCCGAATGCTCCATGGACTGAATAGACGAGTGGAATATATTGTTGTAGGTGCCTATGATCGAAGGTACCAGACATAGGAGCCGTAATAGTAAGATGGGTAGGCGAAGCCGACGTGGAACATTTATGGATGATGCAGAGGAGGATAGTGAGCCTCTTTCTTTGAATGCAGAAGGTATACCATGCTTTTTTTACGCAATATTAGTGGCTGATGTGTCCCTGAATTGATTATATCAACCTACTGTTGCCATAATACGCTTAACCAGAAAGAAGAGCCTTCTACAGTTCTTCTCTTCAAGAAACAAAAGAGAGAATTATTTTGTTACATTTCATTGAAACAGCCAATTTTATTTAAACCCCGCGTCAATTTTATTGTCAATGGAAAGCCTCAATGAGATTTGCACCAATGTTACATGTCTTGCGCACAGAGTCTCATTTGGTTCTGTATTTTAAGCCAAACGAGTTATTCTCTTTATTTACCGTAAAGAAGGATGCAACATGGAGATAAAATAATCGGTCAAGGGAATGATGGTTAAGTTCATCTGATGCTATTGTTGAGACCTGAAACTTGAAACAGCACATAGTTTGACATTCAACTTGAGTTGCCTGACCATGTCATAGACTCTACAACATGGACTCTGTAGCTATGGTCCTTTTATTGAGCTCAACTGCATTACTTACTGTATTTATATCAGACATTTCTAATGTAACCGCAACTTTGTATGCATGTGCTTATCAAGTGCTTGTCAAGTTTATCCTAGAGTCGAGAGTACATCAATTGCTATAGTAACCAGAAGCCATCAGTGAATCTTTAGGCTTGATACAGAGGACCTCAAAAATCCTTATGGACCACCTATCGACTCCATACTTATGGCACCTGAGCATAATATTAGTTCCATTAATTTGTACAAGATAGAATGTTATACATCTACATTTGTCTCTTTCTATGACGACGCGCATGCTTGAGGTCCAGTTTGTCGCTACTTTACATTGTTTATATATGGATATGTAGTCTTGCAAGTATTAAGCAGCTATTTAATCATATAGCATATAACATGCTCAAATATTACGGAAAAAACGTCGTCAAAAGCATATGAAGTTTAAAGCAATATGAACTTCGCATTTACAAGTATGCACATGAGATCTTGAGACAAAAAAAAAACGAACGGCAAGCCTGAAATCACACCAACAAGGATACTCACATTCGACTCGGCCCTTGATGAAGATAGGCGCGCTCAGAATCTGCTAACTGTCAACAAGTTTGCAGTCATTATTATCTCTGAATATCCTAATGCAAGTTTAAACATATTCTCGCCACATACAGAAACAGCCTTTTAGTTAAAGACTTTAGTGTCTTTTTAAACAAATCAACGAAACGGATATGGTATTGCCTACATGTCATGTTGAAATGCTGCAAATCATGATTAGGAAGTTGCGATCACATATATTTGGTGGTGAGCCGGGCTAACTGGTGTTGTCAGACATTGAAATGTCCAGTAAAGGCAGAATAAAGTATTCAAGCTAAGCGATATTACTTCCAGACTCACGGTCCTCATTTAATTAGCATCCCAATCATCATTGCCATTATCAGAAAGGCATATGGTGGGTCAGCCAAGAGCAGAGCCAAAATTGACTCAAACCCAGATGGTTTTTTCTGCTCAAATATTGGCCAAATCTTGTTTTTCTTCGACTATATAAACTGTAATGATCACCCTACGCTTCCTAATACATCCTTGAAGTGCTTTTCAAGACGCTTCCAATGGTGTCAAGTAAAATAGATGTTTTGACTGAACGTATTGAGCAATTTATTAAAATTTGAAATGAGGTTTTTAGCGAAAATAGTCATATTTTGCATATGAACACCTCATAAAAGTAGTTTCAGAGGTGGCTTTGGATCGAGAGAAACATTTTGATTTGATATATACCATAGTAAAAGTCTTCATTTTCAAGGTGAAAAATGCGATTGTTTGATTTTCAATGAAAACCACGAAGTACCCTTCATGGTTTTTGGTCGATTTTTGGCCATATTTTTTTTTGGCCCAAAAAATCGAGCAAAGGTGTCAGATAGTTACTACTATTCAGGTACAATTGTGTGGCGTCATTCCAGTGGCTCAGAAAGGCCTACATGCCAAGATATTAAGGCTTGAAAACTGTCAAATTTAACTGTATTTTTGCTTTATGTCTTACATTTACACGGCATGAATCACATCTTCAGTAGCTGAAGTCTTCTGGAAGGGCAGTTCTGAAGCCTGTGCAATTTCGAATCCAAATAGGAGGCATATTGGTTTTGATAAAGCTATTTCACGCAAATTTTGATGCGTTTTGGTGCTGGTAAGCTTGATAATAAAGGAAATGAAACCCCAAATTTGCTGCTTGAATACTATGGTTTTGCACCTTCGCTTTGCTGCGATCAATCCCTCATATAGATCAATGCTACCAAATGTTGGATTAGATGCTTAGTTGTCATAGGTTTTGCATCTTTGCTTCGCTATGGTAAATCCCCCCAAACCCCCTCCCCATTGTCGGCTTCTCCAGTGGTTTTGTTCACCTTTGTCCAGCTCTCAATTCTTTAGAATTATGTTTGAAAGAATGTGGTTGGCTTGTCTATTTTTTAAAAACATAGTTTTCCAGTATATAGTGAAGATGATAGTTTTTACTAGATGTAGGCTATATATTTGCGTTTAAAATTTCCAGCGAACCTTCCAGCTATCACCGCTTCACTAATAAGCTGTATCATTGTGCTATGATACTACGATACAACAGTGCCTAATCTTTTTAGTTGAATATTTGGATGTAACAACATACTCTAAATCTAGGTTATTGTACCTCATGGTTTTCATTGAAAATCAAACAATCGCATTTTTCACCTTGAAAATGAAGACTTTTACTATGGTATACGAGCCTTTCAGCACTTCGGGTGGTTTCCTGACCTACGCTTCGCTTCGGTGGAAACCAACCTACGTTCAAACGGCTCGCGCTGCCGCGGGCCTTTGGCTAACATCCCAAAATTAATATAGCTAAAATGTTAGAAGAGGAACCCTGATTGTTGATTGATATGTAATCACTAATCGTATGAGTGTTTATGCTTCGGATGGTTCTCACCGAAGCGTAGCAAAGGTAGAGAACCAACCTGCGCAGCGGCAGCTCGTGCTACTGATTGCTCTTGCGTATTTTATCAAAATACTGCTACTTTCATTTTGACCCTCCACTTACACATAGTAACCCTTCATATTATCTGTGGATCTGATTCTTATGTGATGTTCTACATCCATATACACGTAGCTACTTCATATACGGGCAAGCAGCATACTGGTATTCCCACTTTTTAGTCCTTAGTGTCCCTAATACAGCAATGTATGAATGCATTTGAGCTGAATTTTCTTGCGTTCAAGGCCGTTTTAGATCGTCAGAATAGCCCCAAATGGTTGCTTTCATCTGGCAGTTACTTTCTGACACTTTTGCTCGACTTTTTGGGGACCAAAAAAACATGGTCAAAAATCGACCAAAAAGCATGAGGTATCCCTCATGGTTTTCATCGAAAATCAAACGACCGCATTTTTTATCTTGATAATGGAGACTTTTACTATGGTATATCTTGAATCAAAATGTTTCTATCAATCCAAAGCAACCTCTGAAATTATCTTTGTGGGACTTTGATATGTAAAATTTCGACATTTTGGCCATAAATCTCTTTTCATATTTTTACAAATCATTCAATAAGTGAATTCAAAACATCTATTTTACTTAGTACCATTGGAAGCGCCTTGAAAAGTACTCCAGGAAAGCTTAAGGAAGCATGGGGTGATTATCATACTTCACTTAGTCGAATCTGCAAAAATAGCTCGATCGAGTCCAAAATTATCAAAATATGTCCAATCTGGAACAGACTATGATTCTGGGTTTGAATTAATTTTGGCTGGTAGGGCCAGCTGGAAAACTCATGCCCTTTTCATAAGGCAATACAGTAGTAAATGCCCTTGAAGCGTATAGAAAGTAGGTGGCAGGTCATAGCACTATCGTTTATGATGATATTTTATTGCCTTCTATATCGTTCATAATGATATTTTATTGCATTCTATATTTAATAACGTTAGTCTGGACATTGACAATGCATGGGTTGCATAAAATGTCTGCAGTAAGTAATGAAATCTCTGAGGCTCTGAGACGTCGCTCAAATAAAACATTGACAGCACTGAGCAGAGGAAAGAGGGTAGAAATTACAGTGGTTTTTGTTGATTGATTGTAAAATCATTATTCTCATATGAGCCAGGTCTGATAGATGCCTTGAAACTCAGGTTCCATATTAGGATTGTAAAGTGCAAAAGTACTGAACATTTATTATGTTATGATATGAGCCAGGTCTGATAGATGCCTTGAAACTCAGGTTCCATATTAGGATTGTAAAGTGCAAAAGTACTGAACATTTATTATGTTATGATGATATATGAGCCAGGTCTGATAGATGCCTTGAAACTCAGGTTCCATATTAGGATTGTAAAGTGCAAAAGTACTGAACATTTATTATGTTATGATATGAGCCAGGTCTGATAGATGCCTTGAAACTCAGGTTCCATATTAGGATTGTAAAGTGCAAAAGTACTGAACATTTATTATGTTATGATATGAGCCAGGTCTGATAGATGCCTTGAAACTCAGGTTCCATATTAGGATTGTAAAGTGCAAAAGTACTGAACATTTATTATGTTATGATGATATATGAGCCAGGTCTGATAGATGCCTTGAAACTCAGGTTCCATATTAGGATTGTAAAGTGCAAAAGTACTGAACATTTATTATGTTATGATGAGCCAGGTCTGATAGATGCCTTGAAACTCAGGTTCCATATTAGGATTGTAAAGTGCAAAAGTACTGAACATTTATTATGTTATGATATCAAATCAAAATGTTTCTCTCGATCTAAAGCCACCTCTGAAACTACTTTTATGAGGTGTTCATATGCAAAATTTCGACAGTTTGGCCAAAAACCTTGTCCCAGATTTTTTGGGATTGCTTATTAAGTTCAGTTAAAACATGTATTTTACTTGGCATTATTGGAAGCGCCTTGAAAAGTACTCCAAGAGTGTATTAGGAAGCGTAGGGTGATCATCACAGTTTATATAGTCAAATACCTTAAAATAGATTAAAAAAGTCGAAAAAGAGCGAAATTTGTCCAATCTTGAACAGAAAAAATCGCTGAGCCTGAATTAATTTTGGCGGCGGCACTGCTGCTGGCTGGCCCAAATGCCTCTCTGATGATGGCAATGAAGATTGTGGTGCTGATTAAATGGGAATCATAGAGTTGAAATGACAATGCTTAGCCCGAATACTTCTTTCCTTAGGAGGCTTTCCTTATAAGGGTGTCTTTTGCAATGACAATACCTCAAAAAAGTCGCTGTAGATCTTACACAAGTCCTGTATTTACACATGGCCAACTTTATGCCTCCATTTCAAGAGCAACATCAGCGGATGGACAATTCCCCCTCCTGACTCTGGTATGGCCTTTTTTCACTACTAAATGATTGTTTAAAATCTACTCGGTATGCCAGATTTTTATTATCTCTGATTTGAAATATCTTCGGCAAGAGCCTGCAGGGCGACGCCATAATCGAACGTAGCGAGATTGATCGGCTAGTATTATTATACAATAAAGGGGTGCATAACTCGATAGCTCAAATCGCTAGGTGGTCCATACCATATCCTATGAATTTTCTCGTAATTTCAAGTTTGTTGGATGAATGAAAACGTCTATTAAAAGGATAATAGGCTGGGTTCTCTTTAAGATCCCCTCTTAAGGCAATCAGGACGAGAGTTGATATTACATTCTTGCACGCTTACTTACCATATACTTACCAGGTCATTGGTTTATGCTAGAATAGATGTATCACAAACAGTAAGGTCTTAAAAACCCCAGTTACACGGATAAAACACCTTAAAAAAGGTATATAAAAACCTGTTTCAATATTCTCGCATTTTTTTTTCAATTCACTTCACCACCTTTGCTTAACTACACATATTACCATGACTATTGTAAATCCTCATGCTGAAACGGCTCAAAAGGCCCTGACTCTCTTAAAAGAACTATCTAGTACTTTGGAAGGCTGGGAATTTAGCGAGGAGAAAGATGGCGTCAAGCTATACCACAAGACGGATGACTCGAACCCTATTGCCATTGTTCGTGGTGAAACAGATCTGGAAGGCCATGAATTCACCACTCAGCAAGTCGCTTCTGTAGCTACCTTGCCCGGTTGTAGAAAAATTTGTAAGTGTATTTTATTGTGTGTATGTGGAACTTGCATTTAATCAATCGTCTGATCAGGGGACGATAAGTTTGATACATCCGAGATCAAGGAAATGTACAGTAGAAGCGAGTCTCTGTTCTGGAGCAAGCTCAGAGCACCATGGCCTGTTTACCCCCGTGATATCGCTGGTACCTCTCTCCGTGAGATATCAGACAACGAATGCTGTGTTGTGATGGCTTCAGTTGAGGATGAAAATGTGCCTGAAGTTTCAGGCTGTGTCCGTGCTAATTTGATTGTCTCTGGATGGAGAATTACCAAGACAGACTCTGGCATCCACATTACATACATCACTCAAATTGATTTGGCTGGCTATATTCCAACATCGTTCTTGAAGAACATTGAGCAACAAGTACCTCTTTGCGCTGGTGCTGTCGTCAACTACATCAAAGAACACGGCTTTGCTCCCACTACAATTGATTGCACTGCACGCTTTAAGACTGAGAACTTTGAGCATGACACAAAGGAGTACTCTTGTAATGTGGATGGCACAGGTGACATCAAGTGGGTTAGTTCGACCAAGATGTATCCTAACGATGTCAACGTATCCATCATTGGCAGCGGCGGAAATGCTCAATCTACTGTTGAGCTTGATGATAGGAATAACCACATCATCACTGTTTCAGGCATCAATGGTCCTACCACCATTCGAATTACATGCAAGTAATACTGAAGGTGTGTACAATACTTTACCAATAAAGAATCAGCTCTGTGTAATTTTCTATGCTTGCGTTGGATTTTCTACTCATTCTTCATTCGTGCATACAAGAAATGCATGTATACACATTAGTGGAACAGTCGAACAAATGACCCATTCTTTGAGGTCAAGGGAATCGCGAGTGATAAATACCGTTGTGAACTATGTGTTCATGTGCTAATCAATTCATGGATTTTGAATATATTGCAGATATACAGTAGATGCAAGGTGCTCAAGTTTACCGGTTTACATGATAAGCTCGAGATTGTAAAATCAGATTTCTGTACCTGAATTTACCTCTGTTGGCTATACAAAATACAAGCATTGGGCAATACAGCGCTTCAGGTGTTACTGCGCATTATTTTATGTATATGCTCTTAAAACGTTATGGTTTAAGGTTTTTGGCTTTATTTTACATAAAAATTAAAAAAAAAAAGATATAATAGCATTTGTAGCTAATAGAGTAATAAATGTTGTAGAAAAGCGATTATGTGATACATGTGTGAATTAGTTTGTGTGTGATAGTAAGAGGATAATTAAATAGGAGAGGATAATGAGTGAAATGAAGGGATGTTTAAACGTTATTGAGGCTTTCTTTGCTTAAAGGCTTTTGAGAACCCATTGAGCCTTGAGCTTGGGCTTCATAGCTGTATCCTTCAACTTCTTCCTTGACAACCTTCTCTTCACCAGTGTTTTGGTTGACGCCAACGATCTTGTCCACATGATAATAAGCCATTTCACCAATTTCTGCAACATCCAAGCCTTGAAGTTCAGATTCGCGATCAACACGAAGAGAAAGACCGGGAATCTTGTTCATGATGAATAAAATGAGGTAGGTAACAACGAATGACCAAGCAGCACCAGCTGTAGACTCAGCAATTTGATAGCCAAGTTGAATCCAATGTTGATTCATCCAACCTCCAGCAATCACAGTGGAACCATCAAGAGCAGGAATATAAGCCTCAGCAAAGAGACCGGTCAACCAAGAACCAATATATCCGCCAACACCATGGACAGCAAAGACATCAGCAACATCATCATAGTTGAGCCAGTGCTTCAAGTGGACAGCAGCGTTACAGGCACAGGCACCCAAGAAACCAATGGCAACAGCAGGTGCAGGGCCAACGAAACCAGAAGCAGGAGTGATAGCAACAAGACCAGCAACGGCGCCAGAACAAAAGCCCAAAGCAGAAAACTTGCGTTCAATACGATAATCGATAAGCATCCAGGTAATAGCGCCCACGGAGGCAGCCAAGTTGGTGACAACGCAAGCCATGGCAGCACGAAGATTGCCAGAAAGACCGGAGCCCCCGTTGAATCCAAACCAACCGAACCAGAGCAATGCTGTGCCCAAAACGACATTAGACATGTTGTGAGGTTTGAATTCGTCCTTCTTATTGCGATCATGACCTTCACGACGTCCCAGAATTATTGCATAAGCCAAGCTAGCGAAACCACTAGTGATATGAACGGGAGTCTAATTAAAGATAAGAAGAATGTTGATTAGAGTTGAACTGTCTTATCCAAGCTAACGAATACTTACACCTCCAGCATAATCAATAGCACCCAGCTTTGCACTCCAACCGCTAGCATTCCAAGTCCAACTGGCAACAACGTTGTATACAAGAGTCGACCAGATAAAGATGAAGATGATCATGGGCAAAAGTCGAGCACGTTCAGCTATCAGATTGATGAGTACAAATGACAGGTTACGCATCTGTCTTGTATGAGTTTACCTGCAGATCCGATAGCAAGAGCAGGAGTCAATGCGGCAAACATACATTGGAAGATACAGAAGACGAGATCAGGGATAGAAGCACCACCAATTGAAGGGTCATTGAGGACTCCGCGCAAGAAGGCATTGTCAAGATTGCCAATGAAGCCATTGGTAGCGGTTTTACTGAATGTCAAACTAAAGCCCCATATGAACCATTGCACACTGACTACGACTAGCGAGAGCATACAGCACATGATCAAGGACAAGGCGTTCTTTCTACGAGCCATGCCAGAGTAAAAGTAGCCGACACCTGGGATCATCAACCACACTAACGCAGTAGAAATTAGAACCCAGGCAATGTCGCCTGCATTGTAGGAAGGTGTTGAAGCTCCAGCATCCATATTTGTAGTTTAGATTTCAGTGTAGAATATTTAAATCAGAGGTTGAAAGAAAAGTTATAAAATTGCAGAAATTCATCGTCTGTATTTATATCCATTTCCTGATATATCAGAAAATATGTTATGCGTATGATAGATAGCATTATTTCGTAAAGTGAAAGATAAAGATAGGGTTTCCTGAGTTCTAAGCTCTGGACAAAGTGGATTCTAACCAACCACAGTGCTCGGTTGATTTATCGTTATCTATTTGGAACCATAAACATTCATCAACGCCATGTGACATTAGCTTAAAATATGCTCCATAGACTGATACGATGATCTTGACTAGCGCAGACCATCCAATTATCCTTTTGACTGAAATCTACGCTATACACTGTATCTTTATGGTACGACAAGACTGCCAAAGGCTTCATGGATTTCACAGAAAACAGTCGGATTCTAATCATCACAGTCATATATGAGCTCTCTTCCCTTATTCTTGGATCGACAATACATCAAATCAGCCTACCTGCCATCATAACCGCCCAGTGCAAATATCTTGTTGTCAGGTCGAATTCGTAGCGCCACAGCTCCAGATTTTTTTATCGTTATCTTGTTGATAACATCACCTGTTGCAAGCGAGTACTTGCATATTTGATTATCTGCTGATGATGATATAACGAATGTCCTAAAAGGATCAATTGACAGATCAAGAACTAAAAGTGCGTTGATACATGTGCCGCATTTTTCGAGATCATCTGCTTTTCTTACCTGGTTCTTGATGTTCTTTCATTTGCCACATCAGTGTAGATTTGGATTGTTTGATTTCCCACAATGCTGTCGCCCCACTTTCGTATGCCGCGAGCACAAATAGACCATCAGATGTCCTAAATAGTTCAACTGCCATACATGAGCCTAGCCGGTGTGTACCGCTATCAGTTTGCCCAATGTTCTGAAGCACATAGCATTGATAAGTCAAGTCATAGATATCAAACTAAGCATGCAAATATGAATCAACTCCTTTGTGTATCCTCAATCCCATTAACAGTGCTCCTACCATTGCAATGTCGTCTCTGGATGGAAAGCATAGTAAGGTCGACTCTGGCATAGACTTTGTATGAATAACATTGCTGTGATGTAAGTTTATCGTGCCGCTTACCATCTTGCTGTTCATCCAGAGAGAATTTACAGAATCCTAATGCGTTATACACAAGAGATGTTTCTAACGAAGGATCTTGGTTATCGTCTTCTATGTGCAACTTCCAAATATGGATTTGGTTATCTCTGCCCTGACTATATAAAAAAGTTACTTTATTCACATTCCATGCAAAAGCGCGAGTAATGTATAACCGAACCTTATCAGCGTGTATTTTTCGCTCGCTGTTGTTGCTGTTGTTGTTGTTGTTGTTGCTGTTGCTTTCATTGTCGTTACTTTTAGACAACTATCTTTGTGTGCTTTCCATTTCAATATCACTCTCCTCGTTTTCATTTTCCAAATTACGATCCAACCATCAGCATCACTGCAATAGATTGGCTGTATCAATAAAAAACTCTCTATCACTAGATGAGAACATGCGAGTTTACCATGACGCTAGATGTTGATCTTGATTAAATAAATGCACATAGTTTACAGTATCTTTATGCTCTCGAAATATATAAGTGGGTGGTGGTGATGCTTCTGGTGCCGATTTCATTTTGGATGTGTATGGTGTTGAAAGAAGGCACAATCCAGTGAGACAGTTTGTGCTCCTTCCATCAAATTGCGGCTACTGAATCTCTTGATCAGCTCCCCATGCTGTTTATCAGCCAAATGCCAAGTAAATGGTTCAGATACAAAGTAATCTGCTAGTCGAGTTGCGTTGCATGCATACTTGTGTGCAATGTGATGCATTCAAGACCTATAATGGTCAAGTAATACATTAAATTCATTTACTTTCCATCATTCAAATGCTTATGTCGTGACCTTTAATCATGTGGCTTGCCTATTGCTCAAGTGCCAAAATGTTTGGTGTACTTTTTTTTTCTAATCCTTTTGTTAGCAGTTTACTTGAAGCTCGTTTCTCTTTCACATACTATGGCTGTCGATTCATTTTTCGCAAATACTCGTAAACGCAAGCGCCCTGCAAAGACAACTAGCACCGTGCAAAGAAAGGGCCCAGCCAGCAAAGCTCAACCCAAGGGCCGTTCAGCCCCCAAGAAAACAGCTGACAGCGACATTGAAGGAGACGAAGACGACGATGATCATTTCAATGCCAATTTATCTGCTGAAAGCGACGAAGAATCATCTGAAGAAGAAATCGAGGAAACTGCGGCCGAGAAACGTGTTCGTCTTGCCAAAGCTTACTTGGGAAGCATTGAAGAATCCTTGGATGGTAATAAGCAGTGACATCCAATATGATTTTGATAATAACTCAACTGTTGGTCTCTGTAGATGATATTACTGGATTCGATGCTGCCGACCTTGATAGAGATCTTATTGCTGAGCGTTTAAAGAAAGATGATGTATGGTTTTGACATTATATACAGCACTTACAGTCATTTTACTAACCGTATCGAATCTGTTCAATTTGACAGGATGAAAGCGAAGGTCGACTTCATTTGCGTATTGCTGATAACGTATGTAAACAGCCCAGAGTATATCACAAATGGGTTACTAATCACTTCCGTGCTATAGTTCAAGTTTGATGATATTGAAAACATAAAGATCAACACATGCCGTGGCCATCAACGCCCAGTTACAGCAGTTGCATTAGCTGAGAACGGCTCCATCATCTATTCAGCATCCAAAGAAGGATCGATTATCAAATGTAAGCACTCTGAATTGCCGTCTTACCGCAGATCAAACAGCTAATGTACCACTTACAAATCTAGGGGATGCAAACACATTCAAGAAATTACATACATTTCCCGGTGGAAGAAAGGGCGTCAAGAATTTTGATGGACATACCGAGGATATCTTGTGTCTTGCAATAAGTTTTGATGGCCAATATCTTGCTAGTGGTGGAAAGGACAAAGTGATCAACATTTGGTCAGTGAAAGAAAACAAGCATATCGTCAAATTTACACAACACAGAGACGCCGTTTCGGTAAGTGCACCGAGTCTGATAGAAAGAGGTTTACAAAGCTGACAGTTTTATCTGATATTCGATAGGGACTTGCATTCCGTAAAGGAGCAAATCAGTTATACTCTGCATCCCATGATCGTACCATCAAACTATGGAATATCGATGAACGTGCATATATAGAAACATTGTTTGGCCACCAAGATCATATTACGGATATTGATACCCTTGGTCGTGAACGTTGTGTATCAACAGGTGGTAGAGACAAAACAGCGAGAGTGTGGAAAATTGCAGAGGAATCGCAACTGGTATATAGAGGTGGTATTGCTACCAAAAACCCAGATGGTAGCAATCGTCCTTTATATCTTGAAGGAAGCCTTGATTGTATAGCACAGATCGACGAGAGTATGTTCATCACAGGTGGTGATAGTGGGTAAGTGACATTGCTGATGCAGACCCCACATGTGTCTAATTTGCAACGATTCTAGTGTTGTGTCATTATGGGAATTGAATCGTAAAAAGCCAGTGTTCTCTGTCTCCACTGCTCACGGATTAAACACTGTTGCAAGTGAGTCAGAAGGCGACATTAACACACCCTATTGGATTACTGCTGTGGCATGTTTAAGATATTCAGATTTATTCGTATCGGGATCATGGGATGGTAATGTTCGCGTGTGGAAGTTGGCAGCAGACAACAAGAGCTTTAGTCAAATCGCACAAATTCCTGTCAATGGCGTCGTCAATAGCATTCAAATCAAGACCACTTTCCCTTCTAAGCGCACTCTGTTAGTCGTTGGTGTTGGTCAAGAGTTGAAGCTGGGTCGTTGGATCAGATTAAAGGGTGGTGTAAAGAACTGTACAAAAATAATTGAGTTGGAGTCTACTTCTGGAAAACTAAGAATCATTTGAACAAAATAAAATAGATTTGATATACACATAGATATTATATTTACATGCATATACCATTTTGGCTTTTCTTTTACTATTGTGATGAAGATGGGCACGTTAAATACCATGCGTTTCTTTCAGCTGTAAGAAAAGCGTGTTGTTTTCCACTGGCAGTGGTTGCTAAGGCTAATAACAGCTCATTTATGTGAAAACATCAAATACATTTGCGTGGTAAACCATCTATTTAAGTTCTCAATATAAATATCTTTTATACTGTTATACCTAAGAGAGCTCGACTGCAATTCTCATTATGAATCCAAAACCACAGTAATTTCTCGCATTATAGACCTTGGGCTGTTCTTGGGAATCTCCGAGTGAGTGGAGCTCATCGTAGTTTACGGATTACCTGTTGAGTATTGTAAATCCTTAGTCCGTACTATAGCTCACTATTAGGCTGTTGGCTGCGGTTAGTAGCATTAAAGTACACGATGGAATTTTCTTCATGTGCCTTATATATAAAGGCGTTAGTCTTAGCGATTCGATTTTTCTATACTTTTGACATAACATAAATTCTCACGTTCAAGAGAATGATGAGCATTGTGGTAGTTTATAATCGATCTTTGTAGTCAATACAAACCTTTCAAGGCCATAACCAAATACTCTAACGCTGATGAAACATCTGCTGATCAATCCTTCACACGAACTAATTTACCCTTAGCTAGATGTTCGCCTTTACAAAGTTCATGCTTTCGTTCAGCCACGTTACCAGCAAAAAAGATATACGGGCTTAGATGCTCTATCCATAGAAGTAGAACAGCTTCAGTGAAAGACAAAGCAAATAAAACTCTATATCAGACTTCCATCTCATTTATTGTCGAATTCCGTCTACAGCAATGACTATGATATTGGGAAATCTGGCAGAACCCCTACCTGGAACCTTCACTCACAGCCTTTCTCTCTGTTTCTCTCCTTCTCTGTTTTTCATCTCTCTTGCATTCTCTTTGAAATTCAATTTTGAAATTCGCATTGAAAGTAACATGTCACTATATCAATTTTTTGCCCTTTAAACGATGGAGCAATTGGATTTAGATATAATGCGTTGTTGATGAAGAGAAATCAATGATTTTTGAAATTTGCAAATTTTTAGCAGTTGCTACTAATAAAAGTCGTTGAATTACTATATGAATGCTGGTTGTATGTCTAGTAAAAGTTGTAGAGGGTACTTTGGTTGATTAGGGAATATTGTATTTGGGCTTGCTGAGAATGATATCCAAGAGTAATAACGGAAGAGAGTCAGGATGATGGGTTTTCAAATGGCCGTACCGCTGAATTTTACCAAGTGAACGTGAGTTTAAAGCTTAGTAACTTCTGTTTCTCTTTCAATTCTCTATACGATGGTATGGTTTTTATAGATATATTTTTTGAGTTTTGAAAATCCTCTGCTTGTAGCTTATAAAATATAAGATTTTGAGCAAATCCATAAAGGGAAGATATATCTGATATTTGAAACCCTTACAGGATAATTGATATAACGTATAGCTATAAAATTGTTTTTGGTTTGTGCAAATCCAATGAGTATTTGTCGAGATATGGCCAAAAAAGGGTATCATGCGAAATCATCGATTTTTCTTCAGAATCTGCATGTGATAGCAAGCAAAAAATCTGTTGACGGTTGTTTGGTCAGGACAAGATTTTCAATATTTCATGATAGAAGAGTCATGCCAGAGCTTCAAGCAATAGCTCATTGCAAGGCATCTGTTGTGCCAGAAGGGCTACAGCTGTCTATAAAGATTAAGGTATTCTTGATGGGTAGATATGTCTGTGTTGTGCAACAACATGGACAAGCTATGATAATTGAAGTGCATCTCAGCTATCTAAATGCTGAGGTTCACCAGATGTGATAAGCGTTGTACAAGATAAATTGCTACTACTTTGGCATCCAGAACTTAGTATAAATAGAATAACTCTTGTCTTCTTCAATAAATCTTTAGTTTCTGTGTCTGATCTTATTCAAATAAGTCTTTTGTTGTTTTTGTCATATTGAGCATTTTTTATAAGCTACAAATAATAATCCTTTTATTCTTTGTGCTTAACAATATGGGATATCGCGCAACTATGGCAGCAGGACATAGTTGTCATATTTGAATATGCTTGTTATTAATTTGATTTTATTTGGATAAAGATGACATCTCTTATTACGACCGTAATGGGTGTGAGTGAATACACTGTGGTAATCAGGAGTGATTCATTCACTCGATGTGTGAGATAAGCGTGCATCTTTACTTTAGTATGTCTAAATGGTTGTTGATGTTGCACATTTGAGCGCTTTATTAATAGATTCGAATATCATGGATTTGAATGAGTGCTATTTGATGAATTTTGGTTTTCAATCAAGCTGCGTTTGGGTGGCTATTTCACTACAAACGCAACTTACTACGCCTCATATTTAGGTCAACTTCTGCCCAAATTTAGTCATTTTCAAGCACGAATAGCTCATGCCACAATGCGTTTTGAGCGCTTGAAATAGCACCAAACGGCTCCTCTTGGCCACGCTTTACTTGCTAATGCTTTATCTCAATTTTTTTGGGTCATTGCAAATTCATGAGAATCATCGTTTTTTCATGAGTATAAGCAAGGGAAAATTCTTGAAAATCAAACAACCGCGTTTTTCACACCAAAAATGAGGACTTTTCCTATGATGCCTATAAGATCAAATTGACCGTAAAGACGGGATGCAGCAATGGAAACTTCTTCTAAGAGATTTTCCTATGTGAAATTTCGACATTTTGGCAAAAAACATGTTTTCATATTTTTGCAAATTGCTCATTATTTTTGGTCTGAAAGCTGAATGTAATCAGCACCATTCGATGCGGCTTCTTTAGTGCTTTAAAGTCATATTAGAAAGTTGGCTGTTATAGCAACAGTTTTCATAGTCAAATTTGGCAAAAACGTTTAAAAGATGTCAGATCAAGACAAGGTTGAACACCACTACGGCCCAACTGATGTTCTCATGAGAACATTGATGCGCTCATATGAGAATCTATTTGATGTTCTCAAATGAGCACATCGATGTTCCCGAAATGTGAAAAATGCTCTCATATGAGAACATCGGCGTTCCTAAAGATCTATTATAAGTCGGCCGATGTTCTTATGAGAACATCCGAAATGTTCCCATGTGAGCACATCCATATTCTTATATGAGCACATCGATTTTCAGAAATTTGAAAAAAAAGAATGCTCCTAACGGGGTCGAACCCACAACCTATCGGTTGTGGATCTGACGTTCTTCCCACTAAACTACTCGAATATCTTAATGAAATATATTCTTTTACTTTAATAAGTAGTTATTAGGTAATTTTAAATTGCCATTTTCTCGTGCAATATATAATACGTTTAGTAATTTTATGAATCTTACAGATAATAAAAGTCTCTCTGTTGCCTACAATATTATAGTTTAGCTATTAAAACCATTTTATTCATGTGGAAAACTACACCTTCTCAAATGAGAACATCAATGTGCTCATGAGAACATCGATGTTCCCAAAAGAGCGCATCGATGTTCTGTGAGAACATCAGTTGGGCCGTAGTGGCACGAAAATACCCACTGCACAAATTCATATTAAATTACCGTAATTAAGGCTGCCGCGGCAGAAGACTGAGACCAAATTTACTGACCGTGACGTCGGATAAGACGCCCTCTCATTCTTCCATCATACGCCTGTTTTTTCGCTTTTTTTTTTGCAAAACGCGTTTAATATCAAACCATGGCTGTTTTGAAAACCGTTTGATTATTGATAATAACACTCTACCTTCTGATAACCCTGTCGTGCACTGTTACAAGTACTTCATACTGCTTCGTTAAAGTGAAATATATTAGGTACCATTGGATAATGAGCACTGAAAGGCGTAGAATTAACACTAATTGAATTTGTTTATTAGGCTTTGATAATACTTTTTGTCTGTTTGACGTTGGTGCTGCTGCCATTACTTCTTTGCTATCTCTGCTGCCTGCTTCTTTGGCTTATCATGTCTGGCGATTGCTTCTTTGGTCTTTGTTTGGTCTCTGGTGTCGTTCATTCTTTGGTTTTTCTATAGTACTGGTGTTGCTGCTGCAAATCTGGCCTTTTCTGGTCTACTATATTTGGTGCATGCTTGTTTCCTGGTCTGTCTCTGATGATTGCCTATACTCATATGGTCTATCTATGGTGGTGACAAGTGGTAAGTAACCTCTTTGGCCTTTGTCTGCTCTCTACTGATGGTGTTCGTTCTTTAGTTTTTCTATGGTGCTGGTGTTGCTGCTGTAAATCTGGTTTTTTCTGGTCTACTATATTTGGTGCATGCTTGTTCTCTGGTCTGTCTCCGGTAATTGCCTATACTCGTATGGTCTATCTGTGGCTGTGGTAAGTGGTAAGTATCTTCTTTCTTCTGGTCACAATGATATAAAACTTCTTTGAACGCTTATATCATTGCTTCCTTTCTCGTGATAATGCATTCATGATGTTTGCCTTATTGCGCTTTTTTCTTCCTTTTTTTTCGTTTGTTGGTAGTGTTTCCTCTGTAGCTTTACATGAAACGATATTAGTCATTATGTTGTATCGCAAACTTATAATACCACTGTTGCTTTTGCAGTTGTGCGTATTTGTGTCATCATACTGCTTTACATCCGACTATTACTACCATGCGCGTTGCCCATGTATGCATTTTTCTTTCAACAGCAACGAGCTTTTTTGAACATCTTTGATATTGTGTTTGTTATGCTTTTCTTTGACTCGCTTCGTGTGAGTGTCTCTTTTTTGCCTGCATACTACTATACTCGTATAGTATTATATTCTTTTCCTTTATTATTTTTATGTTTCTTTGAAGCATACCTTTTTTTTTACGTTGTGTGGATGTGCCTATCCCTGAAGCTCAACAAGACTTTATCCGAGGCTAGGAGGTAGATAGGCTGCCTCCACTTGGTTATCGCTACTTACTTTAGTGATGATTGAGGGTCTCAATGCCTGAATTTAAAGCTAGGTGGTGTATGTGGAATACATCCACTATGATCTGCATTCCGACAGTTCATCCAGTTACCAGATTTAGATATAAACTGTATGTACACTGGATTAGATGTACGATATCGATTTATACTATGATCATGAGAAGATATGGACTTCAGATACGCTAGTACTATAAGATTCATACTATATAAGATATAGGCTATAGATGGCACCACGGACATGGATGGCACTATAGACTTATACTTGTATTCCGACATTGACTACGGATGTTTACCATATCTGGATAGGCACCAAGATTAATGCAATATGAGCTTGTTGCTTCAGATGTGCACTTCATGATCCACGCTATAAGACACATGCTTATATCCGTGATACTAGCTACAGATACTTTATGTACTACAGACTTGTACTATATATGAGACATGCTATAGACATGCATACGATATGCTATAGACATGCCATATATCCAGATACATGCTAAAGATGTATGCTTAGCGATATACACTCAGATATGTACTATTAATATAGACTAAGAAGACTGTACCTATCGGATACATGCTACTAGATCGATATTAATTATCCTTATGGAAAGGATAGATCAGGGTACTTCGGATGAGAGTCTAATTATTCATCCAGACAGAGCTAAATCATGATTAGCTTGCTGGAGTTGTCTTTTAGCATGATTAGACATTAGTTGATCTGAGTTGACTTATTTGTCAATCTAATTAATAGAACTTTTATCCATTGTTATAGTATATAAGAAGGATCATCTACCTGGCCAGTAGAGAGACTTCAGTTTACTTTACACCTGTCAGTTTGATAATAAAATATACCTTTATCAAGTTGACATTACTGTTTTTTTTATTCTTTTTTTTCCGTGAATTTTAGTCTATCAAGCCTCAAATTCCACAGTGTAAGTAAGGCATGCTCTAGCACTTGGGGGAAGTTTGATGATAGCAGCGGCTATATTGCTACTATAGCGGCGCTTAAAATTTTGCCTCACATCAAAACAGAGGGAAACCCTCGCAATTTTTTTTTAGGTCAGCGGAGTTTTCAGGCAATCTGATTGGCTAGGAGGTTGAAGCAACGAAGGTCTGCAACTAGTTGATTTCCGATTGATGTCATGTATTATAATTTTGTGTTTGTAATAAAAATGTATTCAAATATTGATACAATTTAAATCCTTCTTTATTCAAAAGTAAGACAAGGTGCAATTATTCGATCTGGCATTCATTAAGGAGTTTTATATGAGGAATGTAACTTAAATTTGACATTATGTGGGGAGTATAGATGATTTTTGAAATTCGTGAATCTTGGATAAATGCTAAAAGTAAAATTTCTTTAATTGTTGTATCCGAGCTTTGAAAGGAAGTACAAGTATAGTAGAGCAGCAAATAGAATTGCTATAGGCATTTAAAAAAAGGACGTATAGAAATGACTAGAGGCTAAAACTGAAGAGTCTTTATTAATTAAAAGGCATTTCGAGATCCTTTATTATATAATAAAGGATTATTATTTTTCAACAAGCTAACGATCCTTTAGCAATCAAGAAACAGCAGAATAGAGTTCCTACAACATTCGTATAATAACATAGTACTTTTCAGAGAGCATACGGTTAACTAGTCAATTGAGATTGATGTTCTGACAATCACACCATCACAGTTCAATTGACCATAAGAAGTTCCAGCCGTATGAATATTCCCAAACATCTGCAGCTCACCCTTTATAGCTCCTTCTATCATTAAGAATGAGTAACAATGAATGACTTGGTCCGACCATAGCTAAATTGTCTAGAACTCATCTAATCCGACAGACTCAACATAAGGGTCTCTTCGTTAAGGTTTCAAGGGCTGCCATGGATAGACAGGAGCATCTTATTTAGTATATTGGTCCCTTTCTCTTTCTGCCAAGGCATTTACATCCCGATGGCGTTTGTTCCATGACCATCTCTCTGCGCAGGCTCGCCTGCATACCATCAACCGTACTAGGCATCCCTCCCCAATCTGTAAGCTGTGTACTGAATCACCTGAAAATGAATACCATCTGGCCATCGGCTGTGACATAAATTCCCTCCTCTGGTTTGAGGTTGTCCCCACCTCGGTCTTTCAGATTTTTTCTCTACGGACAATGCCATCTGGACTGGTTTAACTACCCTTCACGACCAGGAAAAAAAATCCTATGGATATTTTCATCTTGGGATTTCTGGAGCTGCTTTCTCTTCTCTATGGCAGCGTCATTGGAGCTGTACTCTTGAGGATGAATCATGTTGTACTCAGACATTCTTCTCCTCTTTTCTCGTCGATCACAAGTTGAGATCTTCTTTCTTAGATATGTAAGCATCCTCAATGGTTCCTTCTTCTTACCGTCTCTATTCATATTCTCAATAAAAAACACCTTTAAATACAAAAAAAATCTATTTAGTATATACTAAATTAAAAGCCTTTGCTTTTGATATAGAAAACATGATCTACTGATTTTTGTTGAAGATCATGATGTACCCCCCCCCTCCATGGATTTCGGGCGAGTTTGGTCGTTAACCTTTTGGTACCAAAACAGCTGGCAAAGGTCTCGGCGAGTTAGTGCCAGTCGAAAGCAATTGCTTGGCAATATTTTAGAGGCCTAAGACAGCTTCTAACGAGTTATTGCTGATCAAATTCATTTGAATTTCGTTATGTTTTGCATAACTTTTAGTAAGAGGCAATGCTAGTTTGCTGCCTCCTGTCGCTATTTGAGTTATTTCCATTGATGTATATATATATGTAGAAGAGGATCGTCAAGAAGCCAGACCTGCTATTACAGATCGATTATTGAAGGTACTTACTTGATGGTGAATAGTTGCAAAGTGCAATTCTGTATAATTGTAGGATGATTCATTTGATATAATTTGTGCTGAATCATTTCCTATGCAAGCAGCTACTTCCCTCTCAATCTGGTATTGCTAAGCATCCCTCATTGAGCCAGGAAAGCTCATAACAGCTTACAATTTTAACCATTTCTAATTACAGGATAATCGTTATCAGTTTCTATAACGCTCCTATGCATTGTATACATTTTTATTATGCAATCATTTTCTCCAGTTGGACCCTGAGCAATACTGATCCAAGTCACTACGATGAGACCTGTTCTCAAACCTGGATTGGGACAGAAAGAGAAGACACCTCAATGACCAGGTAGTTTTGAATAAGCGACGAGCTCGCGAAGCTTCAAGAAGAAGCTAACGCGAGAAACGCATCTTCTATTTATTTCCATCAAAACTAAAATTCAATATGGCAAAGAAAGGACCCAACAGTAAAGCCGAAGCTGGTAATGCCAAAAAGGCTGCTAACAAGGCTGAGAAGGATAGAAAGGCAAGCGCTGCCGCTGAGGCTGCCGAGGCTGATAAATGGGCTCAAGGTGCCAAAGGCAAAAACAATAAAAAGGAAGAAGCTGAAGCCAAGAAGGTAAATTGCACACAAAACGTCGAGAAATTGATGACTGACATGTAGAGGATAGGCTGCTGCTGCTGCCAAAAAGGCTGAAGCTGCTAAGCTTTTGGTAAATATGTAATGTGTTGTAGATTCGGCTGGATTGCTTAGTGATTTTGCCACTTTAGGCCGAGGAAGAAAAGGAGTTCAAGAAGAAACCTACTTTGAAGGGTGTTGATGTAAGCTGAATGAGCGCATATGGAGTCGTGAAATACATCTGACAGTGATACTATGTGTGTGCTCAATATAGAAAAAAGCAGCTCAAAAATCTGCTAAGCATGAAGCTGCTAGTCAAGCCAGACGTGTTATACCTGAATTTTCTGCTACAGGTATTGATGACGCTCTTGATCTTTTGTCAATTGACGAAGGCTCAGTCAAGGCCAAGGATATTGAAAAGCACCCCGAGCGTCGATTCAAGGCTGCTTTGGCTGCTTATGAGGAGCGTGAGCTGCCTAGATTCAAGGCTGAAAATCCTGGATTGCGTTTGACTCAATTGAAGGAGTTGATGTACAAGGCTTTCCAAAAAGCGCCCGAGAATCCCTTCAATCAAGGCAATGTTCTGGCCTACAATGCTACTCAAGAGGATGCTCAAGCCATGAAGGGTAAAGTCAACCAAGAGAAATGTCATTTGTACTTACATGTATTAACGCAATCCCACTAGCCAACAAGAACAAAAATATTCAAGATCGTCTCCGTACCAACTAAACGATTTGATACAACTATGCAGAATTTGGTTTTTGTATATATCTCTCATTGAAATCAAACTCGCAGCCATTGTTTTTTGGTCAAGACGATGCCTTTTTTTTTAGTATTTTGCGCAAATAAATATAAACGGATTTTCAAGCAAAATGTTACATGGGAAAAAAGAAAAAAAAAAGTACATATAAGTATATAGAAATCTAGTAATAGGATGTAAAAATGATAGTATGAAATGAATGAGAAGGAGATGGAACTATTGAACACGAGAGACAACTTCACGGAAGCCCTTGATTTTGGCACACTCTCTCTTCAAATTATCAGCAATTTCAGTGTCCCACAATCCTGCAGAGATCATGAGTCGAGAATAGCGAAGACAGACTTCTTCTCTAAAATAGTCATAGAGCTTCTTGTTGTATTTACGCTAGTCAATGATTGTCAGTACAGCTTGCCCTCCCCTCCATGCATTCTATTCATTAAAAACTTACCTCTTTTGCTCTTGTATCCTCAGGATAGTGGTGAGTTTGGTGAATCAAGAAATCGTTTGGAAGAACCCAATAATCAATGCCTGCCAAATAAATTTCGTACAGGCAAGCAGCCTTATTAGCACCATATCCTACGAAACGCTCATCACACCAGGGCGAGCCTTCCTTTTTGAAAATGACATAGGGCTCGTAGGAGTAGTTGTAATCAGTGACTTTATAGTGAGTTGATGATTTGTACCACTTTTTGTAGTCCGTTGAGCCATGTCCTCTGGTCCAGCCCAAATGGAACATGTCGATCTTCTCAGTGAGAACAATGTTCATCAATGCCTCCTTGTCCTTGGGAAACAATCGCCAATCCTCTCCGTCTTCTTCCAGAATGTACTCGAATGCAGGCACAACAATTGCAGCCTTGCCGCTACGCAATTTTTCCATCAAATCGTCATTTTTGCGCAGAGATTCTCTGAAATCAGTACATAAATGGAAATCCACATCGAGCATCATAAGATAATCTGTTCTGACAAAGAATTTGGCAACATTTCTCCACATATTGAACTGACGATCAAACTTGTCTACTACCAAATGGATGTCCACATATCTCCCCATATCAGGATTGTCATTGTACATGGCATGCAGATCACGTAAAATAACATCCTTAGTGTTGTCATCATTGACATGAATAGCGACTGAAATAGGGCCCTTATAACGTGTTGCCAATCTGCTGAGGACGGGGAATCGATTGTGAGTAACCAAGGTGGAGATGGTTACGTCTTCCTGGTCAAAACGCTCTGATGCTTTGAAATAGTAGGGGATTACTTTGGATGGACCCATAGCATCCGAGAACACCTTGCTCAACACCAAATCCTCGGGAATTGACTGATTCTGTCCACCTATTTATAGAGTGGGATTTTTAAAAATAAAAAAGATTAAATCGAGGCACATCAATTATAAATAAACATAGGTATTCACCTTCGGCATTTGTCCATGTTACTGTCTGTAAGGAGTGGTATTTTTTCTGAAGCTGATTGACGCTGACAAGGTCTTGTCTGCGTCCACCAGCTGTTGCTGATGCTGATAGAGAAGAACCGGATGATGAAAGCGAAGATGCGTCTTGAATCCAGCCGAAGCCAAGCAAGTGTATTGTAGCATAAAAGAGTGATCCAGCCAAGTAGAAACTCAAGAGTAGCCGTAATATCTTTGACACTGTGAATGATTCCTTCATCTTCTATAGCAAGCAGGAAGAAAAAGCAAGAAGAAGAAGAAAAAGTTAAAAATAAACGATTTTAGTGCGAAAGAGGGTAGATGAACAACAGGGAGGGTATAAATCTTAATTAACAGGTATCCTGTACAACATTAAAATCCAAAGAACCTTCAAATCAGATTTGAAAGCCATTGCCTATTGTGAACAAGGACCTGATTTCTGGGTTCTTTACATGCCTCTTTTTGCCTTGATTTTGCTATATTTATATATCAACGAAATAGTTGAAAATTGACAATTTGCTGCAAGTTTATGTAATACATGTAAAGAAACTTCAATTCGAATTGACATCAGCTTGCTTCGAGCCACTGGTTGGGTTTGGTTATTTGAAATAACGCAAGATGTATTATAGACAGATTATGGCTTTAAGTCCTAGATTCGAAAGCACACATGGACAAGATTTGTACTGTAAGTTGGGAGAGTTGTTCCGCATTATGCTCAGAATTTTGCAGAACATAAAAGATATAATGCATCATGATACACCCATTGCTGCGGTGGGCTTGTTTTCTAGACAGAAAGCTGGCCATGCGTAAATACAGGACTTCCACAAGATCTTACAGTGACTTTATTGAAAGATTGTCATTGCAAAAGACACCTTTATAGCAAAAAAAAAAAAAAAAGATTCACCAAGCAATTTTCCTTTCAAATTCATAATCCTCATTTAGCCAACATCGCAATCAGTATCGCAATCAGCATCGCAATCATTATTGGGATCATCAGAAAGGCATTTGGTGGGTCAGCCAGCAACAGCGCCTCAAAATTGATTCAAATCCAGGCAATTTTTTCTGCTCAAATATTGGCCAAATCTCGTCTTTTTCCGACTTAATTGAACTATTTCGCTAGATTCGACTATATAAACTGTGATGATCAGCCCCTACTTTCTAATACACTCTTGGAGTACTTTTTAAGGCGCTTCCAATGGTGTCAAGTAAAATAGATGGTTTGACTGAAATTATTGAGCAATTCGGTAAAATAAGAAATGCGATTTTTAACCAAACTGTTTAGATTTTGCATATGAAAAGCCTCATAAAAGTGGTTTCAGAGGTTGCTTTGGACCAAGAGAAACAGTTTGATCTCATATACATTATAGTAAAAGTCTTCATTTTCAAGGTGAGAAACGCGATCGTTTGGCTTTCGATAAAAACCATGAGGGATACCTTATGCTTTTTGGTCGATTTTTGACCATGTTTTTTTTTGGTCCCCAAAAAGTTGAGCAAAGATGTCAGAAAGTAATTGCTGGATGAGAGCAATTGTTTGGCGTCATTCCGGTAGCTTAGCAAGGTCTACATGTCAAGATATGAAGGCTTGAAAACTGTCGAATTTGGCTGTGTTTCTTACATTTGCTTGTCAATAGACGCGTTCTTGTTACGATACAAAGACGTAAAGGCATTTTATACATTAACCTAGATTTAGAGCATGCTGTTACATCCTAATATTCAGCCGAAAACATTAGGTTGAGTGGCACTGTTGTATCGTAGTACCATAACACAATGATATAGCTTATTAATGAAGCGATGACGGCTGTAGGGCACGTTGGGCATTTTAGACGTGAATGTATAGTATAGTCTGCATCTAGTAAAACCTATATCTTACAATAAAGCGGTCCTTAGCTGGGTAGCTCAAATCACTAGGTGGTCTGTATCCTTTTACAAATAGATCGTTTAATGTATGTTTTTGTAATCAACTAGTTTATTTTGTTTTAGGAAACCAAACCCTCCTTTTTACTCAACCATCCAAAGTATCTATAAACTTATTGTATTGCAAATATGAAGCGTTTCAAAGGTTTAGTCAATTAGGTCTAAACCTAAACAGTATAGTATAGATAGGGCGCTTGTTCTCTTTATCGCAAATGATCCGCAAAGAGCTCGTACTTTGTCCTTAGCTATGGCACAGCAAATCCGACAAGCGGACAGTAGTGCTCCAAGAAATGAAAAAACGTGCTTTGCGCACAGACTTTCTGTCAAATCTTGCAAATGACACACGTTGTCTATTTTCCACCATCACAACACATTTCCTGCTAGCAATGTCTAAAATTTCGAGCTCTGTGCAGGGCTATTTGGAATACGATTAGTAGCTGCTGTGTACATGTCTAAAGCTAGCTCCTCGAATGCACTGTATCGCGCGTTTATCTGTTTTTTTTAACATGCGCCGCATGTGAATTTAAAGAAAATCCTGGAAGCATAGGTTGTTCTCTTTTTAACTTTAAGCAATAAAAACTTGAATATTATCTACAGCTAGCTTCAGAGTAGTGAATTTGCATCTATCTTGTGAAGAAGAGATAGACAATTAATTCCAATTAATGAAGTATATACATTATTTATCTTTCTCGTGTCAAATGCAGTTTCAGAATCACGCCAACTCAGCGTGAATCAGAGTCGTATGAAATAACGATTACATCTGGTGCTTGACTTTTAGCGTTTTTCTATGAATCTCCCCTCCCTCCCCCCCAAAAAAAGACAGAAGAAAGGTTTCATGTGTACGTTTTGACATGTATGATGGCGGTGAATACAATATATAAAAGAAATTAAACTTGCTGCGATTGCTTCTTATTCTCTTTCACCATCTCGTAAATCATTCTTCAATATGGCAATCGCAAACAATGACATGCACAAAAGAGAAGAGGTTTCAACAGAAGCAACTAATTCCAATGAAGAGATCAATTCAAAGAAATCTCTGACCTACACATTACCGACCCTATATGCACCAATGTCTACATCAACAGTGACAGAAGATGCTACTTCCACAGAGGATCCAGGGCAATACCATATAACACTATTTACACCCGCACATACATCTTCATCCATCTTAGACATGACAGAAGCTACACAGAAAACGGTCGATCCCTATGCACCACTCCCTACAAAATATTCTGTGCTTGTTTCAAAAGCACCAAATGAAGTTACCAGAACCACGAAATCATGGGCCATTGCGACATCCACTGCCTCCGCTAGTGCATCAACAACACCCTCTATAATGCCTGTCAAGTCTTACTCAGGGCTGAATAAGGGGGAATTGGCAGGCGTCATTGTGGGAAGTATAGCCGGCGGTCTAATGGCTATCTACCTACTTTATGTAATTTGTTGGGGCAGGAGGAAAGCCTTGCGAAAAGCTAGAGAGGAAAAGTCTTTAAAAGATATGGAAAAGAAGACAGATCATGTTAGTACCATCCATCTTGACTATGACAGCGACGAAGATGAGAAGAATCCCTACATGCATCATGATGACAATCAGCCTGTCAGCTTGCCCCGAACTCAACCACAGTATGATCCTACTCGGATCTATTGCTCAACGTCTCGTTCTGACCCTAAAGAAGATTTTCGATCGTATTACAGGACATCCCCTAGTAATACAGGTAATAGCAGTTCGTTATCAGAAGGCTCTACTACACCATTAAATGTTCACAACACTCTGCAGCCATTTTACGGTGGTTTCAAACCTTTCTATGGGCCAATGTTGCAGCATCAGCCTCCTGCTTTTGTCAATCATTCCACGAATAGCATGTCATTGTACGCACCGCATCAAAAGCCATACACAGCTTCTACAATGCCTGTCGCCGGAAATGCAAGCCAGCACTTTTCGCCAATGTATGAAATAGGCGCACCTTCCAGTACAATGGGGGCATTGTACTATCACCGTCTCAATCCTGCCACACCAGAGATCTACCAACATCAACAAGTATATCGTAGTAATATAGGTTCTCCTACTAACAAGAGTGGTAGCGAACGTTGTGGAAGCACTGTATCATCAGTTTTGATGCATGGTGTTGTTGAAGATGAGGATATTCAAAGTCTGCCGCCAAGCGAACCTGCTACCGCCTTACATTCTGTGGACCAGAATGTTGCACAGCAGAAGCAATCACTGCCATCGCAACCAACAAGTGAAGATCTAGCAAACAATGCCGAAAAGGCATTATCCCCAATATAATTTTACGTATATACATTTAATAATTCTCTCTACGCTATTCCCATCAAATAAATAATAGAACATGCATTTCGATTTACTCTTCATTTGAATATTCTTTAGACAACCTGCTATGATTGTTTCCAGAAAATTAAAGTTGACTTAGTTTTGTTGGGAAATCTCTGCAGACAGAAATAGCTGGCATTTGTAATTTTAGTATGTCGTCTGGTTCGATATTTACTATCCAAATGATTTTCCATTTAAAACGCTACAAAAGCCTCTGACAACAGTTGCCACTACAAAGATGCTAGATGCTGATGTTTGAATCATTCTTTGAATGCGTGGATCAGTCTGGTGTGCTTCAATCTCAATCTGAATGCAACATTTAGGCTACTCAACAATTCATGCGAAACAAGCAGACTAAGTTTATTTAACAACAGACATCAGACCACGCACATCAAATACACAACAATGCAGTGATATGTTTGCTCAACTTTACGAGAAAAAAAAACAGGGGTAACTTTATTAGATAATACAAATGTACATATTTATGTGGATATGGATGATGCATCGTTGTATCCATCTTCTGGACTCTCATGCAGAAAAGAATGTTTCAAGAGTTCATCCGCTGAAGGCCTTTCTTCATGATTTCTTGTAGAAACACAAAAAAAAAAAAAAAAAAAAAAGAAAAGAAAAGTTAGTTTTCAGAGTATAAAATTGGGAATCCAATACATTACAGTTGAAAAGTGCACCTTAAAAAGTCTTGAGCATCCTCACTCAAATTAGCTGGAATATTAGGAGCGGTATAGCATCCAATCTAAACAAAACGTACGTTAGGAGAATAGGACCCCAATGCACCTAAGCGATTATACCTGGAATATAGCTTGCATCTGTGAATACTCTGGGAATGGATGATCACCGGTCAGCATTTCCACTACCATGCATCCCAAAGACCATATATCAGCTTTTCGTGTGTAATGCGTTTGCTTCACCACCTCAGGAGCCATCCAGTAAATAGACCCTTGCAAGCTCGGTCGATGTGCAGCAGAAGCGCTTTGTCCTTGTAAGATGATATCTTCTTCCACCTTTTTAGAGATACCAAAATCTGTAATTTTGACACCTCCCTTGTTATCCACCAGTACATTGGCTCCCTTTATATCGCGATGCACAATATCCTTGTTATGTAGGTAGTTCAAACCCTTGAGAATTTGGCGCACAAAACTCTTTACCAACGGTTCCTGAAAAGCGCCGTAACTGGAGAGAAGACCAGCGACAGAACCACCTGGCACATACTCCAAGAAAATGCTAAAGTAGGATTCATCTTCCTTTGAACCCAAATACTGCACGATATTATCATGCTCCAGTTCACGCAATAGCTCAATCTCTCTGTGAAGTGCTTGAACCATGGATTTCTTTCGTTCCTCTGTAGCTGAATTTTCGACTGGCAATTCAACTTGTTTGACCGCCATCAATTCACCACTGATCGGATTCAGACCCAAATAAACATCGCCAAATGTGCCACGACCAATGAGAGACCCTTTCATCCAGGTATCTGGTAACAGTTTTGATTTGGTGGCGGAAGTAGGGGTAGTGACAGTCTCTTTGATGGCAGGAATGGTTGTCTCTGATGCAGCTTCTTTCTCTTTCACGGTTTCTTTTTCTGCAAATAAAGCATAAGAGGGATATTTCATGATTTTGATGCTCCATCACTTACTAATTTCATCTAATTTGAAAGATTTCAGCTCATTCAGATAATTCAGGCTGGAAGTTCTTCTTTGATTTGCTTTTTTCTGTTGGTCCAGCAAATCCTTTGCAGCATCTTTGTCAATTGAGGCACTTGGAAGCACATCTCCTTCGTCAGATGGCTGCAAATGGGTATCGCTTTTTATGTGCTTTGTCTCTGCTATCGACTCTTCATGGTCGCTCGAAATGCAACTTCCACTGCTACTACTACTGTCGCTGCTAATGTCACTGCCGAGCACATCCTCTTGATCTTCCTCCTCTTCCAGAAACTTATCCAAATCGACACCCAAAACAGACACTAATTCAGGTAAAACACTGTTTCGATAATTGCGAGGCTCCAATCGACTCAGCGCTGAATTTCTGCGAGTCATTGATAGTCGCTGTGCTTTGATACCCGCTGTTTCTAACACTTCGCGATTGTGATTTGGAAAGAACGATTGCAGATTGGATGAAATGATCTCAGATGGTGGACGTTCACCAAAGAAGCGTCTACGTCCCTGGCCACGGGTGCTGCTGCTATGGCTGCTGGTTGTGTTTGATCTCAATGATCCAACTTGACTCACACGACTTGAATAGTAATCAGGCCGGTTCAATGTGCTCGAGCTGGAGTTCCAATTGTTGTGCAAGGGCGAATGAGGTTTCTGGTGCTGGTCATCGTCTTTTCTGAATCCTCGTCGATTGGCATTGATGGTTCCTTTGCGCTTGAACTCTTCGTGTGTAGGATACATGTGCCGTTTGCGTAGAATCAGTCTCTCTTTTTCTGGTCTGTCGGCTGATCGACATATCTCGATCAGTTCCAAATCTGATAAAGCGCGCGCTTCTCCATTTGTGCTGGAACCAACAAAGATACAGTAGCTGTCTGCATTGCTCTCATCAATACCGAATTTGTGCAGCACCTTTCCCATGATTTGCTTGGCTTCGTTTGCTGTGTGCACATTGACAATACGCGTTTGTCCATCTTCACCAAACACTTTTACACATGTCTGCTTTACTTTTTCCATGGACATGATGCCTCCCTCTAATGAATTTCTCTGATTGAAACAATGAGCTCTTGAGCAGTGGGGATCTCCAACGTCTGGTCAAAACCTACCTTTTGTAGTGTTCGTGGACTGGATGGTGCTTGTGAGTATACATCTGAGTTTTGTTGTTGGCTTTGTAGTGAGCTTTGTTGCGAAGATTGCAGATTGGAAACATTGGCATTGCTATTGTTGTGCGCTCTCTGTGGTCGTTTCGAGTCTGATCTGCCCAGGAATCTGGAGAATGAATTGGATCTGTTCAGTAAGCTTTTGGCACTTGTTTCTGTTGATTTGGAGATCTTTGAATTCGCATTCGTCGGTGTGGATGCGAAACTTTCATTCACATGGAGCCCTTCATGCTGTTTGGGTTCAATATTACTGCCATTGGCGTGTCTTTCTAAGGGTGTGTGTGTCTAGACAAGAAGAGGCGCATGTTAGCTTCTGCATTACAATAGCAGCTCTTTGGACTTACTCTGGTAGGGGTTCGTGCGGCTAAAGAGGCGGCTAGATAGCATTCTTGTCGCAGTGCCTTGATGGCAGCAACAAGGCGCACTCTCTCGCCCACTGTTTTGATGTCCATGGCTTTAAATGCCTCATAATCCAGGTCGAGCAGCACTGAGCCCGTGATGTTATGTTCTTTGCGGGTGAGAAGAGTGAGTGAGCATGAGAATTAAAAACCCTATAGACATGATGGATACCTATAAACTTTTGGCTGAAACGACCCAACGCTTGGTTACAAAGCCAATCCGTCACTCTCTGCTCAGACCAGTTCTTTACATCGTCCAGCAGTGTTCTTTTGTACTGGTGTTCTGAATAAGAAGGCGATGTTGGAGAGGGCTGCCTCAATTGTCTTGCTGATGGAGAAGAAGGAGGCAAAGGTATCGACATGATTATAGCTTGAGAGAAAAGAAAGAAAAGAGAGAGAGAGAGAGAGAGAGAGAGAGATAAAAGAGCACAAACGGATATTGAATAAAATTTTATTTCATTGTAGTACAACATGATCATCTATTGGAAGAGGAGGAGGAGGAGAGGTTCATGTATTCCTCGCCTACTCTGCTGATCTGACTCAAAAAGGATCTCGAGTTGTGGACATTGTTGCCGCCCAATACAATGCGAACACCGGGTGTGGTTGCGTTCAACTGCGCAATGTATCTGGCCTCTTCAAATGTGGTGCCGCCGCACATGAATACAATAATGTCCTGAGGCCTCTCCCGCAACATGGCATTGTCGTTGGATACAAAGGGGTAGTCTGTGTCCTTGAGGCGGGCCTTGATAAGTAGATCCAGCGTGTCTCCCAGATGGGGCGTATGCTGTGTATACACGTTTTCTACGCCTTTCAGCCCCTTCAATGCGCTCTTGCCTCGAGACAGGAAGGATTGGTTCGAAAATAGATCGTCTTGTCGTTGTTGGTAACCAGCATAGAACAGCAGTGCCGGCACGAGGGCGCTCTTCTTGTCACTGATGCCCACCCGATCCAGCAAGTCAATCAACGACTTGATAGCATTGTTGGCCATTCTCTCGTAGCGCAGTGCATACAGTAAAACGAGGCGAACTTTGGAGTCTTGGTCAATTTGCGGGTTTTCGAGCAAGCGTTGGATGTTTCTGAGGTCACTGTTGTGGTTCTCATTGCAAGCGAGCCCCTGCTCCAGTTCACTGATCTCCAAAAGGTGGTCCTGTGCGACTCGTCTGCTCAATTCACTGACGAGTGCGACGTGCTTGGAGACATTGCCAGATAGCTTTCTGAATTCAGGGTATTCCTCAACAAAGCGTTTCATATCAGCGATGGACTCGATGTTCATGTTAGATTTGGTCTTTGATTGGTATTCGTCCACATACTGCTTGATAGTAGCACCTAGATCTCCCAAATTGAGATACATTGACTTTTTGAAGAATGGGTCTTGATCAGGTGACAAGACAATTTCCTGTTGAGCCAGCAAACATGAATCACCCATATACTGAACACTCTGCGGAACTTACTTTTAGCTCATTCTTGACTTCAGGCACGTTGGTCATGTCCACTCTGCCATGATGAATGCCAATCAGTTCATGGACCATAGCTTGGTAAGTCCATTGCGTCAATAAGGGCGTCACTGGATCATTTCTTCTGTCGAGAATCAGCAGGATAGGCGGCGTATCAGGTCGTCTGAAATCAAACAATTGCCCTTCGGATGTGATGGTATTCTGAACTTCCAGTGCTAGTTTCTTGGCCATGGCTGATCCTCTCTCGTATCGAATCACGGGCTTCTTTTTTAGGCTCAATAACACTGCACAGACGCCTTTCACAGATTGCTCAAATGTATCCGCTTCCCAGTTGTTGACGCTGTTGCCGAAATAGTGGCGAGGATCTTGGCCCAACGAAAACAAGTCGGGATTGATGGCCAAATAATCTCCATAGTATTCTTGCACTTCTCGAATCACTTCATGTTCATCGACTTCTGCCAACTGCTCAATATCCGACTTACGGATTGTGTTGCTAAAGTCTACAAAACGTCTCCCAATGCTTAGGCTGCGGTATTCATGTGCTGTATAAACGCAAACTTACACAAGTAATAATCACCATAAGAAGGCTCCCTGAGTTCAGCAATGAGGTATTGAAGCGTTTCGCGCGTGGGTCTCAAGAAGCAAATGCATTTCAGATGCTTCATTTTGTCTCGATTTCTATTGTCAATTCTATCAATCAGATAGCATTCTTTGGTCAATAACGTTGATTGTGTTGTCACTAGGGATATAATGGGTGTCTGGCAATACTGTGAATGACGTTTTCTATAAAGCTATCGGCAAGCTTTGTATACTCACTGTTTCTGTATCAAGTAATAAAGCCTTCATGCCAGGCACATCGTTTATCATCTTTTCTGCATAGTGCTGAACTGCTTTTATAACATCCATTTTGTTGCGAAAGGTAGAAGACAAAAGAGAGGGTTTCACCAAGAATATGGAAACCCCTCCACTGAAATGAGACTCAAATGAGTTTCAAACATCTAGCATGATGCAAAGAGATTATTCGCTGTCTAGAAAAGAAGGCTCTTCTGTGATGTTGCTTGATAATAGACATTTGCTGATTAGACAGACTCGCTGGTATTTTACTCATCGTATTTAAATTAGACGCTAACACGCGTTGATTTGCAATGTTACCCCCTTAAGCTCGAAAATGCTGGGAAACCGAAGAGATGAAAAGGCTTATAAGCATAATCTCAGTTCTTTTTATCTAGGATTATATACTTTGCTGCTATTCTATAGTTGCCTGGTGCGTTTCTCATAGACCACTATTGACTGATTCACAGCAAATGCAGTATTCAAGTTTCTATACAATAATATATAAAAGAGTTGATATTAATAAAAATGTCTCGATCTAAAAGCTTTAGAGGAAAATGTCAGTTTAAACAAGGAATCTCTCACCAAACTGGCAGATAGACGTGCTTCAAAACTCTCTCCAGTCTCGAGACACAGTTCAATCAACTCTAGCAAGCAAGAATAGTATTTTTGCACTTATTGGTGATTCAAATGCATAGTTTTAAAGTAATGTCTGATCACAAAGTCTGTGAATTTCAAAGGATACATTCTGCTAGACTTGATTGTATCCGTATCCTCTTGTAACGGATCTGATGCGGACCATCTAGTGATCTGAGCTACCCAGCTATGGACCGCTTTATTGTAATATATAGGTTTTACTAGATGCAGACTATACTATACATTCACGTCTAAAATGCCCAACGTGCCCTACAGCCGTCATCGCTTCATTAATAAGCTATATCATTGTGTTATGGTACTACGATACAACAGTGCCACTCAACCTAATGTTTTCGGCTGAATATTAGGATGTAACAGCATGCTCTAAATCTAGGTTAATGTATAAAATGCCTTTACGTCTTTGTATCGTAACAAGAACGCGTCTATTGACAAGCAAATGTAAGAAACACAGCCAAATTCGACAGTTTTCAAGCCTTCATATCTTGACATGTAGACCTTGCTAAGCTACCGGAATGACGCCAAACAATTGCTCTCATCCAGCAATTACTTTCTGACATCTTTGCTCAACTTTTTGGGGACCAAAAAAAAACATGGTCAAAAATCGACCAAAAAGCATAAGGTATCCCTCATGGTTTTTATCGAAAGCCAAACGATCGCGTTTCTCACCTTGAAAATGAAGACTTTTACTATAATGTATATGAGATCAAACTGTTTCTCTTGGTCCAAAGCAACCCCCTGAAACCACTTTTATGAGGCTTTTCATATGCAAAATCTAAACATTTTGGCTAAAAATCGCATTTCTTATTTTACAGAATTGCTCAGTAATTTCAGTCAAACCATCTATTTTACTTGACACCATTGGAAGCGCCTTAAAAAGTACTCCAAGAGTGTATTAGGAAGTAGGGGCTGATCATCACAGTTTATATAGTCGAATCTAGCGAAATAGTTCGATTAAGTCAAAAAAAAACGAGATTTGGCCAATATTTGAGCAGAAAAAATTGCCTGGATTTGAATCAATTTTGAGGCGCTGTTGCTGGCTGACCCACCAAATGCCTTTCTGATGATCCCAATAATGATTGCGATGATGCTGACTAAATGGGGATTATCAAGTCGAAAGAGCTATCGTTCAGCTTGAATACTTTCTTTTGCTTGTGTTAGGCATTTTCATCTCTGACAATGCCAGTCAGGCTGGCTTACCGCCATAATATATGTATTCGTAGCTTCCTAATCATGATTTGCAGCATTTCAAGCCTGTTTTTAATGATGTGCAACAAATGTATCTTTTCCCCTTCAAGTAGTTGTTTATTGCGAATGAAGTGTATCGCTCTGATTTTCTTCTCTATAATCCCTTCCAAATAATGTATAATTTTGAAAGGGGTCTGTATATTAATTTGTTGTAAATGTAAGGATAAAATATGTACACGCAAGATTGAATTTTGTTTCTATTAATCTGTAAATCCACTCCAGTTTCTTAATTTTTGGCCCCAAATCTTGAGAGCCACTAGCAAGATGAATAGTACAACACTTAAGCCAGTCAGGAACACGCATGTCCAACCAGCACCAAGGGCTGAGACCAAAGGATTGGAAATAAGTGTCAAGACACAAGCTAAAACCATACGCACAAGGTTAGCAGAAGCTGTAGCGGAAGCGCCTGATCCAGGATTGGCATCGACAATATATGCTGAAGTGGCCGTCATGATTTGATTCATGCCAAATGATTGAATACCAAAAGCAACTATGGGCGCCCAGAAAGTGAGGCCGCCTTCGATGCTCCAGCCGAATAGTAAAAGACCGAATGGAATGAACAGACAAGCAGGCCATATGTTGGCCGTTAATCGATCTTCACAAACTGCTTGACCACCACGCAGACGACGAGAACGAAGCAACAACCTATCAGACAATGCGCCACCTAATATGGAGCCAAGCAAGTTGCCAATGCCAGCACCGAGATAACTTAGACCTGATTGAGATCAGTGTTAATGCGAATCCATGTACGTTTTGCTCATTTCTTTCTCACCTGTTTGCCACGAATTAAATCCGTAGTATTCTTTATATAGATCAGGGATAATTGTTTCAACTGCAAACATGCATCCAAAAGCAATGCCTGACACAAGAGATGCAATCATGATGAAGGGGTGTTTGAGCAAGATAAATGCTGCAAGGGGATGTTGACCACCCTTTCTGGGTTCCTCTTCAATGACGATTTCGCTCTGATCTGCTGTGGTTTTCTCTTTGCTCAAATCCTGTGTTGCTGGTTGATTCAGTTCGCTGTACGGGGTGATTACTGTCTTGTCGTCATTCCATTTGTATTCATCTCTAAATGTTTCGGGAAAGAAGAAAAATAGACCGGCAGCAACGGCTCCAGCAAATGCAACACAAAACCAAAAGGTAGCTCTCCATGATAAGGCACTTATGATTAGAAACCCGCCGACAATAGGGCCTACCAGTGGACTATCAGGTTTTGTCAGCTTCACTTCTAAATCACTCATGAAGCAACAGAACTCACCCTAAAAACAACCCCAAAAAGAACTTTCCAAATGCTGATCCACGCTGCTCTATAGGGTAGCAATCTGAAATGACGCCTGCTCCTACAGATTGACCGCAAGAGGATCCAACTGCTTGAACACATCTCAGCACCACTAGACCCCAGATATTATTGATCAAGGCACAACCCAAAGAGGAGGCGGCAAAGATTATCATGGAAACAAAGAGCACAATACGCCGAACCTGCCAATTATCAGACATGGCAGCCCAAAATACAGGGGCAATACCCATCATCAAGATAAACAGTGCGGCTGTCAATGTTGTTGCAATGGACGGTGCATTCAAATCAGCTGTAATGTACGGTATGCCTAGTTTAAAGAGTGCGATTAGAGGCAACCGTCAATAGGTGGGATGCTACATTTGGTTTACCTGGAAAATAGATGGTACTAGCAAATCCAGCAGTACCAGCACATAGTCCTATACACACCAAGATGATACCTTTTGTTTTAGTGCCAAATGTTCTTGGATCTTGAGTTACTGGAGGTTTGATGGACAGTTTAGAAATCAACACTGATTTTATACTGGTTGATGTGTCCGTCATGGCGAAATAATGCGAAATAGTATTTTGTGATCCAAGAGAAATTTTCAAGCTCTATTTATATACAGCTTCATCTGTGATTAAGACCAGGCGCGCACAAAGTATCGCTGATACGATTGCCGTCTGTTCCGCGCCATTGCATGTCCGCCATGTAACATCCATGTCAATTCAGGTTCAAGAAAGATCTATAATGTCAAGGGTGTCGCAAGCTAAATGGCATAGATCCTATCAGCCATGTAAATCAAGGCTTGCAGACTTACAATGGCAAGCAGTGTCATAAAGAGCCATGTTACATTATACAGAAATCACATCAGCCAATCATCGGAGAGATTTTTAGCTTCATATCTGAAAGATATGCTTACAAATAAAAGTAAGCAGATTAGTAAACACTGTAAATAATGACATTCAAAGCTAATACGCTAATTTTAGTTTATTATCTTCACTTTTTCAGTTTACAAGACCAACTAGCTACAGTATACGAACCGCCTGTGTGATGCAACAGACAGATGAGAGACCACTTGCCTGCTTCAGACACAGTAACAGTGCCATCGTACGTTTGTTCTTGCGGGTAATACATGAGTTTCACCAGCTTACCGCTTGGACTTTTCACTGCCAATTTGTGATGCGTTGCTCTGTAGTCCAGCCTATTTGCACGGATACAGAAATGGTATGTTTGTAGAGGGTAGAATTGATAGCATTGCGGTTCTTTGATGTAGAATTCATTGTGATCGACATAGAGTTGCACAAAATCAAACGACGTTTCCGTGGGCTGCTGTGTTTTGATGCGAACACATAGAGCCAGCGGATAGTGGTTTTTGTTGACTACTTCTTGTTGTTGATGTCCTGAAGAGGAGCTAGGTACAGCTTTGGGACCAGTGTATATTTTGAGCCATCCGCTTCTTTGATGTGGAGGCAGCACAGCTTTCACTTTGCATATTCGGTTGTCGTTGTCATCCGTAATACATTGAGCCAGTCCTCTGGTAGCAGTGCCATCATCGCTCTCGGTCTCGGCATAGCAGCTAATGTTGGTTTGTGATAGCTTGAACTTGACGTAGAAGACGCTGTGCTCGTTCTCCTGCAACTGCACATGATATTTCAGGAATTGTATACCATACCAGAAAAAGGGATTGCGAATATAAGGCAGCAAGAAGAACGCGTACGATGACAGTGGAGGGTCTAGGCACTGGTCATGGTGATTTTTGGGAAAATGTGTCATGATCATGTCGTGTGGTTTAGCGAGAAACCAATGTGATTCCATCTTGTTGTCATTCTGTGGGTAAAAGGGTGATGCTAGCCAGCAATCAATCATGCGATATTCGTCCTCGATTTTAACTGGCAATGCGCATGAGCAACAAGCCATTCATCAATGCATGTAGCCACCTACCTGAGCACCAAGCATGATTGAGAGGCAACTTGTTCGCGGAAGCAGAGACTGTATCTTTGGGTGCTACAGCATGGTGCGTCAGTCAGGCCTGTATTTCTATCTATTCAATCATTTTACCTAGGATAACAACCTTTTAAATAGCCATATACAACACGAGCATCCTCAAAGCCAGCAGCGAGAGCCATGGCGACAAATAAGTGTGCCATGCCAAACGAAGATTTGCAACTTCTTTTCTCCAGCACTTGCTCAGCTGACTCGTTCATGTAATCTGAAGATATCAGAGTCTCTGCTATAAGTGATGCAGCTTCTTCTTCCAGGAGATTCATGGCATCCAGCTTTTGTGCTGTGATTTCATTTGGGCTTTTGATGGCACACGTGTCGTCTGCATTGCCAATTCGGCTCAATCTCTGTCTGATGTTGGACGATCGAGATGGTGCCATGGGTTGTGTTACCGCTGCTTGTTGTTGCTGCTGTTGGGTCTGTTGTTTCTGTAGCAGCAATAGGTCATTCCGTCTCTGATGATATTCTGGTCTGATGTTCTGAACAATCCAAATAAACAACGCCCTTAGTCGAAGCAGTTCTTTTCGATATGGCCTGATGAGGAACTTTTGTGATAGAATAACTGGCGTCAGCAGAGGTCCTCGTTGTTGCACGGTAGATGCATAGCTGTCAATTTGAGCAAAATCGGATTCATTGAACTGCAACACACCACAGTTCTGCGAGATATCACATGTATGTCTGTATTGCTCCCCCATTAGCACAATGCTGTTTCACCCATTTGTCTACTCACCTCAAAATACGAAATGGGTTTTCATCATCGTCCAAGACAGGTGTTTGACATCGCCTCAGGCTCTCTTGACAATCAATGATATGCTGCTCATTCGAGGCATCTTGTTCGATTTGTGTCCGATGTGGTTGGAGTAGTCCTCTGATCTTTTTACTCAGGCCTCGCTTCAATGGCTCCAGGGGCTCAGTATGCTGTTCAGTTCTGGGATACCAAAAGCTGGTGGATTTGGTTCCCTGAGTCGTTGTTGTCATTGTGCTGAGGGTAGTGCCCGTAGTGATTGAGGATGTGCTCTTTAAATCATCATCTTGCAGCGGATGAAATGTGTTTATGGCAGCACTGCTCGATACCAAATACGAGCCCTGTGAATGTCGCCTTGTCCTCACTCGCTTCTCTTTGTTGGACAGTATTGCTGGGGATGCTGGTATTGGTTTTGCGAGTTGCTTGATGGGAGCCACTTGGCTGTATGTTCTAATTCTGTTTGGATGGACAGTATCAGCGGCTGCATAATTCTTGTTTAAATGCTGTGGATGACTCGATCTCGTAGTGGTAGCTGTAGTAGCAGGCTTAGGAGATGCTACTTTCCAGCTCACAGGGTTTTCACTTGGCGATGATCGAAGCATTGGATTGTTTACGACTGGCTTTCTTTGTATCCTTTGCTGCATTGGGGTGTTTGTTGACAGAGGGGGCGAATAAGCATGTCGAGAGCCTGAACTTGAGCTTGAACTGCTGCTGCTGTAATTCAATGCAATGTCAATTGAGTTCCTGTTGCTGTAATACTGATAATCCACAGGCACTTGCTTCTTCTTTGTGGTGTATGGTGTCGAAACTGAATGACGAGGAAATACTCCGTTCATGATAACTATAAAATGTGATGAAGGAAAAGAAGAAAGAATATTATGCATTCTGCCTTCTTATTTTAATCTGAAAGGCAAATGTTTATTCGTTTCCTTTTTAAACAAATTTCAATGATTTTAGTGCGACAACAACAAATCACTTCTTTCGGGATTTATTGTCATTTTACTGAAACATAGCATGAACAACCTCTTCCATCTCTTCGTCTTCTTCATTCACTGCTGTGCGGATTTTGCTATCAGTCTCCTCTTTCAGTAATTGCTCTTTTGCTTCCCGCGTAGGTGGCAGACGCTCGTTCTCCAAATCTGATCGCTTGGCATCCTCAAATGTAGTGATAGCTACATTCGTATTAAATCACAGATCAGTTGTCATGGTTACCAATGATAAATTTATCACAGACAGTACCTGATTTCAAACCTTCTACACCCAATGCTAATGTACCCAAAGGCAGTTTTCCAGTAGGAGAAAGTGATTTCAATTCCGTAACACGTTCTGAATTCTCACGTAGAACAGAGAATACACGGGATATTTTACCAACAGCCATAATTTTGTTTCGAATTACAATTCTGCGCTGTTCTGCATCCTCCAAATTATTTGATTTATCCTCTATCAACTGCTTGTCGTCTTCAGCCAACTCTTCCTTGCTGCAGACATTCAAAACTGCGATCAACATGTCGGTAACTAATCAACATTGCATCAGTATACCCTAGCCGGCCTAATCTTCCTGTCTTGCACTCACTCTTTTCTCCAACAAACGGCAAACTCCAAGAAAATACATCCATGAAATTAGGCAACCAGTAAGGATGAGGCGTGCAGTTAAATTGTCGAATGTTCATAACATTGTTTTCGTACTTCAGCACAGCAGCTTTGTTGTTGTACACATCAAGATAATTGGGGGCGGAGAAAATAGTCATCACTGAAGGAAACGAGGTTGTCTTGCTCTTTCGATACATACGATATCTATCGACGCCAGTTGAGTATGACAAACGACCACTCGCCAATTCACACATACCCTGCATCCTGCGCTTCATGAGCTCGAATAATAGATAATAAGTTGTTTCTCTCCAGAAACTGGCATGCTGCATGATAACTGAAGAAATAGGAACATCCTCGAACATGGTTGTGAATAAATGTTTCGTTTGTCTTTTCTTGTCCAAATTCCTCCAGTGGATCAGACCATAGGAGATCACACATGAGACCATGCGTAGGTGGTTCACGGAAACGATCAATCTTTGATGGCGGTGGTAATGTGAGTGGAAACATCTGTGCCATTGACTAACCCCGCTTTACCTTTTTTAAGTCATCCAATGTCTGCAGTTCTGGCGAAAGACCACCATGGATACATAAAAACTGTCTGTTCATGATGGCTGCTAATGGCAATGAACAAAAAGAGTTCATGCATGCTTCATACACGCTCTCGGTGTATTTATGACGACCTAAATATGGAGCCGCATCAGTTCTTCTCTTTCCTTGGCAATCCACTCATTCAAATCATCCTTACATTCAATCTTAAAAGTGAAATAATCTGTCAAGTGCCTGCACTCATGATTACCTCTGAGCAAAAAGAAGCTGTTTGGATACCACATCTTAAGCGACCATAAATACAAAACACACTGATAGCCGTAAATTGCGTTAGTTGAATAAGCTCACGTCGTATGCTTTTGATGCTGTGCTGTACCTCGATTGAAAAATAACCTCTATCGACATAATCGCCGAGGAAAAGATAGGTTGTGTTGGCGGGATCACCTCCAACTTCAAACAATTTCATCAAATCGTAGTATTGACCATGAATATCACCACACACTAATCAAAACCAGAGTCAGCATTCCACTGCCTTTTCCATTCATTTCCATTGTATCAGATTTACCCGTGATGGGAGCGCCCACTTCCAATAAATTAGGCTCTGACTTGAGTATCTCGGTGCCTTTTTCGAGAATAAACAATGCTTGCTCTTCTGTCAATCTTCCTTCTCTGTAGAAATGGTCTTTCAAAAATTTAATGTCGGGCAACCCAGGTCGCTCTTTGCTCCAAAATTCCTCGTCTGTTGGTAGAGTTACAGCTGGTGCAGGTACATCTAGAGCTGATCGTTTAACACTACTGCTTATTTATTTCGTTGCTTCTTGATCAACTTGCCTTTGATAACACGGTCTCTTGTGCTGACCGTAGTGCCGTCCTCCTGGGTGTACACAGTGAAATCAATACGAGGGGCCTCAGGTTTGTTGCGAAGTCTCATTAATGCTGGGCTAATAATCTCATCCATGTTGTAGTTTTTTTTTTTTTTTTCCAGCTCGTAAAGAAAAACAAGAAGATGGAACAGAGAAAAGAGAAACGAAAAATTTAAATTATTTAAACGGACTTGAAATGAATGAATTGAGGAGAAGTGTAATCATTAGAGAAGACATACGTAGTTTTAAATCCAAGAAATGGATGTAGGCATCATGTGAGGCAATGTGCCACCACATCTCAATTTGTAGGGCCCATCTTGCTGACTGAAATTCATTGTTTTGCTCTCGAGTTGCCCTTTTGATCTTTTGACAGCTGTACCTCCTTTCATCAATATATGTCTATAGAGCGGGGTAAATGCCATGCAGGATCATCATGGTTAAATCATAACCAAACTTTAAAAACACAGCGAATGAGAGCGAGACAAAATGCATACCTCCTGCCATAAGATTCATTATTAGATTGATTCAGCTATACGTAGAATATGGCTCTCCAGACAACCTTGATGAAAGCAGCAAACTGCGAGGATGCATGCTATGCGGACTGAAGATTTACCGCACAATCTGTCGACCTTAATCAAGCATCAGGTCAACATCATAGACTCGCTGGGTTATAACACTGATACATAGCATTAATAAAATTTGATAAATCCAAAACAGTTAAATGAAGAAACTTGATGCAACAGCATCATTAATATATCTTTTACTAGACGATCTATCTCGCTACGCTCGATGTCGGCGTCCCCACTGCAGACTCTCGCCCAAGACATTTTGGTATACCAAGTAGATTTTAGACAACCAATTATTAGTTATATCAGAGCTAGTAGGAGGAGAGGAGATATCTCTCTCAGCACCCTTTTTACTTTTACACTGATATCACACAAAGCCTATTATTGAGACGGTGTGAAAGAAATTTCAAGTTTTATGCAGCATTTTTATATCACAATCGTCATTTTCTGATAGTAGAATTGCCATATCATTCGCTGCCGCTGATGCTCTTAATAAGATGGCGACATAAAGCTGGCCAAAAGTAAATACAGGACTTGCGTAAGGTCTACAGCGGCTTTTTTGAGATATTGTCATTGCAAAAGACATCTTTATGAGGTAGAGCTCCCTTAAAAAAGTATTCGGGCTATTCAACTGTCCTTTTAATTCCATGATCCCCATTTAACCAGCATCGCAATCATCATTGTCATCATCAGAAAGGCATTTAGGTCATTCAGCAGCAATGCCGCCGCCAAAACTAATTAAAACTCAGTTTATTTTTTTCTGTTCAAGATTGGACAGAAATTGTCTTTTTTCGACTTCTAAAATCCATTTCGTGATATTCGACTATATAAATTGTGATTATCACCCTTCGCTTCCTAATACATTCTTGAAGTACTTTTCAAGGTGCTTCCAGTGGTGCTAACTGTAGTAAGTGTTTTGACTGAAATTATTGAGCAATTTAGTAAAATTTGAAATGAGGTTTTTAGCGAAAATAGCCATATTTTGCATATGAAAACCTCATAACAGTGGTTTCAGAGGTTGCTTTGGATCGAGAGAATCATTTTGATATGATACATACCATAGTAAAAGTCTCCATTTTCAAGGTGAAAAATGCGATTGTTTGATTTTCAAAGAAAATCATGAGGTACCCCTCATGCTTTTTGGTCGATTTTTGACCATGTTTTTTTTGGTCCCCAAAAAGTCGAGCAAAAGTGTCAGAAAGTTACTACTACTCAAGTGCAATTGTTTGGCGTTATTCCGGTGGCTCGAAAAGGTCTACATGTCAAGATATAAAGGCATGAAAGTTGTCAAATTTGGTTGTACTTTTGCTTTATAGAGTTTATTTACACGACATGAATCACATCTTTATTAGCAGCTGAAATTTTCTGGAAGGGTCAGCTACCCAAGGTGTGATTTATGAAGTGTAAATAAAAGCTATAAAGCAAAAGTACAACCAAATTTGACAACTTTCATGCCTTTATATCTTGACATGTAGACCTTTTCGAGCCACCGGAATAACGCCAAACAATTGCACTTGAGTAGTAGTAACTTTCTGACACTTTTGCTCGACTTTTTGGGGACCAAAAAAAACATGGTCAAAAATCGACCAAAAAGCATGAGGGGTACCTCATGATTTTCTTTGAAAATCAAACAATCGCATTTTTCACCTTGAAAATGGAGACTTTTACTATGGTATGTATCATATCAAAATGATTCTCTCGATCCAAAGCAACCTCTGAAACCACTGTTATGAGGTTTTCATATGCAAAATATGGCTATTTTCGTTAAAATCCTCATTTCAAATTTTACCGAATTGCTCAATAGTGGTATTCAAAACACTCCTCAACAGTAACACCATTGGATGCGCATGGAAAAGTACTCTTAGAAAGCTTAAGGGTACACGGGATGGCCATCACATTTTATATAGTCGAACTCTGCAAAATAGATCAATCAAGTCAGAACTAATTCAATATGAACGAATCGAGATCAAAAAACTGATGTGCGGTGGTTAAATTATTTACGGTCGCTGGCAAGGGCAATACAATGCTTCTCCTGCAGGTCAATGATGCTGTTGGAGCTTGTAAGAAGGGCACTACAAATCAGCAAGTAATAATGAAGCTACGCTTAACTACATTGACTTGTTTTTTTTTGTACCCACCTAAACCGAAAGGCTTAATTGTCGCAAATGAAGCATCCAAATGCGAAGATCGATGAAAAAAAAACGCAAGATTGTCATCTTCGTCAAAATTGCAAATGGTATTTGAATTATGTGCCCCATTCCTCTTTCAATCTTATGCTTCTTATCACAATATTAGAACTATTTACGATATGGAACAATAAGATAGACTCAGTTGCCTCACGGCAGTGGATTGAACTGCGATGAATATCACTACCTCATCTATCGCGCTTTTGAAGTATAGCAATACCACGCATACCAGCCTATTGAACTATAGAACAGAGCGAAATTTTTACAGATATTTAGAAATGAATTGGGTACATCGCTGCTCGCATCAAATGGCTATTTCGAGAAGAAGCTGCATAGATCAGACTGGACAGTTGGTCTCAATGCCATGAAGCCGAGGAAGCTGAGGCCTGGTGGTGATCTACCAAGTAGAGGCTACAATACAGCACAAGATAGTTCGTATTTTTGGCGTTGCTTACCATGAGATCAAGATTCATTTGATATTGCAATGTACAGTTCTGAATTTTTGCAAGATGCATAATGAGTTTTGGCAGGCAAAAGCTTGTTTGCCAATTATGTCAATTTTACGCGCGTACCATATTTCCTTAAATGCATATTAAAAGGCTTACTGCGGAAATGGATACCTGATCTAAGGGCGCAATGAATTAATAAGCTTTTGGTTTCTTGAATGCTTCCAAATGTTCCACTAGAAAGCTGCAGAGCCATACATGTAGTAACAAGTAATATGCGACATATGGCGCAATCATGAGCAACTTGATGTGGATGACAGTTGAAGGCATTGCATTATCATCATGGCGATGAAAACTGACCAACCATGAATTTACCCGAGAAAGTGACCGTTTAGATGTTGGTTAATAATCAACACGACAAAAGAGCAAATCGAATCTATAAGAAAACCCAATTTTAGGTTTCGCTCAATCTTTTTTTTTCTCTCTTTTCTTCAAAGACTTTATTTATTGCACCATGGACTCAAATCAATGGGTAATCCAAGGTCATCGCAGTAAACAGGATCCTTGGTCTGGTTTATGTAGAAACAGTGAAGGCTGGGTAAGAGAACGTGCAATGTGTATTCATCAAGACATAAGAGCGCTCATCCATGCCGTCATGTTAGGGTCCATTTTCAGATGAGCGAGTGCCCGATTTCACACCTTGTTTTGAGGATACGTAAGTATTGTATACAGTTTGTCGGTTCCGTGTAGCATCTGATCGTTATTGGCATCCAGTGTCATTACATTAGTGCCATACGCCTTTGTGATTATCGGTGGCATGATTCGATTTTGGATTTTATCAAAGCGAGAATCTCTCTCCTCTGACATGACTAGAAACTGGCATTATTTTGCCAAGATGGTAAGAGGCAGCACAACTTGCATCTGGCTTTACCATGAGCTCATTCTCTTATGGCTTCTGCTAGACCACCTTGCTATTGATTTTGATTACCACCATTTCCAGCTTTTTATTGTCAGTGCTCAATGACGGCATGGACTGGATTGACAATGCACAAGTGCTAGTGCAAGGATTGTCCATCTTCATTGTGGTAAGTGCTCGCTGGTGTGCCTGGATCAAATCCGATATTCACAGTGATTAGATCTTTGTCATTGGATTACACCACATTGAATACAACCGCAATCGCGTTTCTTCTGCAGTTTTGTTGTTCTATTGGCTGTTTGTTATCATTGCTGATGGCATCAAATTGCGTACAAAGGTCATGAACAACGCACCTTACACAGACGGCACTCAATTCGCACTTTTCGCTACAAATTTTGTGTTGGCTATCATCATTTTTGGCCTGGAAAACATGCAGCGACCCAAGACACAATACATTATGTTGGAGGAGGATGAGGTACGTCTGAAGCCCTCGACATTGGTGAGCATCGACTAAGAATAGGTTGTTTGCATGAATAGCTTGATTCTCCTGAGGAAAAGACCAACATCTTTGGTAGATTAACTTTTAGTTGGATGACTCCCCTGATGAGGCTGGGCTACCAAAAGCCTTTGACCATGGACGATTTGTGGTAAGTAGACGCTTGGATTACTAATACGCTGCAGATCAGTTGTGTCTCATGTCGGTTACTCGATTTAGGAACCTCAAATCAGATGATCAATCTGCTGTGGTGGGTGTCAAATTCCAAGAGAATTGGCAAAAAGAATTGAACAAAGCAAAGTGAGTGTTGGCGGATGTGGGTGTATAGAGCAGTGAAGTCTAACAGCGTAGTTTAGGCCCTCCTTACTGCGTGCTCTTGTAAAGACACTGGGCGGTCCCTTTGCACTGGCAGCCTTTTTTAAGGCCTTGCAAGATATTTTGCAGTTCACTCAGCCCATGCTCCTCAAGAAGCTGATGGTGTGGGTCACCAGCTACAATTCCGAGTACCCTGAGCCTGCCTACCGTGGTATCTTGATTGCTGTTGCCATGTTTATTACAGCCATCTGCCAAACCATGTTCCTTCACCAATACTTCCAACGCTGTTTCAGTACAGGTATGCGTCTTCGTGCTGCTCTCGTTACTTCCATCTATCAAAAGACGTTGGTTTTGAGTAATGCCAGTCGCCAAAAGTCCACCGTCGGTGAGATTGTCAACCACATGAGCGTAGATGCTCAAAGATTGATGGATCTGTGCACCTACTTTCACATTGGTAATGTACTAGAGTGCTTGTGCTTAGGAGCTGTGTATTAACGATTGCATAGTCTGGAGTGGTCCTTTCCAAATTGTCATTGCCTTGTTCTTTTTATACAACACCATGGGCCCCAGTATCGGCGCTGGTGTTGGCATTCTCATTCTTGCTATTCCTCTAAACACCTACATTGCCCGCAAGATGCGCGCTTACCAAAAGACGCAGATGGGCAACAAAGATGCCAGAGTCAAGCTGATGAACGAAATCTTGAACGGTATCCGTGTCATCAAGTTGTATGCCTGGGAAATGCCCTTCTTGGAGAAGATTAGCTTCATCCGTAACGATTTAGAACTAGCCACCTTGAAGAAGATTGGCGTCATGTCTGCCGTGCAAAACTTTACCTGGACTTCTATCCCCTTCTTGGTCTCTCTTTCCACCTTTGCCGTCTACGTCTCCATCTCTGAGCATCCCTTGACTAGTGACATTGCTTTTGTCGCTATTGCTCTCTTTGGTCTCTTGCAATTCCCTCTCACTGTCTTTCCCAACGTCATTACATCCACGATTGAAGCTTCCGTTTCCCTGTACCGTATTGAAAGCTATCTTTCTTCTGAGGAGCTGGATCCTTATGCTGTCACTCGTGAAGATTACCGTAATGACCCCAACTACACTGATGACACGCCTCTTGTTGAAATCAGTAACGGTGAATTCAAATGGTCTGCTGAAGACCCCAAGTCTGTTCTCGAAAACATCAACATCAAGGTCAAGAAGGGCCAAGTTACCGCTGTCGTTGGCCGTGTGGGTGCTGGTAAATCTTCTTTGATCAGTGCTTTGCTCGGTGACACTGTCAAGATTGGCGGTGACGTTATTTTGCGTGGCTCTGCTGCTTATGTTCCTCAACAACCCTGGGTTATGAATGCCTCTTTGCGTGATAACATCGTCTTTGGACATAGATGGGACGCTGATTTCTATGATCGCGTCTTGGAAGCGTGCTCATTGAAGAGCGATATTGCTATTCTGAACGGTGGTGATCAGACCGAAATTGGCGAACGCGGTATCAACTTGTCTGGTGGTCAAAAGGCCCGTGTATCTCTCGCCAGAGCCATCTATGCTCGTGCTGATATCTACTTGTTGGATGATCCTCTTAGTGCTGTCGATGCTCATGTTGGTCGTCATATTTTTGACCATGTCATTGGCCCTAATGGTATTTTGAAGAACAAGGCTCGTATTCTCGTCACGCATGGTATCTCTTACTTGCCTCAAGTGGACGAAGTTGTCATGCTGCGTGAAGGTCAAATAGCTTTGAGTGGAAGCTACGAAAGCTTGATGAGTCAAAAATCCGAACTGTATGCTCTTGTCACTGACTTTGGTAATCAACCCACCAAGGCCTCTGGTTCTGAAGATGGCGAATCTAATGAAGGCACTATCGAGGCCGGCGAAGAAGACGTACTTCGATCTGACACTGCCTCTATTGAGCTGATGCCTCGTGAAGAAGACGCGTCTTTGGGCCGTCAACGTCAACGTATGAACAGTGATGTCTCTATGATGAGCGCGAAGACGCTTCGCCGCGCCTCTCTTGTCTCCCTTCATAAAAACGGAAAGAACGCAAAGAACGGTGTTGATAGTAACCGTCTTATCACTGTGGAAGAAAGCGCCAAGGGCAGCGTTACTTGGGATGTTTACAAGCAATATGCCAAGTCCTGCTCTCTGTATGGTGTTATTGCTGTCCTCGGTTTGTTGGTTCTTGCTCAAATCGCCTCTGTTGGTACCAACTTATGGTTAAAGTACTGGTCTTCCAAGAATCAGGATCATGGCTCCAACAACAGTGTGTGGTTCTACCTTGGTATTTATGCGCTTATCGGTTGGTCCTCTACTCTGTTCGCCATGGTGCAAACTCTTGTTCTCTGGGTCTATTGTGCCATCCGCTCTGCTCGTGTCTTGCACTCTGAAATGCTGGAAACCATTGTGCGTTCTCCCATGTCCTTCTTTGATACGACTCCCTTGGGTAGAATCTTGAATCGTTTTAGTAAAGATCAGCACACAGTCGATGAAGTGTTACCTAGAACATTCAACGGTTATTTCCGCGTGCTCTTCTCCGTCATCTCCACTATCTGTATCATCGCCTTCTCTACGCCCCTCTTTATGATTTTGGTTGTTCCTCTTGGTGTCATCTACATCTATGTTCAACGCTACTACCTCGCTACTTCTCGTGAGCTGAAGCGTCTGGATTCAGTCGGTAAGAGTCCCATCTACTCTCACTTTCAAGAAACCATCTCTGGCGTCTCTACTATCCGTGCATACGAGCAACAAAAGCGTTTTATGTTTGAGAATGAAGGCAAATTGGATGATAACCAAAGAGCCTACTTCCCTTCCATTTCCTGTAACAGATGGCTGGCTGTTCGTCTTGAATTTTTGGGCTCCATCATCATTTTAGCTGCTGCTCTGTTTGCTGTCATTGGTGTCGTTTATGGCTCTTCCAAGATTGATGCTGGTTTGGTGGGTCTCTCTGTGTCTTATGCCCTCAGTGTCACTCAAGCTCTCAATTGGGTTATCCGTTCCTACTGTGAAATTGAAACCAATGTTGTCTCTGTTGAACGTATCAAAGAGTACATTGATTTGCCTACCGAAAAGTATAATGCTGTGCGTGGCGTCAACCCTATGTGGCCTGAGAAGGGTTTGATTGAATTCCGTGATTATTCTACTCGCTATCGCCCTGGATTAGATCTTGCCTTGCGCGATTTATCCTTCACTGTAGCACCCAAGGAAAAGATTGGTATTATTGGCCGTACCGGCGCTGGCAAGAGTTCCTTGAGTTTGAGTTTGTTCCGTATTGTCGAGGCTGCCAGGGGTTCTATCTTTATTGATGATGTTGATATCTCTAGCTTGCGTTTGTTTGATCTTAGATCTCGTCTTACCATTATTCCCCAGGATCCTGTCTTGTTTGCTGGCTCTGTCAGAGAAAACTTGGATCCATTTGGTACCCATGACGATGCTGAATTATGGCAAGCATTGCAGCACTCTCACCTTCAAGAACACATTGCTGGCATGGACGGTAAACTGAATGCTGTGGTTTTGGAAGGTGGTGAAAACTTTTCTGTTGGTCAACGTCAATTGATTTGCTTAGCCCGTGCTCTCCTTCGTCGCACAACTATTCTTGTACTTGATGAAGCTACCGCTGCTGTAAGTTGAATCTTCGTGTTTATGTTATATCGGATACTGACCTTTGTCGACTTGCTAGATTGACGTTGAAACTGACTCCATTATCCAAGAGACAATCCGTCGTCAATTCGCCAACTGTACTATTCTTACCATTGCTCACAGAATCAACACTGTATTGGACTCTGACAGAATCCTTGTTCTAGACAAGGGCTCCATTGCAGAGTTTGATTCGCCCAAGAAGCTCTTGCAAGATGAAGACTCCATCTTTTATTCTATGGCTAAACAAGCTGGATTAACTGAATAATCCCACATTTCACTATTATCTAGACACTTTTTTTTTATTAAATATTTCAAATCACCACATATATTCTTTTTTCAGTACACAGATGTTGTGCTCATAGAAGTTCTCAATGTCAATAGCAGCAAATTTATCAGGCACTCCTCACTCCGAAAATATGTAAAGATGGTTAAGGCAATTAGCTATCCCTGGAACAAAACTTACAGAATGACAAAAAAAAAAAAAAAAAAAAAAAAAAAAAAAAAAAAAACGATGCTTCAATGTTACTCAAAAAGAGAGTAATATGTGTAACGTTACTTTTGCTGTCAATTCTCTTCTTAAAAGAGTCAATTATTAATGATGCGCGATGACTTGATTAAACTGTTCTACTGGTGATGTACCATATATCATCATACGAGTATTGAATACAAATGATTGAGTCATTTTAGGCAGGTATCAGGTTAAACTTCGAGGAAAAGTGACGAAAAAATCTCATCGCCATACGCTCTCCATTGATGTTTTTTAGTATTGCTTATAATATGGACGTCCTGTGCTTAAATATACATTGAAATGCGCTAGACTATTTCTGCTCTAGCACAATTACACGAGCTGATAAATCACCTTGACCATATTAAATCACTATAGGCATCAAGACCATTGAGTTATAAAACTTCCATATGTCTCATGGTACACAACCGGAAAAAAAATTAAGGCTTGGTAGTTACACTATAACCGAGTACCCAATGCTAAACGGTTTGTTGAGTGTAATAATGATATACGAATGTTTGAACTACATAACAGTCTACACCAATTGCTTTTCATTTCCCACAACGGGCCGAATATAAAGCGCACGAGGAATATTTTGCTCAGCATTTGATTTCTGTTTGCTCTTACATTCCATGTTCTACATGAACTATAAGCGAATACGATTTCCACGGAGAGCAATCAAAGAAATCGAGATATTCTACATCAACGCTAGCCAGCAATTTTCTATTGGATCTGATGTCAGATCAAACACCCAACGGTATATCTGACGCATGGGAAGAGATCAGCAATTCCTTCTGTGCCTTGCAGATTTTTGTCAACTCCGCGCTATCAAGAAGTTACTGATTTGACAAACAAATCTAGCAATTTTGTCAACTTTTGCTTACGAAGCATGCCATAAACTTCTAATTATAGAGCTTTTAAGAATTTTTAGATCAGTTTTCATAAGCTATATAGCCATGACCTGAGTATCTTGATCTATTTAGTTATCATATGTGTAAGGAATCGTGAAATTGTCTTTGAATCTCAATTCAAATCGGAATATTGGTCCATGCCCGCTTTGAGAGGCGTTGAAATCTCACAAAATCTTACAACTTCCTAGAAAGGCTATTTTTCAGGACTGTTTGAATCAGCGTAAATGTTGAAATTGTAATTTACAGTAAAATTGTTGAATAAACTAACTGAACTGCCAAAAGAATGAAGTGCATGCCTTTTCAAAAGCGACCGTCTCTTCAAAAATGGTTCAGTAAATGTTGCCATGGCTTTACTCTGCCAATTCATCTAATTAACGTTCTATCTAGTCTAGAAAAACGGAAAAATCATATCGAATGTAGAGAGAAACTGCTGTTGTTTGTTTATATGGTAAAATGAACACCCGTTCATTAGTCTTGTTACCAGACTTCTCAGATGAATAATATTTTTACAAGGCTACACTGGACCGCTTAAGATATAGAGATGTGATTAGCAAGATATAATGAACCTTGGCAGTACTGTATAGAACGCTCGCAGATGTATACAGCTCAGACGCTGATTCATCATAAACATGTTGTCTTTCAAAAGAAGATATCGATGGAAGTCTGAGTACCCCTCGTTTATTTCAGTTATGATCGATCGCTAGGGTAATTATTCACCTTTTGCTCTTGTTCTTTTTCTCTTTTTGTCGATAGATGTATGTGCTTCAACAATCCATACGCAAAGCTTAGTTCAAGGATGACGAAAGGGGAATTCATAGTGTAAAAGACGATGAGAAAAGTTGACAATTCAGTAGGCAGGTATCTAAAGCCTACTCGGATTTAGCTTTTCTTCGCACAAAACAAGATACGTAGCTTCTTTCCCTTTGTTTACATTACATATGTTCAAAAAAAACGTACTCTTGAGTATCAGGAATGTGTGGTTGGTTGTCAGGGAGTACATCAAAAGTAGTTCGGTATTTAAGGTAGGTTGGTATATACTGAAAGTTCTGTTAAAACAGTATTATCTTTTTCAAAGATGCAAACACATACGATGCTTTCAGATCATCACAAAATCGATACCAGCTATCGAAGAGGACATCGCCAGCATCAGTACTCTTTGATGAGCAACGGCTTCATTTCCAAAGCATGTAGGGAGAAAACATGTAATAAAAAGCTACTATGAACCTCCCGCACTACCATTTCAGGGCTACTAACTCTTAAAGTTTTATTGTATCGAGTATTTTTGCATGTATGGACCTCTGACGAAGGTTGAACATTGGCATCGTATCAAAAAGTTTTAATCAATGATTTTCATTGCCACCTTTGCTGAAACAGTTGTCTCATAACATATTGAAGTGAAGGGAAGTCTTCAGCCTAGTTTTATCAACATAAACTTCTCACAACGATGGTGCACAGGATGAAGAGAAAGAAAAAAGTAGTAGTACCAAAACGAGCAAAGTTTTTCTAATCGAGAGATACATTTACAAATTAAGAGATATGAATGGTAATTCAACAAAATCTAGACTTTTTCCAAGAAATCTTTCTCGTTTGTATACAAAACCGAATCTCATATGCTCTTATTTTGTGGGCACATTTTTACACTTGATTAGGCCAGATCTTGAGAGCTAATTAAAACGATATCATGATGAGTATCTCAGCACAAATTGCTCTGCCCTGTGCTCTACAAAATACTCGATTGTTTGATAGTTTGTATATGTGTTCTGATGATATGAAGTGGAAGATTGAGAAGATAGATATTCAACATAGCATCATATGATTGAGGTGCCCTTGTTGTCGAACGTTGTACATTGAAAGCTCATCACCTAAAAGTTGGGAACTAGTTTACTTGTGAACATGTAAATAAGATAGTTTTTGGGGCTTTAAGACTCATGGTCCTAATAACCGGCATTACATCAATTAATTTTGCATTACTGATTACTCAAAGCTGCATAAAAGTAGGCTTTCTTTGCCTTCACAAGAGCTTCAAACCAACCTTACTAGACATAGTTTATGTATACTGTGTGAAATAACGTATTGAAATTCAAAACACGGGAATCTGTTACTAATCATATCAATATAACCTTATTTTAGGTAGGATCACTAAGTGTTACTTGGTTAAAAATACATTGTATATCATGAAGGCACTGTATAATGTGCATAGTCTACAGTTGAATTTCATATAGGTCTCTATCAAAGCAGCTCAAAGCCAAACCTCAGTACTAAATCGGATGAAACATTCGCTTTTTCTAGAAGAAATATACTTCTTACACGAGATGGATATGAACGAAGCTATCTTGGTCTCTAAGTTCTAAATCTTTTGTTAACAACTAACTTCAATTGACATCGGAAATAACCCTCCTCTTTTAAATAGACGGTCCGTGATGTGGAGCATCATTCAGTTTACAAGTATCCTTGGCAAACACCCGCTATCCCCCTACCAATGTCTTATAATGATAGAAGCCTTCATCACACATTGTAACTCCATTTTAATTCATATTTGATTGTATGTAATCATCTATTGTAAAGCTGACCTTTACAGTTACATCGCAAATAAAGATATGAATCTAAAATGAATAAACGATATTGGGTGAACTTGAAGTATATGTAACATTTAGCCGTTCAATTGATGTGTTATTGCTCTATAAAAGAAACAACAAGACCGTAAAATCTCAAACAGTGTCAAAGACAAAGTTCCAGTAGGATTTACCACCTGTTGTCTTGAGTATTATGACTTGAACGTTATCAATTAGTGCGCTTAACAAGAAGGGGAAAAAAATCTTCTTATTGTCATCCTTTCTAGTAAATCAGAAGATGAGGACTCCAGCTTTTCCGACACGTGCATTATGAGAAAGAAGCCGCTAGGTTGAACATCAGCAAACTACATTGTATGGATCAGGCCAAGTCTAAAATTCTTACAAATGGAATCAAGTAAAAAATTTCGTCTATAGTTTTAAGCGAAAGAGTTGCTAGACTACAAGCAAAACCATGAGTTATATGTCACGATATTGCTATATGAGGTATTTGATGCACTGAATGTACGTACGTCCGATACCTCGAGATCTTGTTGCATATAGAGTACTGTTTCATTTCTCCAAAGTCATCAACCCTTCCCCTGCTCCGGGTTTTATGTGGTAAAGCTCCTCTTTGATTCCCTTTTTCTCAGTTACATTTGCATCAATCGAATGCTTTTTTCTTTCGTACCGTCTATTTTGCTCTCTGAGTAGGTACGTACAATATGCTTTTCATGTAGTACATCAACAGAGACATGGCAAGATGTCCCACACTATGTATATATGAAGCTGCATGTTCCTCGGGCCAAACGAGATGGTTAGTATATGTGGAATAAGGTTATCATCCCTCACAGCATCAGCGAAACGAAGGAGTCAGTTTACCGTTTCAATTTGAGACGCTAATGATGAGTGTGAATAATTTCAACAGACAAGAGGTAAATCGTGTGATGGAGGTACGAGGTCTAAATTTTAATGGATAAGAAGTACGTGGAATACAGAATAAACTAGAGATTGACAGAATCTTGATTGCAAAGTATGTATAGTAATAGAGCTTGATGTAAGTGAATGCAAGGATTGTATAGATATTCTCCTTTCAAAGAGTAGAGATTAGGAGTAGAGATTAGGTTGTGCGCTTGATCTATTGATTAATGGAGATTGCCGTCGTATCCATGGTAACGAAGAGTGAGTTTGCATTGATGATTTTTGAAGGATGGTTGCTATGATGCGAGACGAGGGAAGCGATCTATACATCTTATGTGATGCAAGTGCTTCAAAACTTTGATTGGAGTGAGTAGAAATAATCATGTTGGTGATGGCGGGTTTGGAGAAGGGCTTGGTCTCGGTGGTGGACGAGGATTGTTTGGTCTTGGTCTTCTATACTCTGCTAAATATAAGTAAGAGTATTTACCAATGCTAACTATCATTGAAGGATGATAGCTGATATGTAAGCAATTGATTGCTGATGGCTTTTATTTCCAATGATGCGCTGAATCAGTTGAGAATGGGATGTATGTGCGAATGATATTTTGTTGTTTCCTTGAATGCAATCATAATCCAAATAAATTGCTATTGCAAATCTAATGTTCCAATGTCGATCAGATTTATGCGAAGATTGATGCGGTAAAACGTACCTGTTTTTAACGAAAAATGCTGACTTTTTTCAATTCTTTGTATATATGTGTCAAGATCGAGTCAATAAAAAAATCAAGGGACCAAATTGGAGTAGAATTGATTTTAAAAAGGGAAAGAAAAGAATAGATTACAGCTTACACATCTTTCATATTCTCTGGTATTTAAATACCCAGAAAAAAATGTATTCTCAGCAGCACAAACAGGAGAAGTGTGACAATAAATCTCATTTCTCCTTCATACAAAAGCTGATGAAGGACACGTATGTCAAATAGAAAGGTAAAATACTTTATGTCATTCAGTGATTGTCCTACTTGAGGCAATATAAAATCAAAAAAAAAAAAAAACTGAGCATACATATTGCATTTCCGATTTTACACTATATATGTATAGACCCTTCCAAGAACACACTTTCACATAAAAAAGAAGCATGTACAGGTACTGTGAGAAGTAATAATGGCATTGCCGAAAATCGAGTTTCTACTATGCTCGCAGCCTCCAGAGAATGTCATACAACATTTTGTAGGCACATATGCCTTATTTATTCAACCGAAATCCATAAAGCAGTAAACGAATATTAGAATTCATGGATTATAATACACACACACGTGCTGTCCTTCTCAATAGAAATTACACATATGGGCCATTGGCCATCATCGTATGATCAGCGGATGCTGTTTGTTGTACCTTGCCCCACCTTGATTTAATGGCGGGACAAGAAAAAGGCATATTATCATGTCTTTATTTGTACATTAGGTGGTCATAGCTCTTCTGCCTTTGTCACTCCAATACTACTAAACAAACAAGGGATCTGGAATTGATTCTGGAAAATACGTTTGAGGGCTTGCTCATCAGTGTAAATTTATTTGAGAATATGTGCTACTCTAAAGAACAGCTAACTTTCTTTGATACTTTTCAGCCAATTGATTTTTTTTGTGTCTGTGGTTTTGTCATGGGATTGTTCTTGTATATGTCTTTTGGGGGTTCAAATCAGCATACCCTTTCGATATACCACAATGAAACCAAGATCTTTTTAGTTTTCTTTTGGATGTTGTATATGGAAACACACGATAGATTATAGACATATGAAGCCGGGATTTGCCTTAATGAATAAAGTAATATGCAATCACGTTTTGGCGAGCAATCATCCCATTCTTGTTGTTTTATCGATCGACGACTTCGCATTGGAGGCGGTACAGAGTTCCTTTTAATCTGAAGCATTTTCTCACACCGGCATTTGGCGTGAAAATACGATTATGGACTATCATAAACCTGAACTGGAGTGATCATGAAGCCAATCACATCATCGCCTCCACATTCACCGAGGCATAGAGGTAATTTTCATGCTTTTTTTTAGTGTGAGAATGTCTCTAGAACTGTAAGGCACTATTCAGGTTATATTTTGTTTGCCAGATACTTTCCTTATATTTATTATGCCGTCAATTTTGAAGGAGAAATATTGGTAATAATTAAGGACAGAATATAGAACCTTCAGCTTAGCAAAAGAGCTTTGCAAAGCATGCTGCAAGTAAATCAAACTGCTATATGTTTTTGTGGGCTTGAAGAAACATAATAGCACTCTCGCCCAGTAGCTTTCAGATCTTTATCTTGAAAGCACGAGATGATCATGGTTGATTTAAAATGGGTATAAAATAATAATAATCCTCGCTGTCTTCGTGTAATACAGATGTGACCAAAGTAGCCCTTTTAGATACACACATTCATCGAAATTTGACAGCCAGTGTTTATATCATTATACCTTGTGCATTTGCATACGGATTATATTTCGTATATGCCCAGAAGCAAATCACGATCTTGTTGTATGTAATATATCCTCAATGAATCGATATTCCTCCTAAACCTTCATTTTAAGTCTGACATTTGATGCTCTTTCCCAATGTTGGTTGATACAGCTGAATTGTGTCATTGCAACAAGGTGCCTTCGTGATTTTATCAAACAACAAGCACCGCTAATTGCTATCGTCGCAAAATATACCGATGTATATATACTCTTGATACTTGCTAAACATCTGTTAATACCTGGCAATATTTGCTTAGCGAAATGACGCACATAAAGACCAAGAATAGCACCGAAACTAATCATCAGTCTGTGGCCTCACTCTCCCTTGTGATATTGAAACATTGAAGAGCGATACAGCATTGATTTTATCGCCATTTATCCCAGCGTTACACATATGGCCAACTCCACGTTGTAATTATGTACAGAACAGCATGATATTCCCTAAACAAGATGTATTCGTAGCACGATCTTCAAGGAATGGGATAATGAGCATTACCGTTATAGAAATCCGTTCGCCCTTTCCACTCCGGTGCCTGTTGTATCTCTTTCAGCACCAAATATCTCCAATTATGTGGTACAAACATATCTTTATAGTTGGTAAATGTACATTTGGTGTAATACAAACTTTTATAATTGCCTGTGTCTATCAATTCTTCAACTCTACTCACTTTTTCGCTCCATGTATGCGAGCCATTTAAAGGGTCAAGTGCTAGTGATTTAGAAGATGGGACTTGGGAAAGTTACTAGCAAGCTATTAGCTAGCGTCTTAAATACACTCTGCACGTTTCATGCTCTTTATTTTACCACTGTGCTTGGAACATATAGAATTAAGTCTTGTATTGAAATCCACAAATCGAAATTAAATGTCAAATTACAACAAACATTTTTTTAATAGAAATATATAAGGATTAAATATGTACATAAAAATTAGTGAAGAAGAGGTTCTCTTAGAGCTACTTAAAAGTTGTTTAAATTAGTAGGATGAGTATGAGCATTATAAGCATCGGTCTTTTCCTTGCCAGATACTTGAGAATGTGTGCCCTTGTCTTGCATATTCTTAGTACCAATAATCTTTCCGATAGTGTTCTATCAATTAAATTGTTATATCGTTTTGATCAAAGGCGAGAAGTTATTGTGCTATCTACCTGAATGGATCCGCGTCTGTGTTCGTTTTTACCATCAGATGAAGTACTCTTGGTAGGAGCGCTAGCGTGAGCTTCCTCATTCAGCTTGACAAAGTTGACTTCACCGTTGTCAGCCACATTGACAGTGCCAGCAGGCTTCAAGGAATAGACACCAGGAATACGAGCATAGTCCTGGTTGGTGGAGCCACTGGCCGCTGAAGCCTCGTTGCTATTGATAATGAATCCTTCTGTTGTTGGATTTTGCTGATTTTGCTGGGCTGGTGCGATAGGAGCAGCATCTGATCCAGAGACAGCAGTGTTATTAGTAGGGTCAGAGTTAGCGACATTAGCAGTAGTAGCGGTAATAGGGGCAGACTTGCTCTTGCCGTTGTTTGTCAATGTTTGCTTCTTAAAAGCCTCCGCAGCAGACAAGCGACGACCGTCCTTATTGGCCTTCTTGTCAGACTTGAGGCTCATACGGCGAAAGACTGACTTGATCCCATCAGTCAAACTTCCTCTGCGCTTTGGATCAGGTTGCTTGATTTGGTTTTCACGATCGAGAGAGCGATCCTTGACCTCATCAGGACGGGAAGAGAGTGCACCACCTGCAGCAGGAGAGGGAACAATATTATCAGTAATAGCACGCGTACTGCTGAAACTACCTTTGGAGCGATTGATATTACCAGGAACAGGGACACCAGTAGAACTAGCAATGATGGGGGCAGTGCCACTCGTACCGAGACCTTGAGGGTTCATACTATGAGCTTGAGCAGGATCAGAGGGTCCAGAGTCAACAGGAGCAGAACCCATAGTGCCAATTTGACGATGATTGTCAGTGACAGGAGTTTCCTGAGTTTGCTCGAGATTACCAGGACCATTGGAATTAGCAGTGTTGCCGGCGATGAAGGGAGCGGGGCTCTGGGAGCCAGTTTGAGGATGCAAACTGTCATTAGCACGATTCTCCGGCACCTGACTAGCAGCACTGTGCATTTGCTGAGGATGAGTGTTGTTGTCCATCAAAGTATTACCAACTGGCTGCTGATCGATAGTTTGATCCAGAGGCAATTTGTCATGATGCAAACTTGAATCAGCACCAGTAGCCCTATTACTATGAATTTGCTGAGGATGAGCATTGTTGTCGACAGGAGTATCACTCAAAGGCTTCTGGTCGACAGTGTGGTCCAAGGGCAACTTGTCGGTGTGCAATGCAGTGTCATTGTTGCTGCTACTGCGCTTGTCTTGATTGTGATGTTGGACGCCCATAATTCCACCAACTGCGGCTGCAATACCTCCACTAGCAAGAAGACTATCGTGTTTGTGAGAAGAACCTTGCTTTGGAGTTTCAGAATAGTTAGGGGTACTATTGGAAGGAGTTGTACTGCGTGGCGTAGTACGATAGACATCACTGATATCGTTTACCTTGTAGCTGGTAGTAGGATTACCAGGGGCAATCAAGTTTTGAGTGGTTCCTTCAGCGTTGGTGCGGTAGACATCCCTCACATCATTCTCATAAAGTGCGGTTGTAGGTGTGGCATTTCTATCAGAGACCTGATCCGAGTAGACACCTTGTGCATTGCTGCGATAGACATCATCAACGTTGTTGCGATCGACATCAAAAGTGGGATTCTCTTTTGTTATCTGATTAGAGTGGACATCTTGAGCATTGGTTTGATAGACGGCGTTGATGTTGTTCGATTCAGGTGTAGCGGTACGGTTATTGCGGGACAAACTAGAGCTATCATTGGAATCAGCAGATGTCTTTGATTGAGCACTGCCTTTATGATGGAAACCCAACAAACCGCCCACAGCAGCAGTGATTCCACCAGCAGCAGCAGCAGCCTTAGCAGCCTTGTTGCTAGATGAGTCGTCGACACAAACTCTTGGTGTTTGCTGGTCCTGAGCAGTGATGTTCTCGGAAGTGGTATCCTCAGTGTTGCTTCTTGTATTTCCAACAGTGGAATTACCAGGCGTGACCATATTGGCAGTTTCACCCTCAGCATTGCCACGATGGACATTGCTGGCATTGCTGATTACGTTTGCTGTAGTGGGCTCGGGGTTATCAGGCACAACCATGTCGTTGTCAATATCTCGAGCATTGTTGCGATAGACGTCAGTCATGTTGCTGGGTTGAGCCTTGTCCACAGAGTAATCAGTCTGCTTGTCAGTTGGGTTGTTGGTTGAGGCTGTGGATGCAGCAGTAGCGCCAGCAGCAGAAGAGGCAGCAATAATACTCATAGGAACTTGACCTTCATACAGAGTGGACTCACCTAAATCAGTTCTCTTGCAGGGTTGGCACAGCTCAGAGGCAGGGATAGCATGAGAATAAGTAGTAGCACTAGTGCTGTCATGAATACCATGAAGACCGGAATCAGTTGATAACTTTCTGGCTTGATCCCTGTCTAAAATATAACCATCGCCCATCTTTTCATTGCTACCGGCACCTGTCATGTCCTTGTCTTGAATACCGTCCTTGGAGTGGTCAAGAGAATGATGACGAATGGCCTCAGCATCAATAGGTTTACGATTGAAGGCAGCAATGCCAGCTCCAGTTCCAATTGCAGTAGCAGCAGCAGCAGTGCCTACATGGCGATGAGATCCAGTTGGATCAGATCCAGCAGTAATTGCATCAGAGTCAATGCCCTTGGAATCATGCAAACCGCTAAAATTCGAGCCATCAGTCCCTTGAGCATTAATAGGATGCGTGTTGACACAGTAAGATTGAGTCAAGTCGTTGCCGGTAATAGCAGGACATTTGATAGCGTCTCTGGCATCAGAAGAACCACTGGTTTGCTTCTTGTCGCAGAAAAAGCTAGGATTTTGACCATGAATGGAAGGCTCACGCACATGTTCACAATGGGTGTTCAAGTCCTCGTGCTTTTCATCGCAAATGTTGTCTTTTGTGTAGAAACAAGGAGTTTGGCCATGTATAGAGGGTTCGTCGGTACAATTCGTAGCGTCCTTCTTGATCGAGTCCCTTTGAAGGATGTAGCCAGAATCTTGAGCGTCAGGCCAAGCGCTAGGCATCTTGGAGGTTGCTTCATCCTTGGTGTTGGTTTGCTGATGGCCGGTACCCAAGATAGCGGCAGCAGCACCAGTAGCAGCAGCGGCTACACCAGTGACAGCAGCAGAAGCCATACCAGTCAAGCTATTCTTTCTGGCAGTAGCGTCATTTTCTTGTTTGGATTCATCCACTGAACTCAACTTATCAGAGGGCAGTGCTGAGACCTTGTTATCGACAGACAACGCATTTCCTCCAATGGGAACATTAACGTTGGCTGCAGCAGAAGTGGCAGACTCTGGAGCATGAACGCCGCCTAAGCCAGAGATTGGGACACCGCGTTGATGAGCAGATCCACGTCGTTCATTGTTGAGCGACTCTCGTCTTCCAGATGACTGAGCAGAGCCTCTTCTGCGATCACCAGCAGAAGGCAGAGTAGTGATGGAGCCTCTATGAAGTCCTGCTTGATCCAAGGTCGAGCGAGATGTAGCATGAAGTTCAGTTGTGTTTGAATCACCAAAGAAGCCAATGTCCTCATCATGAGTCAATTCAGGCTTGAAGGCATGACCAGGAGAAGCAGCCTTCTTGCTGTCTTCAATCGTGCGGTCCTTGCGAGCTACCATATCATCGGAGCCGTGCATGAGATCAGAGCTTTGGTTTGTCTTGTTCTCGGGGTGGAGAAGATAGCCGCCAAAATCACTAGGCAGAATGTTTGTCGGTTCACGCTGGGGCTCGGCATTGGAGGATGTTTGACCAATATAAGCAGAATCTTGTTCGTGGTTCTGACTGCTACTCATAGCAGACGATCTGCGTCGCGGTGTGTATGTTAGGAATATGCCAAGCAGTGCGCTCTCAATGCGATACCATACCCGTTGTTCGTGTCATTTGATCCTATATCTTGGTCGCCAGTTTGGCGTGTGCTATTAAAGGGATTCCATTTCATCATTTTCAGAATAATAGTGAGGAAAAGAACAATGAAATGCAATAAACTACAGACTGATAGATTTATGATGAAATTTGCGAGTATTTTTGAAACCTAAATCTAAAGGTAAGCATGGGTGTCACAGATCGAATTGGTCCTGTTTCAGCAATGACAGCATGAATGACCCTCTGAACAGAGTATCCGATCTTTGGAATTGGACTCGTTCAGATACTATACGCGAACTACGACCGTGGTTTATATGGAAGGGCTGCTCAGCTATATACGTACAATCTCTATATATTTGCTTGTAGATCGTAGTCGTTCTTCGTGTTTCTCGAAACTTTCTTGAATCACTGTATGAACTCATAATGACAGAATTTGACTTTTATTTATGCGAAGCTTGAGCCCATTGGACGAATCATGAAAGAGTGATTTGCATTCATGCAACTAGCATGCTCACTGAGAGTCTTTGAAGATATAAAGGAGCGTGTCTTTATAAACACGGTAAAGCATTTATGAGCAAATTGGTTTAAGCGTCTCCTAGTACGGATATAGCGCACTGGCGTGGTGAGATGTCAGAATCGACCAAATCTGATCAGGAAATTGCTGCAGTGGTGGCAGCGACGGGATGGGTAGCATGACGATAGTTTTTCGAAATATCCTTGGAACAGCTCTCATTCTAACAACAGATCCGATATTGACAAAACCGAAAACATATTCATGCAAATACTTTACTAAAGTTGTGAATATGGTTAAAAATGCTCCATTGTCTCTATGCACCACTATCAGAGAACTCGGTGTGTGCAGCCACAAGATTGATTAGATAGTTTACAATAAGTTTTAATGCGTCTTTTTGATAAAATTCAAAATTCAAGGAAAGAATAGTGACATAGAGTGTGTGTGTGTTTGTTATTTTATACAATGAAATAATTTTATAATTGTCTAATGAATTTAGTTGATTTGCTTCAGCAAAGTAGCCAACTCCTCAGAGACCTTATCACCAACTTGCACTGTTGATTTGTCACCGTGGAGATCGCGGGTATGGAATCCAGAATCTAAGACCTTACGAACAGCTTCTTCAACAGCACGGGCTTCAGTCTCAAAACCGAGAGAGTATCTAAGCAACATGGCAGCACTGAGGATAGTAGCAATAGGGTTGGCAATACCTTGGCCAGCAATATCAGGAGCAGAACCGTGAATAGGTTCATAAACACCGAGACATTTACCCTTACCATCAGGAAGACCACTGAGAGAAGCTGATGGCAACAAACCGAGAGAGCCGACGATAACAGAGGCCTCATCTGAGAGAATATCACCAAACATGTTTTCGGTCAAGACGACGCCATTGAGGCTGGTAGGACGTTGCACCATAGCCATGGCGCATGAATCAACGAGTTGATGGTCGTATTGTAATTCAGGGAACTCCTTATCCATAGTTTCAGTAACAGTCTTGCGCCAGAGACGAGAGGTGGCCAAGACATTAGCCTTATCGACAGAGTGAATCTTACCAGGAGGAGTTTGCTTTTGAGCCAAGAGAGCTGCTAATCTAGTGACACGTTGAACTTCTTCTCTGGAATAAGGGAGTGTATCATAAGCTATGCAGAAAAACAATTGAGTTTTCAAGATACATTCTCCCACACTTTTATCCATCATCCCCCCTTTCTTTTCTTATCGCTTTTCTCTAGTATATTACCTTTGCCATCTTCACCAGCTTCTTGACGATCACCAAAGTAGATGCCACCGACTAATTCACGAACAAAGACGAAGTCAGTACCTTGAACAACATGATCCTTCAAAGGAGAGAGGCCAGTGAGGCTATCGGAGGCGAATGAGACAGGACGCAAGTTAGCATACAAGTCCAAGGCTTTTCTGAGCTTCAAGAGACCTTGTTCAGGGCGAGGACCACTACCGATCTGAGCACCAGGAAGACCACCAACGGCACCCAAGAGAATAGCATCAGCTTGCTTGCAAGCATCGAGAGAAGAGTCAGGAAGAGGCTCACCAGTCTTCTCCATGGCATCCAGACCGATTAGCTCGTATTTGAAATCGAATTCAGCATTGAGAGCTTGAGATCTGTGCTCGGCAACAACCTTCAAAACTTTGACAGCTTCAGCAACAATTTCGGGACCAACTCCATCACCGGGAAGACATACAATGGAGATTTTTTGAGCAGGCATTATTGTTATTTCAGAAAAAAAAATAGAATGAAAAGAAGAAGAAGGGAAATGCAATGTTCCTTAAAATACGCCTTTAATACAAATGGAGATTCTAAAAAATGAATCATGGCCATTGTAGCCAATCATGAAGATGAGTCAATGATTGGACGTCTATCAGAGTGACAAATGTAGTGCTAAAAAAGTACAGGCTGCCTGAGGTTCAACCTTAAATCACTAAAGCTCGCCTCAAACGACTAACAAAGTACCATTTCAGATTATCAATTATGAACATTGAACCGCACTGATATACCAGATACTTTGCCGTATTTTACGAACATGACCATTCTTGATTTTTTCATAAGAGCGCCCAAAAAGCTCCTTGTTTCAATGTAATTCTTAGAGTCGTACATGACAGCTTCAGACCCTTCTGTCAATTTTCTATTGAGCAATCAATGATTATGCATGCAAACCGAGAAAGGCGGAGCTTACAATATGAGTTTTTGCATGATCTGTTTGCGGCTGTAAAATTACATGATCTCGTCGTATGATTCCTTGACAAGACAACTTCAGTTGAGCTTCCTGAGGCTACTAAATAGTACCATCATGGCATATAAGTCCAACAAAACTCTCGAAAGCCCTGGGATTCATCGCAATACAATAGCACGGTTTTTCCAAATAGAAAATGGCGACAACATAGTATACATCTGTCATTTGGCTCGAATGGAAAAAGTGATCCCATTATATAATATCCTTTAAAACATTCAACATAATGCATTTAATCCAACCTTTGATAACGTTGGCCTATGAGGCGGTTTTACCGTATCCAAATGAAGGTGCAAAACCATGGCAACTAAGCATATAACCCAACATTTGGCAATATTAATCTCAACGAGGGTTTTACCGTAGCGAAGCGAAGGTGCAAAACCATAGTATTCAAGCAGCAAATTCGAATTTTCATTTCGATTGTTAATAAGCTTACCAGCAACAGAATGCATTAAAACATGCATGAATTAGTATTACCAGAATCAATATGCCTTCTATTCGAATTAAAAATTGCTCAAGCTACAGAACCGCCTTCCCAGTAAGTTGCAGCTACCAAAGATGGGATTTATGCCGCGTAAATAAACTCTATAAAGCAATACATAACCAAATTTGACAGCTTTTAAGCCTTCATATCTTGACCTGTAGATCTTTATGAGCCACCGGAATGACGCTAAACAATTGTACGTGAGTAGTAGTAACTTTCTGACACCTTTGCTCAACTTTTTTAGGATTGCCAAAAATCGACCCAAAATCCATGAGGGATACCTCATTGTTTTCATCGAAAATCAAACGATCGTGTTTTTGACCTCAAAAATGAAGACTTTTACTAAGGCATATATCAAGTTAGAGTGTGTCTCTCGATCCAAAGCATCCCCTGAAACTTTGTTTGAGAGATCTTGATATAAAAAATCTCAACATTTTCGCCAAAAACCCTATTTCATATTTTCTAACATTTCTCGATAAGTTTATTCTGAACTTCTATTACAATTGGCACTATTAGATGCGCCTTGGAAAGTACATTAAGAAAGCTTAAGGAAGCATTTTTTTTTGTAGGGGAGTCGAGCTCCAGGTTTTATTTAAAGTCCTTAAAATGTCATGCTGAGGGAAAGAAAAGACTGTTGGTGGACCCAATGTCTGCAAAGAAGGGGAATAAGATATTTTGAACTAAGTTGGGAAAGAAATCTACTACTAATAAGGTGCGACTCCTAGAGCCAGTACAGTCTTGCGGAAATCGTCAAAATATAGATCATGGATAAGAGTACAAAAACACCAAACGAGGACATCAGTACTAGGTCAAAAAATCAAACAACTTGCGTTCACCAGGATTTGAACCGGGATCCTCCCGTTGGCATACGGGAGTTCTACCACTTCGCCCTACCACCAGGGACACAGCTTAAGGAAGCATAATATGAACATTACAACTTCTATAGTCGAATCTGACAAAATAGATCAATCAAGTCGCAATTTGATCAGAAATTCCCATTTCCAGAGAAAAAAAAGTGATCCGAAGAATGAAATGATTGGCAGGCCATTTCTAGTGGTGATGCTAGAAGCTTTTGAAAGGTAATAATAGGAAAAGATTACGATTTCGAAAGTACTACAATTTAATCTTGTGAATGTAGATTCACCTCATATACAGCTAGCTAGAGCAACAAATGCTTTTAAAGTGTATTATAATGGAATAACAAATTTTAGTTTATTTTGATTGTGGGACGAAGTGTATACAAAAGAGGTGAGAGTGGGTTATATACTAGAGAGGAACGAAGAACTGTATTTTTTCTAATAGAATAGACAAAGGGTGGTTTTTGAAATAAAATAGTATCAAGACAAGCAATAGATCTAGTTCTTGCCAGCGTTTTCAGGTCTAAGTTGACGAACGGTCTTACCAGTTCTCCAAATTTCTGATTCACGGATCTCTCTGAGTTCTTCTTCAAGCTTTTCACGGTAATCAGGTTGAGAATTACGATCGAGAGAACGAGCAGTTTCGGAACCATCCTTGACAGATCTGTAGAGGTCTTCAAACACTGGCTTAGAGGCATCATGGAAAGGCTTCCACCAGTCAAGAGCACCACGCATGGCAGTAGTAGAGCAGTTAGAGTACATCCAATCCATACCACGCTCACCGATCAAAGGATAAAGAGATTGAGTAGCTTCCTCGACAGTCTCGTTGAAAGCTTCAGAGGGGGAGTGGCCATTGGCTCTCAAAACTTCGTATTGAGCTTGGAACAAACCTTGGATAGCACCCATCAATACACCACGTTCACCGAATAAATCAGAGTAGACTTCCTTTTCAAAGGTGGTCTCATACATGTAACCGGAACCAATTCCAATACCCAAAGCAATAGTGCGCTCCTTGGCATGACCACTAGCATCCTTATAGACAGCGAAAGAAGAGTTGATACCACGGCCCTCTTGGAAGAGGCGACGCACAGTGAAACCAGAACCCTTGGGAGCAACGAGGATAACATCGACGCCTTCAGGAGCCTCAATGTTGGTTTGGTCCTTGTAGACAATGGAGAAACCATGAGAGAAGTAGAGAGTCTTGCCAGGAGTCAAGAGAGGCTTCATCTGAGGCCAGATTTCCTTTTGGAAAGCATCGGACAAGAGGTTCATGATAACAGTACCCTTCTCAACAGCATCCAAGACAGGGAACAAGTTCTTTCCGGGAACCCAACCTTCTTCAATAGCTTGCTGATAAGTCTTACCTTCACGTTGACCAATGATGACATTGACACCATTGTCACGCAAGTTTAGAGCTTGACCACGACCTTGAGGACCGTAACCGAGAACAGCAATAGTGTCATTCTTGAAAGTTTCAAGCAACTTTTCCTTGGGAACATCAGAACGCTCGTAGACAGTTTCCTTGGATCCACCAAAGTCAAGGGTCTTCATACCACGAGATTGCACAGTGGGGACGATCTGTGATGATGGATTGTTAAACAACATGTACAATTAAGAGTGCATTCGTCAGATTATCTTACAGTAGCAGCCTTGATGAAGGATTGCTTAACAGCGGGTCTGGCAGCAGCCATAACAGTGGGGCGAGCCATAGTGGCAGCTCTACGAAGAGCATTAGCAAAGACGCGAGAAGACATTTTTCAGATGTGTTAAAATTGACAATGGGAAAAGGAAGAAAGTAATGCAAGTAGAAAACACAAGTGGTTTTATATAAGAATCGAGTAACTCTAAATGCTGATCTTCTATTCGTGTGTTTCCATTTAGTATTATGATTCACTGATAAATGCAGCATTTGTCTTGATGGGAAGGATTTAAGTTGCTAGCGTTTTAGTTCAACCTACCAATGAGCTTGGATGTGTGTAGAGTGTGATACATTTTGAATCAGCCTCTCCGATTGGCTACATCACATATTATATGTTGATCTTGAAGAGAAATGTAGATGGTGGCCATTTTTTTTTTGTAAGCCGCATAAGCTAAATTTAGATGCTTATATTAGCTTTAAACTGTTTGGCAAGCCATGGACACAGCATGATGGTTGCCATAGCAATTGAAGGCTGGCTTGGATTAGATCAGAAAATTTTCTTGTGAGATGTTGTGAACATAGTAGATGAGAATATTCCAATGCATTTCTGCATCAATTGGCGACACTTGTTTATTTGAGATGGTATGTAAACAAACACCAAAAACCAGCTTATGGTCATGGCCCCTTTTGGAGCACTACATTGATGTGGTTTGATTTCAAGTTCAAGCGATGGACTTCATCTTTGATCGTTTCAGCTCTCAATGATATATAATACAAGAAACTGCTTTGTCAATTTAAGGTTTAACCCAATATTGCTTAAACAAGGAGGTAACCCAATTGATATGATAAAGAGACATTTCAGAGGAACAGAGCGCTCCGCTTAACCCCACATTTGGTTTGGTGTGAGCAAATGGGAATCATATTGATTATCAGCCAATCAAACGGGCAATTTTGTGTTATCTTGCGATACTATGCAATTGACCAAAGAGCATGATTTGATTGGTTTGACTCACAATATATCGCTTGAACAGAAGATTATTATTCATTTGCACATGTCGACAACCATTTAGCGAGAGACGAGAGTGATAATAAGTATTTAGATTCAAAAGACTTGTATGTGAATAGGCCATGCTGGTCTCTGAATGGAAGCATAAACAGCAAAATGGAAGCATGAATAACAGAAAACCGACATCCATCAAAATCTGATGGGCTCTGGTTTGTATTGACTCATTGCTTTTGATTCGCCGGCATAAAAGATGATTCGTCCTACATGTAAACGTTAATTTTTCTCTGTTCCAACCTTTAGATCTTTTTCTAATCAAGAAATTTGATATATATATATATATAAGAATCTAATTGCTTTTTCTCTTTTTCCTTTTTGATTTCCTCTTTTCATTGAAATTATCAGGTCTGATACAGACACTTACCGAGTTGTTTGATTCATATACACACCAAAGCACCTCCCATCCCTTTTCTTCATCTTCGTACATTTAATACACATAAAATGCTTGCATCTTCAGCAGCGAGAAATTCAGCTAAATTATTTAGCTCATCATCTTCCAGAGCTACCCTTGGTCTCTATCGTCACAAAGCTGCTTTTGCTTGTGCTGGTATCCACACTACGCATAAATCAAAGAGTGCTGTTGCATCACCGTAAGTTGAATCATGCAATTGTGAAAGAGCAATACCAATTAACTCGGGTATTATAGAACCATCTCACATTCAGATCGCTCCGCTGTCGCTACTGAAAAACCTCCTCAATCTGTTCATCCTCTCAACAGCAGAAAGACTGCAGCTGTCGAAATGGACGATTCCTTTGTTGGCATGTCTGGTGGTGAAATCTTTCATGAAATGATGTTGAGACATGATGTGAAGCATGTCTTTGGCTACCCTGGTGGTGCTATTCTTCCCGTTTTTGATGCTATCCATGAATCAGAATACTTTAAATTTATCCTTCCCAGACATGAGCAGGGTGCTGGACACATGGCTGAAGGTTATGCCAAAGCAACGTATGTTAGACCTCTTATTTTCTTTGTCTAGATTCTAATTATTCTCTGTTTAGTGGTAAGCCTGGTGTTGTTCTTGTCACATCTGGCCCTGGTGCAACTAACGTTGTCACTGCCATGGCTGATGCTTTTGCTGATGGTGTTCCTCTTGTTGTCTTCTCTGGCCAAGTTCCTACCTCTGCTATTGGTACTGATGCTTTCCAAGAAGGTATGCTGTGATACAGTGATAATCAATAGAGCCGATATTAAACTGCGCTTTTGTTTGTTGTAGCTGATGTGGTTGGCATCACTCGCGGTTGTTCCAAGTGGAATGTCATGGTCAAGGACATTACAGAACTCCCTCGCCGCATCAATGAAGCATTCACTATTGCTACTTCTGGTCGTCCTGGCCCTGTTCTCGTTGATCTTCCCAAGGATGTCACTGCTGGTATCCTCAAGCGTCCTATCCCTACCACTGCTATGATCCCTCAACGTCCTTCTACCATCCCCAATACTGCCGTTGGTGCCTTCACTGAAGAAGCTCGTTCCAAACCTCACCCTATTTTGGCCCGCGCAGCAGATTTGATCAATAACGCCAAGAGACCTGTCATTTTCGCCGGTAACGGTGTTCTTGGTCATCCTGACGGCCCCAAGTTCTTGACTCAACTCGCCAACAATGGTAACATTCCTGTCACTACCACTCTTCACGGTCTTGGTGCCTATGATGAGATGGACCCCAAATCTCTTCACATGCTGGGCATGCACGGTTCTTGCTACGCCAACTTGGCCATGCAACATGCTGATGTTATCATTGCTCTTGGTGCTCGTTTCGATGACCGTGTTACCGGTACTGTTCCTACCTTTGCTCCTGAAGCTGTTAAGGCTGCCAAGGAGGGTCGCGGTGGTATTCTTCACTTTGAAATCATGCCCAAGAACATCAACAAAGTCGTTGATGCCACTGAAGCTATTGAAGGCGACGTTACAGAGAACTTGAAGAAGCTTGTTCCTCACATCAAGAGCACTCCTCGCAAAGAATGGCTTGATCAAATCACCACATGGAAGAAGGAGTATCCATTCTACTACGAAAAAACAACCAGAGACGACCAAAAATTGAAGCCTCAGCAATTGATTGAAGAACTCGACCGACAAACAAGAGATATCAAGGACAAGGTTACTATCACCACTGGTGTTGGTCAACATCAAATGTGGACTGCACAAATGTTTAGATGGAACACACCTCGTTCTCTCATCACGTCTGGTGGTCTCGGTACAATGGGCTACGGCCTTCCTGCCGCCATTGGTGCTAAGGTTGCCAAACCTGATCACATTGTCGTTGACATTGATGGTGATGCCTCTTTCTCCATGACCGCCATGGAATTAGCTACTGCTGCTGAATTCAACATTGGTGTCAAGGTTTTGTTATTAAATAACTCTTTCCAAGGTATGGTGAAACAATGGCAAGATCTGTTCTATAAGGAAAGATACTCTGGAACTATTATGAAGAATCCTGATTTCGTCAAGCTTGCTGAGGCTATGGGTGTCAAGGGTATTCGTGTCACCAAGGCATCAGAAGTTGAGGCCAAGATGAAGGAGTTCTTGGAACATGATGGCCCTGTCATTATGGACGCCGTTGTATGCAAAGAAGAGGTCCTCTTCCCTATGGTCCCCGGTGGTAAGCCTTTGCATGAATTTATGCTTCATCCTACCATTGCTGCTCGCCACAAGAAGGATTAAACTCATTAGAAATGCCAATTTATATCCATTCTCTCTTTCCCCTTATTTAATTCTCCTTGTCTGATCCATTTCCTCTAAAATCCTTACTTCAAAATCATTGCATTTTACTATTTCTCTTCCTCCAATTATAAATATGCCAAAATTCAACTGTAATTACTTTTTTATATCACTAAAATAAAATCAAAAAAAAGAGAGGCTGTTTGCTTTCTTGATACTCTATATATATATATACATGCATATTTATTTGCTATTGTTGGCCTTCCATGCTTCCAGCCACTGTTTGACTCGATCCACATTGCTCTCCATGTCATCCACTGTGTTGCTAGGAAGTTCTACCACAATCTCAGGTGCATAAGACTCATGTGCTGTCTCCAGAACAACTTGCATGATTTCACATTCCATATTTTCGTCGATCTTGCGCTTATTGTATCCTCTGCAAAACAAATGTTAGGGCAACGTACACAGGTAAGGCTTGAACTCAATATACCTTTTCACCATACGATCATATAAACTGGATGTATCAGCACGGAGCACGAGAACGAGATCAAACCATCTTTCAGGAAAGATTTCGCAGGTATGGAAATCAACCACTTTGCCGCCATCTTTGAGCATCTCCTCCAATTCGTCCAGAAGCTACCGAATGTATCAGTCTTTCTGGTCTGTTTATCAGCTTTGAATATCCATACCTTGTCTTCATCCAGGACATGAGTATCAAACTCTTCAAGGTATCCTTCATGCAATTGCTTTGATTTTACAATGTCACCGACATTGACATGCTCCAACCCAGTAGCTTCTGCGATCATTTCACTAGTCGTAGTCTTACCAGTACCGGGAGTACCAGTGACCAGGATGTTGGGTAAAGAACGATCCATGTTGATATGTCAAAATGAAAAGAGTAAAGAAAGAGATGACTAAAAAAATTTTCATCTGCTCAAAGATTAAACATTGATGGATTAAGGCTCCGCACAAGCTGATGCCGTAACATTGCTTATGGTTCAAGTCTTCTTTAACGCTCCAGTGTGTGTAAAGAGCTATTTCCGGATGCTGACAAAGCCGTAAAGAGAACGCTTTTGTGAATATTTTATTGAATTGTCTGCTCGCTCATAAAAATAAATGGCAATTTCTGTTTATGCATTGTGAAATGTTGATTTGGCGAAACGGGCTCTCGATGTTTAAAATATGCCTCTTTCTTCGAGGAATGAAAAGAAGCTCTGTCATAACCAGAATATCGAGAATCTGTTCGCATACAAAGATACAGTTTCTGGTGCACAAAAGCTTACAAATAGATACCTGCATTACATTGCTCGCCCACACACAGACACGTCTTGCTCTTGTTTATCCGTGACATCATTTGCATTCATTAATGGCGGGATTGCAAACAGCTAATCTTTTCCTAATGGAAGAGCTTCGCTTCCTTGGCTTTGGCTTTTCTTTTTCTTTTTCTCTTTATTGTACGCAGATACAAGTTGGATATTAGAAAATGTCGATGGCTGTAAGAACAAACATACACAAAACTATATGCAAGGCATCTGACATCCAAGAAACTACATTGTAGAGTCTCTTTGGGTTATCTACACCAGTAGATATTGAAGTTATCTTTTCAAATGAAGAGCAGAGAAAGCATATGGAAGTCAAGGTTGAGAAGGATAAAAAGGAAAACTACCCAGTCTTTCTCGATGGAGAAACTGTTGCTGGAAAGGTAGGCATCCGTCCGCTTGTCAGACGAGTAGACTAGTAACCTATCCATGTAGGTCAATATAAGCTTAAAGGATGGAAAAAAGTTAGAGCATAATGGCATCAAAGTTGAGTTTATTGGCAGCATAGGTAGTTTTGGACTCATGTAGAAGAAACGAGCGACGAAATTGATCGAAATGTGCTTTTTAGAGCTCTTTTATGACAAGGGGAAATCACACGAGTTTTTGACTTTATCTCAGGAACTTGCTGCTCCAGGCGAGTTGCGTCAAAATGCAGCTTTTGAATTCGAGTTCAAGAACGTTGAGAAGCAGTATGAATGTTATAACGGTATCAATGTGAAGCTGAGGTAAGTTCTTGTCGGGCATCATTAGTTTCCACGACTCATTCCCAAAGTTGTGCGTAACTCAGATACTTTGTCCGTGTTACTGTCGCTCGTCGCTTGGCAGACATAATCCGTGAAAGAGACATGTGGGTAAACTCTTACAGAATGCCTGTTGAAGTGAACAATTCGATCAAAATGGAGGTCGGCATTGAAGATTGTCTTCACATTGAATTTGAATACAACAAATCAAAGTAAGTTGATCTTTTGCTTTACGCTTTAGCGTGGTGTTTGACTTTTTATATGCCGTGCTGCTACACTTTAGATACCATTTGAAGGACGTCATTGTTGGAAAAATCTACTTTTTGCTGGTTCGTATCAAAATCAAAACAATGGAACTCTCGATTATTAGACGTGAGACAACTGGTGCTTGTAGGTTTCATGCAACATTTAGTTCGAGCATTTGATCAATATTAATGCTATTTATGCTAGTGCCTAATGTATATAATGAAAGCGAGACGATAACCAAGTTTGAAATTATGGATGGAGCACCTGTTCGAGGTTTGTGATGTAGACACTGTGCTGTTATGGATCTTGTAGACTGAACTGATGGTCGTGTTGCATTCGTCTTTTAGGCGAAACTATTCCAATCCGTCTGTTTCTTGGAGGTTTTGAGTTAACACCTACATTTAGAGGTTCGTAAATATCTCAAGTGGGTTATGCTTATATACTGATTTCGGTTGAATAGATGTTAACAAGAAATTCTCTACAAGATATTATCTGAATTTAGTCTTGATTGATGAAGAAAACCGACGCTACTTTAAGCAGCAAGAAATTACTCTGTTTAGACGAAAGGGTAAATGATGTGGATCAACTGACTGGGATCAATGTATGATATTAACAGTGCTGTGCCTTAGTTGATGACGGTTACCCTCCTGATGATGAAGAGTAAATTAGAGAGCGACAAAACTGGGAGCATATACACAATGCTTCAGCATCAAAGTAATTTGGAAAGAAGTGGCACATTGTTCCTCTTTCCCATTTAACCATGTAACAATAATAATATTATAAAATTTTCCCCTACTTCTTGTATTCGAATCTATGCACCGTTTTATGATATGTTTGCCCTCAACCGTGCCACATTAATATGTACAAACTTTACTACGACATTATTCATATATTTCTTTTGATACTCAATTCCATTTGTTAGCTGTAACAAGTGTTTATGCTTCGGATGGCTCTCTACCTTCGCTTCGGTGTAGAGAACCAACCTGCGCATCGGCAGCAGCTCGCGCTACCGATTGCCCTTGCGTATTTTATCAAAATACTGTTACTTTCATGTTGACCCTCCACTTACACATAGTAACCCTTCATATTATCTGTGGATCTAATTCTTATGTGATGCTCTACATCCATATAAACGTAGTTTCATCATATACGGGCAAGCAGCATACTGGTATTTCCCGTTTTTTAGTCCTTAGTGTGCCTAATACACCAAAAATCGAGCGCATTTGAGCTGCGTTTTCTGGCGTTCAAGGCCGTTTTAGACTGTCAGAATGGCACCAAACTATTGCTCTCACCTAACAGTTACTTTCTGACACCTTTGCTCAACTTTTTGGGGACCTAAAAAAAACATGGCCAAAAATTGGCCAAAAAGCATGAGGTACCCCTCATGGCTTTCATCGAAAATCAAACGATCGCATTTTTGATCTTGAAAATGAAGACTTTTACTATGGTATATCTTGAATCAAAATGTTTCTATCGATCCAAAGCAACCTCTGAAATCATCTTTGTGGGACTTTGATATGTAAAATCTCGATATTTTGGCCAGAAACCTCTTTTCATATTTTCATAGATCATTCGATAAGTTTATTCAAAACATTTATATTACTTGGTACCATTGGATACATCTTGAAAAGTACTCCAGGAAAGCTTAAGGAAGCATTTTCTTTCTTATTTTTTTTGTAGGGGAGTCGAGCTTCAGGTTTTATTTAAAGTCCTTTAAATGTCATACTGAGTGATAGAAAAGACTGTTGGTGGACCCAATGTCTGCAATGAAGGGGAATAAGATATCTTTGAACTAAGTTGGGAAAGAAATCTACTGCAAATAAGGTGCGGCACTTAGAGCCAATACAGTCATGCTAAGTTGTCATACAGAGATACTGGATAAGAGAACATTCACCAAACGAGGATATCAGTACGGCCGTAAATAATCAATCAAAATGCGTTCGCTGGGATTTGAACCGAGATCATCCAGATGGCATGCTGGATGCTTAATCACTTCGCCCTACCACCACGGGCACAGTATTAGGGAGTACAAGCTGATCATCTCGCTTTATATAGTCGAATCTTAAAGAATAACTCAATCAGGTCGAAAAACTATCAAAATCTGTCCAATCTGGAGCACATTAAGAGCCTGAGTTGAAATGAATTTTGGCGGCTGGTGGGGCCGGCTGGCAATCTCAATGCCCTTTAATCATGAAGGAAAGTAGTAGGTGGCAGATTACATAGCACTGTTGTTAGCCTGGCAACTTAGCTTACATTATATTAGGGCTGTAAAAGTGTCTATGGACTATAAATTTATTATGTCATGATATATAAAGCATTTGGAGTGAAAGAAATAGATGAATGCTTAACTGACGATTGACTATCTTGTTTGCCACAAGAGCAAAGGGCATGTAAGCATTATTACTACAGCTATCTTTAGATGGTGTAGAATTGTCTAATACAGCCATTCATCGATATTGGGCAAACGGAGTGTGCGACGCTCAACTTTACCAGTTGAAGTTCTTGGCAGTTTTTTTACAATAAAAAGACCACCTCGTAGCTGTTTATGGTCTGGAAGCTTCTCGTTGACTAAAGCAATGATTTCTTTCTTTATCTCGTCGTGATCTCTACTGTTTTCTGATAGCAAAACAAAAGCTCTAGGAGCCCAGCTTGTTTCCTCTTCAGAATAGATGCCAATAGCAGCACAATCTGTGACCAAAGGGTGAAGCATCTATAAAGCATTGTCAGATGCATCCCAAGATGCTATCGTTACGATTCGTACATACCAAAACATTTTCGATATTTTGAGGTGGAATCTGTATGTTATACACAGTAGGGTCAGTAAACATGACCTTGCTTCTTACAAAAACACTGCTTACTATTACTTACATGATGATATCTGTACTTTATAATATCTTTTATGCGATCAATAAATGTTACTTGACCATCTTCACTGATTTGAAACAGATCACCGGTGTGCAAGAATCCATCCTCATCAAAGGCTTGCGCATTGATTTCTGGACTATTGTAATATCCCTTTTTAGCACCTATTAATTAGTTTGGTTCTCTACAAGAAAAGATATTGATACTAACTGGAGTCAAAGTGGGACCTTTAACACACAACTCTCCTGGTTGGTTGTATCCCAATACTATTATGTAGGTAAATATTCATACGGTGCCCCTAGAAACCCGCCTGTAGATGCTACTTACGCTTGCCATTTTCATCGATAATCTTAGCAGAAAAGCCTGCTGAAAGCGTACCGAGCTCACCTTGGAGTAAATAGCAAATTCAGTTTCATGCACACTCACATCACATCCGTGAGCCATTACCTTTAAGGGTCCCAATGACACTTGACTCGAGCAAATTTAAGCATTCCGTCATGCCATATGCTGAAACGATGGCTGCATTAAGGCGTTTGTGAAAAGTCATACAAACAGCTTTGTCAATGCAAGAGCCTCCAACGACAGCTAATTGGAAAGAAGAGAGATCATACTCATCGAGAATAGGTTCTTTTGCCATTGCAGCGGCAATCCATGGTTGAGTAGCCATGACATGGATCTTGCAGGCTTGAATAGCCAACAGCATCTTTTCAAAAGAGTATTCCTTGAGAATGTAGGTAGTGCAACCATGAAACAGGTTCATGTGGATAGTGATTAAAAGGGCACTGACATGATGGAAATCTGTGTGGGTAAGCATATTAACCTTATCAAAATTCCAATCGTCCTTTAAAAGGAGAGCACTAGTCAAAGATTTGTGCCTGGAGAAAGAATGAGTATATTGGTACGAGCAAATTGATGCTGCTGAAATCTTACGTTAATATCACTGCCTTCTTCTTTCCGGTAGTACCTGAAGTAAAACACAAGTAACATGGAGCTGTTGCAAGCTCTTCAGGAGTCCATAAAGCGGGAACAACTTTGTCATTGTGATCCAAGAAGGTCTTGTTGAATGACAAGCAACCTTGCACATCCTCATCTCCAAATACAAAGATATTGCTTGAACATATACCAGCAATTTTGGCCGCTTTCAAAACATTGTCAATGGTATCAACACTGGCGATGATTATCTTGGCATCGACAGTGCTCAGACAGACCGCAGCTGATTCGACATCAGTACTGGCATCAACGGTAGTTGCAACACCACCTATAGAATGCCGTATTATTATATAGGAGCGACTAAGAGTTGTAATGCGACTTGCCAATAATTACGGGAGAGTGAACAGCAGCAGCATAAGTCAGCTATTGTTTGCATTTGCATTAGCCTACATGACATGCTCTTTACGATCAGCGGAATCTTACGTTGTTTCCAGCGTAAAAAGCGATTACATCTCCCTTTTTGAAATTGGGAAATCTGCGCTGGATACCGGCAGCAAACTTATATGCAATGTCCTTTACTTGCCCAAAGGTGATTAGCTGAGAACGGTCTTCCGCATCGATGTAGCATGGTTGATTTGGTCTAAACTTGCTGTTATTTTCAAACAAAAGATTTGACAAGGTAATGTGAGGAAACTCTCTTGCAGGTAGGCTAGATTCGAAAATCATTTGTATAGTTGTATCAATTTAAAAGAGAAGAATACTACAACGAACATCTCATTTTTCTTATAATGAAAGCCTTAAATTACTGTGCGTACAAAGTATGCTCTTGTATTACGGCATTTCACTGACAATCAATATTTAAAGCTTGTGCCAATCTGAACGCGGATTGTAACCGAGATCTCGTCCGTTGTCTCCGTTTAGAGCTAGCCAGAATGTCTACATATCTAGCGAGCAATGCACTTGGCATTGGAAATCCCCGCATGTTTATTCAAAATGTCGATGATTTTACAGCAAGCTAATACGCATTTAGGACGAAGCTTTTGATGTATCAAAAAGGGCAATGGGAAACGTTTCTTTGGCTCCACAGTGGGCCTTTGCTAAAATGTATATTTGTCGTACATGTACAAATGTATCTATATTTACGTTATGAGCAGATATTTGCTAGCAGAGTCAAGGATGTGCTGAAAATGTTTTTCCCGAATCAAGCTTATGATTGAAGGATGAATAGTTTCACCGAAGCGTTCCATCACCTCGACCCTTCCCAGTTGGTGCACTCGTAGATGTTCGATTTTACGGATCATGATCTGATATCTCAATAGAAAGTGACAAATGGTAGCTTAATTTCTGTAGGGGCCTTGCTAATCGTAAATCCTGAACTACTTGAACCTATTATTTCGTGTACGGCGAACTACTTGACATGTATAGCAAGGTTATACATGTGGTATTCCAATGTTCAAAAGTGCCCATCGTATGTACTACAGCCAATGTGAGAAGAATCCTCATTTTTACGTTGTTTTACCGAGATTTACATACGATAAGACTTGATAAGATCCTTGCTTTAATATATATTCTTTACATTAAAATGAACCGAAGTAGATCAACTGATTTAGAACGGCCATTGATGTATAAGATTTATAATAGTAAACTGTACAGTTTCTAGGGCTGCAAAACCGCTTAATAATAGATAAACATGCATCCAATTTGCCACTTTTAAGAGCAGAGTGGAATACTTTGAAAGGTATCTGAAGGCAGAGGAAAAACAAAATACGATTGTCCCAGCAGCTGAACTTTATTCATGTTGCACTATCGAGCGAGCAGAACACTCTTTGATCCTGACAGCACAAAGTATGGATATTCTGTAAAATAGATCGACTGATCTACTTCAATTTTCTGTCAACCTGTAGCATCATTTGCACTAACCGTAGAGCGGTATTCAATGGCGTTATTTTTAATCCTTGACATTTGGTTAATCAGGATTATGTTTCAAATTACCTATGATACAACCAGTGATGAGCTTACTAAAAACAGCTAAAGGTGTAGTGCTTCATTTAGAGCTTCGGACATCCGTCTTCTGGGGTTATACTATATAAATCATATAAAAAAGGCAAAATTTGCCAACTGTTATCATTTAATCTTCTTTTCATTCAAACATACATATAAATACATTCACTGAAGCATGGTCTACGTATCAAAGTACCCTGAAAAGCATATCCCTAAAGTCACAAGTATCTTTGATGTCTTGTTCCACAACGACAATCAAGTCCCCAAGGACAAGCTTATCTATGTCGACATTGAAGATACAAGCAAGAGTTTGACATATGGTCAAGTAGAGACTCAAATCCTTAAGGCTGCTGCTGGCCTCATTCGTGAATTTGATCTGAAGAAGGGTGATGTTGTAGCTATCTGTTCGCCTAACCAAGTTGATTATCCTATTGTCTTGCACGGTGCTGTGTGTGCTGGTAAGATAGACTTGTTCCTGATTTGCAGTATAAAAACTAACGTATCGTTCCATTCCAGGTGGTATTGCTGCAGCTATTGATCAAATGTCCAGTGTTGATTTGATCGCAGCTGATCTAGATACTGTTCAAGCCAAAGTACTGATTGCTCACAAGGATACTCTTGAAAACTCACTTGCTGCTGCAAAACTTGTTGGTCTTCCCGAATCCAACATTTTGCTCTTTGGTGATATCGCTGTTGGCGACATTCGCACTGTCAATGAAACTATCTTACAAGGAAATGAGTTAGCTACGCCTCTCGAGTTTACTGAAGAAGAAATGGTCAATAATCCCGCATTTCTCTACTTTACATCCGGTACAACTGGGAGAAAGAAGGCCGTTAAGATGACTCAAAACAATATCTTAAACAGTATCTTCCTCAAGGACGACTGGAACTTTAAGGATATGAATATTCTCGCGTATACTGAGTACCATCATGCTAGTTCTCTTTTGGCTGTGATGCACTTATCCATCTATCTTGGTCTCACAACTTATGTAATGGCTCATTATACTTTACGTAAATTATGTGCTGCTATCGAAAAGTTCAAGATCCAAATGACCACCACTCAACCTTTCATCATTGCTGCCTTGGCCAAGGACAGCATTGCCAATGACTATGATCTTTCTTCTCTCAAGTGTGTCATTTGCTGTGGTGCTGCTCTCGATAACTCGGTTACACTTACCGTGAAGGAGCGCCTTGGTCTTCTTACTATGAATGCTTACGGCATGACTGAGGTTCTTGGTATTTTCGATAACACTCCCGAAATCACAGAGGCAAATGGTATTGGCTATCTGGCCGCCGGATTCTCTGCAAGATTGGTCGACGATGATGGTAATGATGTCCCAGCTGGTGAAATGGGTGAGCTATGGGTCAAGGGCCCAACTGTTGCTCGTGGCTATTACAGAAACCCTGAGGCTACTGCTAGTACATTCGACGCCGACGGTTACTTGCATACTGGTGATCTTGTCAAATGTGATGAAAATGAAATATTCTACTACGTTGATCGCGCCAAGGACTTGATCAAGTATCATCTCCATCACATCTATCCTAGTGATATTGAGAATGTCTTGATGACTCATCCCAAGGTGGCCGATTGTGCCGCCATTGGTGTTTACTACCCTGAATTTACCACTGAGCTTCCTCGTGCGTATGTGCATTTGGTTGATGGTGAAAAGTACACTGAGCAAGTCGAAAGAGAGCTGCAAGAATATGCCGACAACCGCCTCTCAGATGAGAAGCGCTTGCGCGGAGGCATCGTAATTGTTGAATCGTTTCCTCGTACAGCTTCTGGTAAAATTCAGCGTCGTGTTCTTCGTCAAAATGCCAAGGGTCATGTGCTTGTCTAAATCTCGTAATTATTCATTACATCCTTTCAATCCATATTGCATCTTTAATATCATCTCATTTAATTTTCAAATTCTAATAAAAACGTCGTTTTAATACTAAACTAATCATAGTACAGTACATGCAGCTAAGATGTCGTTTAAACTATGGTTGGCAAATCAATGCGATTTCATTTTATGGTAACCTTCTATGTATATACGACCTTTAGCCATGGATTTGACTATTTTAGGATGATCCACATCTATATCAATGAGAGCAGCTCCAACGCAGGCATACAGCATGCTAGCAATAGCTCTTACTACTTGAAAGCATGCAAAACACAGCAAAATTTAAATCGCTTCAAGCAACAATTTCTCGTGTTAGAAGCGGTTTTAAACTGCCAGAATAGTGCTAAACAATTGCTCTCGTCTAGCTCTAACTTTCTGACATCTTTGTTCAAATTTTTTAGGATTGCCAAAAATCGACCCAAAATCCATGAGGGATACCTCATTGTTTTCATCGAAAATCAAACGACCGTGTTTTTGACCTCAAAAATGAAGACTTTTACTAAGGCATATATCAAGTTAGAGTGTGTCTCTCGATCCAAAGCATCCCCTGAAACTTTGTTTGAGAGATCTTGATATACAAAATCTCAACATTTTCGCCAAAAACCCTATTTCATATTTTCTAAAACTTCTCGATAAGTTTATTCTGAACTTCTATTACAATTGGCACTATTAGATGCGCCTTGGAAAGTACATTAAGAAAGCTTAAGGAAGCATTTTTTTGTAGGGGAGTCGAGCTCCAGGTTTTATTTAAAGTCCTTTAAATGTCATACTGAGGGATAGAAAAGACTGTTGGTGGACCCAATGTCTGCAATGAAGGGGAATAAGAAATTTTGAACTAAGTTGGGAAAGAAATCTACTACTAATAAGGTGCGAAACCTAGAGCCAATGCAATCTTGCGGAAATCGTCAAAAATAGAGAATGGATAAGAATACAAAACACCAAACGAGGACATCAGTACTACGTCAAAAATTCAGACAACTTGCGTTCACCAGGATTTGAACCGGGGATCCTCCCGTTGGCATACGGGAGTTCTACCACTTCGCCCTACCACCAGGGACAGCTTAAGGAAGCATAATATGATCATTACAACTTCTATAGTCGAATCTGACAAAATAGATCAATCAAGTCGCAATTTTATCAGAAATTAGAAAAAAAGTGATTCGGAGAATGAAATGATTGGCAGGTTATCCTAGTTTTAATGAGATGCTGTGGGGAGCTCACAAGAAGCGCATTGCGGATTGAAAAAGCACTATCGCATGTCCTGATTATTCAAGTTTGCCAAATTTGCTGATTTTTTGAATGTGTTACCGACAATAAATCCACGTATTCTTCATTAAATACACTGAATTTGATTTAGGTATACAAAGCAATAAAATCACCCCTTAAACTATGCATCATAGCAAACATTTTAAATTAAGAATAAATGATTCATTCGGAACAGATCTAAATAGATCCTGCTAGTTCTCGAGTGTAACCCATACAGTAGAAGGGAGCTTAATCTTCAGAGTGGTACAAAGTAACGAGCTCATCTTGTCAAATGCATAATCGTGTTTTCCACATTGTTCGTCTTCTCCGAGAAATAGAAATGCTTACACCGGAAATCGTTTCCGAGCTTGTGGCTTCAAAATTAGAATGTCAACAAAAATGCTTACATGACCCAGAGCAAGGCAAAGCTAAACCTATTTACTCGTGAATTATTTGCAATTTATGTGTGATTTTTAAAGGTTGTCGACCCTTAATCCCAAATTGAATGCTATATCATTATTCTTAATTGTCAGGAGAAAACAGCAACGAAATTTAATCATTTGTGGAACTTTTTAGATCTTTTAATTCTGCTCTTTCCATCGAAGCGTTAGAAACTATGGATAACATTCATTTGCAGACTGAATAACACCAAATCCTCATTTTGAATGGTTGATGCGTAATAAATTTACATACCAAGTCTAACGAGTACATATCATTGAGCCTCATGGTCCCATGAAGAATACTGATCTACAATCAAATTTTTGTATCACTGTACTAGCCAAAGAGTTATTCCGCGACGATGTATAGAACACTCCTTGTTGCATACATACGAATAATAAACAGGTTCTATCCAATATATAAAATATGGGAATTATAACAACCACAACAATTTACCCAATATGAATGTAATTAAGGGATGGTAAGGGAAAAGAAAGGTATAAATCAACGCCTTCACAAACCATCAAAGAGCAGAAAGAAATAAATCAAAACCTAATGCTCAGAGAGACTTTGATACACTACAAACAAATGGCTACACCGATTTTGACATGATTTTATCATGCTGTAATAAATACAAACAGAAACGCCCGATTCAAACGATTGAGAAACCAAGGGATACACATACAATATTTGGGTAAAATCCCATCAACTTGCTCATTTGCAAAGCTCCCTTATTTTTGCCTTTTCCTTTTCCTTTGTTGTTCATTTGAAGCCAAATGCCATTTACCAAGACTTTTCATGGATTCATTGAAAATACCACAGATTCATTACTCGTCATTGAAGCCTGTAGGAGAGGTTTACTACCGACCGTAAACAGGAGATTGATAGAAAGGGAGCGTAGCTCAATCAAATCAGGCACAACTATCGTATTTGACGAAACTGCATCTGGTAATTTAATCTCTCCTAGTGCTCACTGAATGGCTACAGTAGCTAACAGTGGTGATTCATATTTAACTAGGCATCAAACGGTGGACCGATGGGTTACTTTGGAGTCCATCTCGTATTTTAGGCAACTTTCTTGTTTACAGGGAGCTCGAGAATCGAGAAATTAGGAGCATCGAGAATGACTCTAGCTATTCCCCAACACCGAAGACGATGAGTGATATTACAGAAGAAAAAAACATATCTTTGATACAGCAGAGGGAAAGAGCACTTGTGGGCTCATTAACTACATCAAACACCACATACAACTTTAAGAAACAGGGCCTGATCAAGAAAACAATTCGTATTATGGTGAATGGCAATTTCTTGCATATTGTCAATTACTACAACAAGCATGATGCACTGAATAACCTTCTGCCTACTCCGACTACCAGCCCTGAACTTGCATGCTTACAGATCTCGGCTGATCTAATGCCACATTTGCAAGGGCAATATGCATCCGCTTATAATGTGGAAGGCATTATTACAAAAAAACGATTCAAACCATCAGACTATAAGGGGCTACCCTATCAAGACGGCAAAACATACAACATAAATTACTCAGAGTCTGTTTACACTTCGATTACAAACAATGGCCATTCATGCCATCAACAGCAATCAGGCACAGTTAAACCAGTATTTGACGCGAACACTTATCATTACAGCACGAAGCGAAACAAAGCAAGCCATGACACGCTCTCACTGTCGTTATCGCCTACATTGTCACCTCCAATTATCGTCTCTACTACAGCCTCCTCTCCTCGCAGCGATACGGCTACTCTAACAAATCGATTCAACCAGTTTTATTTCCCATCAGGTACAGGAATCTCTGATCGAAATTCCGTCCATGACAGCAGCTTCTCTACATCATTCTATTTCACGCCTTCGCCACGCAGAACAGCATATAACCACCACTAAATGTTGAGAGATCTCGCCTTTGTTATGTTGCACAAAATAAAGAGAGAATTTTTGATTGAACTGGCAATGTGTACCATGCTCATCATGTACTGAGTTTTGATACTAAATTGCTCCTGCTACAACAACATTGAATTGGTAGTTCTGTTGTCAAAGTATGATTTTTTTTTAAACTTTATCTGTGTATATAATAAAAAAGAGGGGGGAAGAGAGAAGTGGTGATCGTGAAAGCATTTGGCGTGATTTATAGATTGTTTTGTATGTGATTTAAAGAAGTCTGTAAGATGTATAGTATTGAGTAAAAAAAAAAGAAAGAGGCGCATCTCTCAGATTTACTTGGATTCATCAACAGGTTCAGCCTTGGCTTCATCTGACTTTTCAGTTTCTATATATAAAGATGCCATGTCAATGTTACAATCATTCTCGTGTCCATGACCCAATATCACTTATTATCCCACAACTTACCCTCTTGTAAATCAGAAGTCCACAAAGTGAGATTGTCTCTCAGTAATTGCATGATAAGAGTAGAGTCCTTGTAAGATTCTTCAGAGAGAGTATCGAGTTCAGCAATAGCATCATCGAAGGCTTGCTTGGCGAGGTGACAGGCACGGTCAGGAGAGTTAAGGATTTCGTAGTAGAAGACAGAGAAGTTGAGAGCAAGACCCAAACGGATAGGATGAGTAGGAGCTAATTCGGTTTGAGCGATTTCTGTGGCAGTCTTGTAAGCTTCGTGAGCTTGGGTGGCAGATTCCTTGCGAGACTCGCTGGTAAGGAACTCGGCAAGATAACGATGATAATCACCCATCATCTTGTAGTAAAAGACCTTGGATTCACCACCTTGAGCATTAGGGATCAAGTTTTCAGACAAGACATTCAAGATATCCTTGCAGACATCTTGGAGCTCGTTTTCAATCTTTTGACGGTAAGTCTTGATCTTCTCGACTTGAGCGGTGTTTCCCTTGCTCTCCTCCTTTTGTTCGATGGATGACACGATTCTCCAAGATGCACGACGAGCACCGATGACGTTCTTATAGGCGACGGACAAGAGATTACGTTCCTCAACAGTTAACTCAACACCCATCTAAATAAAGGAAAAAAAATATGTTCATTTAAAATTCAAATTCGGATACTCAAATAAATCACGTTGTCCTTCCATCTCTTTCCATGAAATTAATATTAAAAATAATTACCTTTGCAACATCCTTGGTGAAGGAGACCATTTCTAAGAAGAAGACACAGAAAGAGACACATGTGTTTAGTATCGCCTGGACATGCTTATTCCGTGTGCGTGCTTACCATCGTAACGCTCGGCTTGTTCAGCAAGCTTAGCCATGTAGACATTGTTTTCACGTTCCTAATGAAACGCAGAGATGTTACGCCGCATTCACTATGTTTGATTCCAACAAAGCAAGCACTTACGGTAGACATATTTAAATTATCGAGATTTTGTAGGAAAAATAAAAAGCGAGAAAAGAAGAGAGAAAAGGGAAAAAGAGATGCGAAGAGAGAACAACAAAATAAATAATCAAACTTCTGAGCTCAAGGCGTGAATCAAATCACGGAGTTCTCTGCTAATACGTCACCTGTGTTGTTTCTATCACTATTCGTATCAAAATGATCATAAAAATACCAATATCAACCATACTACTGCTAGGAACTATCATTTGTTACATGATACAGTCTTTTATCGATGAAAGACGCCAGATAAATTGGCCATTTCTTGCGAGATTTAGATTGAAATCAATCCAATTGTGTGCTTCTTTGCTTTTACTTTTTGCATATTCTTCCAATTTCGGCAAGAGATAAACACATTCTATTGGTGATGTGCTCGTTCTCCACCCCCCTTTTATCTAAATGATGGCCTTTTCTAACTCTTTGCGCCTGAGAAAAAAAGAAGGTTTAGCCTGGGTCATTCGTGCAAAAAGAAAATAGCACACAGATAAGGGAAGTGCATTTTAGACCCCCCCCAAATTGGCGATTACACCTTTGGAGTTGGGTGTGGAAAATCCGCTTTTCCCATTACGTTAGCTGCTCACGGTATCATCGACTGAGACCAGCATATGTTTGTCTCCTTCGAACCGTGACACGCCCAAAGAGTACCTGCATATAAACACATTTACAACTAAGCCTTCCAAGCATTTAGTCTTGAAAGGTATATCGAATTACATGTTGCCAGAGCGAACGAACGAATGCCTCCAAATGTAGTGTTTGCGGTAGTACGCTTTTGAATATGAAGTCGCAAACAGGAGGTTCAGGACTCGAAACTTATGTATCCATGCAGTTTAGGGGTCGATTTCCTCATTTCTATTTGTGAGCAAACTTTATATTTGTATTTTTATCAGTGTGATACTTGTTATTGGTGATACATTGTTGCTTGATTCAGATTACTCCTACATGATGCTATCGAAATTTTGGTCGATTCCTCTCCTCCCCACTATCAAAATAGTCTTTCTTCTCCAAAGCTGTTGCGACGGACCCTGTGTGTTTCTATATTAATCGTCTCAAACCAAAGTGAGACACTGTACCCGCAGCTTCCAGTCGATGAATGCCGGATCAGAAAAGTTGGACAAGGTGGCTCGAGGGTCCAACGCGAGGACATGGCTGTAGATCCACTATAGGTCTTTGTGGTATAAAAAAAAAAAAAAATAGAGGTCAGAGTAAACATTAGTGCCATTTCATGAGACGAGTTTTACTGCATCAGAATGTAATATATCTGCTTTTCAATGGGGGTGTAAATTTTATAATGGAGATTTTAATTGACTGAGGTTTTTTTACAGAGTAAACATAGCTTTCAAACCTGCTCCCAGTTAGAAAACTCTGAACATGCAAATATTGATTGAGGTGTGATTGTACGATTAATACACTAGTTGAAAGTATTCAGCGTATAATGTACTTGCCAAGAAGAAACTGCGGCGATACACGACGTAGTGTATATGAACCCCTGAATAATTTGAGTTGCCGTCAATTGACAGTTTGGACAGAAACTCGCGACTCGATCAGCTACAGCAAGGACATGACATCCAGGACAAAAAAAAAAAAAAAAAAAAACTCGGGCTCAAATTTGGTATCCTTAGTCCATTTAAAAGAGTGGGTATCCGGCAAGCTTGTAGTATGATACAAGTATGCAATGCAGAATTAAAGTATTAATAACTATTTTTGAATGATGCTACATAATCACCAATACAGTAATTCAAACGCTGTTAAAGTGATGCACATGCTACAATCAGCTTCCGAATCATGTGTAAGATTAAGATTGAAAAGAACATGATCAAAATTCAATGAAATGCGAATGAGTAAGAGTGCAGAGTACTGCACCTTATACCTGTAGCTATTCCATGTCGAAAAAGACGCGTTGATGAATATCCGAAATCACATGGTGAACCGTGTAATGGCATGTATCCTCAAGACAGCAATTTTGGTGGCACTGGTACAGAAAATTTGATTAGAGGTACTGACATCCACAAGTTTATAGCATCCAAATTACTGATGAAGCCAACTTAGCCCGTACTACAGTAGAGAATGTTTTATTCAAAGTAGTTTCTTCAATTTTACTCCATCAAAATAAGCGCAATTTTCTCAATAGAATTAGTAAATATTACTTGTTAACGCGTAAATTTCATGTCAATCTTACCAAAAGCTACTCTGTTCACTATGAGGCGCTCAACTAGCCAATTAATGAACAGTCTGTAGCTGACAAACGAGCACGTACAAAAATACGCGAAACTGATCTATAACAAGAAAATAAACGGTCCAAAAGAATCAGAAAGCTTTTGATTCATCGTTTACTACTTTTTTTTATGCTATTTGGGTCCAATTTTTGCTTTCCTGATTAAAGATGAGAATTTCGACCAAAGCTTTTTTGCTGTTTCTTGGAGCCTCAAATTCAAGTCCGGAGCATACATCATCTAGATATGCCACGGATATAAAAATACCACCATTGAAAAGCCGAGAAGCAGAAGTATTCGGGGGCGAATAATTGCATATTCATCGTGTGGATTGATTGAGCTATAGTGTTCTGCAGTTGAACGTTTTGTTTGAAAACATACCAAAAAAACCGTGAATCTGGTTTCAACGTGCTGGGTTCAAAACCCGCGAACCGCCCCTTCATGCTGTTGGTTTGACATTGATTCACACCTTGTAGACACAAACCACTTGTTATGCCCTGAGCCGCAAGTGCAGTAGTTGTTGACTAGCAGGTGATGCAAATACAACTCGTGAATCAACCAGAAACAGCAGAGCACAAAATTACTTGATGATGGCACACTGTTTGATGTCAAGTTGCACTAAACACACATGAATCAAATCAAAACAGTGGGGGGAGAGGACGACGACATTGCACTACCTTTTGTCTCACAACTACATCAAAAGACTATAAACACTGTGCAGCCCGTTGCACAAGAAGCAAGCCAACACGGAATTCGGAACAAGATGCTTTTTTGATTTCCAAGATATATAAAATTGATTTCTTTTTTAATAGTAAAAAAATGGTGTAAAGAAAATGCAGAGATCTCTCTTTCTTTTGAGATACATACTGACCGATTTAACGGTAAGACTTTTGGAAACGAGCACGGGCACCGGGACCACCAAACTTCTTGGGTTCACAACGACGGGGATCAGCAACGAGGAGAGTACGGTCATATTGAACAAGGATTTCCTTGATCTCCTTCTTGGCGGCCTCATCAACGAACTTTTGGTAGAAAGCAACAATAGCCTTAGCAAGAGCTTGACGGATGGCGTAGACTTGAGAAGTGTGACCACCACCGTTAACACGAATTCTGATATCAGTGTTGGCGAAACGCTCTTCACCCAAAAGAAGGATGACTTCGTAGACCTTGAACTTTAAGATCTCGGGTTCGAGGAGCTCAATGGGAGAACCGTTGATACGGATGAGACCGTGACCACGCTTGCAGTGAGCGACGGCAGTAGCGGTTTTCTAAACAAAAGAAAATATGTCAATCCAAACGTAATTTACATGAAGAGCAAGTGAAAAGAAAGGTGGGAAAACGCAGCACTGACATGACAATTAGGTTGGTAAGCGTTTCAGTATCGTATCGTCTATGTGTATCCATCAAATCCTCTCATCCAGGCTGTGAATGGACGGATTGTTTTTCACGCCAATGTCGTTATTTCATGTCTATTGTCGGTTACAATGTTGCATAAGTTGGTTTAATACTGTTCGTCCATGCCTGTCATGTCAATGCTGCCTCCATCTCTTTCTCTAGCAATTTCGAAACAAAGCATTACCTTGCGACCGAATGTCTGAACAGCTTCCATATTGGCTAATCGATACAATGTAAACCAAAAAAAAAAAAGTCAGTTACGCTGGCCTCTATCCACAGTGGTTCCATCCATCCATCCATCTAATCATCCATCTAAACTACTATATATCATCTATGGATCCATAGACACACGTATACACGCAATCCCACTTTAATCTCCATGTCAGCCCCTTTACGTTACCTAATGTGAAAAGGAAAGTTTGATGTATTGATGGCTTTGGCAGTATTTTTGTGAAATTTTAGATTTCCATTACAGCGTTGGTCGATCAAGGTTCATTGGCTTACATTGAATTTTGATATCCGGACCGACCCTTTCCTCTCGCAATGTGAAATGCCAACTAGTATGCTATTGTCGACTCTATCAACACTAGCCGATCTATCTCGCTACGCTTGATGTCGGCGTCGCCCTGTGGGCTCTCGCCAAAGACATTTTATGTCAGATATAATTAATAAAAAAAAAGAAAGGTTATACTAGAGCCACCAGGAGAAAGAGAGGGGGTATCTCCCTCAGCATCCTTTCTACTTAGACTGATATCAAACGAAGCCTATTATTGAGATGATGTGAAAGAAAATTCAGTTTTATGCAGCATTTGTACACCACAATTGACATTTTCTGATAGTAGGATTGCCATACCATTTGCTGCTGCTGATGCTCTTAATGAGATGGTGACATAAAGCTGGTCATAAGTAAACACAGGACTTGTGTGAGGTCTACAGCGACTTTTTTTGAGATATTGTGATTGCAAAAGACATCTTTATGGGGCGAAACTCCCCAAAAAATATTGGAGCTAATCAATTGTGCTTTCAATTCCATGATCCCCATTTAAACAGCATCGCAATCGTCATTGTCATCATCAGAGAGGCATTTGAGTAAGCCAGCAGCAGCGCCGACGCCAAAATTGATTCCAACTCAGCTTATGTTTTTCTGCTCAAGATTGGACAGATTTTGTCTTTTTTCGACTTTTAGAATCTATTTTGTAATATTCGACTATACAAGCTGTGATGATCACCCTACGCTTCCTAATACATTCTTGAAGTACTTTTCAAGACGCTTCCAATGGTGCCAAGTAAAATAGGTGTTTTGAATAAAATCAGAGAGAAATTTGGTAAAATCTGAAATGAGGTTTTTAGCGAAAATAGCCATATTTTGCATATGAAAACCTTATAAAAGTAGTTTCAGAGGTTGCTTTGGATTGAGAGAAACATTTTGATTTAGTATATGCCATAGTAAAAGTCTTTATTTTCAAGGTGAAAAATGCGATTGTTTGATTTTCGATGAAAACCATGAGGGGTACCTCATGCTTTTTGGTTGAATTTTGGCCATGTTTTTTGGATTCCCAAAAAGTTGAGCAAAGGTGCCAGGAAGTTATTACTACTCAAGTACAATTGTTTGGCGTCATTCCGGTGACTCAGAAAGGTCTATATCTCAAGATATAAAGGCTTGAAAGCTGTCAAGTATGATTACGTTTTGCTGTAAAGCTTTATTTACACGACATAAATTACATCTTTGGTAGGTGAAATTTTATGGAAGGCCAGTTCTTCAGTCTGTGCAATTTCTAATTCAAGTAGGAGGCATATTGATTTTGGTAAAGTTAATTCATGCAAATTTTGATGTGTTATGTTGTTGGTAAGCTTATTAACAATGGAAATGAAAACCAGAATTTGCTGCTTGAATACTATGGTTTTGTACCTTCGCTTCGCTACGGTAAAACCCATCAATATATATAGTGAAGATAAACTTTCTCTCAATAAAAGCCAGCTGGTTTATGGACTATTTTGAATGACTCTCCACAAGCGACATGTGCCTCAACATTTGCAGCCTGCAATGCTAATGAATATCATGTGATGTATCATGAGCAAGTCTACAAGTATGCAACAATTCATTACAGAAGTACAGGAATAATGTATGATATATATTTAAAAGAAAAAAGGAGCTATGTACAAAGGATATACGAAGGAATATAGCAAAATAAATTAGAAATGAGGCACATTAAATGCTCGCATCGTCATGTTGACAATAGCAAATGTGCCCTCACCGAGGACAAACCCGCTAGCAACAACAACGATAAACACCTTGCCACCAATAGCTCGATAGGGCTCGACCCAAGCACGCAGACCACGGTGATTCTGCTCGTGCTTGTATTTGGGCTCATTACAAAACTTGTTCCAGAAATGCACAATGAGCCCACCGATCACACGAGCCAAGGTGAAATTGGGAGGATTGTACATACCAATGGCGAACGCAATGCCCTGAGGTATAAAACGGACCCAACCTTGCTTTTGACGATCAGGATAGAGCTCCTTGACCAATACAAATACAGCAAATAAGATGGCAAAAGCAATTACAAATTCAAAAACGTGAGGTGGTAATGGATGGCCATTGACAAGTCGAGACATGTCCAGCCATACTTGAGCAGTAGGTACAGGAAATTCAGGCCCAGGAATGCTGTAGATAGTTCTATACAGCAAATAGGCGCCGGTAGTGATGAAAACGCTTGCGAAAGAGCCAATCATTTGGCCGTAGAATTGAGCTTTGGGTGATGCACCGAGTAGATGACCTGTTTTAAGATCTTGCATCAAATCGCCTGTCATGTGGTTGTCAGTTTGGTTTCACCTCATACCCAAAAACAAGATAATCTTACCTGCTTGCTGAGCTCCTGCTTCGGCAATACCACCAGCAATCAAATTGGCAACAATGGCACCAGGCATCAATGTAGCTGTAATGCATTGTGATAATTTGCCAATACCAGACACAGGGTTCAAGTCAGTTTCACCGAGTGCGCGCACACCGAGCACACTGAGGAACATGGCAATGACAACGGAGACAAGTGTCATGCCAACAGGCATCGCCTCAGGTCCAAACACAGCACGCATCATCACGACACACAGAATGGTGGAGGCGATCAAGCCAATCGTAGCCACTTTTTTGGACACTTGTTGGCTCACAGGAGCATCCATTTCAACCACTTCCTCCTCGAGTACGTGCTCAATCATCTCCTCTTGCGCTGATCCATCGCTAGTACTAGCAACAGCATACAACCCTTCCTCTTGCTTACGACGCACTGTCTTGACAATACTCCTCACAAAAACAACGAGCAGTGACACACATGATTCTGCAATCATCACTCCCAAGGAAATCCACAAAATCCATCCCTTGGAGCCCGTCTTCCAGTCGTCGATAGGGCCAGGTGCCCAACCTGCGTAATAGGCAGCAGGTGACAAAATGCCCCAACCAATGACACAACCCAGCAGCATGGATAATGTCGTCGGTAATCCCATAATAATGCCCTGTCCAATGTAGCTAAAACTCGGTGTAAAATACCATTGCCACGCATTAAAGTCAATGAAGCCAAGCGAGAACCAGTTGAAGATGGGAATAGCATTGACGGCTGGCACAAAGTAGGACGACAAGGTGTACAAGGATGACACGGTGAAGGAAGCGATCAGTCCGTGTAATTTCAGGGACCAACTGTATTCGAATGATTCCTGTTCTTGTTCCGGCGCCTCGGGAGAAATAGCAGGCGCTGTGTATCTCTGCTGCTGCTTTTGCAGCTGTTGCTGTTGAATCAAGGGCTGACGCTCCTCATCACGCTGGTTTCTTCGTAGACGCAATGCGCTATTGGCGCCTCTCTTTGTGGCGGTTGTGTGATCGATCAGCGTTGGGTCCTGTCGTTGATGTAGCAGACTGATCATTTGGGCTGTAGCTGTACCTGAAGGAAACTTGAGTCTCTCTCGTATAATAGTCTCCTTTCGCAATGGAATGGCAAAAAATACACCGAAAAAGGCAACACCAAGGGACCAAAGTATCAATTGACAGCCACTCAATACAACGGCTCCAGTGGGATTGTCGCTTTTGGTCATCAATTCTAGCGCTGGGATGACACCTACGAAGCCTAATAACAAGAAAAGACAGACGGATTAGTAAGCGGCGATCACACACATCATTGAGTCATGCATTTTGTGTACCTGCTGCCAAGGGCATGGTTGCAGTAGCAACTGCGGTTGTTTGCAGTACTACATTTTCGATGGGCCCGAATTTCTGTCTTAGCATATGTTGGAAGGGCTTGAACATGGCGAAACCCAGTAGTGATGATTGCAGAGACATCATCGAAATCCATCCTGTTTGAAGGCCAAAGTACATGTTGGAGAAGCACATCAATGTACCGATTAAGAGACCACAGGCGACAGCCCGTAACTGTACAATGCATGAGATGACTGTACTCACCATTGAAAGAGAATAGACTTACTGTAAAGTGGCTCTCCTCATCGTCCTGTGTTGTCTGTGAATTGCCGTTGTGATGGCGCTGTTGAAAGGTAGTCGGATCTGCTTCAACGTCCACACGCAATTAGCTTGGATGCAATTGTTATTTCGGACATATCACATCTACCTCGAAATGAGTAAATCCCATGCTCTGTGTAATTGGTGTCTTTCGTCATTCTCTTCCAAGATATAAAGACCGGATGCCCGAGTTGATGTAATGTAAAGAGAAAGAAGAAAAAAGAGTTAGAGTTGATTTGATTCTTTTTATATCTGTAATGACCCGCTTTGGGTTTCTTTTACCAATTTAAGGCGATGACGATTATTATACGCTTTTCATTGGCCATCCATGTAGGTCGAAGGTTGCTCATTGGATTGCGCAAACATGGTCCATGATTGCATTTATAAGCAAATGTGGATGAAATATTCTAAAACTGCCGATTCAAATCTCATGAGAGCCTATTTTTCGGTATCTTGCATAGACAAAAGTATGGCTAAATAGATCTAAAAGATGGGGCATTTAAACTGCAATGTTTACTGCCCATTCTATCTATAACTGTCAAAGGCTCGCTAGTGATAAATCCCCCCCAGAGTACACTTGACCAAGCTCATTTGAACAGCAGCTGCCAAACTTGCTGCTGTTCAACCAAACAATGATAGCAAGTCGAGTCACCTCTATCCGGGGGAAGGGCATGTTTGAGAGTGGCTTCGCAGGGATATAGTCCAACAAAAACGGACGAGGATGAATTCAATCAAGCTTTCGTTCAACCCCCCTGAACATTTAAATATGCTGTCTACAGTAAGTGGATGTCAAATGGACACAATACACTCCAATGTACTGATTGACATGCCAGTCAAAATTAGCCAGAGCTTCTCCTAGATTATTCCAAGCATCCAGCAAGGCTTCTCGCTCATTAGCGTAAGATTTTTAGATGCATCCTATACTCGACAGTAGACTGATAGGCCATTTGTATAGCACAACAGCCAATGCAGCACCAGCAACCGAAAACAAAACCATCCTCGAACTTCCCAAAACTGTGGAGGCCTCTGAAGAGTTCAGTCAAGTGTTTGAAGGTAGGATGGACATACCGCTCTAATGCATTTGAATAACATGTGTTGCAGTGCCCAAAAGAGTGACACCCACACACGACATTCCTGTATGCAACCTCCAGTTAAGAGGCTACCTCCCTCAACAGCTCGACTTTTTCGCAGACTTTGCTCGCCGTGCAGCCTTCCACATGGGTATGCCTTGCTCTGGCACTGTGCCATTACCCACCCAAACCTCACGCTGGACAGTCATTCGATCACCCTTTGTCCACAAGAAATCACAAGAGAACTTCGAGAGAAAGACACACAAAAGACTGCTCCAGATCAAAGACGCTCATCCTGACGTTGTAGAGAGATGGCTGCGATACTTGACAATGAACGCACCAGCAGGTATTGGTATGCGCGCAACAAAGGTCGAATTCGAAACACTGGGAAAGAAATAAAACGGATAGACTTGATTATATGCAATAAACAGCCCTTTGGTTTTGAATGATTGATTTGATGTGCTTACAGTGCAACCTACTGGCACACACGTGAGGCCAGGCCAGGTTCATGCTTATAAGAAACATGCGAGTTTATTTCATTCCTTCTTTCTTCCCGTTTTCCATTCAGAAAAAAAAAAAACAAAAGACATTAGAATGACCCACTTTATATCAGCCACTACAGCATCCTCATATTCATCAGCATTTCCTCCTCTGCAAACGTTTCCATGGGCATTCTACAAACAATCATCGTTCCATCATGCATCACCTACCTCGTCAGCTCCCTCCACACCATCCTCACACCACCCACTGCACCTCTTTGCGGCACTAGCTCCGCCAAAGTATCCCGCCTACCTCAAACATACCACCTACGCCAGCCTGGCTACTGACCAATTTCAACATCTACAGCAAAAGAAGAAGCAAAGCACCAGCGACGACTACAATAAGGAACTCGTTGAAATGGACCTTCGTCTGCCTCAGTATTGGAATATCAACGATAAATCACGCCATTTGCAAATTGGTTTGAATGGCTATGAACTAACCTATCATGCTCATATTCCAGGTATATATAATCCATCATCATGCAACCTCTTTCGTGGGAAACCCATTGTTTATATGTTTTTTTTTTCTGTCTGGCGTAGGACCGGGTAAAAAAGAACTCACAGAGGCAGCATCTATTCGCACAAATTTCCCAATGAGGCCTCAGTGTGGTGTTTACTACTATGAAATCACCGTAGTCTCCATGGGAAAGGATGGCTTGTTTGCGGTAGGTCTCTGCAATGCTGCCCACACATTAGACAAACTGCCAGGTAAGTATCCCCATCTTATCATCGGCCAGGTACATTGACACATGTAACCAGGCGCCAGTGTAGGTTCAGTTGGGTATCATGGCCAAAATGGCCACACCTACAAGCAAAGCTCAAAGGGAACAGCCTATGGTCCCACCTATGGACATAGCGATGTCATTGGATGTGGCGTCAACTACTTTGATGGCACCGTATTCTTTACAAAGAATGGTATCTTGCTTGGACGTGCTTTTGACTCTATTGATCTATTGTCTCAGGAGCTGTATCCTTGCATTGGACTCAGTACACAAGGCGAGAAGATCACAGCAAACTTTGGGCACCATGAGTTTGCGTTTGACATTGTGCAGTACATCAAAGTAAGCTACATGATCAAGCTCAGCCACTCCCTTCGTTGACCACATTATGTATATAGGACCAACAGAGAGCGACTATTCACCAAGTGTGCCATGTGTCTGCTGAAGCATTGCCGCAAGAGAGATACAAAAATGACGTCCAATTGCAGGTAGATGCTATGGTTCTCTCCTACTTGACGCATCAAGGCTACATAGGTACTGTCAATGCCATGAAAAAGAACATGGACTATGTCGGCAACACGCAGCCAGACTCACCTGCAAGCAATGATAGCCACTTGGATCGAGACACAAGAAGCAGCATTCGGAAATCCATCATGGCAGGCCATGTTGATTTAGCCATCCAAAAGACGGAGACCATGTATCCCAACCTGCTGGAAAGCAATGCAGACCTCCTATTTCAGTTGAAAACGCGCAAATTCCTTGATATCCTGATAGATGATCATCGTTGTGAGCCACCTTCTTCTGTGCAATCACTCTGCTCTGCGTCTGATCCCAACATCAGTGATACGGATGACGATACAGTCAGTGTGCAGTCGGGAAGAAGCCGTGCTCAGAGCATCAGCAGCAACGACATTCAGCATCAAATACTCTACGAGGAACAGCCTGTAACATTCGGTCATCACAATGCGCCTCCATTGGTATCACCACCGCTGCCTGTTGCCGCGTCGGGAAGACGCTTAAGTTGGGCTGCTATTGCCGCTTCTCCCTCAACTGACTCGCATCTAGAAGAGCACCTCACACTGCAGAGCAATGGTGGTGCGAGAAGAAGACGCTTATCCAGTGTGAGTAGTCATCATGGCCGTCGTAGCAGCTATTGCAGCAATGTATCACTCAGCGAAGATGACGAAACACCCAAAACCATGAAAAATGTGCGCAAAGCGATGCATTATGGGCAGCAATTGCAAGACGAGTACCAGCACACGAAATACTGGAGTCAATTGATGGACCTGTTTACGCTGCTGTCATTTGCAGACCCTACATCAAGCCCAATAAGCCATTTGCTGGATATATCTCGTCGAGACCTGGTCGCCTCTGATTTAAACAATGCCATTCAAGGTAAACTTTATTTTAGATTAAATTATACACACCTTTGTTAACATGTGGTATTTATGCCAAATAGCATATCAGCATCAAGCCAACAAGTCGAATCTGGAACTGGTCTTGAAGCAGGCCATTGTGACAAGTAAAGAGCTTGCACTCTCTGGCCATGGAGGAGCATCCTTGATTCACATGCAAAGCCAATTCACATCCAAGTGATAAAGGGGAAGGGGTATCTGCCATCCAACTACTGCTACTAATCGCTTTTCTCTTGCACTACTTCACCTTTGGGCCATACCCCATCCTCTTGCCAGCCAGTAACTAGAATAGGGATCTATAGCCCAACATTAACCGAGAGTTCATTACTATTCAAACAATAAAAACTCACAATGTATTTCAATGAAATGGGTGTCTTGAGTATGCGGTGCTGATGGACCAACTGCTTATAGATGGCTTTCTGGTGTACCTCTTGCTCAAACGCAACATTGCACTTTCCTGCAACGGTGGCTGCATTCTTCTGCTTGTCCAAATACTGTTGATTGGGCTCTGTCCATGCTCTTCTTCTTGCCTCCCAAGCCTGTAGCCCTCTGGTGCAAGCCACGTTGTCGTTTGTCTCCTCAACGGCCATGTTGTATCGAGATCAACGGAGCAAGAGAAAGACGACCTTCATTTAAGCTTTCTTGAAAATTTTGATATCAAGTGGCCCAGTGACTCGTTAAACACATCCATCATGCTTCTTTCTTTCATTCATCTAGACAACCAACATCAAAGACGCTTTTACACTGGTAAGGCTGTTCATTTGCACCTGATTTACTTTGGTTATAGAGTAAATCCATGTACTAATGAGGATTTCGCTCTGGGGCTCGATAAAGATGATGACAACATTGGGTTCTGCTTATACTCTGACATTCAGACCTCAAGATGCAAGTACAAGAGAAAAGAATGCACTGGTTCATCTCATCAAGCAGCCGCCCGACATGCGCTACGCATCAACTTTGTAAAGAGACACAGTGTTGCTCTAGTGGACATGTCAAATCATGAAGCCATGTACCATGCACTTGCTCTGTCGACGGCCCAAACAAACGTCACTTTCAAAATGTGCGATAAAAAGCTTTTCGAGAGCCTTCAATGCAACATTTCGAGCCCTTTCATCAATTAGCATGTCTCAATCTGTCATCAACAACATCACCAACTACATGGAAAAACACCAGCAGGGCGCTCGCCTTACACTGACTGCCATAGCAACCTCTGTTTTGACGGCATCTGCCTTGATTAGCTACCAAAGAATAACACGTTCTCGGTTACAAGACGACAAGAAAGCGCTGAAAAGAGCTGTAAACGAGGAGCAACCAGCAGCCATCTCCATTATTGACGAGGAAAAGATGGAAGAGCAGAAAAAGGAGCCCATGGACGAATCTCTGGTACTGGAATTACTGGCTCGAAACACAGCATTCTTTGGCCACGAAAGTGTTTGCAAGATCCGCAAGTCCTTTGTCGTTATCCTGGGTGCAGGCGCTATTGGCTCATGGACGGCATTGATGTTGGTGCGTTCTGGTGTAGAGCATGTGCGCATTGTAGATCCTGGGTACGTGCGTTTGGAGAGTATGACGAGAAATGCGGTAGCCAAGATTGCAGACATTGGTAAATCCAAGGCATTGATTCTCAAAAAGTACATTGGCGACATTGCACCCAATGCCGATGTCCAAGTGGAGCGCACCCAACTGACAAAAGACAACATGGGTGATTTACTGGCGGATGCACCTGACTTTGTCGTGGATACTCTGCCTGATGTCAAGGAGAAGGTGCTTGTTGCCAAGTATTGCAGAGAACACAATATCAAGATTGTCAGTGCCATGAGCGCAGGCGCCAAGGCTGATCCCACTTTGATCCAAGTAACCGATGTGAATGATACAATGACGGATCCTCTTGCTCGCATGTACAGAAGACAATTGAGAAAGTTTGGTATAGATCGTGGTGTTCCTGTTGTGTATTCGACTGAAAAGAGCCTACGTTTGGATAGCAAAGGTGTGTGTGTGTGTGTGTGTGTGTAAAGACAGACATACGTCCTATTCTAGTATGAAACTGACAACATGTAGATTTCAGCACTCGCTCTTTGCCCGTCTTGGGACCCGTAGCTAGTATGTTTGGCATGGCATTGGTCACCTATGTCATTGTTCAATTAGCAGAGTTCACAGCCTACAAGTTGCCCGCAAACAAGATGCGCGATGGTGTGTATGCTAGATTACAGAAGGAATTGGCAGCAAGAGAGCAGGTCATCTTTAACAATACGTAAGTTTGTGTTTGCAGTCTTCTGAAGCGACATGCTAACATTTCTCGTGGGGACGCAGAACCGACGTCTTAAGCGTGAACGAGGTTGGATATGTGTTTGATGAGTTTTGGCAGGGAAAGAGCGCCGTCTCTGGTGCACAAGACAGAGCCTTGGTTATGACTCGTTGGAACTTGTCTCAAACAAGTAGCCTGGTGAATACGGTGCTAATGACAAAAGATGAAGCAAATGTGCACGATAAGCTCCCCCAAGGCACAGATCTCGCTGCACATTACGGCCCCGACATTGTGGACAAGATCAATGCACAATTTGCATTGGAAAAAAAAATGCAGCAATTGTGGGACGCGTCTCCCTCAGCTTGAGGCGATAGATACTAGATAATAAACCTGTTGTTATGTGGAATCATTTATTGAATGCGAATACTACTCAATTGGGTGCTTATGTGGGAACAAGAAGGGGGCGGTAAAAGGTGATAGCTCCATATTATGTACAGTGTTTGTTTAGATTGGTATCTTTTCTACTTCAGCACGAGCTTCTTGCCATGATTCAAGGTTCTACGCATGAAAATCTACGTTAATAAATCGTTCAGATAGCCAGGAATCAAAACCAAGTTTACCTTTTGACAATAGCGAATATGTATTTTAGCATATGCAATCAACATATCACGCATATCTTGAATCTTTTCGGTTTGAAAGCGGTCTAGATCTGACTGCAATTCAGAGGAAATGGCTGTTAAATCAGTGCGAGTAATGTCCAGTGCCTCTTGAAGAACACCCATCGCATCTTTGGACATGCCGATTTGGTTGCGACGAGTCGCTTCGGGATTGACATCAATGATGTTCTGCAATGTATGGCCTACAGCGCTAATCACTTTCATAGGGCCGCCAGTCCAGCCATTGCTGCTGGACCGCATAGGTGGTCTATTGGCAGTGCTGTCATTGTTGCTATAGTTGGCTGGTAAAGCATATGGGTTCTCTTCAGGCTGCTCGTGTTGGTCATTCATTTCATCTACATTGATCGCATTGGATCCTATCGTTCTTTCTCTGGTCATTGCTTCCTCCAACCGTCTAGCCTCGTTCTCCATTCGCAATAAGCTATCCAAATTCTCCTTTTTGCTATTTAATGAATTCTCGATCATCTCGACTTGCACATGCTTCATATGACGAAACTTCAGCACCTGTTTAATGATTTGAGCAAACTGAGCGTGCTCTTGGATAGGCTCGGCAAATTCTCCCTCCAACGAAGTGACCATTTGACCAGTTTCTGTGTAAGATGCATCCACTGCTTGTCCCACTTTCTCGATAGCATTAGCAACAGCGCCCGTTTCGTTTAAACTGAATCCATTGTACACTGCTCCTAGTTCTGCATAATCATTTGCCAATTCTATGTACATGCTCTATTAGGATGCGCTACAATTTGCACTCATAAAACGAATATACCTCCTAGTCGACGAATGACTTTACGCTGGCTCTTGTCCAAATTGTTGCTCATGTAATTTGCAATGCGAAAGGTAAATTTCTCTGATTCCTCGAATCGAGGGTCTGGATTTCTCAATTGATATGCAGCAGAAGGTGTTGGGACTTGGTTGCTGGATAAGACGGCATTGAATGTGTGGGCTTGTAAATCGGGTTGCTGGCTAATCACCATCTGCAGAGGGTTCTTGGGTAAAGTGGAGAGCGGTGGTGAGTGAAGGACATCCGACTACAGCACAGCAATAAGATCAGTAGCTGGAAAGTATACGCAAAATCCCCAAAAACATACCCAAGTAACGTTACTTTCCAAGAATCTGTGGAAAACATGGTCTTTCCCCAACTCGGGATGCTTGGCAACTCTGTTCAAAAATGTCTGCAACATACGCTTTCTCTTTTCCACCATGGGCAAATCGTCCTTGACTCTTGTTTGCAGTGCAGCATAATCAACTAGAGATTGATTCTATCAGTCCACTGATGCCAATCTCCCTGTGTTTTTTTTTTTGGTAAATTACCTAAAGAGTGCTTTTCGGGTATAGGTGGCACAATTAAGGCAGGATGAAGTAATGTTAAAGCCTTTCTAAACGATTCAAATTCGCTGTATCTGCGTTTTGTCTCGATATCCTAGTTCCAGCGTCAGTAACACTAGCAAAAGGAAAAGCAAGATTGCCACAGTGCAATTTACCCCAATACGAATATGATAAGCGATATAACTCTTTCCTGAAGGTGAATCTGATTGCTTTTGTGCTCCAGTAATGAAAATGTAATTTTCGTCGTGATGAAGTGCTCTTTCAATGTTGCAGCCGCAGCTTGGCTTGAGCGAGTTTCTTTGGCTCATTTGTAGGTTTACGGAAAATAGAGAAGAAAAAGAAAAAGGTAAAATGGTTTGCTTGAAGCGGTCTATGCTCATTATTCAACATCCTCCTCCTTACATCAGGGAAAAAAGCAGTACGACGAATAACATCTCCTGTTTAGGAAGGCCACAGCTTACCTACTGTTCTACGCTTGTACCTGGATGAATGACGGCATAATGCAAGGAGAATGTCTAGTATACGGTATAATCCAACGATAAAGCACTCGTGTGCCACAGTCTTTCAGAGTAAGCATTTATTAATCAACATTTCTGATACTTATTGATTGACGATTGATTGATAGAGAACTTGAGCAAGCTAAATGATATGATAACAGCAAATTCTATTTTACCGAGATCAAAGAGTGTATCGTGGCAATTACGGATTATTCATTGAGAATACATGTAGAGATTGTGTATATTTCAATGCTTGATAGCTGCTGCTTATCAACAACATTTGGTCCACTCACTCAATGCAACCTCATCTGACGCATCCGCCCAACAAAATGTAGGTCCGTAGCCCAAGAATCCCCTCTTGAATGTATCTACAGGCGTTGATCTGGTATTTTTGTTGCTATTTTCATTAAATAAGCGCGCCAAAGCACATCTCTCCTACACGCAATGCACGAAAGCAGAACAAAAAAAGTGCATTAAATGCGGGATCAAGTTTTCTGGACTCTCTCAAGCAGCCAAGAGGTGTACTGGTTGGGAACTCTCCATGACTAATCCTGTTTAACTCAAGACTTGAACACAAATCAGCATTTTTGTCAAGTTTTTAAACAACAGGCCCACCTATAATACAGCGTAAACTAACGGTCAATTTCTGCATATTTGGATAGCATTTTCAATAAGCGAAATCAAGGCTCATCATGTGCAAATCCGAAGAGATGAAAGTTTGAGTAACTCTGAGCAACGGGAGACGTTTAAGCTATGTTACGCTTGGCAGACAGCTGAAGCTTTCGGTGTGAACAATAAGAAATCGAGACATTGACACTTGTGTAAGCCAGAGAAGCATTAATGTCAATAGATGGATTTGTACAGCATATTTAGCTATATTCAGGTATAAAGTCCATTGTAAGATCAATAAAGAATTCCCTAATCAGTACCTGTGAGAATTTCTTGGGAATCTGGTGAATGATAGAATGACACTTTCCATGCTATGCTCTAAAGTGATTGTACTCTCATCAAGGCCTATAGTTTTAGTACTACCAATGTTTCGATTTGTATAAAAGGAAGCCATTTTCATCTGCAAAACCCTACTTTTTCTCCTGATATTCTTTCAACTCATACAAACACACACACACACTATGGATGAAAAGACAGAAAAGAATCCATCCGTAGCTGGCTCTATTGAAAAGATTGACATTGAACATGCCAGCACATCAGAAAACAAGAGATTCATAGGCACACCTTCAGAGAAGAAATTAGTCAAAAAGATCAACTTGGCATTTGCTCCGTTCTTGTGTCTCATCTTGTTCATTCAGGTATCACTTGCAGTCGAGATCCAACCATACGAAAAGACTAATTTTTGTACAGTTTTGCGACAAAACAACGCTGTCCATAGCTGCCATTCTTCCACAATTCTACAAAGACACTCATATCACTCAAGATCAATACTCTTGGATATCATCCATCTTTTACTTGGGCTATCTTTGCATGCAGATATTCAACAACTACATGCTCCAGAGATATCCTATAGCCAAATTTGTGGGCATCGTGCTTGTCATTTGGGGCGCTACTTTGCTTTCCATGGCATGGGCAACCAATTTTAGTCAACTGGCCGCACTCCGTTTCTTACTTGGCTTCTTTGAAGCTGTGACATATCCTGCCATGTTTCTACTCATTGCCACTTTGTACAGACGGTCAGAACAGGTCATTTGGTTTGGTGTCATGTTTATGAGCAATGGATTAGCTGGTATTCTCGGCAGCATCATTGGCGTTGGCGTCTTGCAAATGCCTACTGTAGGCAGCATCTCTCCCTGGAAGTGGTCCATGATCCTCTTTGGCTCTTTCACTTGCCTTTTGGGCTTCTTTTACTTTGTGTTCTTGCCCGATAGACCTACATCACGCTGGTTCAGATTGACAGAAGAAGAGAAAGAGATTGTGGAAGAACGCGCTCGAGATAATGCCGTTGTTCCTACTGTTGCCATCAACTATGCTCAAATCAGAGAAGCAATCCGTGAACCTCGCTTCTATTGCTACACTTTGATCTCTTTGTTCGGTAACTTTCAGAACGGTGCGCTCACTAATTTCAGTACAATCATCATTAAAAATCTCGGCTTCACTGGCGTTAGCACCATCTTATTGAATATTCCTAGCGGTGTTATGACAATCTTACTGATTGCTCTGTTTACGTTCATCAGTAAAAAGAAAAACGAAACCATCTACGTTGCTATTGCTGCTACGACAGTCTCCTTGGTAGGTTTGATCATCTTGACAGCCATTCCTGACGGCGGTGGAAGACTTGCTGGTTTGTATCTTGCCTGGGGCAGCACTCCTGCGTACTTGCTCATGCAAGCTTCAATCACCAGTAATGTGTCTGGATACACAAAGAAGATTTTCTATACCTCTGTCAACTTGATCTTTTATACCTTTGGCAACTTTATCGGTCCTCTTTTGCTGGTTGAAAAGGACTCTCCTCGTTATCTCACTGGAATGGGTGTCTATGTTGCCTGTAATATCATCAACATCTTGTTGTTTCTTTTTATTCGCCACAGCTATGTCAAGGAGAACAAGAAGCGTCAAGTTGGCAACGAGTTATCTAATGTCGCATTGCCTGGTGAATTGGAAGACATGACAGACGTTGAAAATAAGTATTTCGTCTATCGCCCTTAGGACTATTTCTCTTCTTTATCGAATATATATATATATATATATATATATTTCATGGTATAATCTCATATTTATCAATAAATTACTAAGCTATTTCAACACGGTTTTGTGTTCATATTCCCAAAAATACAGTTTATTCACTTCAATTTTGTATAAACCAAACAGAGAGACAGATTTAGACTGAATACAAACGAGAGAGAGAGAGAGAGGAGAATCTTACATATTAAACTCGAACCATCAAACAAAAATACGTAAGAAACAATTTACAACTGTAGATCAGACTCTTCTAGAGTGCGCCATGTCTGTACATAAAACAATTCATATAACAGACAGGCAACATGCTTGCATTACCTCCTACTACTCAAATATATGCAAAGCGCAGTAAAATTGTTGTTAATTCAAGACGTGATTTCTCGTGCTAGAAGCCGTTTCAGACTTTCGAAATAGCTCCAAACAGCTGCTTTCAAGTAGCACCAACTTGCTGACACGTTTGCTCAACTTTTTAGGGACGAAAAAAAACATCACCAAAAATCGACTCAAAACCATGAGGAGGTACCTCATGGTTTTCGTCGAAAATCAAACGATCGAGTTTTTGACCTCAAAAATGAAGACTTTTACTATGGTATATATTAAATCAAATTGCTTATATCTATCCAAAGTAACCCTTAAGACCTTATTGGGGAGACCTTTATACGTAAAATTCCGATATTTTCGCCACAAACCTCATTTCATATTTTCAAATGTTGCTCAACAAGCTTGTTCAAAACATTTGCTACAAGTAGTACCATTGGATGCGCCTTGAAAAGTACTCCAGAAAAGCATAAGAGAGTATGAGATGATCATTACGATTTATATAGTCGAATTTTACAAAATAGATCGAATTGTGTTCCAAAACTTGGAAAATGAACAAATAAAGGACAGAATGCCGAGCGGAGAATCAATTGATTTTGGCTGGCAATATCAATGCCATGCTAATTGCGAAGGTAATCAACGCTGTTGGGAGCTCATAAGAAGAGCATTATGAATTGGGATACCTTAAAGTTCTGTCTAGCCACTGTATTTTGTTTTTGGTGCGCGGTTTTTGTATTAGCGGCGAAATTGCTTCATTGCAAGATGTTTCTCGTAATACAACACCTAATGCGACTGTTCTATGCAACATTTTGTTATACTTTGAACGAGCTCTAACTGTTGATTGCACCAAAGTAGATGCTTTCTAAATTATTGAGACACCCAAGCACAGCTGTTTTCCAGCACTAATTCTTTGTCTTACAAACTATTTAAAAGCATTACAAATGCGATTGCGATTAGTCATGGATTTATTTCGTATTGCTAAGCAACATACTCTACTTTGATTCACAAGACGTTTCCATATCATGAATCAGATGATATCATAACGCAGTTAGTTTTTTGAGCTAGAAGCTTAGTTGTATGCTAAACTTTCCGAATCTATTTTGATACACAGTTAGAACACTTGTGTTCCACAAAGTGTCAAACATTAACGTTCAATGTTGTCAACCTCAGAGAGAATTAAAGTATAGTCTTGGTTTTAAGATGTTCTTCATTGAATATCTTAGTAGGAATTGGATTCTGTGTTATTGTAACAAGGTTGATCTGCAAATATATACCATCTATAATGCATTACCAATCAATAATCTGATTCGCTACAAACTATTTTGATTTTTAAAAAGAGGTCCGTGTCCAAGCAAAACCCGAATTTTCACGATAACTATTTAGCACACTGTTAATTTCTGAGAATTCCCTTAGAAATAAGCAATAATTAGTTATTTTCGCTTGAGATGATAGCGTATCAGAATGATTATCATTAGAAGCCGTTGATTGATAGACAAGACAGTACTATTAATGGAACATTAACCCAGATGCTTGCATTTTTATTCTTTTCTAAAAGTAGAAAAAGCACATTTTAGGATGACAGGAAATCTAGTTTTTCGATTCGCCTAGTTCTTACATAAAAACGTTTCCAATGTCAGGGATCAGTGTATTATCTAGTTCTGCATTCTTGAATCTGAAAAAAAAAATGTAAATGTGAGAGTAGTAATATTTAAAGCAAGCCTATCGCTCATGATTCTACATGGATTTAGTCTGGGGCCCATCAAGATTTTCACCAAATTTTCATTATGTACATTTAGGCAGCCAAGTTTCGTTTTCATCAAGCGACAAGTATGAGACATGGAAAAAAGCGTAGAACGTAATGTTTCAAATTTGAAATCTTCATTGATTTCATTTAAGGAAACACCAAGGCAATAGCTAGTTACCAGTGCCATAGCTCAATCTATCTTGAAAGCAAATGTGCCAGTTCTTGCGCGTTTTGATGGATCAAAATGACATGTTTTAGGACATTTTATTAGTCAGAAGAACATAAAATGTGTGTAATTCTCGTATCAAAGACATTGAACCAAGAAATTGGTACTTTGATCCCCGAGCAACTGTGAAGCATGCGAAATGATGGATGAACCAGCACCCTTTCACGTTGTGTTGACAGATGGTTTAGTGGACTTGAGTTATAAAGAGCGTACCTGAGTTACATCCTTTTGAAATCAAGAAAAGATCAAGTGCTGCGCAATATAACTGCACGTTACTGGATCATAATCATATTGAATTAAATCCCACTTCGATCTGCCGCAACAATGGTATATGCGGGTTTCTTGGTCGTGAACCATGCAGAGGCACATTGAGTGTTTTCTCTAGAGTACAAGCTTGCTCGAATCAATATTTTTTCAGCATATTCAGCGTTGATTGGTCTCTTTGAGGGGTCAAATTTACTATATATACATAGATCTAGGTGTAAAATGTAAATTGCTAGATTTCCAACATGAATTTTGCACTAAAAATCAAACAAATGATATAACTTGCTCAATCTACAAATAGTAAATTTTGGATTTTGGCTAATAATTTGAAATCCTTTTTTTTTTTTTTTGTTTTCTGCATCAAACCCTATAAGTAAGATTTGAATAGCAGAATTATATTTGTTGCCTTTTTCCTTTTTTTTTTTTTCTTCTTGAAAAAAGTCTACGAACATCCTTCATTAGCTTTTTGATTCATCATTCTTATTCTTTTTATTTAGTTCTTTCCCTAGTTCAGAGTAGGTACATCTATTTGAAATTTTCTGTCTGTGAAGCTGTAAAATAACAGTGGTTCCATCCTTAGATTTTGAACTATTGCTCACTGACATTGGATGCACATTGCGTACAAAACGATATTTCTATTTACTGTAAAAAGACAATTTCGGATATTGCAAAATGAAGGAAAATCAGAAGGAATCAATGAATGTAGACATTTATCAACAGCAACATCAAGAGCAGGAACAACAACGAAATCAGCAAGAAGACATCCGGCACTTGTTATCAACAGGACTTGATTTCAATCAGTCACTTCAGCAGCAAGACGATCAAATAGACGCTAATACTTATTTTGATGCATGCTCAGACTCACTAATGCAACACTTTATTCAAGATCACACGCTCTATGTACAACGACAAAACACAAGCAATGATGCTTATCTGAATATCCTGAATGACGCATCCATCCCCACCCTACATTTAATGCCTCTCAGTAATGTAAGCAACGTGACAAATGCCAATACGAAAGAAGACTCCACTCACCAGCAAGATCAGCCGAAAGTGAGAGGCGAGCAAGATGTATTCAACGAACTACTGCAAATGGCGGCCTCCGCCTCCTCGACAAACAACACAAGCAGCAATTCATCCTGGCTTAATGAATACAATGAGAGTCCACTTGAAAATTCCGTATTCATTACCAAGAATGATGAACCGAAATTCTTTGACGATTCATTCCTATCCTCGAGAACAGGCAACATCCATTTAAAACCGCTAGAATCCAATATGAGCAACATCCAAAGCATCAATACCCCTTTAACACCTATGGAAAACGACAGGTAAAATTGGTTGTTCTTTTTTATTCCATGTCCTCCGACGACTAATCTAGAAATTGCATCCACTCTTCCCACAGCCGAATATACAATTTGGAGATAGTACAGCAACCAGAACGAGCCAGAATGTGTGGATTTGGTGATAAAGACAGACGGCCCATCTCCCCTCCTCCCATACTAAAATTGTCGGTTCTTACCAAGAATGGAATAATCATAGATCCAGAGTAACTATTTCACTTATTTATAATGTGTATTCTAGAACTAAAAAGAAACCAATGACAACCTTCTATAATTTGTTTGTAGAACATTTGATGTGTCATTTCTAGTGGTTACATGTGACGCTCACCAGCAATTCGAAACCTCAGATGCGGCTGAAAATTTAAGGAATGTGAAGCCTAAAATTGACACCATCCCAACAGTGGCCATCGATGAGAAAGGTAGAGAGCAATACAGTGCCGTTCGAATGCGAAATCTAGCGGGTGCCACCGTGGCATCTGCCGAGAAGCTATACGATCTGGACGGGAACCTAGGCATATTTTTCATATTTCAAGACATCAGCCTAAGAATTGAAGGCGTGTTTAAATTGGAGTTCTCGCTGGTGGATATAGAAAATCCGTAAGTAAATGATGGAAGATGATATCAGAATGATAAATCAGTGCCAAATCTTTACAAATCACATTACTTTAGACCATTTTTACACTGTGTCAATACTCACTCTGCAAGCCCTGTGCTAAAGACGATCGAAACCAAGCCTTTCACTTCGTTTACACCCAAGAATTTTCCCGGTGTTGTCCGTAAGTTTGACGTTGCAAATTTCCTTTTCGAACTTGATAATCTAAGTTTGTTCCAAACCAGAATCAACACCGCTATCCGAGTGCTTTGCTAAACAAGGCGTCAAGATACCAGTGCGCAAGGAGAAGGCAAAAAAACAGAACAAAAAGGTGTTCTCTACAGCGCAGTTTCTGTCAGATATGGACAAAGATTGCTAATGGAATACGCAAATCGACGATTAATTAACCGATTTATTTGTCGATTTGTAATTGTTTCACCTAAAGGAATCAATATCCCCATTTTTCCATATTTGAAATAAAGCAATTTTTTGCAATCTATCTTTCTGTAAAGTTCTACAGTAGTGCTGCATTCAAAATGCTCCAATGAATGTTGATTGCGCAGCTTTCGGCATTTTGTTCTATATAGTATGTGATAGTGATACGAAAAAATATCGCTCTCTATCCATGCCGGATCAATTTAGAGAGCGAGGCTAAATGATACGATCGATTCTCAATTCTTGTATATTCCATCGTACTGACTAAGACTTTGTTTTGACTAAACTCAAGCCAAACTTGCATGTTGAAAAAAAAAAGGGTTCAGAAAACACTTGGCAGGGATACTCAATGAGTATCACCCACCCGTTCACTCAAATATACAAAAGAGCACTTGATATTAAGAGTATATCCATACAGGCATATGCTTAAAACCATCCGATACATAGTAGCGGTATTAAAATCGTCCGTCCGTATCTACACATGAGCATTTGGCTACGGTCATATGTATAAAATATAAAAGTGCGCAGCGAAAGCGAAAGACAGCAACCAGACTAAGCTATTATTACAATGCCTGTCAGTTCTCAATTCCCTTAATTCAAGGCTCTTAAGAGCATGGCAGTGGTTTTGCCACCACCAGCCAACAGCTGCCGACCCCTCAAACTGGGTAAAGCTCCACCAAAATGCTTGCTTTCGATTTGGTAATTTTTGGCCTAATTGCGACTTGGTCAAGCTATTTTGCGAGATTCGACTATATAATTTGTGATGATCATCTCACACTTCTTTAACCTTTATTAAAGTTCTTTTCAAGCCGCATACGATGGTGTTATTTAAAGGAGATGTTTTGAATTAAGTTATAGAGTAAATTCTGAAAATATGAAATGTCGTTTTTGGCAAAAATGTCGAGATTTTACTTAGGAATGTCGTTCAAACAAAACTTCAAAGGTTACTTTGGATTGATAGAAACATTTTGATTTAATGTATGCCTTAGTAAAAGTCTTCGTTTTGGAGGTCAAAAACGCGATTGTTTAGTTTTCCATGATTTCAATGAGGTACCCCCTCATGGCTTTGAGTCGATTTTTGGCGATAATTTTTTGATCCCAAAAATATTGAGCAACAGTGTCAGAAAGTGAGTGCTAGTCGAGAGCTATTGTTTGTTGCTAATTTGGCGGTTTAAAACAACCTCTAATCATAGAAATCACTGTTCGATTGCTTCTGAATTTCGCTGTGTTTTGCATACTTTCGAGTAGTAAGAGGCAATCCAAGTATGCTGCCTACGCGCATATGAGTTATTTCTACGAATTTAGACGCGGAACATCTTAGAAGCTTTAAATCCACAATTACAGGCTACTTACAAGGGTATTCTCTGGTAAAATTAATATATTTTGTGGATCATTTGGAAGAGTGCATTGTAAAATACAGGAAACTTGCCAAGAAAAGCTCAAAAGGAGTAATCCATATCCTATCAGGCAAATCTAACAATCGCAGCGTAGCTCTATGCAATGACACCACCTTCCTAAATAATAATATACCTATTTCTCGGCTCCCATTGCCCACATAATAAATCAGTATCCAAACACGTAAAGGCTACAATTTCTTTCTCGAAAATTTTTCATCAAGCTCCCACTTATTGGGATACGAACGATACATGTTTGAATTGCATATATTGTAGAACATAGACTTGTACTAGGCAATTCATGCCAGACATCAGGATTGCTTATATTGAGGATGCGTCTGAAAGTTATACACCATTTCGCATGAATTTATTTAAAAAATTTATTGATATCGATACGTTTATATACATCGTATTGCAATATTTACACAAGGCGACAGCCGTTCTTATCTGTAATTGCATTCATGGCAAGCAAAACCAAATCGACCGTCCACCAAATACCACCTAAACCACCCGTGATCAGCTTGAGTGCTCCCAGCAAAACGTATCCCAGGTAGAATCGATCAGCACCTTTTTATATATGGTCAGAAATATGACGCTGACGAAAATTTTATACCATGTACATACCTAATGAACCAAAAAACACTGATAAAATAATAGCAGAAGTTCGCTCACGATCTGAAGTGCAAATATCTGGTGGGAATTCCTTTTTGGCATTCCATAAATAAGTAATAAGAGCTGTTACAGCAATGGTGGTGATCCAGCCAGCGCCAAAATGGACACGATACTCTCGTCTAATACGATTCCATTTTTGACTGCAATCTTCTTGTGGTTGGCTTACTCCAGCAAGCAAAGGAGAAGCTTCTTCATCACGGCGGTTATGAGACATTTGGTTTTTACGTAGTTTGTATAGTATTAATGGGATGAGAAAAATCAAAGGATACAGCTGTTTCTTATTTATACGATTTTGCAAGATGACCACATTCATGCATCATCACCCGGACAACTGCAAGCATTCACGGACTCAAATAAATATGAGTCAAATTTTCATGGCGTAGTCAACCCACATTACCCAGTGATTAAAAAAAATCATGCAACTATGCTTTTGTGATACAATCAAACATCCCAAATAGCTGGAATCCACCAAGAAACCCCTGGGCATGTCTTTTGTGCGTACGCACGACCTGTTCTACCTCAATTTAGCTTGCTATAAAGGTAACATAATTCTAAATTTATTTGGGGTTTTTTGTGAGATGTTTGCTGGTGAAAAATAAACAGAAAGGAAGGATAAAGAATCTATACAGAAGTGTGGTTTTAAAAGAGAAAATTAAACAAAAAGGAAGTGAGCACAGACAATTAGAAAGAGATAAAAGGAATATTAAACTGTAAAAAAAAAATGCATGATATAGTATAACAAAAAAAAAAAGAGATTTTAAATGGCCTTGTTCTTAGCAGCCTTTGCTTCAGCCTTGGCCTTCATCACTTGATTGTATTCTGTATGTAAAAGAACATCCCAGAAAGTGAAGAAAGGTTGAGCAAAGTTGGTCTTGATGCCATGAGCTTGATGATGGATATCATGGTAATTGACATTGTTGCCGAAACAGACGGTAAGTGGGTCCCAGGGGAAAGCATAGCCACAATGATCACCAACTAGTGAAATGCATCAACATCAATCATTCAACGCTCAATCTAATTGCCGTTCAACTTACTTGTTTTGAGGGTGGAAAAGGTAAAGAACCACATGCCCATCTTTGCAGACATGCCAGTTACTTCAAATGCAATAGCAGCACCGCATGTATCCAACAAAAAGCCTTCCAAAGGATGATTGTACAAAGCGCCGAAAGCATAAGGGACATAAAGGCGATGATGATGCGAGTGCATGTGCTTGTACATGAATGTGAATGTGTGTGCCAGGCGATGAAGTACGTATTGATGAGTGTCTACAATAACCCTATGATACATGTCAGTTTTGACATATAAGCCCTCAATAGTATGACTTACATGGCAACGAAGAATTGGACACAGGGTACCATATAGTTTTGGATGAAATAAGCAATGTTGTTTGCAATGGTGAAAGCAGAGTCTTTAGGTTGACCGAGATTTGTCATGATATTGAGAACAATGGTGGAATATCTATTGATGGCATTATCGTATTTTATTTGATCAGCAGCAGGGTCCAAGTTCTTCATCAGAGCGATGCCGAGCACAATTTGAACGACATGTTGAAGTGCTACCATCAAGAGCACTTTACCAAAGCCCACCTTGTTTCGCTTATTTCTGTCTTCTGGTGAGTGAATGCGGTATTTCTCGAAAAATGGGATCTCAAGTCTCATCAAGATTTCAAAGATTGAGCATTGAATCCAGTAGACAGCAATGGGGACCCAGATAGCCATTAATTCGTCAGACCAAGGGTCGAGGCTTAATCCAGCAGATAAACCGGAAGGCTTCTTGGCAGTCGTTGTATTCATATTATGAGTGCAAAACTAGAAAGAAAAGAGAGTGGAAGAAGGAAAAGAATAGAAAACTTCAATATTTATGGTCTCATAATATACGGAACGCAAAATTTTTATTCTTCTTTTTATATTCTTGCCTGATTTTCGGCATTCTTCACTTGCAAATGCTGTAGCACAACATAATCTTGCACTACATGATTCTATGCTGCCAACAGAGATAACAAAGTTAATAGCAACCTGCTTGAGTTTTGTCTTGATTCCATCAAGCTATTTCTTATTTCATTCAGGTTTCATCTCATGATGAATGTTTCCGAAAATGAGGCCATTCCATTCACAGTAAAGAGAGGCTCTGTTTCATCCGTTTTGCAGTCTTATTTCACATAAGAATTGGATGATCTGCTGTCAAATAGAATCTGAAGTTAAATGCGCATTTATTCTACTGAACCTAAATGTCATCCATGACAATACCATTGTTTCATGATGAAGGCAAATTGAACGAGATGGCATGCTTTTGAATCAAGGTATATAGCATTTGAGCAAGGGATGCCAATCTGGTAGTTCTCGGCGAATGGATCTTTGAGTTAGGCATTAAAAGTCAAGAATTTAATGCATTACTTGCAAATGTCAAGAAACCACTCAGTTTCAGGATCACGCAATTTATATCATTGCTAACCAAGTATTACATGTTGGCACGAGCAAATGGCCACCTGTATGCATATATTATTGTTTGTGCAAACAGCCTTCAGTTTAGCTTTCCTATGCCTCAACGGTAGATATTTGAAATTTGACAAAACATGTAAGGTAAAAACTCGACAGATATCAATAAGGAATATATTTTACAAAAGAAACAATAAAAAAAAAAATAAGGAAACAGACATAAAGTGGTGAGAGAGGAGAATGCATATGTATAGAAAATGAAGTGATTTGAATGTTAAAAGTATTATACAAGACCAAAGCCTTTGGTATTCTCGATTGCTGTTACCAATCTATCGCGCAAAATTTGTCGAGATCTATATTCTGGAAGCAACAGGCGACTGAAGCACGTAAGCGCTGTAGGTAATCTATTGTGACATATATATATATATATATATATATGAGTAAAAAGTTTAATGAACTACCATCTTGCAAGCACTTACCTTTCACTGTCGGGTCCATTTCTCTGAATATAAAACGTCAGTTCTTTCAGTCCACCAACTGGTACACGATCACTTGCAGTGACAAACAGTAGTAGCTTCTTCTTTTGCTCATTTGTTAAATCGTGATGAACAACAGACCAAAATTGCCTAGTTTTGTTGTTTAACAACACTTATACATACACGCGAATGGAGTGCTTACCTGATGGTAGGATGATCTACACTATAGCCATCATCATATTCTGCCACATTTTCAAGCTCGACCATATTAAGATCTAATGCATCTGGCCCTTGACGATGACCACACGCCACCATTTCCAGTTCCTCGGCTGTGCACAAGTTCAGTGCTCTACTACCAATGACACTCCACAGTCCTCGACGCATCGCCAGCAGTTGCTCCTTCTGAGCAGTGTACATGAAATAGGTGCAATAATCCTGTACGTAAGCTTCTCTATTGCTATTGGTGACAGGCACAACAGGATCCTCCTTGTTTGGCATCAATGATGTGGTGACAATGCCTTGTCCAAAAACGTCCATTGAAATCTCATAGTCTCGGCAAAAAATATCTTCCACTTCACCATCGTCCCATTGAAGCAATTGACGCAGCCCACTTCCCAGTGCAGGCCAACCTTCCTCCAGATCATCCAGCGTGAATAGTTGACGTCTCTCAGCCATCGCATCGATCAGCGCCTCGTTTGGCATCACCAATATCTTCCATAGGACCTTCGGGAACTGTAGGTTCATCATCACACCATTGTAAATGGAAAGGCCCATCATAATACCGACCATTTCATACATGCGGACATCGTATGTCAACACGGACCGAATCCAGCAGAGACGGGTTGTCTCATCCTGTATAAACAGACCCACATCAGGCGACACTAGTTGTTCAAACAGGACGCCAAAGAACTCCTTCTGCACACCGCCTTGGTCCATGCCTACCTCACCGCCGTCGACAAACTTGACTTTAAGGGGCTTCTTGAGATCACTCCATTTGCGAGACATTTGACTCAACGTATCATCCACAAAATGCTCACGACGAATTTCCAGCAGCAAGTAAGGACACGTTGCACTGCGAAGATTGGTCTCCAAGTTTTTGAGCATGCCAGGAGCTTCGGAAAGCAGCTTTTGAGCATGAACAACGAGTGTATGATTGACGCAGGCATCTTCGTATTCTAATGACATTTGCGACATGGCATCGATCAAGACCACTTTTCGTTTGATGGCAGGAGGCAGCAAAAAGGGATAACTGAACCAAGAAAACTGATACTCGTTTTCAAATGGGTACGGTAACATGGCGGACGTAGATGTGGTGGTCATAAAGAGTCTGGATCTGCGCTGATGCTCGGTTTCTCCTTGGCGTGAAATCAAGGTCGAATGCCTGCCTTCTCCGTATAGTAATACACGTTTCCAGATTCTGTATTCGTTTTTGATATTGAGCTTTTTGCAGATTTCAGCGCTGTAGAATGTGGAGGGAGGGATGATTGGATGGCTAGGATTTTTCATGCTGCTTTGATATACCAATTCGAGGCATTTCATAGTCATGATTACAGTGTCTTCCAACCCGTGCTTGTAAGGTCCAGTGTGGAAATGATCCAGCAGATATTGCTGTAAATCATGCACAATGTATTCCATGCGAGTGGGATCCAGGCTGTGTAAAGCGTGGATTGGTTGGCAATAGATAAAATACAGGCGACGTCTCTCAACTTACCTTGCAAGCATATGCTGCATGATCTTCTTGATAATCGACTTGTTTTTGTATGCAATCTTGCTGAGCACCTGAATCAGCTTTTGTGTCAAAATAATCTGGCTTGTGGATGCGATGGAGGCTGCTCTTTTTTGGTTTGTTGAAATATCATCCAGTTTAGCAACCAAAGCAGCGAGTCCATCTTGCTCCTCCTTTTGCTTCTTTTCCTTGCAGCAAATGACCCACTGAATGACAGCCATCATGGAGCGACACCATTCCATCATCATGCGGATATGGTACAACTCAGCGTCTTCCATTACCTGGAAATCTGCGAGTGCTTCCACATTCAAGGCCATGCGATCCAACAAGGTTTCAAAGCTGTCTGAAATGGCTTCCATGATGCGCACTTGGCGAGGGTTCTTCTTTCGCTTGTTGGCATCCTTCTCCTGCTCCTGATGAATCACCATCTGATAGAATCTCGTCAATTCGTCCAGATGGATAAAAGAAATGTCCTTGTGTTGCAGTGGAGGGATGCTGAACTGACTCTGAGCGACGAGAAAGCTGTTGCCTATGCCTTCCCAGCTTTGAAATACAGATCGACACCACGTATCCATTTTATGTTCAGAAATGGATTGAGTGACAATGGCTCTGTGCAAGTGTTCCACTGCTGAATCCAGATTCACAGCCAAGGGAGAAATCGCCAAGAGCATACCCTCTTGGCTCGACCAACCACCGCAGCTCTCGTCACCACCGTCAGACAATCTGTAGTCATCGTAGTCCAATTGATAGTAGCTTTCATCGCTGTGACCAGGGCGTTGCATTTCAACTACTGCTTGCTGTGTAGAATCCATCTCGTCTGCTATTGCTTCATCTGTGTCTTCGTACTCCTCATCGCATTCGTCATCAGAATCGTTATGGCTGCTGCTAAAATGACTAAACAGCTTCCAGAAATCAGTAGCCCAATGCTTTGCACTGGAAAACAACTCTTTTCTCAACTTGGGCTTATGCTGCTGTTTTGATCTTTTCTGGTGCTGCTGTTGTCGCTGTACTTCGTGGTGCGATGAGTGCTGTAGTACTCCAGAGAACGGAGTTGATGTAAATAAAGACTGCAAAAACGGCTTTGTTTTCTGTTGAGCTGGATCAACGCTGAATGAGTGATCCTCAAAATTGATATTTGACCCCTTCCTGTGATCACATAGTCTGGAGCCAGGCATGGAAGCAAGCTGAATAGCCATAATGAGGGCTGCCTGTGGTTGCAAACTTATAATTCCACCTATACCAGCATGGCTTCATTAGACTATAAAAGCGATAAATTGCCTTTTATGTATAGCTTACCTCGACCTGAAGCACAAAACTTATTTCTGCAATCCATTTGCTGACAACCGATGGTTAGCTGATGAACGTACTCTTCAATATGCTCCTCGTATTCGCTTTTAGCCTCTCTGAGCTTCTCTCGTTTGTATAGTTTGTTGCTCTTCCTCTTTTCATAGTGCTTGGCTGATTTGGGGGACATGGCTAACGACGTAGGCGCAGTTGCTGCTGCTGCTGCTGCTGTTGATGCATTGTTTGCGTTGCCACTAGCGTTACAATTGGATTTCAGTTGAAACGGATCTCTTTTCAATATGTGCTCTTTGCTGTTGTTCATGTCTGTAGCAAGCTTGATAGGCTTCAGTGCAATGGATGAAGTTGAGGAGGAGGAAGATCGACGCTTCGTAATATCATTGTTGCCGTTCATCTCATCAGATAGATTAGGCTGAAGAGTACGGCTAGGAGAAGGTTTGGGAGAGACCAGGTAATCCACTAGCATGTCATGGTCATTGCTGTAGTGTATCTCATTCGACTTGTCATCCATAGTCTGCTGCTGCTGAGATGGCTGTTGCTGCTGCTGCTGCTGCTGCTGCAATTGTTGCTGTGGATAATGATGGTGCTCTGAATGCTGCTGTTGACCAAGATGAGTATTGCTAGCAACAGGTGATGATGGTGGATGGTTCTGATACAAAAATGAGTTGGTGTTGGGCGTGCTGCTTGTCCGAGCGTCTATATAGGTGGACATGTAAAAGGTATGGAGTTGCAGAAGAAAAACAGTTACTTGATAATGCGTCCATCTTTTCCAATTTAACCTATTTTACTTGACGTCACGTTCATCGACTCTACTTTGAGTCAATTGTCCGGCAATTACTAACATCCTTTTCAGGTAGTAGTTGATTGGAGAAATGTGAGAAAAAGGGATGAAAGCGTTGGAGCTGTGGGGACTGATTGGATCTTTCCTTTTGATGCTTATCCGTAGCACATGGATGTGACATTTCATTGTGAAGCACTCGAGAGTCTTGAGTGTATCATTGCTCTCAATTACAACTACAATAGATTATGGATCATGTCCTTCCCACTTGCTCCTATGATGTTTTCCTGGGATTTGCTGTGGCTACAGCAGATTTGAATACTGTAAGAAGAATACCAGAACAAGGATTGTAGCTCGAGTTTGACATTTGAACATGTAGATGCACATGCTATTGAGGATCCATAGTGCAAGCAACGAAATCACCATTAATACCATAAACACTTTGATTTACATGTCAAATTCAATAAGATCTCGAGTACCCTCATCTGCATTTGTTTGTAGTTTAGCATAATGTTAGGTTTGAGGACGACCAGATCTCTCTCATCTGACATTAGGGCGTTGTTTCAAGGCTAATGTCCCGGGAATTCCATCCAAAATGGTCAAGAGCAAATTGTCTTTTACACTATAAAATTGGCATTCAGGTCCTTTTTCTGCCCTCCTCTTTTAGCTTTCCAACAAACACACACATACAATGGAGGAATCAAGCAATAACATAGCCGAATGGGAACAAAAACTTGTCGGTAAGATTCTCTTGGAAGATGATGCCGAACATACGCTGAACAACGATGAGGTAAAAATGTTCTTCTATAAGAAATCATGCAGTGTCAAGCTAACCATGAAACCTATGCAGGTTGTAAGGATTAAGGACCTGCCCTCTTATCATCGTGTTTTACCTCCTGGGGCCATCATGACTAGAGACTATCGTCTTGATCGGCTGAATGTGTTCATTGATAATAATCGCAAGGTGGAGCGCGTTTACTACGGTTAGACAATTCGGAATGCTTTCGTAGCCATGGAAACGCATAGGTACCCATAGTGCATTAAAGATTCATTTGTACCAAAATGTTGTTGGTTCTTCAATGATGCTAGAGTATCATGTCATGATTTATTAGCCAATAAATAGTTGAAATAAACACAAGCGCATCAGTCTACATCATCGACAGTCATATGATGCAGACTCCCTCTACCACCGTATTCTTTCGCCCGATAAGAAGAATGTAGAGGGGGATCGCTTATATCATCTATATCCTCCAACGAACAAGACTCTCTCCAATTTCGGATTCCTTTCAGGTAATTTTCATGCAGATCAGATTTGTACTCATCCAGCTTCTCCATGTTCTCAATTGCTAAATCGCGTCCAATGCGTTGAATCTCTTGGCCACGCACCGTCATCTTCTCCGCTTGTTGTATAGCTGCATCGAGTAAATCACCTGTAGCAGTGACAATCTTGCCCATAATTAAACGAAGAACATGGTCATACCAAAATGATATAAGTGGTACAGATTGGAGTAAGCCTAAAATCATTGTTGTTGTCTAAATACATGTGATTCTTGGGATATACACGCAATCACACACACCTTCCAAAGTCCAGCTATCTTCTTGTCTGTATATTTTCAATAATCCACTGTCTTGATCTGTCTCTTTGAAATGAAGCGTTGTGATGGCGGGCACTTGGAGATGAATGAATGAAGGAAATATACATGGCGAAATGTTTTGTGTTAAATGTACAACGGCTGTGTGTCTGTTGTATATAAAACAAGTGGGTTATTCATGTGAAATTAATTAATAATTGTGTGCTGTATTACCCATCAAATACAATGTTGTTGATTTGCGGCTCTGTTCTGTTCATGGCTTGCCAAACAGTGTATACACTAGGGATGAAGCGTCAAACTTGAATTCATGAGCTAGCAACTCCATAATGCTATATTTACTATTGTATATTCAGGACTCCCTCTGTGCTCATAATGGGTGATGATAATGAGGCGTTTTCAAAAAAATAGTACTCCAAAATGCGCTTTCTTTTGATGGTGTTGTAGGAAAATAGATCCTCTACAATGTCTATCATTTAGAGAAAGTGAGTTGAGCCTGTTGCAATGATGAACGATAGCAACATACTCTTTATAAGAACAGAGGGGGACACTTGAGTATCGCTGCCAATGTCAGACATGTGTAAAGTAGAAAGTGAAATAATGAGAAAGAAAGAGGGAGAGAAACGAATGTACGAGCCACATGAATTTAAGGAGGGCATTTTGTTTGATTTTTATTCACTGATTTCCCTCATTACAACCCAGACTCCCTTCTTGGTAAACCCCATATACACAAGCTCTGCTTTGTATTTCGGTCCAGCTCGGTAAAATTATGCATATGAACATTACCTGCGTGTTATCATTCAATTGTTTTATGTTGATGTGGGTATCATCAGCAACAGATGTTCAGAATAATACATCTGTACCTGATGCATGCGCTAGTGCAAAAAACTGATCAAGATTTGATTAAGGGCTTCAAAGTTTTATTGGCGGCTTGAATTCTCTCTGTCAAGCCATGTGCTATTATAATCAAAATACGAAATGCTGCTCCAGAGACATAATCAATTTAACTACTGCAGTTTACCCCGTTTGATATTGATGAATACTGCTGAAGGTTAACAAAACTCGCTCATCAATTTAGTAACATTGGAGCAGCAGCTCTTGCAACTAACCTGAATAAATACTGTCGTCGTAGCAACATCGTAAACAACACTGTTCTTATACGGTATAACCTCCCCATAATATAATACATTTGAAAGACATTCATCACATGAAACTGTTTAATAGATGCTAGATCAAGCAACTGTACCACCTTATCTTATTACTGATGATGAATAAAGAAGGACATAGATTGTACCAACTGGAATACCCTTTTATTACAAAGACAGCATCATGATAATGACAGTTTAATAAGAGATCAATGGGAGATCAATAGGAAATCAAACGGAAATCAACTAGTTGTAGATCTTCGTTGCTTCAACCTCTTAGCCAATCAGATTGCTTGAAAACTCCGCTGAGCTAAAAAAAATTTTGCGAGGGTTTCCCCCTGTTTTGATGTGAGGCAAAATTTTAAGCTCCGTTATATATAGCAATATAGCGGTTGCTATCATCAAATTTCCCCCAGGTGCTAGAGCATGCCTTACTTACACCACCTAGCTTTTAAATTCTGGCGTTGAGACTCTCAATCATCACTAAAGTAAGTAGCGATAACCAAGTGGAGGCAGCCTATCTACCTCCTAGCCTCGGACAAAGTCTTGTTGAGCTTCAGGGATAGGCACATCCACACAACGTAAAAAAAGGTATGCTTCAAAGAAACATAAGAATAATAATAAAAGAAAAGAACATACTACTAGGAGTATAGTCGTTTGTAGGCAAAAAAGGAAGACTCACACGAAGCGAGTCAAAGAAAAGCATAGCAAACACAACATCAAAGATGTTCAAAAAAGCTCGTTGCTGTTGCAAGAAAAATGCATACATGAGCAACGCGCATGCTAGTAATAGTCGGATGTAAAGCAACATGACACAAATACACACAACTGCAAAAGCAACAGTGGTATTATAAGCTTGCGATACAACAAAATGACTAATGTTGTTTCATGTAAAATTACAGAGGAAACACTACCAACAAAAGAAAAAGAAGCAGAAAAAGCGCAACAAGGCAAACATCATGAATGCTTTATCACGAAAAAGGAAGCAATGATATAAGCGTTCAAAGAAGTTTTATATCATTGCGACCAGAAGAAAGAAGATACTTACCACTTACCACAGCCACAGATAGACCATCATACGAGTATAGGCAATCACCGGAGACAGACCAGAGAACGAGCATGCACCAAGTATAGTAGATCAGAAAAGACCAAATTAGCAGCAGCAACACCAGTACCATAGACAAACTAAAGAACGAACGCCATCAGCAGAGAGCAGACAAAGACCAAAGAAGTTACTTACCACTTATCACCACCACAGATAGACCAGATATTACGCAATCACCGGATATGAACCAGAGAACGAGCGTGCACCAAATACAGTAGACCAGGAAAGACCAGATTAGCAGCAGCAGCAATACCAGCGCCATAGAAAAACCGAAGAATGAACGACACCAGAGACCACACAAAGACCAAAGAAGCAACAAGCAGACATAATAAACCAAAGAAGCAGACAGCAGAGATAGCAGAGAAGTAATGGCAGCATTACCCACGTCAAACAGACAAAAGAACCATCAAAGCCTAATAAACAAGTACAGTTATTAATATAAATTCTACGCATTCCAGTGCTCGTTATTGAATGGTACCTAATATATTCCACTTTAAAGAAGCATTATAAAGTGCTTCTAACAGTAAACGACAGTGCTATCAGAAGATATAGCGTTATTATCAATCAAATGGTTTTCAAGACCACCATGGTTTGATACTAAACGCGCTTTGCAAAAAAAGAGAAAAAAACGGGGGTATGGAAGAATGAGAGGGCGTCCTATTCGACGTCACGGCCAGTAGATTTGGTCTCAGTCTTCTGTCGCGGCAGCCCTAATTGCGGTAGTTTAATATAAATTTGTGCAGTGGGTATTTTCGTGCTCAAACTTGTCTTGATCTGACATCTTTTAAACGTTTTTACAAAATTTGACTATGAAAACTGTCATTATCACACCCAGCTTTCTAATATAACTTTACAGAACTAAAAAAGCTGCATCGAATGGTGCTCATTATATTCAGCTTTCACACCGAAAATAATGAGCAATTTGCAAAAGTATGAAAGCATGTTTTTTGCGAAAATGTCGAAATTTCACATGGGAAAATCTCATAGAAAGAGTTTCTAATATTGCATTACGTCTTTACGATCAATTTGATCTCATATGTATCTTAGGAAAAGTCTTCATTTTTGGGGTGAAAAACGCGATTGTTTGATTTTCAAGAATTTTCCCTTACTAGTACACATGAAAAAAATAAGAATTTTTATGGATTTGCAATGACCCAAAAAAATTTGAGATAAAGCATCAGCAAGTAAAGCGTGGCCGAGAAGAAACGTTTGGTGCACTTCCAAGCGTCTACAACGCTTTGTAGCATGAGTTATTCGTGCTTCAAAATGACTAAATTTGGGCAAAATTTGACCTACAAATAAGGCGTAGTAGGCTGTGTTGCTAAAGAAGTAAATAAATTAAAGCTCTGTCTGATATCTTTGATGTTCTGCATTGTACGAAACCCAACACCTAAGCGATCGACGCTTTTATTCTGATTCTATGGCTCAGATCTCTCTTTTTGAAATGCGCAAAGACAGTAATTTCATAACTTGAGCGTCAATGATATTGTGCAAATTTGGATCTAATAACTTCCTTAGACTGAATGAGATGCTTATAAGGTTAGTTAGCAGGACCTTTTTGATGGCAGTTCACAACAGAGATGCCATATCTAGCCGTGAAGCTAGACTTAAAATCTATCCACGATGCTGGACATTCTTCATAATTATTGAGAAATAGCTGATAGCATCAGACAAACTAAGTCGGCGTCAACGCAATGTGGGGAACAAACAACAAAATTATATATCTAGATCGATTAAACAGATATTCATTGCAGTGAAATTAGGTTTAAATAGATTTCACAAAAAAAATAAAGCAATAGTAAAATACAATAGAAATCAACTGTATTTTATTTGTGTATAAAATGAACTGGAGATCCTGGAATTGAGTAAAAAAAGAAGAGTATTTATACATTTGCAACTAGCTTGTAGGATTAGTGATGATAGAGAGCAATAGGTTCTGCTATTGCGATATCTGGCAAATGTTGTTGATGTTTGATTTAAAGTGGTAATCAATGCAAGAGCACTGGACATAAGGGTCGATTTGAGTAACCTTGATGGTTTAAAGTGTGATGTTTGTTATTGGAGTATGGAACCCTTTATCTGGGATATTGTGCAACTATGGCAGCAGGGCATAGCTGTCATATTTGAATATGCTTGTTATTGATTTGATTTTATTTGGATAAAGATAACATCACTTATTACGACCATCATGGATGTGATTGAATACACTGTGATCAGGAGTGATTCATTCACACGATGTGCGATATAAGCATGCATCTTTACTTTAGTATTTTTAAATGGTTTTTTTTATGTACATTTGAGCACTTTCATTAATAGATCCAAATAGCATGAATTTGAATGAGTGCTATTTGATGAACTTTGGTTTTCAATTAAGTTGCGTTTGGATGGCTATTTCATTACAATTGACAACCAACGTAGCAACTAAAAATCCGTCTGTATATATACCTGCTCGTGGAAGCGGGAAGAGAATGACCTTGATGTTAAAACTTCAATATCAACATAGGGCGTGAAACGGCCGAGTCTCTTTCATTACCGTTCACTGATAAAATGCACAGTACAAGTTTGACCCTCTGTTAAACGACAACGAGGAAGCAAGTTACGGTCAAGTGGTGATAACTACAAGGTGCTCCAACACCCTGTTCATCGTTTCTTCATTTGTATTAACTGGTAATTAACACCACGCTGTACATACTTAATCCATTCTCTTGAGAACCTGGTTGTGTTAAAACGTACCTTGTGCAGCCAGCAACTGAATTTCGCCTTTTTTAATATACTTCGTCTGTTGGCAGATCAAGCCAATGATGCGTAAAGTCTCATGGAGTGTAACACTCAATTCAAATCAACAGCAAAACCATCAACAACAAGTAGTAGTAAATAAGCTGTATACTTGCTCTATCTACATACACTATGGATTGTTACTCATAATATGATGTAGCTGAGAAAATTACTTATTTTTTGATCAGAAAGTGTTCCCTAAAAGAGCAACAAATTCAATGGCAAAGACTTACTTTCAGTGCATCGTAGCAACAAAGGTTATTCTAATATCTAAATACCCCATGTATTTCATGTTGTCTGAATGCGATTTATGATTTTGATGTGTTAGCATGTTCATTAGCGATTCAACAACAGTGGGCACCTCCAACAAAGCTGTCCCTGAACACTGTTTAGCACATTGTGTTAATCGGACAGAGTATCATTACAAGCTTTCAACTTTGATTTGTAAATAGCAAGATTTATTACTACTCTTTGTGCTTCATATAGTATAATTTATCAATAATACGATGATTCCTGCCGAAGTACCATTGTTAATTTCATTTTGCATAAGCATCTCCAGTAGTCACAAGCTGTTAAGCATGTAGTCCAATGGATTCTAGCCAGCAATTTCACATAAATGTGTCTTTCTTCACTATCAACTTGCTCAGATTATATATAATATGCCAAATCCTCTAGAGACATGGTTCACAGAGATACCACCTATCACAAGAATATATGTTTCTGCTGCTTGTTGTACTAGTATTGCAGTGGTAAATGCGTCTTAATGTACGCAGCAACAGCTTGTACCTAAACAGCTTTTTTTTTTAGCAACTCGGCTTTATACACCCTCTGCAATTATGGTTGAACTACGAGAGCATCGCTCACGATTTTCAGGTAAGCATGCAATGATGCTAGAGATTGACAGCAAAATATTGACTCACATGTGTATAATGCACTAGTGGTGGCGATTAATCACAAACTTCTTCTATTTTGGCCCTTTATCAATAGATTTTGGCTTTCATATATTCTTTCTGTAAGTGCTTGAAGCATCGAGTGAGATATAAGTAGCTAACAAGAAGAGCAAATAGAGCAAGGTACAGCAGGATGATGGAAGAGGGCTTTTTCAGAAACAAACCAGCGGATTATGTATGGCTCATGGTGTTCTCGGCAAGTGTACTACTCGTTATATCCGTACAGTATTCAAAAAGTTTGATGTTGTACACAGCATGTAACTCAAGACTATTATCACATAATAGATCATAGTACCATTTGCTTCTCTGCCTTTTATGGGATCCGCTCTCTCATTTACCATGGTTTACATTTGGGCTAGAAGAAATCCATATGTTCGCTTGAATTTCCTGGGATTACTCGTATTCACAGCCCCCTATTTACCATGGGTTCTGTTGATATTTTCATTGTGTTTGGGAGGCCAAATACCTACAGGCGATATACTCGGTGTATTGGTTGGACATATCTATTACTTTTTTGAAGATGTATGGCCTCGTGATCCAGTAAGCCAAGGAAAGAAATGGCTCGCTACACCAAGGATAATGTAAGTATAATTATTCCCTAATGGAATATAGGGCCGATCTACCACAACTGAGCCTCGTCAACTTACACAAACACAATCGCATCATTTGTAGTCGTTGGTTAGTGGAAGGAAACAGACCCAGAGATGATAGCATTGAGATTGGAACAGAGCAAGTGGAGGAAGAGGCAGAGGAAGCGGAGGAAGCACAGGAGGGGCAGCATGCTGTGGTGCCTGGATCAACAGCCGATACTGTATCTTCAGAGGAGCCAACGTTAATGACAGGAGATAGTCTAGATGAAGGAGATGACATCCGGGGAGATCCAAAAGAGGTATTGCCAAGATCTACATCAGAGCTATCAACCAAACCTACTACAACACCATCACCATCTACAACAACAACTAGCACAACACCCACTGCATTATCACCTAAACAATCAGCCGTAAGCGGTAGCAGTTTGAACGATGTACCTTCAATATAGAATTGTTTAGTGTAACTGAAAATTTATAAAAGAGCAAACTAAAAATCAATAAAAACAACTCAACTCCGGGTTTATATTAAATGTTTATAAGACAATCTTTTTAAATTAGAGTGCAACGAAGAGTATGCACCTACTCTTTCTTTCCCTTTCTTTCTCTCTTTTGTTCCTTTGTTGATATGGGCAATAGTCAATCGGATATCAAACATTCCTTTGGATCGAGAAACATCCCAAAACATTTGAAGCCGCTGAAAAAGAAGAAGAAATCAAAGAAGTCTAGCAACAGCAGTAACGTGAATCTCTCAGCAGCAGTAGCAGCACCACCAATTCCACCACTTCCAATCTTACTGCTGAATACTAGCAGTAATGAGGATGATGTACATTTGGCAGGCGAAGAGGCAGATTTTGTTGGATCTGGTCCTCGTGGCGCTTTTCGATGGTTCAAAGGCCGAAGGTATCTAAATCATGCTGAAGAGGTACTCCATCTGGAAGATTCATGGTTACAAATCATGATATTCATGTATAAATATAGGACGGCTTGAACAAGAATTTATTGCCAAATGACCAGCTGGAGCTAGACAGAATGAGAGTGTTGGCTTTTATAATTAGATGGGCATTTAAAGGGTAAATATCGCTTTATTTGAAACCATGAATTCAACAACCTTAAATTTGATTTAGTAATAATGTTGCTCCGGTACAAGACAAGTTACAACAGGGGATACAGGTGTTGAATGTGGGGTAAAGTAGTTTATGAATAAGCTTTTTTACATGCGTATGATATTCATGATTCATCCGTGTAGATATGGGCCTGGCATGTGGGTAACGTATTGCTGAATAATCTTGCGTTTTTATTATCATGTCAAAAAACTAAACATTTTGTGTTACTCGACCATGTTCTGCTAGCCTGGTCATCATATCATCGATATGGCATTAGATCACTACAATTCACATTTCACTGCTGTCGATGTGTTAGATTTGTTGCCTGCTGATTTTGAAGACACTGAGGCTAGTATTGCTTCAAATCAAGACGGCCATGAACTGAAATCACCTCCTGCTCAGGTGAACAATCTGACAGTATTCACCCCAATGCATCCAAACCTATCATCCAAGTTACAAAACACCACAACTCCTGTGATAGATTCGTCCACATTAGACAGCAGCTTTTTATTATCGCAAATCGATGAAATGGATTCATCTAACATAAGCAGTTGCATGACTGTCGAGAGCAGTGTGATGAGCACCAGCAAAGAAGAGAATGACGATGATGCCCATTTAGATACACTCCATGTGCCACTGTTGCTCGTCAATGGGGAACCAAAGCAACCATCGGCACCAGCACCGTGTGAAGCACCAAAGAAGCGTACATTACTGCACAACCTTGATTTCTATCAGGCAAATGTGGTGAATGCTAAATTGCCTTTTGCAGACAATCACTTTGACTATGTGAAGCAAAGACTTGTAACAGCCTCGTATACGCTTGCTGATTGGAAACGAGTGATGGCTGAATTGGTTCGTGTCACTAAACCTGGTGGTTACATCGAGCTGCTAGAAATTGACTATAATACACACAATTTGGGGCCCAACGGAAGGAAATGGGAAAGAGAATGTAAGCGGCATACAGAGCATAATGTACTCCTTCTGCTACCTTACATACTCATCTATACACACATTAGTAATAGAGGCTGCTCGACTAAAAAGACAAATGGAACCAAGAATCGCTCGACATTTGGCCGATCTTTTAAAAACGGTAGGTTTGATCGATGTATCCTCAAAGCTTGTATCTATCCCTCTTGGATCATGGGGCCTGGATCTTGGGGAATTGTGGAAACAAAATATGGAGAAGTTTGCGGATTCAACAAGCCCACTGCTGAGCAAACTAACCGGTGTCTCTGTGAGCGAGTATCGAAGACAGTGGTATAATCTACTTGATGAGGTGCGTGATAAACAGGCATTCAGCAACATTCACGCTGCTTGGGGAAGAAAGCCTCTTGATTACGACGATGGCAATGTAATCGCGATCGATTGGAGTTTGTGCCCCCCTTTCTCCACAAAATTATGATAATATGAATATAAAATTACGACACTAGAAATGTCTAATATGCCCAGTTCTCTCGCTCTTACAAGCATGAGCGCGAACATACCCACTGCTCGCTGTATATTTGCTAATAAAGATTATATAATATATATATATATATATATATATGCAAGCATGTTGCTATTTTAAAAGTGTTGCTGTCATTACACCAGCATCTTCAGTCATCCATATATTTTGCTTTTTGTGTTTCTCCTTGTTCTGAATTGTACACAAAGCCCCCTTAAAATTCGAAATGTGTCTATAAAGCGGTTGCTCTATTTGTTGATGGTCTCGTCCTCTTCTTCATCCTTCTTCATCCTTCTTCATCCTTCTTTATCCTTCTTCATCCTTACGAATGAATTCAGACACCACTGCAGTTCCACATTTGAGCAATTCACATAGTGCAAAATCTAGTCTGTCGTCGTCCTTACTAGGCAGCAGCCATAGCGGCAGCAAGAGGCAGAACGGCACCAACATTCGCAAGTTCTTCAACAAATTTCCAAGCCCAAAATCGCCTCCACTGTCACCGCATCCCGTCGACAATAGTAGATACCAAGGAGATATCAGCCACTGTCCAATGATGAACAGTAGGAATAGTAGCAGCATTAATGAAGAGCTATCTCCCACTCAGAAGCAGATTGATCTCGTGCGTACTAGTTGGGAAAGAGTCTCTGAAATCCGACACGAAGCAGATGATAGAAATGTATCCGCCTCGCATGCCTTTGGTTTAGCGTTTTACGATGCTTTATTTGAAATGGATGAAGACTGCAGACACTTGTTTGACAATGTATTTCAACAAGCAAGAGCTTTGACGGGCATGATCTCATACATTGCAAGAGCCCCTAATGTAACTAATAATAACTCTACCGTGACAAGACCTGCCTGTTGCGGTGGTGGTAATGGTGCTGACACTTATACATCCACTGGCCTTGATTCCCCACCTTCGACACCCACTACAATCAAAGGTATCAATGCTAGAAAGAGGGCGGTTGATTGCGATAGCAGTGGGGAGATTTACGATGAGGGAGACCCTGAATGGCTTGCACTCCAAATGAGAGAACTGGGTGCAAGACACTATTTTTATAAAGTAAAGCCACATCATTTAGAGCTTGTTGGTCCTGCTTTTGCTGCTGCCCTGAAAAAGAGATTAGGGAATGAATATACCACTGAAATTGGAGATGCATGGGTCAAGGTACATGATAAAAATAAGCAAGAGATTTCAAACGTCAAAAGCATCTTACATTTATTACATAGGCAAACTCTTATGCGGCATATAATATGAAAATTGGCTTCGATTCTCAGCAGGCCTGGGAGGAAGGCACTGCCAGTAACCGATCTTCAAGGAAAAGCAAAGCAGCATGTACAATTCAATAAAAAAAAAACGAGACAGAAGCCTGTGTGCATGCATACAGATGCTGTTACCTTTTTGTCACAGTAAATATAAATATCTGTCTCCACATACACACATCAAATTTAGACGCTCCTTTTGAACGTTTAATATAGAATAGCTCTATGTATTCATCTCATTTCATAATTATTACAAATGGCAATTCGGCGAGATTTTTGCGCGCAATGCTATATCTCTCCCTCCTTGATTGGTATCCAGTATTGAAGAAGAAAACAAAGGGGGGGGGGGTGGGGCAGACATGTTTCTCGAATTTACCCCTGAAACATGTTGTTGATGTTATCTACAACGTGTGGAACGTGGTGGGCTGAAATAACATGGAAGCCTTTTCTTAGTACAACTGGTACATCTATTTACATAAACAAGATTGAGGCTGGCATGTGTAATTAAGTTTGGTTAATTAATCGACGAGCGCAAACAATCGATTTTTAGGCAGCATCTTATTAAACTTGTTACTTTTTATGAGTGTACGCAGCAATCCGCAACGTTGATGGATAGTGTATCATACAAACTGGCGCCAGAGTGCATCAAAGTAGACTGCATCTATATAATCAGCCAGGCACTGGAGTCTCCTGTCTATACTACATGTGTAGGATGTCTAGGAGACATTTGATCACAAAACTATCTTTCATTTCACTCGAGCAATTTTTACGGTGCTCGAATAAAAAGCACTGCCATTAGGAGCGCGACCATCAAGCCTGGACCTGGTATTTTCAGCAACAACGAGTAAATGTTATTGATTGCCAATTCTTGAAAGACGCCCTAGATTGTAATTATCAACACATATACAGCAGTCAACTGTAACGCTTGACAAAGAAGTATACCAACAACGGTTAACTATCACTTTTGAAGGATAATTGTATATGGTGCGATAGATTCAGTAAGAAAGTTGATATAACAACGAATGGCACCATAAGGTACCTCTTGCAAGAGATCATTGAAAAGGATAAAGGGCGACAGAGGTAGTTTATGCTATATAATCAAGTCAAATCCATTCGTAATGTCTACCATTTATATTGATTTGAAACAAACAGCACTGGCCAGATGTTGCACTTCAAAGTCATAGGAGGAATAATGAACATTTCTATAACTTTTAATGTGTAAAAGGTGCTTTAGTAGCCAGGTATACTTCGACATAGATAAAGCATCCTGAAAGAAGATGATCTGCGAGCGAGTAAATGAAACTAATGAATGCCAGCCCCACAGTAATATTTGCGATCAGATCAACAGCCTTCTACAATTGAGTACTTTACTAGATCTTTTCACTAGCAAATACAATAGATACGCATGCAGATGGTGTCCCGTGCTACCTGAATCAGATATTGTGATCTCGTGCTGTCATGGCAATGCCGACTACAAGTTGAACATTTGGTATGTACTCTACAAGGGGTATTTTGCATGTTTGATGTAGTTTGCCCTCTTTTCCTGCTGACTGGAATTCTTGGGGAATGCGTAGATTTAGCCTCTGTAAAGACCGACCTGCAGGCCCCAGTGAGCGCAGCAAACAAGAGGCCATCCCGCACAGCCGCACACAACGCTACCAGGACAAAGGGGCAGGCAGGTATGACTTCCACCAGACATCTCTGTGAGATTCATCATCGACCTGGTAACCTCTTGGCAATATTCAATTGCTAAACACTCTTGCAATTCAAGGCGTAAATGAAACAACTATCTGTTAAATCAAGGTTGATTCAGCACGGCCATTTATAACCTACCTTTTATGAAAGTAACGAAAAAATGTGAAACCTTCTTCCCGATGAAGCAATTAAATTCTGTAAATAAATTCACTTTTTTTTAACGAGAGCAGGATCTTATCTTTTTTTTTTTCATCTTTCATCTTTCATTCAATATGGCACAACATCCAGAGCTTCAGTCCAAACCACTACAGCATCAAACCTATCGGCCTATTGCACCTTCTATTGCGCCGCCTACAATACTTCCTCGTCCAGAGGCTTTCAATTTGAAAAAACGAGAATGGGATGATGCTGATCAATCTGGATTAATAATGGGCAAAATACGTATGTTGGAGGGCTTTTTGTCTATCAATCTTCTATTTACATTCTGTCTATATAGAACGAAGAGGCAGCGGCAGCTCGCAAGGATCCAACAACTCGACTTCTCTAGCTGCAGACCAGCGCAGGCGACGCAAAGAGCAAAACAGAGCTGCACAAAGAGCTTTTAGGGAAAGAAAGGAACGTTATGTGAAAGAGCTTGAGGACAAAATCAAGGAAATCGAAGCAGCGCATGCTTTACAAATTTCTCTATTGGAAAAAGAGAATTCAAATCTGAAATCAGCCATGAACGGCATGCAGAATGAATTGAACAAGTACAAAGGCAACAGCTCTGCCAGCAATAGTAGTCCAATACCATTGCTTCCATCAACATCACCACCCGTAGCTGTAACAGTTGCCGAAGGGCAATCATCGCCGCCTTATTCAGACACCCGGTCTCCTGCCATCTCCGCCAATTCCACACCAAACACTTCGCCTGTAGCAACAACGCCTAGAGTACCTTCATCTGCAGTGGCATGCATTCGTGATAAAGATGGTGTCAGCTTTTGCGAGCGATTGAAGGAGGAAGTTTGCTCGAATGCCTACGATCGACTATTGACTGAGCCATTGTTTGATGCGCAAGGATATTTGAATGAGACAGTAGCCAGTCATCCAGTGCCTATTATCACATCGGCTACAAAGGAGAGGAGCAAAACAGATATGTTCAATGAATTGGAGCAATTTTTGACCGAGAATTTCTCGCCAACAGCAGAGGCGGCATCAAATACCAGCAATTCTGTTGATTTGATTTCATGTTCAGAAGTGTGGCAGAGAATCGCAAAGCATCCAATGTTTGAACAGTTCAATACAGACGAATTATGCAATGAGTTACGAAGAAGAGCTAAATGTTCAAGGACTGGGCCTGTATTTGAGGAATACGAGGTGAAGGAGGTACTGGATCTCATGGTATCGAAAATCAAACCATCATAGCGTTCCACTATGCTTTTATTACTCTTTGCGTGTACATAAGTCTATCCGTCAAAAATACCAACCTTAATAAATATGGCTGAACTCCTATTCAAAAGGCAGGCATAAAACTTGTTTGAGTTGAGATTTATAAATAACCTAATTGAAAGATCAATGAACTATATACCCTTTTCTTTTTTCTCTTTCTTCTTCGACTCACACAATACAAAAAGATGAATTGCCCATCGTTCATTTTAAAGGACCCCTACAACGATAAGGTCAAGATTAGAAGAGCAAAACATTCTCATGAATATGTTGTACCATCCCATTTCGCCACTATACCCACAAATCACACCCAATCTCGAATTATGAGAAATGCGCATATCAATGCACATCTCAGAATACCAAGCATCAAGGAGCAGGACGAATACGAGACCGAAGATGATGATGACCATATGCCAAAGACTCCCATTGGCGAAGATGATGAAGATGATGAAGATGATGAAGGCGATGAAGATGATGAAGGCGATGAAGATATACCTCTTGCAATGCTGGCCTTTCGAAAAGGGTTTATTGTTCCAGATAAAGTGGAGCATGTATATCCATTGATACAGCATGTGCCCCAAATGATGATGCCAATAAAAAGCAACAGTAAAAACAGCAAAGCTCCATCTCATAACAATCATCGGCTTCCTATGATGTACAGTTACTCTGCCATCTTGCCACCAATGCATTATCCCGAGAATCATCCCCAACAACAATCACGACAATTTTACCAACTGAACCGAAATTACTCTTACGATGGCACACCAAGTTCCAACTCGTCTGTTTCTTCGCTCTCATCTACTTTGGAAACACTTGCTTCAAGCAAATGCTATGGTCGGCATGGTGAATATCAGATCAACAACAGAGGGACAACCTCAGCGTATCTTCATCGAGAAAGATCTCTTCATATGTAGGATATGGATCAATATCATATTCTTTTTAATAATAATAAATGCTTTATTCGTCTTGCCAATAGTCCTTAGATAATTATCCATAGAGTCTAACAGTAATTCCTTTGTCTTTTCGACAATGAATTCATGCTTGATAAGGTAGAAATGCAAAGACTGCTCAGTACGCAAGGGTATCGATTATTTGGAATATCCACACGGTCCTCTTGCCTCATGTTTTGCTCCTTTTTGATATGTATCGGACTAGGAAATTTGCAGAAAGAAAACAGCAGGTTTTGTGATGATTTACATTGTACTTGCTCCTTTTTTGTTCAAGCTGAATAGCGGATGTTGACAATTATCTGGGGATTCATATTTTATCTGTGTGCATGAATGGTGCCTAAGATAAACCCATGGATTGAAAACAATTGGTTCAGTTTCATAGTCATCCTTTGGCCCATTGCGTGTTTAAAATAGGAAACCCAAAAGTAATCTGTATCAAGAGTTTTCTACTGAAAAACTTGTTCCTTTCCATTGAAAATAATGCCAATGCAGTACATTGGGTTTCGTAGTGAAAGAGATGACAATGCAATGCCAATCATGTTTGCTGATCTGCGAAGCTGCAATGTTGTTTTTAATTTATCAGTTTGAGTGTGTCTTCTCAATGAGTGTGGCTTACCCTGAAAAGACTGACAGTAAACAATGAAATGATGGCAGTTGGGCAGGATCAATGAAACTAGTCCAACTTGAAGGGAGCTGCAATGAGCTCGACCAAAATTGCTCTAGTGCCATCACTGTAGCTGCATCTCTAAAATATTCATTACGCAATATCTTTCCAAAAGAAACCTGTAGCTGTGTAGTATCTGACTCTTCCAAAATACTCCACGCCTGTATCAATCAAAGCAGCTCATATATGGGCAGACAGCATACCTACATTACCGCTCACTACTCAGATATATCCAAAACACAGCGAAATTGGGATGCCTTTGAGCCGTGTTTTCTCGTGATAGAAGCCATTTTGAACCACCAGAACACCAACACACAATTGCTCTCGTCTAGCAGTTGCTTCCTAACACCGTTTCTCAACTTTTTTGGGGTCGCCAAAAATTCATCAAAAATCCACGAAAAACCATGAGGGATACCTCATGATTTTCACCGAAAATCAAATGATTGCGTTTTTGACATCAAAAATGAAGACTTTTACTATAGCATTCATTAGATCAAAATGTTCCTCTCGGTCCAAAGCAACCCCTAAAACTTTGTTTGCAAGACCTTGATATGCAAAATCTCGACATTTGCGCCAAACACGTAATTTGATATTTTCAGAATTTGCTCAATAAGTCTGTTCAAAACACTTATTGATTTTGGCACCATTGGATGCGACTTGGAAAGTACATCAGAAAAGCTTAAGGAAGCATGAGATGATCATTATAGCTTGTATAGTCGAATATAGCAAAATAGATTAATCAAATTGAAACTTGGACCAAAATTAACGAATCACAGCAAAAAAATAACAAGCGGAGATTGAACTAATTCTGGGGGCCGGCTGGCAAACTTAATGCTACTAATGGTAATAATTGATTGATGAGGATCTCATTCATGCGTTGCCTCAATATACAATATCACAGAAAGTTGCGTCTATCGCTTGATTATAGTCATGCTACTATAGCTTACGTGGAGCAAGTAATAAAAGCCTTTAAACCGAAGGTAATCAGTACAATTATGAGCTCACAAAAGGGCATTGCGAGTAGAAACGAATTGCATCTTGGTAACGATAGATTCAATAGCAAATTAAAGCACTGAATATAAACAAAGTTTCACTTGCAATACACGGGTACCATTCAGTAGAGGAATTCTGCGCAATAAGAATGTTGAGCAATGAATTCACTCATTGCTTTTTCATCTATATGTTTTGATATACTACCCTTGATCATGTAGTCCCAAGTCCATTTGGAAGAATGGTAAATTAGTTTTAGTAGCAATGCTTATAGTAAAATAATCGAGAGTATGGAAATCACCATCGGGACACTTTATCTTCTTCCAATTCGTGATCTGAATAGTATGATTGGAGATAAAAAAGCGCAATAAATCTCAAAATCCACTAAATGTTAATAGAGCCCTGTCTGCTCTTTAGATTGTCAAACGCACTGCCCTGATTTATAAATGCTAAGTTCATATTGTTAGCTCTCAAACCGGTTCCTTAAATTGATTTGACATATTTACAAAAATGGCAGAAACTGACCAAAGTAGAAGGTCCATACAGCCAGTTTTGACCGACCTACCGGAGGGCATTTTACCTTGAGCAGAATTCACCAGGCCACACTGGACGGAGCCAAGCTAGAAAATAGCGATAGATAGGCCAGCATTCGTGCCGCTTGTCATCCTTATCAAAAACCAATCGATCCTATCAACAATTCACCATAAAATACGCAAAATGATTTGAATATGCGACCATCCAAGTTTTTAGACTTTTTTGGAACAGTATTCCTGTTTAAGAGTGGAGGCATTGTGGTATTTAAGCTCAAGTGCCGCTTGGATTCCTGGCGTGTATACGTATTACAAAAAAAAAAAAAAAAAAAAAAAACAATATAAAGCAAAAGGTTTATTTTTACCACGCTTCTTTTTCTTCTCTTTAATTTTTTTATTCATCTTGTGCTATATTCCAATGTGTACATCTGCTGCAGAAAACCCTGACCGTCAAGTCTTGCCTACCAACGTTAAGCCCACTCATTATGATTTGACTCTTCAACCCAACTTGAAGACCTTTGTCTTTTACGGTCAAGTCAAAGTCAAGTAAGTATCCACCCCCACCCCCAATGCGAGGGAGAGAGAAGAACATGTATTAAGGCGTACTCGTCATTTAGCTTGAATGTCAACCAAGATACCAAAACAATCACTCTTAATACACGCGACATCAAGATCCATTCTGCTGTATTGTCCTCTGAAGGTCTCAAGACCGAATCAAAGTAAGTGTTTCAGGATAGTATAAACAAAAGGGAAAGAAAGCATTAAGCTGCGTTATCTACACAGACAAACTGCTACTGAAATCACCTATGATGACAAGAAGGACTTGGCTACCATGACGTTTGCTGAATCTGTGCCTGCCAACACCAAGGCTGTATTGGATATTGCATTTGAGGGCGAATTAAACGATACCATGGCTGGTTTCTACAGATCTAGCTACAAGGATGCTGATGGCAATACCCAATACCTGGCTACTACTCAATTTGAACCTACTGATGCTCGCAGAGCTTTCCCTTGTTGGGATGAACCCAGTCTCAAGGCTACCTTTGATGTCACTTTGGTCGTTCCTTCTGAGCTCGTAGCTCTTTCAAACATGGATGTCATTTCCGAAAAGCCCTATCACGATACTGGTAAGCTTACTGGCAAGACTGAGGGTAAGACTGAGGGTAAGACTGAGGGTAAGACTGAGGGTAAGACAGAAGGTAAAACTGAAGGCAAGACCGAGTCTTCTAGCCAAAGTCTCAAGGAAGTCAAGTACTCTACCACTCCTTTGATGAGCACTTACCTTTTGGCCTTCTGTGTTGGTCCTTTTGAATATATTGAAGCTTTTACTAGTGGTGAACACAACGGAAGACCTATTCGTTCTCGTGTTTATGCATTGCCTGGCTCTGTTGAACAAGGCCGTCATGCCTTGAATGTCTGTATTGCTGCCCTTGAATACTTTGCTCAGGTCTTTGGCGAACCTTATCCCCTCCCCAAGATTGACATGGTTGCTATTCCTGATTTTGAAGCTGGTGCTATGGAGAACTGGGGTTTGATCACTTACAGAACTGTTGCCTTACTGTTTGATGAAAAGTCGTCTTCTATTGTGTTCAAGAAGAGTACTGCTTATACTGTCTGTCACGAATTGGCTCATCAATGGTTTGGTAACTTGGTCACTATGGAGTGGTGGGACCATTTGTGGTTGAATGAGGGTTTCGCAACTTGGGTCGGTTGGTTAGCTGTTGATAACATCTTCCCTGAATGGGATGTTTGGACTTCTTTTGTCAACGAAGACATGCCCCGTGCTTTGAGTCTCGATGCTCTCCGTTCTTCTCATCCTATCGAGGTCACTGTTAATGATCCTGCTGAAATTCACCAAATCTTCGATGCCATTTCATACTACAAGGGTGCTAGTGTCATTCGCATGTTGAGCTCTTGGCTCGGTGTAGAAACCTTCTTGGCTGGTGTTAGACGCTACGTCCATCGTCACAAGTTGAGCAATGCCTCTACCAATGATCTCTGGATCGCTTTGAGCGAGGAAGCCAATGTGGATGTATCCAAGTTCATGACTTTGTGGACCAAGCGTGTGGGTTACCCTGTTTTGACTGTCAAGAAGGATGGCGACGAATCCATCAATGTCACTCAATCTCGTTATCTCTCTACTGGCGATTTGAATGAAGAAGAGGATGGTACTGTTTGGTGGGTTCCCCTTGGTGTCCTCTTGCCCGAGAAGATCGAGCCTTACACTTTGACTGAAAAGTCTCAAAACTTTACAGTTCCTGCTGACGGGTTGTTCAAGATCAATGCTGGTCAAACCTCTGTTTATCGTGTCAACTATCCCATTGAGACCATTCGTGTTCTCGGTGATGAAGTCAAGAAGGGCAAGGACGGTCTTTTGGCAAACACCTCTGATCGTGTTGGCTTGATTGCTGATGCAGGCAACTTGTGTGTCAGTGGTGAGCAAACCACTGCTGCCTTCTTGGAACTCGCTCAAGCCTTTGTCAATGAGGAAAACTACTTGTAAGTGCTTTAGCATTATAAAGTAAACGATCGCTAACAAACATATTTGCATTACTAGTGTCTGGTCTCAATTGAGTACTCATCTCAGCAAGATCCTCAGTGTCTGGTATGAGCAACCTGAAGAAACCCGCGATGGTTTGAAGGCTCTTCGTCGCGCTTTGTTCGCCCCTATTGCTCACAAGCTCGGCTGGGAGTTCGCTGAGAGTGATGATTACCTTACCAACATTTTGCGTGTTCTTGCTCTGACTAACGCTGGTCGCTCAAACGATGGCGAGACTGTAGAGGAAGCCAAGAAGCGTTTCTGGCAATTCGTTGAAGGTAACACTGATGCCCTTCATCCTAACCTTCGTGGCCCTGTCTATAACATTGTCTTGGGTGCTGCTGAAAATGAGGAGGAAGAAGAAAAGTTCTGGGAGCAAATCCTCAAGATCTACCGCGACGAAAACCTGCCTACCGATCAAAGATTGATTGCCCTCAACTCTTTGGGTGGTGTCAAGAGCAAGGCCTTGATTCAAAGATACCTTGATATGTCCATGGATGAGAAGGAAGTCAGAGGCCAAGATTCTCTCTATGTCTTTGGTTCATTGAACTCTAACCCTGATGCTCGTGATCTTCTCTGGAAGTTCTTTACCGAGAACTTTGACGTCTTGCACGCCAAGTTTGCCAAGTCTTTGAGCCTGTTTGGTTCTGCTATTCGCTCTGCTGTGGGTGGATTCGTTTCTCACGATCGTATTGCCGAAATCGAAGCCTTCTTTGCTGACAAGGATACCAAGGAATACGCTCGTCCTCTTCAACAAGCTTTGGAAGGCAACAGAGTCAATGCTAAATGGGTTGAGAGAGATCATCAACTCGTCGCTGATTGGATCAAAGCCAACGAAAAGAACTTTGCTTAAATCATCTCAAACAAAACTACCCTAATGTAATTTCACATTCTATCTACATGTAAATAAAATCAACCAACTTTCAATACAGTTGCCCTATCTCTCCTTTTTTTTTAACATGTCGTTTAATATGATTGTTACTGAATTAAAATGCTTTCATAAAAGTACTATTTTTTTTTTTTTTTTGGTTGATTATCCAGGAATCTTGAGGTTATTTATTGAGCAGTAGCAGGTTGAGCTTGAACAATAGAGTTGCCAAATTGTGTAATCAGGCCCTTGGCCATTGTGTAAGCTTTGGTAACAACAACGGGAATACGGGGATCAGCTGAAGGAGGCAAGAGCAAAGCATCCAACTTGACGCGAAGCTCGGTGAAGGTTTGACGGGTGTATGTTGATAAATGATAACGGAAACGAAGGAATTGTGCAAACAAGATGATGGGCACAATATTCAGACTAAATGGCAAGTTGTTTTTAGCCATCACTGCCTCTTTAAACCCTTTATAAATCCTCTCAACTTACCGGAACAGACCCAAAATCAAACGAACAGCAATGACAGTAACTTCGGATTGAGCAACGAAACGCATAGCAGCGCCATAGTATTTATCAGTCCAAGATTTGATCTTTTCTTGAACATTGGCTTGCCATGAAGCGGGTGCAGTTTCGTTTCCACCAGCTGGTGCTGCGGGACGAGGGAATACATAGGGAATGATGTTGGTGCGAACATACCCAAGTGCATGGAATGCTGAGAAGGTGAAAAAGGGTATCAAAGTAACTATGTCATGCACATTAGCATAAATTTCAGCCACTACACGCTAATATACACATTACCAGTGATGGGAGCAGAAAAGAACCAGAAGAGTGCGAGCAATAGATACTGAGCGTTTTCGTCCATGACCAGCTTGCGAGCATAACTGGCATTAGGTTGAGGTTTCTGGGTGTGGGTGTGTGTTTTTGTTAGTATCAGTGTTATGAGGTCATATTGACTAATGTATGTTTATACAAAAGCGAAAACAACTTACGCCGTGAGACTTGTAAATAACAACACCATATGATAACAAGGCGCCAAAGTAAGCGAGCTTATAAAAGTATGTGTTAGAACGGAATAAAGCGACAGTAATGGCATATAAGATTGTGCCGAGAAGTGTCAAGACATGGCCAGTAAACCAAGCAAATTGAAGTGTCTAGAAGCAAGCAGGTTGGTTCATCTGAAAGACAGGTGTCTCTCGAATCTTTAGTTATACTTACCTTGACAAGTAAAAGTACGCGTGCTTGCAATGGAGCAGAAGCTGGTGGAGCCATTATATGAAAACCTTTAGAATGATAAAAAAGAAGAGGAAGAAGAAAATTACGAAACACGCAATGATGAATTAACCTCTTACTTTTTGGGTTCAAAACAGAAAGGTCAATTCATCGTCACCTGTTTCTCCATTTGTGAGACATACAACAACAAACATGTATTTATGGCAGTTAATGGTGTCTACCCAGAGGAAGTAATTGGAGCTGCTCGTACTGTGATAGTAAAAAGACATTTTCATACAGATAATCAACAGCTCGGCATTATCTACTATACAGTACAATATGTGTTTCGTCCTCCTAGATGTCAGACGCACATCCCAACAAATATTTCTCTTTGCCATCTGTACTAGACAATTTAGGTTGAGAAAATGTGAGCTTGCTGTGTATAGCAATAGCTGGCTTTTGAAGTGGGCGATTACATTATCAGGCAATTCCATGCATTGGATAGATCATTCTTGTCCTCAACGAGGCGAAATGACGTTGGTCTTGCTCGCACATCATGCCCAAGATACACAGTACACGCAGTAAGCAACATATTTCTTCTGTGCAAGGAAATCTACTACTGTCATGGCACATACGGAGCAATTCCATGTTGAGTTTGTTGAGTTCCAAGCAAATAACACAGCTAATGTGTCAATGTCAATGAGTGGTCTGTTTTGACATTTGTATAAGGTCCTCTGGGATAGCAAGATTACTTTATTCAAATAAAAGGATATATGTATATATGTATAAGTATGTAAATGTAGCATTAAAGGTTCTTTTTTGCGTCGGATCTGGTCACTGGCTTTCTAGGAGGATCTTGCTTCTTTATATTTTCAGGCTCTGTATCCTTGCTCTCTGTGGTCAACTTGCCCAACACTTCAGCGAGAGCATCCACTTCCTTGTCTTCCTTTTGCTCAATAATATCCTCCTTTTCTTTCTCTGCGGCCAACGTCTTGGCTTCTTGCTCTGCCTTCCATATAGCCTTCAGTTTCTCATGACCCTTGGTATATATCATATCCAAATCCTTGTCCCAACCAAGCAACGCTGCCAGTTTTTCAACGCCTTCATCGCAGGCACCCAAAAATGCAACATCTCTATTCAATCCATTCTTCCACTTAAAGTCGAATCCAGACGATCTCGACTTATGCACGCCTGCCAGCTCCTTGTTGATCAAAAGTCGAGGAACATGCTCAGGAACATCATCAATCAATGAGGCAAACGGTTGTACTTGTAAGCTGGTACCAATGATAATCAACAAATCAGCCTTTTCAAAATCCTAATACACCCTTATTAGTTTTTTGCTGGATGTGTGTACTCTCTTTCCCTAAAACCCTACATGCAAATTCTCAAAGAAACGCCTGGGTAAATTCTCACCAAAAAACGTAATATCTGGCTTAATCAACTGATCACACTTTTCGCAGTGAGGTACTTGGCCCTTCAAAGCATATTCTCTGACCATTTCTGAATCTGCTGTGGCGTCGCATTCGACACAGGATGCAGTGGCAAAACTTCCATGAGCTTCAATAATGTATTCTTGATCAAGCCCAGTCATACGTTCAAGTGTGTCGATGTTTTGAGTGAAGTTTCTGAGCAAAACACCCTTTTCTTGCAAGAGTCGTACAAAGTAATGCGTCTTTGTGGGGAGAAACTTTCCTGGATATAGCTCTTTGGCCAATGCATAAAATGGGTCTGGTTTTTCCTACGTAAAAATGTGCATTAGACACATGCCTCGAGCTACTAGGCAATGAATCACATACAAGAAAGTACTCTATATCAAATACAGCCTCAGCGTAGGGCAAATTAAACTTTTGAAGATTGTGGTATAAGCCAGTATCTTTACTGCGAAAATCTGGAATACCAGCAGCAGTAGAGATACCTGCTCCTGACATGACAATGATGTTCTTCACTACATGCGAGAAAAGAAAGTGTCAATTCAGCTGCGCACGAGCACATCCATCTCGACATTACCGTCATTATTCTTGATATAGTCGGCGATGGCTTCAATGGAAGCAGCTTCCAAGATGCCCTTCTTGGATTGGCGATACTTGGGCATGTAAATCAAAGAAATAGTAAACCAGGAAAAGAAGATTAAACAAAGTTTTTCGAGAAAAGTTACCTTTACTCAAGAGTCACTTTTGTTTGTGATACCGCATATATGACATAATGATGCAACTCTTGAGACGCTAATCCGTATTGATACTAAAGAATACCAGTGCTTGGGTGATCTATATGGATGATGCTGTCGTAATGAAAACCGCATTCAATCGTTGGATTATTTGTATAACATCTTGACTTGATGTGCAATATTAGACATCTCCATCCATTGCTGAAAGAACGAGATATGCCATTGGCATTTTGTGAAGGATGTACCGTGGTTTGTCGGCCTAGAATAGCACGAGAGCTCAAACGGTAAATAATCGTTCGCTCCACAATAGTGATAGCATTTTCAGACGAGGTTATACTGTTTAAGATTGCAGTAATGACCAGAATAAAACGGAAAAAGCACGTTTTCAGAATTAGACTGCCTGATGTAGAAAAAAGTGTGCTTCGTTCAAACTGATACCACTAATTCTAACAGAAGTTTGCTGTTTACTGAAAGGCGCTATTCAGAGGCCTAAAGGCTATGAATATATTGATGTTGCATATACTGTTTCAATCTATAGTAAAACAAAATGCCACCTGTCTACTCTATTAATGCAGCTCTTCCTGACTCATAATCCCCTTCTCATTAGCCTCCAACAGCATATATTTCTTCAGTTTAAGGTTTTTATTACTTGTGAGTGTGCTTTGGATGGCTCTCTACCTTCGCTTCGCTTCGATGAGAACCAGCCTGCACAGCGACAGTTCGTGCTACCGATTGCCCTTGCGTATTTTATCAAAATACCGCTACTTCCATTTTGACCCTCCACTTACGCATGATAACCCTTCATAGTATCTGTGAATCTGATTCTTATGTAATACTTTACATCCATATACATGTAGCTATTTCATATACAGGCAAGTATCATACAGATATTATCCCTTTTTAGTCAAAAGTGTGCTTAATACAGCAAAATTTAAGTGCATTTGTGCTGCGTTTTCTCGCGTTCAAGGCTGTTTTAGATCGTCAGAATAGCACCAGGCAATTGCTCTCATCTGGCAGTTAGTTTCTGACACATTTGCTCAACTTTTTGGGGACCAAAAAAACATGGCCAAAAATCGACCAAAAGCATGAGGTACCCCTCATGGTTTTCATTGAAAATCAAACGATCGCATTTTTCACCTTGATAATGAAGACTTTTGGTATGGTATATCATGAATCAAAATGTTTCTATCAATCCACGTACCCTCTGAAATCATCTTTGTGGGACCTTGATATGCAAAATCTTGACTTTTTGGCCAGAAACCTCTTTTCATATTTTCGTAAATCACTAAATAAGTTTATTCAAAACATCTATCTCACTTGGTACTATTGGATGCGCCTTGAAAAGCACTCCAAGAAAGCTTAAAGAAGCTTAGGATGATCATCATATTCTATATAGTCGAATCTTCAAAAATAGATTGATCGAGTCCAAAATCATCAAGATTTGGCCAATCTAGAACAGATTATGAGTCTGGATTTGAATTCATTTTGGCTGGTAGGGCTGGCTGGCAAACTCAATACCCTTCTCATCATAAGGCAATACAACAGTTGATGCTTTTGAAGCATATGGAAAGTAGATGGTAAATTACATAAAAGTATAGATGGCCATGCTATTTTCCTTGCATTCTATGATCAACAACGCCAGTCTATCAAAATACTTGTTAGAGCAATTTCTTTCCTTTTTGAGGCTTTGAAAGTGCCTAGGGACCATAAATTTATTATGTTATGATGATATAAACCATGCCTGACAAATGTCTGGCAACTCAGCTTTATATTAGAGTTGTAGAAGTGTCTAGAGACTGTAAAGCTATTATACTGTGATTCCACGAAAACTATAGTAGCATGACTATAATCAAGCGGCGGGCGCAATTTTCTATGATATTATATGTTAAGACCTATGTATGAGAATGATCTATAAGAAATTACAAATTATAGGCTGGCGTGAATGAGATTCTCGGTGATCATCTTATGGATGTTGAGTCGGATACTATCCAGCACAGCAGCAGGAGCGAAGAAAAATTGATTGGAGATAAGACGACAGTGAGCCTTCCAAACGTCAGACATCGCAATGATGACTATACGATGGGAGGAGGCACGAGGCTGTTGATTATACCAAATGTTGTAAAATTCCAGAGTAAGTAGGGAACGGCGGGTATCATCACTGGTTACTGTGGGCCATAGAAACTCTTCTACTACCATCAGGATAGGCCTGACATCAAGTTTGCCAACCGGCCCCCAGAATTAGTTCAATCTCCGCTTGTTATTTTTTTGCTGTGATTCGTTAATTTTGGTCCAAGTTTCAATTTGATTAATCTATTTTGCTATATTCGACTATACAAGCTGTAATGATCATCTCATGCTTCCTTAAGCTTTTCTGATGTACTTTCCAAGTCGCATCCAATGGTGCCAAAATCAATAAGTGTTTTGAACAGACTTATTGAGCAAATTCTGAAAATATCAAATTACGTGTTTGGCGCAAATGTCGAGATTTTGCATATCAAGGTCTTGCAAACAAAGTTTTAGGGGTTGTTTTGGACCGAGAGGAACATTTTGATCTAATGAATGCTATAGTAAAAGTCTTCATTTTTGATGTCAAAAAACGCGATCATTTGATTTTCGGTGAAAATCATGAGGTATCCCTCATGGTTTTTCGTGGATTTTTGGTGAATTTTTGGCGACCCCAAAAAAGTTGAGAAACGGTGTTAGGAAGCAACTTCTAGACGAGAGCAATTGTGTGGTGGTGCTCTGGTGGTTCAAAATGGCTTCTATCACGAGAAAACACGGCTCAAAGGCATCCCAATTTCGCTGTGTTTTGGATATATCTGAGTAGTGAGCGGTAATGTAGGTATGCTGTCTGCCCATATATGAGCTGCTTTGATTGATACAGGCGTGGAGTATCTTGGAAGAGTCAAATCCAGAATTACAGAGCATTGATCGAGGGGTTTCATGTTTTAATGTAAAGCTAAAAGTGAAATGTTGGTATATATTGGTAGAATATCATGAAAATACCTCTACCGCATAAAAATTCGTAGACTGCAGTATACAAGCCAATCTTTTTCGGCTTTTAGCGCATAGACCAACATCCTGAATCGCCACGAATGTCCTTGAATTCAAATTTAAATTAAAAACCTCGTCTGAGCGATTATTAGGTTTTTGATTCCCATTTTAGCAGGAATACGGTTTGAGCAATTGGTATTTAGTAAGAAAAAGAACGTTTTTGAAGGGTTTATTATATATTACAGATGATTGAGAAAATTATCAATGATAAAATTGGTAAGAAAATGTCAAATAGAAGTGTGAAAAAGAGATAGATAGAGCAATCTATAGAAAAGATATATGTATATGTGTGTGATATGTGGTAATTGACATTGTCAGGATTTGATGTTTGCGATGGGGTTAAATAAATAAGTTTTATACTCTGTTCCTCCCCTCTTTTTCACCCTTTCCATTGTATCGATATCCTCCACTTCAAGGATTGAATGCGATGAGGGATATCAGAATAGAAGCGACTTTACTCGGTCTTCTTAGCCTTACGGTTACCATAAGTCTTGCGAGCAAAATCAACAAAAAGATAAGTAAGAGGCAAAAGATAACCAACATTGATAGCAACAGCAAATTGTTGACCAGGGGTTCTTAGACAGTTGGGCACGATAAGATAAGAGACAGCAGTAGACATACCGACCAAGAATTGGGAGATTTGCATAGAGGTCAAGTAACGCTTACCAGGAGGATGAAGACCAATGGATGTCAAGGCGTAATACATGTACATGATGGAGTGGATGAGAGAATTGAATACAACAAAGATCCAAATGGGTTGTGCTTGATAACGGATACCAGACCACATAGTAATCATGGCGCCAGAGTGGTGGTAAGTTTGCAAGAGAGAAGAACGACGGCCCTTCAAGATGATGATGGCGGTATCAATGACTTCGTAAAATTTAGAGAGATAAAAGAGGTAACCCCAGTAACCAAGACCTTCATTCCACAGGAAGCTATCCAAATCACAGTACTATAATTTACTGTTAACACTAATCCTCTCTGTGTTGCTCAATGTGTATATATACTTACAGCATCATGAATAGATGAACCACGGTTGAACAACTTGTGCATGTTTTGGGCCATGTTGATAAAAGTGACACCAGAGTATACTGAAAGGATCAAATTGTGTACAAAGACGAATGCTGTCATGAGTTTGCTTGATTTTGAAGCATTACCCTCACCACGGTTCTTTGCTTCGACTCGAGAGAGCTTGGCAGATGCAGTAGAAGGGTTAAACAAGTGAACACAGATGGCATAAACAGAAGCAATGGCCACAGGTGTCTTCCAATCCATAAAGAATTCATAGTATTCAGGGAAGGGGATTCCAGGAATGGGTTGAAGCTTATCCACGTCCATGGTAGTAATGAAATGAAAGAGAAAATGTGTACAAAACAAGAAAGAAGAAGAGAAAAAGGCCACTTGACAATGACACAGGCTTTATATACAAAATTCGCGGGGAGGGCCTGCTCTTGTTGTTGCCAATTATGAAACTAGAGTCCACTAAGCATTGAGATCAAAAGGCGGGCAATTCATCATGTATATTAAGAAGCATAACAAATTGTTTTATCTATTGCACAAACTCAGATCCCCAGAATTTGGGTGCTGCAAAACAAAACAAAGCGTCGATGTGGGGCAAAAAAGTTTATATATGTAAATGTTAAGCTTGTCGAGGACTGATATACAGCGACTGTGCTTCTGCCATGCGTTCTCCATCCAACATAGTCTCTATCCATGCGTCTGCATAGGCTTTTCGTCCTTCTACTCTGTTCAATTCGCCATGAATGCTAATCCATTGATTTGGTCTGACAGGTTGGATGTAATCGACATTTAAATTAGCCGTGAATCCTGTGTAATTGGGTAAACTAGGTAATGACTATATACACATTGATCTCATTAGTATACGCTGCTATAGCTTACTCGTAATATACATACAACAAATGCCAAATGCTCATCCAATAATGTTGCTAATAGTCCATTATGTACAAATCCATGATGGCCACATCTATCAAAAAGAGAGATTTCATTAGATATTTTTGTGATCCAGTTATGTCTTTAGGTAACCATGGTAACCAAATCCAATAAGAAACGCCCCAACATGCCGAATATACCCAAAATCTTTATAGACAATCTAGCATATCAATGGATAACGATCGCATAGGGAGCAATTTTGATTACCATTTATTATTTGCTTTTCTGCAATGTGCACATTGCAGCTCGTCTGTCGCCCCCCCCCCCAATTCATGTTCGTAACACACTTACAAATGATCCCCTAAATGTAAAATGACAATGCACTTTGTCTTGTCTTGATTGAAGAATTTCAATGGTCGACGCAAAATTTTATCCTGGCCTCGCAGTGAGTGTGCTGTCAGCGAATGCTCTCTAGCTGAATCAGTCAGATAACCATGAGAAATAGCTTCAATCCATTCAGGTGAGCTTCGAAGATCCTTGACTAGTTGCAAAGCCTCTTCCTGTCTTTTCAACTCTTTTTCCTCAGGGCATAATACTTTGTGTTCCTCTGTGATCACAACCCTTTCTGCCTTTGGATTATGGCGACTCATGTTGGTATCAAACGGCTTTTCTGTCACTGTGGGTTGTAGTGTCATTGTTGTTTGCGTTAGTATGGGTGCGAAGTACACACAAAAAAGAGCAAAACGAAAGAGAGAGAGAGGCGGCAGCAATGTTCGTGTGAATTCCTGTACCTGTGTGCATATGAAACACACCTGTAAAGTTTTCCCGCTTTATTGAAATTTGTCATGCTACAAGCCAGTGTATTCTAGTCTACATAAACCAGCTGCACCACCCGATGCCACCCAGCCGCACGCATTTTTGTTTGGATTCCATGCAATCTACCATATCCGATTGTAAGCAACAGTATCGAGATCATTATGTAAAAGAAGCATTACCTTATGTAATGCGATGATTGGGTTTTGCAACACACTCAAATAATCATGGTCAGCAGGTGTTGTCTAGTGTCATCAAGCAGATGTTAAGAATTTGAGCTTTTACTGAATTTGAGATGCTTACCTTGGGTTGAAATCCGTCTTTGTATTTGAAAGATTTGGACGCATCATCTAATATCAGCTCATAAAGCGTGCATTCGGCTGGCTATACAGATATTCATGTTAGATACGATTGTAATTTTTGTATGCATACATACTCTGTGGCTTTGTGTGTATACAATATCGTCGTGAGCAAATGGTTTCACTATAGCGGTGCCATTCGAGCCTACTGAGGCCATGATGCCATGATGTGGACTCACAGCACATTGCCACACCATGCTATTATGCGATGTTAATGAAGCAGCTTTTTTAATCGTAAGATGCATATTTCGCCTCACAACGCCATCACTCTCTGCGTACAAAAATCCTGACCCAAATCCGGGCCCACACAAGCAAACATAGGGATCTATTAGTAGATGCCGTATAAGTATTTTGGACGTATAAACCAATATGCTGCCCCTACATCTCACTCTGAATATCTTGTACGGGAAAAATGGGTCATTCAAATCATGCAAGATAACATTTCCATCCGTATCGCTTGATAGCAATGTAACCTCATCAAACAAAGATTTCCAGGCAATGCACCGAATAGCCAGCATACTTGCATTTGGTATATTTACGCTGATAACGCCCTGCTTCTGTAAAAGTGATTCTAAGATATCCCAAATCACGATGCTCCCTGATCTCGTCCCACATGCTAGTTTCCTGTAACCGCCCCAAGCAAAGCAAAGAATGCTGTTTTCATTTGGGTTTGATAGCCTTAATTCGAGTCTTGCTTGGTTTGCTCTGACTAAAACCAGTTAGCCAGCTTCCTTACACTGTCATTCAAAGTAGCGTCTTACTGTATACGGTGTCTTGCTGTGCTGATTGGTATTTCTTGTGGGCATATTGCGGATGGGGAACCACAAATAATCGAACTACTCCATTATTGAACATGGCAGCCAAAATACCTAGTTTCTGCGCTCACACATGATCTGTTGAATATTACAAAAGAAGCTCCTGAAAAGCATTTGTACCTCACCTTCTTATCATATACACTGAATGGACACCATTTAAAGTCGACCACTACGCCAAAATCATGCAAAATGCACATATCCAGTACAGGTGTAAAGCTTGATGTCAAAGATTTGCACTTCCAGATCTGAATGGCATTCCGCCTGTTGTCCATATCAATATCTTCGCATAGCAAGTGATGCTCTTTTGTTGTATTGTAGCCTCCAATTGCCAAATACTGATCATTGCGTTTGTCGGATGACGGCTTGGGTACGAAATCTAGGCCCCAAATAGAACCACCCGCATTGATGATATGAGCTCTTTTGTTGGAAATGCATTTACTAACGTCAATCGATTCAAAATTGTCTATAGTTTCTGTCTGTATATTTGTTATTCCTGTGGTGACAGTTGCTTTGTTCGGCTTTGGAAGGTATTTGTCTATCTCTGTCCTGAATAAATGTGATGATGAATACGGAACTATCCATCGCAACAAGTACCATATACTTACTGATCATTTAGGATAGTCCACTCATCTTCTAAAAGCGGTACTTGCTGGTAATCATTTCTAATAGAATGTCGATCATACAGCCCTGAATATTCAGTGATAGGTTTGGTTGATGCCATGGTATAGAAACAATAGTTCATGCTTCTCTTGTAATTCCGCATCATTCAAAAATTTGTGGCTTGAAGTGCACGAAAAGGTTTACCAGTGACCCCAACTGAAGGTATATAAAATGCTCTGAAAATCTTTTTCTCTCTCCTTATTCAAATGCTCTCTTGTTTCGTGTAAACATCCAAAGGTAATTATATACACAGTTTCTTTTTTTTCTTGTCATATCCGCTCTATGGATACAACCCACAAGTCTTGTCAGGTGATCCAACGAGCCTTGCGCTCATTTCAATGATGGTTCTCTGTTACACTCGTGGAAAATTAATCATATCATTTTAACTGTTGTCCACCTGTTCTAGGTGCGGCACGACCAAGATGATTCCGTCTCGATTGAGTTGAAGCCAACCTGCTTTATTGCAGTTTATTTGGTTGTCTTCTTAGTTACGAGACAAACATCTTTTTCCTTTATTTTACTATTTTTAATTTTGAGATGAATTCTCTTTATTAACATTTTTCAGATCTTTCTTAGGATCCTTGGTTTGTCTACTCTGATTAAATTGATTATTATAATAAAAACCTTGTAAATAACATTACTTTATCATTTGTATTTTGTTTTTGTACTATGAAATGCTGTCTTAATGATAATGGGCTGATGACATTGGCTTTGGTCGAATGTTTATTTCGATAAATGTCATCTTCCAGGGGCAGCTGTCAAACGTGTTGATAGATCATATTGTGTGATGATCCAGCATCATTAATTGAAGCTGCTTAGTTATAGAAGTATGGCATGGATCATGAAGCACATTGAATCTCTAAGAGCAGCTTGCTTTAGCGTCGATTTGACTTTGTTTGACAGATCATCTAGCCAGGTACTTTTCACAAATGGGATGCAAAGCAGTAGTAATAATGAGTTGATCCAGGAGGCTTAGCGAAAAATTTATCCTCAAACACAAAGGTATTTAAACAGCTAAAAAAATTTTACGCTATGGTTGTTTTTTCTTTTAACCATCAAACATATTTTCGGTAAGTTTCTATTGATAAAAGGAAAGAAAAGGATTGTTGTAATGTGGATGACGAAAACCATACATTGTCTTCATTTTAACTTATCGACCATGATGATATAAACCGCAGTGCTTCGCTGAGTGCTGTTGATACTTGCCAGTATAACTCCCTGACACATTATGCGTTCTTTTCTTTCTTGAAGATTTTTTCATAGCGCTAACATTTCTATCTTACAGTTTGCTGCTTGTGCAATTTGTTGAAAGGAGAGATGCGTGAACGCATGTAGGCTGTATGTCAAGGTAAGATGCTTGTCCAATTTGCGTGCATACACGAGAGAAACACGAAATCAATTACTGCTTCTATAACGGGATGAAAACAACACACATCAAAAATAGGAAGAGCCGTCTTAGAGTCCTGCTATCGATAAGATTTCGAAGCAGAGGCTTTTGCTGAGTAATGTTTACAAACGTACTGAAAGTTATATGAAGCGCAATTGATTTCTCTCTCTTGTATTGCACAGTGCAATGTGATGTTGGAGCTGTGGTTATTAACGGGTTTATATAATTGTAGGTAATCATAGCGAATGTATATAATTTTCATCCAGAATCATTGTGAATAAAACATCTTATATCTATATTTGACTTGTCTTCACTTGTATTTTCGTGATTTGCCACTACATGCTTGTTAATGCAAGAGTTAGTGATACCCCAATTCCAACCGTGAATAACAGACGCAGTGCAATGTTTATTCATAGTTCAAGCAAAATCCAATATCCAGTTTTCTTCGATTACCAGTTTAAAAGATTACAATCAACATTATCCTCTCTTTCTCTAACTACAGTGGCCGTAATTTGTAGCTGGGACTTATTGAATACGTCCAACTGAGCATCAGTGATGGAGCTCTCTTCTTCTGGAGAGGGTGTACGATACATGCCGCGTAGAAAATCTGTTTCAAAGTATGCCCTGACAAAGGTGATATGTGTCAAACGAGAAAACAGACTCGTCAGTTGATACAGATAGCTCATGGGTGTATGTTCTGGCAAATCCATCAGCTTGAGATTTGTCACTTCTCGAATACTAGTGTCCAGCAAATGATGTGGCTGTTGAGATAACTTAACAAGTGCAGTAGCTGTTGTGGCATCCATCGTGAGTGTGCTCAGTTTTTGGTAGTTAGATTCCCAAATCCATACTGCAAGCCTTTCGTGATTGACCTGTTTAAGACGAGAGATGTCCAACGATTCAGTGAAGTGGTGTATACATGAAAACTTGCGAATGTCGTCCAGTTTGCAATTGGTTTGTGTTATCGACAGGGTTGTTAAATGTGCAGCGTAGCGAGCCAGCATGCTAAACCCAGTAGACGTTAATTTAGTGCAGCCTGTCAAGTCCAGTTCCAAGAGTCTAATGTGTCTAAACTTTGCTAGTGCTATGATAGCTTGATCTTCCATGGCTGTATTGAATTTGACTGATATGGATGATAGCTGATCGCATTCTGCTGCTAACCCTGCTAGTCCTTGTCCCTTGTGTTTAGTGAGTCCATCCAATGCTACTTGAGTAAGCTGTCGGCATGCTCGCGCTATCACAACAATCATCTCATCATTGACATGCGGACAATACGATAGATTGAGATGCGTCAAGTGTGGCAAAGCCCATGTCCCTTTCGGTAGTGATTTTGCATTGAAGAATTCCGCCTTTTCAAGATTGAGAGTACTCAGATGGGTGCAATATTGGGTGACAATTTGCAGAAATTTGGGGTTTACTCGATCATAAAGGCTTTCTTGGAGATGCTGAAGATCCAATTGGTGAATGCGAGAGGCTGTGCTTGTTTGGATATAGGGCAAATGCTTCAAAAAGTTGTTGAATATATATAAAGCGTCATGAATGTATGCGATTTTATCGAATCTGGGGTTGTTCCATAGTGTATCTTTGACCAAGAGATTGTATGACGAATTAAGCAAAGCGCAAGTTGGGATGTCGTTGTAATGAATGTAAGGAAGCAGAATTGGGAATACTTGGTAGAATTTGCTGCTTTTTTCTGTGTAGTGTTGCTTGATCAGCCTGTTTAATCTTTGTATGCTGGAGAGTGAGGATGAATTTAACGTCGTCTCGGAAGTAAAGCTGACCATCCTCTGATTATTCATTTCAAATGAAAGAAAGAGAGAAAGAAAAGAAGCTTAGCAGATTACACTATGTATTTAACTTGCTCAGCAGCATGATGTAGAGAACTCGTGAGTAATCCTGTAGTCGTGTGATTCTGGATGTTTTATTGCTGTCGTCGTTTGAAGCTGCCATCATTCGATATTACAGTAACAGCCTTTTACTGCCTCAGTGAATAATTATCTTCAGCCAAGGACAGATGTCTTTAACCTCAATACAACCATTTATTCATTGGCACTAGTATTCTCAATGATTGTCAGTTTTCTAAATTTCTCTAGTACTTGATACATGGAGGCATTATTCTTCTTTTTCTTTCTGCTGCTCACTTTCTTGTTGGGATCTGTTTCTCTAGATGCTTCTTCCTCTACTTCAATAGCACGCATCATTTCTGTATTTGTCATACGAGGAGCAACAGTCGTGTTGGTATCCTTCTTGCCATTGACTTCAACGTGCTCTAAATCAACCAATGTCATGTACACCATATGTCGATGAGCGTGAGATTTGCGAAGCTTGAGAGACACACGAACATTATCAAAAAGATTAAACTCGATAGGGTGTGGTAAGTCTGTAGAATGCACAGAGACACTGGTAGGCATACTGACTTCAATAGAGCAATTGGGTATAATCTCATCTATGTATTGAAGTAAGTAACACTTCTCTCCAGCTCTGAATATATCTTGGTACCTGAATCTTTGCCGGAAACCAAGGATAATGGCACCTGTGATTGACCATCTTTATCTTTGAGATATACAGGACCCTTCAGACCGAGTCTATGCATACATTAGTGGTTTTGAAGCATGCCCTGTTGTGGGGAAAAACAAACCTTGGGACAAAAACGTAGAAACCATTGGATCTGATTTCTGAAATGACGCCTCGTTCGATAAGGGTTGTGTCGTTGGCAGTGTGTTGTAATACATAGAGGCTTTGGAACAGCTCTGTGGAATCCTATACAATACATTTAGATTGACAAGATCAACTGCTAGTAGCTTGGAATACGCACCCTTTGTGCAAATTTGGATTCTCTGGATTTGAGATTGAGGTTATCGCAAATATCAGCAATAGTAGCATCTTTGAACATAACAGAGCCACGCATTTTTGCATCTGCTACTGTGGTAGGGTCCTCAACAGCCATCAAAAGCTGTCGATGAGCAATGACATCCGCATATCTACGGATAGGAGACTACAATACAACATTGGCAATGTTAGTCCTTTATAACAATCCTTTTCAGATCTGAAAGCTTACCGTAAAATGGGTATAAAACTCCAAAGCCAAACCATAATGGTAGTACTGATTCACAGGGTAATGGCCTGAAGATATATAGCCTGCCTCATTCATGGCAATGGTAGCCATCGTTTTCAGTAGCTTTGCAATTTCAGGATCATCCTTGCATCCCAGAGTGATTGTTTCCAATGATTTGGCGAGCGCTTTGTTTGAAGAGAATTCGACTGAGAAACCTCTGCTGTTTGCTGCTTTGACCAATCTTTCAAATTGTCCTTGAGTAGGAGGTGGATGGTGTCTGAGAATAGCAGCGTCCTTGAAACCATCATAGATTCGTTTACCCACAGAAGCATTTGCTAGAATCATTGCTTCTGCAACAAGGCCGTGGATTTCCATACTGTCTTTAGGAAGTAAAAGAAGATTAAAGTTAAGGATGGATACATGTATATCGTAGTGCGTTAGTAAGAAATTTGTATAGTACAGTGAAAAGGATATTCATATCAGTAATTTCATGCTTGTCTGTAATCTTGAACTTGATTTCAGATCCTTCCAACTCCAAAGCACCTTGATTCAAACGTTTGTTCTATTCATAACAGTGTTACATTTTAGATTTTGCACACAATGCAGTGAAACTTACTCTAAAGACACGAAGCACTTGTGCTAGTTTTACCACACAAGGCTTTAACTTTTTACACAAAGATGCATCTAAAATGAACAAAAGGGACCACGAGTCAACACTTGCTACTTTTCGCGTGAAACAAGCCTTTCCTAACCTAAGCCTGTTGTAACTGATTTTCCATCTAGCAATTGCTGTGCTTGTTCATATTCCATTTCGCAGCTGGAGTTGATGATAGATCTACCAAACCACGTATCGATCACTTTGTAGTCTTTGCTCATAGTCCAAATGACAGACACTGCGTAACGATCCACCTTATGACGCAGTGAACAAATTCTTTCACTCAAAACGGATGGCAACATATCAAAACGTCTGTCCGCTAAATATACAGTAGTTCCTCTTGAGGCATATATTAGCATGAATTAGGCTTTGAACAACACCCCCCGCTGGTTACCTGGATCTCGCTTCAAGATCAGTGATGAAGTTTTCCTTTACAAAATAACTCACGTCGGCAATATGAACGCCTAGCTCGATATTTCCATCCGGCAATTCCTTTACAGACAGTGCATCTAACATGTAGCATTAGCATTCAATCCATTCATACACAGCATGCGTCCCCGAATTTACCATCAATATCTTGACAATTGGGAGGATCAATGCTAAACACAGTCAAGTTTCGAAGATCTCTTCTCCTTTTAATTTCATCCTAACCGAAATTTCAGGGGGGTTGATTAAACTGATCTGATTTTCTGCAAAAAAAAAAAGAAAACTCCTGTACCTGATCTGGTTTCCAAGGATTTTCAGGGGTATCGATAGGCATTTCGTTCAGGGACATTTGACTAAACCCTTGACTTGCTTGAGATACCGAGATTGAGTGTTCGACTAGAATTGCTGATATTTCGGTATCCAACTGATGAACAGGGCCCAGCGAGCGTACAAAATGACCATTTGGGTACTGCGATGAAATGGGCCAATTATCGATACGCACAACAATACGCTGATTTTCGATCAGTTTGACATCTTGATATCTGATTCTGATCTTTGGTACAACTGGATCCAAAGGAATGGCGAGGTGGATGGATCCACCCACTACCGAGCTATCTTCTTGTAATGTAGCGACATAGGATCTCCAATTTCGATTCAAGACACCAACAACTCTGCCTGTGGGCTGAGTGGATGCTGCTGCTGCACTAGTGAATCTGTCCTCCTCATACTCATCTTCGGCGTTGCTGCTACTGAATGCAATCTCGTTTGATGGTGTTGCCCAGTTGCTATCAGAGAGCAGCTCTACTACCACAGCATCTCCATGAACTAGCACAATGACTATCAGCATGTCATTCCATTCAATGTGGTTACACTCTACCCACCTGCTCGATTTCTATTGTCGTTTCCAATAATCAAAATATCCTTTCCAAGATGGCTACCACCATTGACATAGGCCTGATCTCGACTGTCCTTTCTGCATCTCAATACACCTGAAAAATAGCGATGTGATTTGATGCCCACTTCCAACTCGTCCATTGATTTGTACTGATAGAATGCTGCATGAATTTTTCTGTAAATAAGCATGCCAAACGACTTACCTCGGAATAACCAGATACAGCCGTGTTTACAGCACTCAGACCACCCGATTTCTTTGAGGCAATTCTAATCTTTCCATCCTCACTGTCTTCCAAAACAACATCAGCCAAAACATGTACCAAATTCTGTAGCACAACATCATGCTTGTAGTAGGTATCCAAGTACTGTCGAGTAGTCATAACGACAACATTGTTCAGTGTTTCGTCATGCGTATGATCCAGTTCAGAGAGTAATATAATCTTTTTAGTGTGGTTGAGATGCGTATCGTACCACAGAGCCAATTGACAGTGTGCTCTCCAATCACGCACGGTACTTGATTCGGCAGGAACTCGCAAAACTTTGGTCTCCTCGAATATTTCATTGTAGAACATGATGCTCTTCTTTCTCGAATCATTGGTGATTTCTCGAAGTTTTTTGTATGTTTTCGACTTGTCATGTTGTTGCAGCTATTAAACAAAGAAATTTAATATGTATATATATATATATATATATATATATATGTTGAATACCACCTTACGTTTATAGTAACAGTTTGACTCCAAATAATATTAGTTATCTGGTCTTGTTCTAAAATTTCCAGGTATCGCATTATAACCTATCAAACAATGCACGTTCAGTATATAAAAAGCATGCGCATTATTGAAAATTCAAACAAACAACATACAGATGTGTCAGGTATAATATAGTGGTCTGCTGCTGAACTTAATAAGGCTGTTTGACGACTGATATTGTTGCATTTTGCTGATGTGCAGGCCTCTGACAAACAAGGAATATCGTTTCGTAGATATTCTGGAGTTGATCAAAGAAATCAGATGAATACAAAGATTGACATGGCTTTTCATTATTGTGTTTTACGTTCTCTCACAAGCTTGATGATGGTATTGCTTCGAGTCTTTTTATAGAAGGCGCGGTCCGTTCTTAGTGTCATTTGTCTATATGAAACTGTATGAAAAGGGCAATGTAGTGGGGCTTTTGTTGTTCTTTTGCTTGTGTCATTTAGCCAGTCACCGTGGTGTAATGGTAGCATTAGATCTGCTTCGATCTGGATCTTTGAAAATCAATGCATCACGCATCTAGCATATACTACTGTACTTGAGCTACTGGCCATTTACCACGTAGATATATACAATAGCTTTTGATTTGAATTCTACTGCTAAACCAGGGCTCATTCAGTATAAAATTGCATCAAATGCTGCTAAATCTAATTGCACATGGAACAAAATAGCCCTGCTCGTCATCCACATCCAGCAAAAACAAACATTACATTGTGATTTTTATGGATATAGTAAATCAACCATTAGTTTGGAGTATATGTGTGTAGAGAGATGATGATCAAACACTTTGTTTACTTGCGTAGTGCAAACAATGCTGGCGCCAGCACCTTTTCAGCTTTGCACTGACTGCAACCTACTTTCGATAACCATGCTTTTTAGATGAATCTACATTTTGTGCACATGAAATTCATATTCTCGACTATTTTATGTATTTATATATCAATATAATGAAAGTCGGCGTTGGTTACTCAAGCATTTATATATCAAAAAACCAGTGAATACAAGCTTTTCAGGGGCAGAGTCATGTCATGAAGGATGCACTCGTTTCCCTACTAATATCATTGCTTTGCAAGCTATTGGAGCAAAAGATGCAGTTAAGCTTTTGACAGGATGTTGCTTATACTCATATGCTTACTATAGCCATTGCATCAAGTTTAATAGCTGTAAAGGTACTTTAAAATCTGCCGTGATGTATTGGTGACCCAACTACCCTATTTCTCGGTGAACCATCTCGAGTATACAATCCTTAGGGAGAAGTGATATTCAGGAGATGCCGTGTATTGCAATCACAGTGTACCAGAGCATCACAACTGTATAAGCAAGCACATCTCACTAGTAAATAGATCACCTCATGGCAACCTGCAAAGCATAAAATGTTGCACTCAGCATTATTGTCGCGCCTGTGCAAATCATAGGAGCGTCTTTACTCCCTTCAAAGAGACAGAGAAATATAGTAAATGTTTGCCATTTAATTGTATCATCTCCAGATTCAGTTAATTGTATATTTATATTATAATTACTACCAGATTTCATTCTTTCGAGTGTTACAAATATTGTGCGACATCTCAAACGTTTTGGAGTTGCTATAAAGTTCAAACTGACACCAACGACAACAATCAACACTTAAAATGTAAATAAAAACAAGGCATTCAGTAGTACACGTGGGCTGATAATTGTAGAAATTTGAGCAAGAGGACTAGAGAGAGGCAGACAAGCCAGATTTCTGCTCAAATATAAATAAGGGGAACAGTGATCCAGTCTCGTTTTTTTTTCCCATTTCCCTCCTCTTTCCTTCTATCTTGCTCACTTCACATTTAATCCTTAATATTTAATATCTCACTGTTACATACATATATTAAATATACAGAACAGAAGCAGGGCATTGTATTATTATTATTGTGTACATAGTGTGTCAAATTTTACTTTAGAGAAGATGAAATTCGCAAAGTATTTGGAGAGCCAAAGTGTGCCTGAATGGAGAAAAGCATATATTAGCTATAAAGGGCTTAAAAAGAAGCTGAAGCAAGTCGAAAGAGTAGGTTGAAAGAGCATTTGCTACACAGGACGCTCATCTCCCTCTCAATCTCCTCGTAGTTCCGCAAGCACAAGGAAAGAAAAGCTGCTATTCAACTAGACAATGTATTTCAAGAGCTGGAAGATAGCAATGACAACTACTACTGGCCTCGCCACAATCCCTCTATAAGCATGCGACCGCGGTCTATCATGAGTCGATTATCCTCGAGATTTAGCAGTAGACGTGATGATGATGATCGGCCAACTTCTCGGCAAGCCTCATTTCCAAGCTCAACTACAACTCTGTCCGTATTAGATCAAGTGCTATTTCATGCCAGTGCATCAGAGAGACACTTTTTTGATGCGCTTGACTTTGAACTCGACAAAATCTCCAGATTCTATGATGGTAAACCTTAAAATCACCCCATGGTTTTTGACACTTATCATAAGTTTTGTGTGTGTGTGTGTGTGTGTGTGTGTGTGTGTATGTGTGTGCACAATAGAAAAGGAAAAAGAATCTAGGTTAAAATTGGATGCATTGAAGGTTCAGATGCAGTTTATAGCCGAATATGGGCGTCATCTAGTGGATATAGGGGTATCTATATGTGTCTTGTTTCTATATTAAAAAATGACTAAACGAAACTCTATTTCTTCAAGGCAAGCCAACAAGGTGTCACCTCGCCTCCCCCTGAAATGATCGGCCATCACCGGCTCTACAACTGGTTTAGATATCAAGATCCTCACACTCAATCTTATACCTTGTCAGAGCTATCACCAAACTTTGACTATGTGGGAGATCAGAGAATCAGTTACAATGTCGCCAGAAATCGATTAAAGAAGGCATTTACCGAATACTATCGAAGTTTGGAGTTTCTTAAATCTTACAAAACGCTCAATGAGACCGGCTTTCAAAAGATACTGAAGAAGTTTGACAAAATTGCAGGTTGGAAAGCAAGCGAACTGTACACACAAACCATCAAGAAGCATCACTGGGCAAGTACATCTGATCTTGATTTCATCATCAAGGAGACTGAGGTATGCATGCAATGTCAGGAAGATAAGAGATGGTATGATAAATCTAAATGTTAAATTACGGAATAGAACTTGTATATAAACGAATTCGCTGATGGTCATCGCAGACGAGGCATGCGCAAACTAAGAGCACCTGAGAAAAATGAAGTTTGTATTCTCTGCACGAGTTATAGTCAGCAACAATGCTAAGTCATACACACTTTGTAGGAGCATAATTCAACGATACTTCGCATTGGCATTTTTCTGGGTATGGCCATTCCCATGCTGACACAGGCATTCCATCTGGCGATCGACCCAAAGACAGCAAAACAACTACCCAACCTACAGACCAACATTCAAATTTATGCTTGCTTCTTGCTCCCCATCTTTTTTTGTCTTGGATTCTCGGTCAATCTGATTGTATGGCACAGATCAAGAATCAACTACAAATTTATCTTTGAGCTAGACCCAAGACACAATCTAGATTATCATCAATTTGCAGAATTACCCGTGATTATGCTTCTCGTCAGCTCGTTTGTCATGTATGCTGATTTCTCGCAGTGGTTCTCTCCTGTTATACCGTCTGAACTCTGCCCTTTGATACTGTTTGTCATGCTGGTAGCCATCATGCTGTGTCCATTTGACATACTCTACTGCTCTGCTCGCAAATGGCTTGGTGTAGCAATAGGGCGTATCTTGCTATCTTATTGCTTTCCTGTGGAATTCAGAGATTTCTTCATTGCAGATGAACTCAACAGTTTGAGCTACTCTATCTGGACATCATCGTACTTTTTCTGTGCGTACTCTTGGCATTGGACTGATCTAGGTGGAAACTGTAACATGTCCCAAGTGTGGGTGGCTCCGTTTTTAGCTTCTCTGCCTCCTTGGTGGCGTCTACTGCAATGCTTTAGAAGATACAGGGATTCAAACGAAAGGGTACACTTGCTGAATGGAGCCAAATATTCAAGCAGTATCATGGCTGCCATTGTCACAGGTCTTCGACGCATGTACCGTAAGTAGAATGTCAAGTGTGTGTGGAACGTTATGAACTCAAATTGTACGCCTTCATAGCATCTACGTCAATGACGATATTTTGGATCATGACATGTTTGTTTAATTCCGTGTACACATCAACATGGGACATCAAGATGGATTGGGGCTTGTTGCGTCCCAATAGCAAGAACTTTCTATTAAGAGATGAACTGGTGTTTTACAGATGGGTAAGTTGATCCTTTTACGTTTGAGAATGCAGACCCCATGTGACCCCACATGATTAACTTGTACCATTATATAGACGTATTATGCCGCTGTGCCTGTAAACATCTTGCTGCGATTCTCATGGACCTTGAGCATAGTAAAACTACGTATGAATGGTCAGCTACTAGGCATTTTGGTTGCATTGTTAGAAGCCTATCGAAGAATACAATGGAACTTTTTCAGACTGGAAAATGAGGTATGTGTTCCACAATGGCATCTGCTTGACGATGTGTGTCTAACACTGTCAACATAGCATCTCAACAATTGTGGCCAGTATCGCGCCATCAAAGAAATTCCTCTACCCTTCCCACTATCAGACACAGACATAAAGACGGAAGGACTTTACAGCGATGAAGAAGAGAGAATTAGCATCCTATCCAACAAGCTCACCAAGCAGGAATCTCATCACAACAGCTTTGTGCCTGCCATCATGATCCCAGTTTCCCGCCATCCGAGTACAAGACAATCGATAGGACACATTGAACCTGTAAACCGCGGTTCCTTTTATGGCAGAAGAGACTTTGAAAACAAACACGATGATACATCAGACATTGCGGTGGGATCAGTCAATAATGGTAAACTGTGCCGCAAGCCGTCGACGTTGGACAACGTATTGACTCGTATCAAATCCATGAAGAATTCGGATCATAGCGATGAGTCAGAGGCAGAGTTTTACGATGACTTTGACTATGACGACGATGATGATTTTGAGGATTATTATGATGGTCGAGAAAATTAGTATAAATACACTGCAAATAAACGCATTTCGTTTCACCCAAAGAAGAGTGTCACAGTGAGAGAAAAACAAAAGGCTTCATACCCCTAGTTGCATTTTTGAGGTTTTTCTCGAGCTCATGCTAAAAAATGTACAAACATCTGGTACAAGAAACGCGATCAAAAGTAAGCAGAACAATAAGAAGGAAGTCTGCTTGATAAGCTTACAATTTCATAAATACGCTATTTTAGACGCTGGAATTGTATAGATCTTTACTGAAATCAAGTAAACACTATGATCATTTAGGAGATGCAATACGTCAACAATTCAAATCGAATAAACACATCAAATCGAGAAGAAAGACACTCGCATTGCTGACAGAAGCAGATCAGGTAAATACATTTGCATCTGTATCTGTATCTACAACCTCATATCATACCATGTAGACCTTGATTTATCTCAATAAAGGAAACAATGGAGATGAAGAAATTGTGTCAACAGTAAATGCATACATTCAGAAATATATAGTAAGTCTAAAGTGTCTATGTGTGTGCGTAAACTAAACATGTTAACGACAGAAACTTCCAAAGGTAGCCTACCTTCATTTGATACGACTATGCAGATGTGTATTGACATTTCGCAGCCATTACCAGCACCATCACCGAAATCACAGCAGAAGAAGTCAAGCAAAATAGTGGAGCGAAAGCCGTACCAAGTAGCTATTGCAACGCAACATGCCATGGGGTTTCAATTCAAACGAGTGCGAGGATGGAGACAGCCTGTCAAAACTTCCATGATGATTAAAAGCAGGGTCAAGGCAACACAAGCGAGAATTGATAAATTTCAACAATACAGAGCACAATTAGATATGATCAGAGGAGAGCGTCTGTTTCTACAATATCTAAATTGTCTGCCTCGGGACAATCTCAATGAATATGGTAAATTTGGAAGGATATTGGTTATGGGCTTGCATTATTGATGAGTTTGGCATAGAGTATAACATCAAGATGGCAATGACAGCTTACAATATTAACGATACCCTACGAAAAACAACTTCATATATCATTCCTGACGATGAATTATAAGAGTTTCTGAAAGCAATAGAATAAATTTGATGGATCGTTATTCAATAGGGTTACTGACATGTGGGCTCATTGTATGGACGCATATGATACGGACCACCTATATTTGAGCTAATTTTATAGTATCGTTTATACTAGCTAATCGATCTTGCTACGCTCTCGCCAAACACATTTCAAATCAGAGATAATAAAAGTTTGGTGTATCAGGTAAATTTTAAACAATGATTATATTTGATTTGAAAATGGGATGAAAAAAACTTGACTTAAAACTGAATTGAAAAGACAGGAGTGGGGAGGTACAGACCAACTTTTTTTTTTTATGTAGCATTTGTATTATATAAGACTTTTGGGATGTTTGTTCTTGAGATGGCGACATGGAGTTGGCTATGCGTAAAAACAGGGCTTCGAAGGTTTACGGCGACTTTCTTGGGAGATTGTCATTGCAAAAGACACCTTTATAAAGAAAAACTCCCAACAAACGCAAAGGAAAGTATTCAAGCTAAGCGGCTGTCCTTTCGGTTATATGATTTTGATTTGATCAGCATTGTCATCATCGTTGTCATCATCATTGTCATCATCATTGTCATCATCAGAAAGGCATGTGGGTCAGCCAGCAGCAGCGCCGCCCGCCGCCAAAATTGATTTAAGCTCAGATTGCTTCCTCTTATCAAGATTGGACAAATTTTGCTCTTTTTCGACTTCTTGAATTTATTTTGTAAGATTCGACTATAAAAGCTGTGATGATCAGCTCGTACTTCCTAATACATTCTTAAAGTACTTTTTAAGACGCTTCCAATGATATCAAGTAAAATATATGTTTTGACTGAACTTATAGATCAGTTTGAGAAAATATGAAATGAGGTTTTTGGCCAAAATGTCGAAATTTTGCATATGGATGTTTCACAAAAATGGTTTCAGAGGTAGCTTTTGATCCAGAGAAACATTTGGGTTTAGTATACACCATAGTAAAAGTCTTTATTTTCAAGGTGAAAAACGCGATCGTTTGATTTTCGATGAAAACCATGAGGTATTTCTCATGGGTTTTGATCGATTTTTGACCATGTTTTTTTTTGACCCAAAAAGTTGAGCAAAGGCGTCAGGAAGTTACTTCCACTCAAGTACAATTGTCTGGCGTGATTCCAGTGGCTCAGAAAGAACTACATGACGAGATATGAAGGTTTAAAAGCTGTCAAATTTGGTTATGTTTTGCTTTATGGCTTTTATTTACACGGCATGAATCACATTGTTAGTGGCTGAAGTTTTCTGGAAGGGGAGTTCTGCAGCCTGTGCAACTTCTAATTCGGATACGAGGCATATCTATCAACTGTTGAGTTGGATGCGCAATGTTCTTTCTACAAATTTCCTTCTCATTGCCGGCTTTGCCGATGGTTTTATTCATCTTGTACGGCACATAATTTTTTAAAATTTTGGAAAAATATGATTTGTTTGCCTACTTTTTTTTGAATGTTTTACAGGACATATCATGATACAACATCTTTATGCCTTTGTCTCGAAACAGAAGCGTGCCTATTGACAAGCAGACACATGAAACACAGCCAGATTTGACAGCTTTTAAACCTTCATATCTCGTCATGTAGTTCTTTCTGAGCCACTGGAATCACGCCAGACAATTGTACTTGAGTGGAAGTAACTTCCTGACGCCTTTGCTCAACTTTTTGGGTCAAAAAAAAACATGGTCAAAAATCGATCAAAACCCATGAGGAATACCTCATGGTTTTCATCGAAAATCAAACGATCGCGTTTTTCACCTTGAAAATAAAGACTTTTACTATGGTATATACTAAACCCAAATGTTTCTCTGGATCAAAAGCTACCTCTGAAACCATTTTTGTGAAACATCCATATGCAAAATTTCGACATTTTGGCCAAAAACCTCATTTCATATTTTCTCAAACTGATCTATAAGTTCAGTCAAAACATATATTTTACTTGATATCATTGGAAGCGTCTTAAAAAGTACTTTAAGAATGTATTAGGAAGTACGAGCTGATCATCACAGCTTTTATAGTCGAATCTTACAAAATAAATTCAAGAAGTCGACAAAAGACAAAATCTGTCCAATCTTGAACAGAAAAACATAATCTGAGTTTGAATTAATTTTAGCGCGCGGCGCTGCTACTGGCTGACCTAAATGCCTTTCTGATGATGACAATGATGATTGCGATGCTGATTAAATCAAAACCATAAAGCCGAAAGGAAAGTCGCTTAGCTTGAATACTTTTTGACTGATGTTGTTTTCGAGAAATGTAACATCTAATCAGCGCGAATTGATCTTCATATCCTGAGTGTCCCTTACAAATACTGCACATCTCACTGAATCTCCAAGGCTATCCAGTCTTCTGCCCTTGAAATGTTGATAATCCTCCCCCTCCAGATCCCATCGATTTACCCGAGGCCACACCTTTTGAAAGGTCACAAGGACTGCCTACAAGAAAATTTTTCATTAAATTTTTTCAGGTATTTAGTAACCAACATGGGCAAAGCGCCCCCTTTTACTCTTCTTCTTCCTTCACTCTCTTTCTTTTTGACTTTAAACGTAAACAATGGTTGCCTAGTAAGTTTTTTCTCTTCTATTTCAGAAAGAAAATCCATTCAGGAGCGCTCTCAAATATGCAAAATTGTACCTCACCGGTGCATTTTGTCTATTGACATATCTTCATCTCCACCTTACTGGATATTGACATCATCCTGGAGCTTTGAAGGCGTTGGGATTCAGTCGTCTCTTTTCTTGCGAAAAAAGACTTCTACGTCCTTAAATTCATCATGTTCATGGTTTACATCTAGGAACCCGCTCCGGGTTCTTTCTAGGTGACGTGCAACTGTCTCATGTATTCTTGACGAATACAGCCCACTTTTATATCGTAAAGATTTAAAAGGTCCTGTAATCTACTCGTGTTTTTAATTGAACGCTTGTACATTATCAAATTCATTGACTGTCATCCACAACATCGCTTTTGTTTGGGTTGAAAACACATTATAATGCTACGTGTTATTGGATATTTGCCATTAACCTTGTTTTTTCTCCCTCTTTTCTAACAAAATAGCAACGTCCCTACTGCTGATGACATTCTTGTCCCCGAGACTCTCTTGAAAAAGAGAAAGACTGACGCTGATGCCTCTGCTAAGGCTGCTGCCAAAAAGATTGAGCTCCGTAAGGTAAGCAATCACTTCCAAATGGACACAATGGCTAGAAATCTATGAGGATTGCAAGTATGATGATTTGGGTACCGCCCACTTTTTTTGGCTAGATTGCACTCGATGATGCCTATCTGTTAACCATCTTTCGGGGCTGATTTGCATTCTCTTTGATTTCTTGTCTATATGTCTTTATCTTATTGAAACATGTAAACTAATCCATCCTTTCATTGATAGGCTAAGCTTTCCAAGAGACGCGAACTCTTCAATCGCGCTGCCAAGTATGATGCTGAATACAAGGCTGCCGCCAAGAACGAGATCCGTCTCCGTCGTCAAGCTAAGGCCCAAGGTAACTACTACGTTCCTGCTCAAGAGAAGCTTGTCTTTGTTGTTCGTATCCGTGGTATCAACAACATTGCTCCCAAGCCTCGTAAGGTTCTTCAACTTTTGCGTCTCTTGCAAATCAACAATGGTGTCTTTGTCCGTCTCAACAAGGCTACCTCTGAGATGCTCCAATTGATCCAGCCCTATGTTACCTATGGTTATCCCAACTTGAAGACCATCCGTGAGTTGATCTACAAGCGTGGATATGCCAAGGTTAACAAGCAACGTATCCCCATCTCTGACAACTCTGTCATTGAGAAGTCTCTCGGCAAGTACAATATCATTTGTGTTGAGGATCTTATCCACGAGATTGCCACTGTGGGTCCCCACTTCAAGGAAGCCTCCAACTTCCTCTGGCCCTTCAAGCTCTCCAACCCTAACAACATGTGGAGAGAACGCAAGTTCCTCAACTACGTTGAAGGTGGTGATACTGGTAACCGTGAGGCTTTCATCAACAACTTGGTTCAATCCATGAACTAAGCATCATACATTTAATCATGTATCCTTGTAATCTTCATTCATTCCATGTAGTTTTGTTTTGTAATAAATTAATAAAATGAATACTACATAACTTTGTACATATTTACCTGATAATTACACGTCCATGTCTCTTTTGTCTGTGGTGTTGTACGTAACTGAACTTGTTAAGTTGCTGCCACCAGTCTGGGTTGATGTGCGGTGCACGATTGATCAGACTGCTATGCCTTTCAGCAATAATAAGATAGCTGCTCATATTCATAGTACCATCGAGCGCATGTATGATAAAGGCTTTTCAAATAGATAGCAGAGATACTTCAAGTGGCTTTTTCAAGTTCAATCTTTCCAAGAACCAGCAGTATCTCGGTTTCATTCCCAAAATATATTATTCACAACACGAGTTACACAGCATCGTGTTGCAACATGAATGAGAAAGCATGCTCAGGCAGCTCAACCATGTATGGCTGATAAAGAAGAGCAAGAATACATGTGTGATAATCAACAGCATCAGCAATCAGATCAACCGTGATTATCCGCAAAGAAAGCATACTTTGTTTTACCAAATGTCTATCATGACATCAACTTTATAACATGGAAACAAAGTGTTTATTATATTTATATGTTTGAAAGAGAAGATTTGATACAAAAAAGAAGAAAGGAGTGGAATGCAGTGCCTATTATATATATATATATATATATATATATATATAAGAAAAGGTGTGTTATGTGGTGGTATAATTGAGAGTTGTAGTGATAAGGCAACAATGTTTAATTCAAGTCCATTTGCTCTGGTGCTGGTGGTGCTCCAGCGGGTGGGGATGACGATGATACCTCGGCTGTTGAGTGTTGAAGGCTTCTTCTATTACCAGCGACACCAACAACACGCAAGCGACTCAACCACAATTCAGCCCGTTCAATTGTGTCAGAAAACACATGAGCAACCGAATTGATCATTTCCACCGATTCGCCTCCAAAGTTTAATAGCTTCATTGATGTTTCATGTGCTGTTACAGGCCCCATAGAGGGAGATGCAGTGGGGCTATTTGTTGTAGAATTCAATATAGCCCAGCGAGTAGGTAAAGCCAAGATAAATCCGCGAACAGATGCCTTTGCTTGCTCAGGCAATCCAGAGCCGGCGTACTTGCTGACCACTTGAACCACCTTACGAAGCGTATCGACGATTTCTTTCTTGATGTTGGCTACTGTTGTTGTATTCTCATCAGGTGTAATTTCTTTGCTTCTAGATGCTAAAGACACTAAAAATTCTCGAAGAAGGTTCATCTGCTGATCAATGTGTTGTGAAGCATACTAGAATTTAAAGAAAAAAAAAAAAAAAAAAAAAAAAAAAAAAAGGTTGGTTGGGGTTTCCTATTGTCATGGTCAAATCACACACACACACACATACCTGTAACCAATTCAGACAGTATTTCAAACACTTCATGCTCTCTTCACTGATCACAGCTGCTGTGGTGCCAGCCGCAGAGGAAGCATGCAAGACGATTTGATGCCATTTACTACGCACGAGCGGTTGCTGACGATGACGGTTGGGAGTTGGTTTAGTAATGCCATGTGTGGATGAAGATGGTCTGTGAGGCGATGTAGATCGAGACGTATTACGAGATTTGGATTTATGATGTTTTGATGTTTCATCACGAGAGTCTCTTCGTTTACGCAGACCGCTTTCATCGTCAATCAAGGTAGCACGAGAAAGCGCAAATGTAGCAGATTTAGCATCGTCGTCGTCTTCGTCTTCTTCCATGGTGGTGAAAGATCCACTGTCGTCTTTGGAAACTACATATTTAGGGTATCGTTCTTCTAGCTACAGATCAGAAAGGTGGTGAATACACACACTCTCTCTCTAGTTTAAATGCCGAATCTCACCTTGTCCAGTTGTTTGCATCCCCATTCATCCACACCTGATAAAGCATGTTTTCCAAATTTATCATAGATAGGGGCAGCAAATGACTCTACCATCTCAGCACCATACTTCATGACACTGCTAGAGTTCTTTGAGCTCTCGTAAGCTTTCAATGCAGAGTTTACAAGTGGAATGTTGGACACTCGATGTATGAAGTTTTGCTGCTGTTGATGCCTCTGATACTGATCTTCATCCATGGTGGATTCGCTCGAAAATGACAGACGTTGTTCGGTTGAGAATGAAGATGTTGTAGGCGTCGGTAGCGGCGAACTAGGCGTGGTCGAGGGAGTTGACAGTGGAGGCAGCGTAATGATTTCCTTTTTGATGCTGGATAATCTCGCCATATCTCCCAACACTTCAGCTGCAATTTTGACATCGGGATCCTCGATGTCGTTGATGTCTGAATGAACAAGCTGTGTGATTGACATTGGTGATGATGAATTGTGGGTCATTTTTGTTTGTTAAGTGAAAGAAGATATTAAAAAAAAAAAAAAAAAAAAAAAAAGAGCTGATGATTTTTTTTGGGGGAGCTTTGTTATAAATACTCGTTTTGGTGTGAATCAAACGAAATGTAAGGAGACCCGTTGCCATGTGAAACCTGACTTGGTTAGCCAAGTTTTCACGTGCTATAAAAATAATTGGGATTCTCGAAATCAAAGACGATGAGATAATGGAGCGAGCGTATATCAAGCCGCTATGAACGATGATGTATCTTAACAAAATGTGACATTGGCTGAATGCACACAGTGAAAGACGATAAAAAAAACAAGCCTTCCACCATGGCATCAGAGATCCAAACAATAAAAATGCGCCTCTGATTGAACCCCATTCATTTTCTTTTTTTTTTTTTTTTTTTTTTTTTTTCCCCTTTCAAGGAATCCACTGCATATATAGAAAAATGCCTAGAAATTGTACAAAAGTAGAATTCACGGGCAAATGATGGCAAAACTAACCACTTTATGGCTAGATTTCTGCGACTTCTGTCAGTGCACATTTCCAGACAATGCAACCAACAGAAGAAACCACAATGAAGGTGCCATACACCTCAACAATCGAAAGTTACATTATGATTGGTATAAAGGTATGGCTTGTTTAGTCATCAAATGCTGGCAGATGTGGTATTTTAAACAGTTGAACGTTAGATCCAGATGTGTTTATACAGGAACAAGCAAGTAAACCACCCTGCAGACATTATATCAGCTACGGACATTGTGAGTATGGGTTACTGTGCAAATACAGTCATATCACCTACGATCCTGCTTCGGGTAAGCCGCTTGTTGTAGTGTTGCCATGATGGGTGTTGATGAGTGTGCCATTTTCACAGGTCAAGCCATTTACCCACCCGAGCTTTTGCAATGGTTCGAATTACAGCAGCAGGAAACAGCAGCAAACAATACTACTCTACAAAAACCTGCTCCATCTACTCAAAGATATAAATTGCCTTCTGGTTGGAAGATAAAAGATTTACCATTATCGTTGAGGCCACCACCACCAAAACATGGCTATGATTGGAGCAACACTGGCGCCTGGTGAGAGATTAAACTCACGTGTATGACTAGTGCCCTTTTTCTTTTCTCTCTCCTTGCTGATTTACCTTTGTATACCACCACCATGTCTCTCCGTTTAACAAATAAAGTCAAATGCCTTTCCAGCAAGTTCCATAGCAGTGCATTTGCAAGACAAAACTACTTTGATACATTCAAATTCGTAGAAAGACTGGAGAAAGAGGGGTTTTCTAGACAACAAAGCGAAGCCATCATGAGCTCGCTACAAAGGGTGATATCAGAAAGCATGATGGATTTGAACAAGATGATGGTGTCCAAAGCAGAAAGAGAGAAGGTTGGTTCTATTTACCATCATGTAGCTCTACACTATACTCATTGACATGGCATATAGGCCATTTATGCATACAAGGTTGATTTTGCCAAACTCAAGTCTGAGGTGCAATTGATTGAAAGAAACGACTTCACCATGATGAAGGCAGAAAACGATAGGCTGGAGAGCGAACTAGAAAAACTGAAGCAGAGACTAAGAGAAGAGGTGACAAGAACACAAGCCAATGTACGCTTGGATCTGAATCTGGAGAAGGGAAGAGTGCGAGACGAAGCCAGTGCACAGGAGATCAAAATCAAGGAAACTGACACTCGCATTGAAAGCGAAATATCCGGTTTACGAACTCAAATGGAAGCCATCAAATTTCAAATCATGCAATACATGATAGGTACGATGACTGGTGCTGGTGCCTTATTCTTGGCTTATCTTAGAATGTTCAAATAAAACTAGAAAAAGATTCACTATTTATTTCTCGCCTTTGCTTTATATTTAAAAAGAGCTATACAGGGTATATAATTTATCGGCCATATTTTTGCCATTCCCACTCACGATTATCAAGAGGACAGACTTGACGACTCTTTAACCAACGAGAAATGCAATGGAAGTGAAAGGCATGCTAACAATAACCAGTGTTATCCATTATCGTCCTCTCCACATGTCCATCCTTGACTTACGTTACAAATACCCCAAGCGACTGTGCATTCTTCTGAAGTTGCTGATGCTTGATTTGCTTGACATTCGATACCTGATCCACACATTAATAAGTCTGATATTGCGGCGTGGGTCGACATTACTTACACAAATCCATGATGTGATTTCTGCAAATAGCACAGTTATCTACAACAATATCTACACATTTACAAGTTTGTAAAAATCCCATTTTATCCTGTGCCATTTTATCAATTGAATGGCAAGCTAGTCAACCAATCTTACCCCAAGCCCAAAGAGCAACAGCATTCCACTAAATAATGGATATCAGCATTGCTATCAGAAAAACAAAGGAGCGACTTGTAAACAAACCTTCTTTACTTCGAAACGAGGTTTTTCTTCCTTTCCTTTTCCTTTAACATCATCTACAAGTGTAATTTCTGAAGCTGCTGAAGAAGTAGGAGGGTCTATATCCATAGGTGTTGACATGGTGTGTTTGTCTTTATCTTGATTTTTTTTTAGGATAAAAGATGAAATAAGAAAGAGGGAAAAGGATTGAAGCCAACGCGTACAACACTCTGTATACCTTTGAACATCCGCAGCATCGCAAGTGACGTCAAATATGCTATGTTCATATCAGATTTCCTGTCAAATCTGAATGATTAGACACTGCATGGTGGTGAGCAACCATAGTAGCAGCAAAGGCCATCTATTACTGCTGGATATTGTTGAGATATTGGATGAATATGTAGCAAAATGCCAAGTGATTTAATCCGTGAAAGATTGATGCTGCCAAGTACTCATCTGTCTAGTCAGCGCAGAGATGGCATACATTTGATAGCGTCTCCAACTGACTCTATCGATGCTAGTACTACTATGTCCTGCTGCTGTGAGTAATTTTATTACCAAGCAAAGTAACCATGAACGTTTTGGTGATCACGTAAAGGGCTATCCGTTGACATATCAGAGTCTTCAACATGAGCATTGCACATTTGAGCTTCTTGAGCAGGACACTAAGCCGGTTCTTCTACTGCCAAAGTTCAGATACCAGCGCAGCCTCTGTATACTATAGATTTTACTACCAAGCTAATCAATCAGATGAGAAACATTATAAATTGATTCCGTATGTTAATACTGACAACAGGAACTGTCATAAATGTTAATAGCTACTACTTGATTTTTGTTTAATACATTATTGCTCTGCAAATAACATAACATGAATGGCTGCATTTACTATTTTACATTGATATTTAAACAGTGGACAATTACAATTTGAAATAGCTGGCTATCCGCATCAAAAAGGAACTTGAAACAAGTTTGATTAAGGATGTAATTTGGTCTTTTGGGTTAATAACACATCTATTTTTAATACATGTAGATTTCTTAGAGACATTTCGTCTGGAAAGGACTAGTTGGTACACTCTGGAAACATGTGCAAATAAAGGACCCTTCCCGAGATTACAAATAGCAACATACATCATTCAAAAAAGGAGTGAAATCTGATTTGTATTAAAAAAAAAAAAAAAAAGCAGAATATTGTATAGAGAATTGGCTGTATAAGTGGCCTGTTTTTTTTTACATGGAATAAACGAGTCAATTAAACTTGAAAGAGCTTGAGACCATCTTTGACATGATTCTTCTTCATTGCTAGACTGACTCTGTTCTTTTCTGTATCGAATTGTGTATAGAAAGCATTTGTGAAGGCAGACCCAATGACATAATCTGTGTCTGATTCACTTTTGCCAATGTGGGTGCGGCACATTTCACAGCAAGTGGCGACCTTGCGAGGATGGCTCCAGTAGTGAGGAGGAATAGTAGCCTTGATTGAACCAAGCTCGATCTTGAATGGAGTAAGGTATTCCATCAAACAACAAGGAATCTTGAAGGTATTGTCAGGTTTGTCGTATTCAGCATACCAACGTTCCTGGAATTCCTTGGCTATGATACAGAGCTATGAGTCTTTCAATTTGATTTCACAATACAATTCCTATTTACCTTGAGCGTTAGGTAAACCGATAACATCAGTGGACGAACTAAGCACAGCTTTGGCTTTTTTACTGACGTTGAAACAAAGATCATCTTCGAACTTGGCGGAATTGACAGAAACAGCCCAGTTTCCAGAGTCATTATCATCTTCATCGTCTACATCAATGTGATACAAATCACCCTTTATGGCGTCTTTGTCAACACCACCTGTTTATACAGAAAAATCGAACGATTAATAACAGTAATCAATGAAAAGCATCTAAAAATATGTTTTTAAGGGAGAGTCTACAAAGAAAGTACTCAGGAAATCGTAAGGGGTAAAAAGTATACCTACCAAGAACAAGATAACCAGCAGGCTCATCGCTTGACGATGATCGCTTGACAACGCCGAAGCCACCGCCAGTTACTTCGTTAGGCATAGCGACACTGGAGACAGCAGTGCTGCCAGACTCAGAGAAGCCACTGCCCGTTGTAGTAGTGTACATGCCAAATTGAGCACTTGATAAACCTGAACCTTGTTGGAAAGCATTGGGGACAAAGCCAGAGGCAGAAACATCACGTTTTGCATAGACTGTCGAGGAAGTGTTCAAATTAACATTACGACCAAGGCCAAGATAGCCATCGAAACCTTTATCGAAGCCTTCCATTTCATAAGCACCACCAAAAGGCATGTGTTTGACAGTTAAGCCAGCAAAGCGGAACGTATCCATGTAAATGGTGGTATGAACAATGCCCTCACCATAGTCCATAACAAAGGATTGGCCTGTTGAAATGATGGTGGTAGAGTTTCTTGAATCAAAATCATTGCGACCTTGGCAGTTTTCAGTGCCACATTGCGTGCCACGAACCCAGGAAAATCCAGTTGAAGTATCAAATGCCATGGTAAGATTTTGAGGTGGATTACCGATTTGTACTACACCACCCAGCATGCCGTTTTTGAGATCGGTAGCATCAGCAGAAATGAAATCTGAACCAGATCTTCTCTTTTGATAGTAAAGAGGAATCTTTTGAACTGGCTCTGCTGAGACAGATGACAGTACGATTTGTGCAATTGCTGCAAGGCATACAAGTGTTGTTTTCATTATATTGCAATTTTTTTTCTCGAGTATGTTTAAGGTATTTTTGACGCTGTATACTGATTAAAGTTGAATTAGTTGATAGTCAAGTGAGCACAAGAAGAGACAGAGAAAGAAAGAAAGAAGAAAGAAATGAATCGAAAACATTTCACTTATATATTCATTAAAAAGCTGTAGAGTTTACATGTAGAATCAAGGCGAGAACCCGAATTCGATATTTTGGGTTTTAAAATGTGAATCCACATCATTACATTACAAACTATGAAATGGAAATAGAAAAACTGAGTGCAGATCCTGTGATTCTGCTTTGTTGTGCTCTCTCCCATTTAAGATGCTCCTATTTTACTCAGTTTATTGAAATTTGAATTTGATTAATTGCTGTGTATAGGCATGCTTTTCTCAAGGACAACACCATACTGAAATGAAAAAAAACAAGGTTTCGGTCGAATGCTTCAAAACCTTTTTGTAAAATCTAAACTTGGCTTGATTTGGATGATAAAAAGGAAAGAGAGAAAGTCGAGATTTATTTTATTTTTAAACCTGACATGCAATAGCCCCTCCCTAATTTGTTGAGTGTCTCTATGTATGTTTCCTCCCCCCCCCCTTTTAACAATTACGCACTTGTTGCTGTTGCTGTTGTTTCTGTTATGTCGAATCAAGCAAATAACGATAATCGTCTCAGTGAATTTGTTGACTGGATTCTGCTCCGAGAGATGTCAAAGTAAGATGAAATAATGCTTGATAGAACATGCTTTCACTCTTTCTAAACAAAGCATACCTTCGATGCGAAATTACACTGTACTCGTCATTGTGGTTCGACTTGTTTCTGCTAAATAATGAATTGCTTAAATAGGATGGGCATTTTCTGTTGGGCATGTTCTTTAGTAATGTCAATCAAACAGAAAGCACTATTTTTAGGCGCAGCTTGTATGACAGATTTTTTCTGCAATATTGTATGTAAGGCCATGATAACATTAGATAGAATGCACTATGTTTGAAGAGTTTTCCAATGACAATGTATTATTGAAGAATTGAACTTACCTCCCTTTTCAGACTAATACCTTGCTGTGCGATTTCGGATTATCAAAAATTGTTTTGCTGCCATGGTAACTGGCAGATCAGCCGAGGATGTAGGACAAGAATGCTATAAATTTGGTTAAAACACAATCATTTAGCGTATATAACTCTGAATTTCGAGAAGAAGCCGATGAAATCAATTTCAATTTATTTTCGGTTTGTGTGCCATCGAACTTGAACACAAGTACGTCAATTGTATCCCACATGGGATTCTGTCTAGATTCGAGTAGATCTTGGTACTAGTTCTATCTTTTTTGTCAGTTAAAGAGAAGCAAGTCTTATAGCACGATGTTGTTCCCGGTTTAGACGGTGTCTGCGTTGCGTCGACTTTAGTGATGTCCAAATTATTTCTTTCAATGATATGATGGTGCAAATATGTGATGTGTGTGTGTGTGTGTGTGTGTGTGTGTGTGTGTGTGTGTATTTTACATGATATGTCATTCCGGCGTTAAAATGATACAATCTAACAGGCACAGAAAGAGGCATGAAGGAAGTCTACCAGTAATACAAAAACTGGAAATTTATTAAAAAGAGAAGCTGAAGAAGCTTGACACATATATTTACATTTTCACATCCACCTAGATTTTGTGAACTAATCCAGATCCTGTTTGCGTGGTAAAGGAAACGAATGAGTGTGGTGATTCCTGCCAGTTATAAAAAGCACTTACCATCTAGGCCGTTATAGTAAAACCAATTTTGGATGGGCAATTCATTCGCAGAAAGTGTTCTCAAAATATCTTGCGCCAAAATACCTCCAACAATAGCGGCCACAGGTGAGATTTCAGTGTCGAATAAAGAAGCAAGATCGCTGCGTGTACGTTAGCATCATATAACCTCATCCAAATCCCACTTCACATTACTTGAGTAATCTGTCATCCAAAACGCTTGTATCTTCGATTCCCATATCTGCCAAATGTGTCGCTTTACTCTTGATCAAATACTCGACATCCTCATTGGTTGGTGATCGATGATGATCTCTTTGAAACTTGAACAACACTATTATATCCTCATATTGTCAATAATCCAACCACCCAATCTTACAAAACAAGTACTTACTGTGCATTAGAAATGTTAATGGTGAAACTCTTCTCTTGAGTGCTTTGATTCTCATGTCTGACCAATTTTTCTGTAAAGAGTCATTCAGGCTAGAATAGGTTTCGACATGTGGGATTTTTTCAACAGTTGGTTGTGCTTTCGAATTAGGGTGAGGATTTGATTTCTTTTCTCTAGTATACATCAAAACATTAGCAAGGTTACAGACTGATATCGAATCTACTTACTGTATGTAAGCGTGTTCAGTCAAATCACAAAATATATATCCAAACCATCCAAAAGCATCTGCGGCATAGAATGGCTTTTTGATATTTCTTCTGATTTTATCCACTCTGGACTGTAGGTGCAATTGCAGTAAGCATTGAGTCAAGAAGAAACGCATGTCCATGTACTCACGATTATATCGTATTCGGAGTGGATCAAGCATACAACTGAATATGATTCGAAATACTCTGCTGGTTTCTCACGAACGTCTTGCTGATCTACGATGACTTGGACTCTAGGATTCAAATTCCTGATACTAGCTGCGGCTGCCTCTGCTCTCTACGTTGACACCAATAGATTAGTACTGAAGCTCTCGTCAATTGAGTGTCTGATGGTATCTACATTTTGGCCAACACTAGCTTCTGTCAAGAAAAATTGAGCTCCCAAATCAAATTCGGTAACTGTTTCATGATCAAGCAATGTAATGCTTGCTACACCAGCCAACGCAATATTTTTGCACACCTCGTCGCTCAATGCACGCATGCCAGCAATGAGGATACTAGCTTTACCAATTCTGTTGTATTTTTGACGCGCAAATCGAGATTAGCAAAGCGTGTTTTTGTCTGTAGGTAAGTCTATACCTCTGTTGCGCGTCAAGGCCCCAGAGTCTGATTTGGCGGTCGTATACGGCTGCTTCATCTACCCATCCAAAATATGTGTGAGCAACGATAAGCTGCTTTTACTTGTTCCTCAATATCTTACCTTTAGATATTTCTGTTGACATTGTTCGTGTGCTGAATAAAGAAGGTTTTAAAGTTGCTTAGGGATGAAGAGTTTCTTTTATTTGAGAACCACCAAGTCACATTAGCATAAGCTAGTTGTCAGATTGGCATGAGTTTGACATCTACACATGATGCTTAACTTGGTTTCAACGAAGAAGGCACTTCCTGGTAAACAGTATTCTCCAGCAATAACGGTCCTTTTCAACAAGATGATAAAGGTAATACCGTTACGATTCCCTTATTTGCATCATCGAAGAGGATTTATGAATGCGAAGGCATGCGTTGTACTTGCATAGTAAATCATCCAATTAAGTCTCAATGCGAAACACTCTTAAGTTCTAACTGAAAAGAGTGTGGATGAACTTCAAGTAGCACTATGGGTCCTATATCAGATGCTGCATTGAGATCACGCACTGTAGATCTTGGGCTGTCTTCTGCAAAATCTGAGTACATCAGGATGCTAATCCTAACTATCATTATTTTTATTTGTATGCTGTAGAAGCTAGCGCGATGAAGGACATATCTTCTTATGCCGCTATTCGATGCTTCCAAATTAAAGCGTGTACTGCTTGAACAGATTTAGTTGCTTTGAGTACTTGAACATGGCATGCAATTTCTGTACAGTAGAATGATGATCATTGCGGTAATGTAAAGCAAATTCTTGTTGTAGGGTCAGCTCATGGTCATATCGGCGGCATATGTCAAACAAAGAAATGCTACTTAGACATCTACTGGTTGGCTATTGGCACAAACTGATTCCCTCTCCAATAGATGTTCGCTTTTTGACATCTCACTTTTGTTCCTATTAGTGGAAGATGCTTTGCGTAGCAGATACTTTATACATTTTTCAGTAGAACAGTTTCAGCAAAAGACAGGTTATCAAACTCAATATCAGAGTTTAAGTTTATGCTGTCGCATAATTCTGTCTACAAAACGGTCCAAAATGACTTGTAAAGGAATGAGTTGTCGCAGGGGCTATACCTTGGAACCATCGGTTGCAATATTTCTTCCACTTTTCTCTTTTTCATCTCTTTTGAATTCTCTTTGAAATTCGATTTTGAAATTCGCATTGAAAGTAGCATGTTTCTATACCAGTTTTTTGCCCTTTAAACGATGGAACAATTGGATTTCAGATAGGGTGCGTTGGTGTTGAGAAAGCAGAGATTTTTGAAGTTTGCAAATTATGGAGAGATGCTACGAATAAAAGTCAATGGATTACTATATGAATATTTGTTGTATGTCTAGTAAAAGTTGTAGAGGGTACTTTTGTTGATTAAGGAGTATTGTATTTGGACTTGCTGAGAAGGATGTCGATGAGTAATGAAGAAAAAGAGTGAAAATGGACAAATTTCATAGGGCCGTGCTGGTTGATTTTACCAAGTGAACGAGAGCTTCAAACTTAATAGCTTCTGTTTCTTTTTCAATTCTCTATACGATGGTATGGTTATTATGGATAAATAAGTAAAAAGTTGAATATCTCCTGCTTGTAGCTCATAAAATATAAGATTTTGAGCAAATTTATGAAGGGAACGCAAACCTGGTACTTAAAGCCATTATATTATAATGGATATAACGTAGAGCTATCGAATGGTCTTTGTTTTGTGCGAATCCAGTGAGTATTTGTCGAGATATGGTCAAAAAAGAGTATCATGCAAAATCATGGATTTTTCTTCAAAATCTACGTGTGATAGCAAGCAAAAAATCTGGTGACGATTTTTTGGTCAGGACAATATTTTCAATATCTCACGATAGAAGCATGCTAGAGCTTCAAGCAATAGCTCATTCGATGGGAAATGTTTTGATCTACAATGTCTAGTAATGCTTAACAAAATGTTTTGATGACAGATACTGATTAATCTTTAGAAAACAGTGAAAAAATGGCAAAATGTATCTCATTAAATATCATGTGAACAATGTACACCAGAGACTTGAAATAAATACCATTGTATTTTCCTTGCAATTTTCTACAAGTTTTATATAAGTTTGAAGGGGTGTTTACTATCAAAAATCAAGTAATTCTAAGGTCGATAGATTTTGGAATCCCATGGGTCATTATTCAGAACAGTAGAAATTGAATCTCCGTTTAGCCTTGGCATGTGTAAGCGACACATGTATGCATTTGACTGAGCATTTTAAAAATCGGAGCGTACGAAAAGGGCCATATTAACTTGCTAGTTTCAAGTTATCAATAGATACTTGACATGATGGAAAATTTTGCTGTTAAGGTTAGATAGCTGTAGCTTGCTTTGTTCGATAATGATAAGATTTGCAATTTAAAGCATGCATATTCCCCCGCTTAAAAATAGCATCTCCATTGTTAATTATCTCATGAAATATGCATTTCCAGTGTAATGTTCCCACTAAGAAGTTGCTCCAATATTATTATTCTACAACATATTCTGGCTTCATGATAGTAATACATAATGTAGCAGTAGCTAATATCACTGCTTATAAATATGTGCCTTACAATGTGGATCATAAAGTGCACATCTGAAACAACAAGCTAATACTGCGTCGATTTTGGTGCTCAACCAAATATGACAATCATCTGTAGTCAATGTCGAAATATAGTACCGTATAAGTCTATAGCACCATCTATGTCCATGACCCCGTCTATAACCTACATCTTATGTAATATGAATCTTATAGTACTAGCGTATCTGAGGTTTATATCCTTTTTATACTATATAGTCGTGTATCGTACATCTAATCCAGTGCACACAACGTAATTTGTATCCAAAACTGGTAATAGGATGAACTATAAATATGCAGATCAGAGTGGATGTATTCCACAACAATACATAATTTGTGTAATACGTATTATAGCGTAAGCCATATGGCCAACTACGGAATTTAGCGTTCAGTTTCTACTCTACTTTCTACGATTTAAGCAATAATATAGATACTATAATTACAGTAAGGTAATCCAAAACAATATAAATATTTGCACATTGGACAGCGGCGGCGGCGGCGGCGGCGGCCACTGCAACTTTTTGTAGGGTAATAGTAGGGTACAACTAGGGGTAAAGTGTACATATTACCCCTAATATTGCCCAAAGGGCAAAATGTACATATTATCATGTTGGGTAATATATATGAGGAAGTTATTTTACCATTTACTGCTTCAGTTTGATTGAAAATGTATTCAACAGCATCTATGTATCATTTAAAACTTAGTTCAACTTTAAAATTTTCAAAAGCATCTGTTTCTCATTCTACAGAGTTCTTCAAAGGCTTATCATCTACCTGCAAAAAGAATATTCGTAAATTACTCCTAGGGTAATATAAGGTAACGTAATATTTCATATGGTATACTGGTTAAATTATAAAATACTTTGAGACAATGATGCTCTGCGGTGCTGGTTTTGTGAAATGTGTAGCGAAATGTGTGGAAGACCTTGCAGTAATAGTTGATCCCAAGACAAAACCAAGTAATTAAAGCTGTTTAAGTTGCTGATGTGTTGCAATAACCTTGATGTAGACAGTATCTCAGCGATTAAATGTATATATAAAGTTATATACCCAAAAGATTTAAACGTAAGAAAGTTCAATTTATTTCCAATGTGTTGTATAGATCAAAATATATGTCAAAGAATAAAATATGAGTAACCGGTTTCAACACCAGTTCAGGAACAGCATTCTGATAGGCTCAGAGTTCAGATACCGCTTTTTAAAATTAGCAATGCCACAAAATCCTTTTACCATTGTAACAACAAACAAGTCGTCGCTTTGTCGGAGTGGTTAACGAGATAGCCTGCTAAGCTATTGCTCTTTGAGCGCGCAGGTTCGAATCCTGCAGGCGACGCTTCTTTTTTGCCAATTCTACAAAATGTAGTGTACATAGTAGATTATTTTGTCATTTCATTCATTTTTATTCTTGATCCTTAATTGCTACAGTTTGACTTTGCAACTATCTCCTTTTTTTTTCCTCTCAACAAGAACAATGCCAAGTAAATTTTAGCTCAGTACAATGGAACTCAACGCCAAATTATCTTTCAAATCTAAGTTATCAACCTTGGAACAGCTGGAATCTACTTCTTTAACGCATATCTACCTAAATTATTCTTTATAAACGCTTGTCAACTGACTATCTATTCATCAATTCCTTATAGCTTTTATTGCCAATGATGAGCTTAGTGCTATTTCTGACAAAGATAATAAAGCGCTTCCCAAGAGACATTTGCTAAACTTCATCGTTGGGCACAGCGGCATTAGTTAGATCAGATTAGCCAGCACGCATTATTTAAACTTTTCGCGCGCTTAAAAGTTCAACAGCTTGCACATGCACTCTCATTTGACTCAAAGTGAATGCAACCTTGACCGATGGCATTATGATATCAATCCATCCTCTACAAAGCGCATCACAACGCCATGGACCACCTCTTCGATAGTTTTTTTCCGCACCAACAGATTTGGATAGTGTGGTCTCAAACTTAATGACTTTGACCATCACCAGAGTTACAATAAAGCATAGAAACGTTCAGTAATTGACGACAAAATCAGCCATATTTCGTTCTTTGCAAATAGTAGAATCTCTCAGAATCCTTTCTCTGGTGCCTGGCAAAAGCAATGACGTTATGTTCTTCAGACGTCGGTGCAGTAGTACTGGTGTATGGATAATGCTAAAATTGTTGTATTTTCTCCTCTCTATGGGGAAATGAATCGCTAAAGTAGAGAATACTGACTTACTGTTTGTTTTTGATTGCAATTGGTTATATACTGATGAATTTACAACACTCTTCCTTTTGAACCTCCTTGCATCTCTTCTTGTAATTGACAAAAACTTGTAGACTATCAAAAGATAGCTTCAGTCTTTGTGAATCATATCAAGTCTGTACTAACATTCGAATGCCATTGTCAATGCGTTACAGGTTTCAATAGTGCGGCGCTCACCTTTAATACTTGGCTTGGCTTGGCATAGCATTAGAAAACTGAGTCGTTAATCTATCAGTAAAATTATAAGAGTATGCTTGAAAAGGACAGAACGAAAAGCAATAAGCATTCATAATGATATATATATATATATATATATATATATATATATATATATATATATGGCACAGAAAATCGACCTGTCTGTTTAAACGGATTGCATTTGGGATAGCAATTACCGGAAAAACGTTTAATGCAAATTGCATACACACACATACACCAAATTAAATAAATGATTGAATTTAACCTTTGAGCCTTTTTTCCTTTCTTTTTATCCTCATAGTTTTAAACATCAAAACAGCAAATGGCACCGATACAGCACTTCAAAACGGCGTTTTGGTCACAAAAGCAACCAGAGCTCACATTACCAGACTTCAACGCTGGCTACTCTGTTCTCCATCAAAAGCTTAACCAGAGTAAAGTTGAAAATGAAGAAGTCATTGCATTCTTCAAGGAACGTATATCGATTGAAGAGATTTATGCATCCAGGCTGGTCGACCAAGGCAAATCACCACTCAAAAGCTCGGGATTCGCTCGTGATGAGGGCGCTGGACTTTTGAAATGTTTTGGACAATTGAAGGAAACGAGTCGCCGCTTTGGTGAACAGCATAAGGTTACAGCAACCACTGTGAGTAACCATGTTTTGCTGCCCTTGCAAGAGTTTCATGAGGAGTATAAGCGCAAAATTTCAAATTCCAAGCAGGCAATTGACAGCATGTTGAAGCAATTCGATGGCTTAGTGAAGGAGGCTGAGAAGACCAGATATACATATCATCGAAAGTGTAAAGAGGCTGATAAGGCTGAGGAATTAGCAGTGAGAAATGCGACAGCAGCAGCAGCGACAGCTACACAGAAAGCAGCAGACGACAAAAGCTTGATGGTGCCTGGCCCTGAAGATGCAAGCGCAGATACAGCTTCAGCCACTTCCGATAACTCGACATCCACACCTGCGACGACGATGAATGTACAATTGGGTAACCAGGTCATGCCTCAATCTGAATTGGATAGTTTGGTGCGCCGCATGCGACAGAGCATTACAGTAAACGATCACCGTGTGCCCATACTAGGTACATACAAGAATACCTCAACTGGAGAAGATATTGCCATCTGGTTGCAACAAAATCTACCCCAATGTAAAGATTCCCCAGCAATGGCAGATGTAGTTGGACAGCAACTGATTCAGCCCTACAACATTTTGCGACTCATTGGCCAACGTGGAAACAAGTTTGTCGCATCAGCAAATTCCTTTTATCAATGGCGTGTAGCTGGAGACGATGACACTGCCAGCGTCACTTCGACATCAGATACCAGTTCAACGTATACGGCTTTGGGTGGGCTCATGGATAAGATAGCTGTTCCTGCTGCTGCCAGTTCAGCAGCCACATCAGAGGAGCCTCACAAAAAAGCTCGACGTGAAGCTGAGAAATGTGATCAAGCTTACCGAACTGCAGTACTCAAGCTGGATCAACTACGCATGGCAATTGAAGAAGCCATGTTTGCACATCTTACTGAAATGGAGCAAGTCGAGCTCCATCGCATTGAGCAACTGAAAAAGGTGATTTCTTCCTTCATTGCTGCCATGTCTGTAGGAATTCCTCAGGACAAGATTGTTATTGAGGAAATGATGGTTTTTCAGGAGTCTCTCAAGCCAGATCAGGACATTCAATTCATCGTCCAGCAATACGCGGTATCAGGTTTTTCACCAAAAGCCATCCTTTATGATAATTACTACCACGGCATTTCTCATGGTAAGATGCATGCGTACATTAATCCCCAAAGATGAAATTGATCTCTTTTAGACCAAGTGTTTGGTGTGCCATTGGAGGAGCTAGGAAAGCACTCTCAGGACCATGTCCCCAAATTTGTATCGCTTATTTTGGAAGCAGTAGACAAGGGCGTAGAGAGGGTGGAGGATGCCGATGCAAAACAAAGACTGTGGTCGACTCCTTGCGCCTTGGACAAAGTTCATTCTACATGCATGGAATTGAATATACGAAGCGATGATCTGACATTGGAGACTATGGAGAAATACGAACCAGATCTGCTCGTTGCTGTGCTTCGCTACTTTCTACTAGAGCTGCCAGAGTGTCTGTTGACCTTTGAGTTTTATGATCCTGTTCAGGCACTTTTAGGAGGGACAGGTAAGTCAAGATATTCGCCGAATTCTGTGTGGCGGATACTAATGCACTCGATAGATGATGAACAAGATGAAAGCCTACGTCTAGCGTCATTTAGTAATCTGATAGCCACTCTTCCTGCTGCTCATTTTGTTACATTGAAATCGATTTTTGCAAGTATTACAAGGTAATGGGTACTTTTGGTACAAAAAAGAGCTTGTTACTGATTATTTGGCCTAAGTTTTATCAAGAAAACATCAGCATCTACAGATAACATACACAATATCAGCCAATCACTAGGTCCTGTCATCTTGAGATCCCGAGTCGAGTCTTTTACTATTCTTAACAGCAAGACACCTGTGAAATTTGCCCAGGAGCTGATCAGCCACTATGACAACATCTTCTCTGAATCAACGTTAAAATTGCACGCTGAAAGTGAAAAGCGACGACTTGCCAAGCCTATCATTGCTGTTCAGCAACAAGAAGAGAAGACAAACAAACGAGGCAGCTTAATGTCGTTTATGCGACCTACCATTAACACGGCAGAAGAATTGAACAAATGGACAGTGAATTCTATGATGGGCGTCTTTCAGAGAAACAACACTACAGCTGCCTCTCCAACTAATATGGAACAACAGAGCCCTCTTGCAAGATCTGTGCCCTTGTCATTTGGCTCTACCATTACTCGCCAAGAATCACCTCCCTCTTCGCCAGCCATGTCACCATCCGCCTCTGTCCCTGATGCCAAAAAGAAAGAGGAGCCTGCCACTGTCATGTTTGATGGAGGAGACGATATTTTTGATGAAAAGGAAGACACTAGTACAGACAACATCTTGCAAGACATTGACTCCAAGCCCGAGGAGAAGGCTAACAATACCCAACAACAACCAACGAGGCCAGTGCCTGAGCAAATCGATTCATCCTTCTTTGATGATGATGACGACGAGGACTAAATGTCTCTGAATAATAAAGAACTATTTACTTACTATCTAAAGTGAGGCTTCAACGGTGCTGTTTGGGCATCAATTAGCGTCAATGGAATTTCGCTTGATCCGACAACATGAACACATAGCTAAGTTAAACTGCTCAATGCGGCATCTGCTTGAAATGCATTTTATTAGGTTTGATATGAATCTCATGGATGGCGGTATCTAGTTGTTGACGATTGATTATTGATATTGGTCTGCTCACCTCTCCTCATGAGATTACTCAAATCCCGGGGTTTTGTATACGCGAGCGCCTGCTCTAAATTGATGCTGTAATTTTGTTTGTATTGATCCAAACAGTTGGCCCTCCTTATTACTAATACGAAAACATTGTCACATCAAGATTGCAACATTGCAAAAGGAACTTAACTGGAGTAGATTGACTCTACGAGTATCCAGTACGCATAGCTGCTAATGATTTTCCGCAAAAAGCGCTTATCTCTTTTTCAATGCGTAGCAGTTATAAAGTGATTTAGATATGGCAAGTGCATACGTACCTTTTGGACCAAATTAGAGTGCGACGTTTTAGTTTTTGAATCAGAAATCAGAATTTTTCGTCTGTGCTACATTCAAGTCAATTTGAAATAAGCAATAAGTTTAGTCATCTCTTTGCATACAGAATGGTAGCAGACATTCAGATTAGATTTGATGGCTGTAGATACGAGGGTATTAGTTGTAGTGTAGACAAGAACCTTGGTCAGGGTTGGAGATAAGCTAGCACCGTTGACCTGTAGAACATCATTTGTTGAGCTACTAGTGATTTTCATTCCGAGGCGTCGTTATCGTTTCATTATTAATACAAGTGTGATTCTTTTTTTGTATGTCCCAATCGTGTGGAACTATATAAAGACGCTTGATTCTCCTCTTTTGAGTAGAATTAAATCATCACAGCTTCTCCATGGCATATCAAAACAGAATCAGTAATGACAGCACAAGCCGATCTTTTTGTTCTTCCTCCAATGAAGCAGCTACAGTGGTAGATGCAGCAGCCTACCCTCATCTATCTCAAACTCAGTCTCGTGGCGGCTTTGGTGAAGTAGATGGCAATGCTGTAGACATTGAGATTGCTCTCGAAGAATACAGATCTGTGCAGAGGGAATTGACTCGACAATCAAAAAAGACGCAGCCAGATGCTGATGTGGAAAAGGCGCAAGAAAGCGACTTTGATCTGACGGAATACCTGGCAAATCAGCATGACCAACTGGCATCTGCTGGCCTGAAATCAAAGAATATGGGCGTGATCTGGAAGAATCTGACGGTACAAGGTGTAGGTGCTGATGCTAGATCCATTGCTACCAACTGGTCTGTGCTGACAAAGGCTGCTCGATTCTGGGAATGGACTAAACACAGAGGCACTGATTTTACCATTCTGCATGATAACAATGGTTTTTGCAAATCAGGCGAGCTGCTTCTCGTAATCGGACGCCCTGGCAGTGGATGCTCCACACTCCTCCGTATCTTGGCAAACATGCGTAGCTCTTATACAAGCATCGAAGGAGATGTGTCGTACGGTGGCATTGATGCTCATGATTTCGGCAAACATTTCAAAGGCGAAGTGTGCTATAATGAGGAAGAAGACCTCCATTACCCCACATTGACTACTGAACAGACGCTTCGCTTTGCGCTCAAGAACAAGACACCTAGCACCCGTATCCCTGGTGAATCTAAGCAAGACTTTATCAATAGCGTGCTCTACATGCTTGGCAATATGCTGGGCCTTACAAAACAAATGAAGACTATGGTGGGCAATGCTTTTGTGCGTGGTCTCTCTGGTGGTGAGCGCAAACGTCTCTCTATTGCTGAACAAATGACAACACACAGTTCCATCAATTGCTGGGATTGCTCTACACGCGGTCTGGATGCCTCCTCTGCCTTGGACTATGTGCGTTCTCTGCGTATCATGACCGACATCATGCAAAAAACTACCATTTCCACACTGTACCAAGCTTCTGATAGCATTTTCGATTTGTTTGATAAGGTGATGGTGCTTGATGAAGGTCGTTGTATCTACTTTGGCCCTACCTCTGAAGCCAAGGCTTACTTTACTGATATGGGTTTCTACTGTCCTCCTCGTAAATCTGCTCCTGACTTCCTCACTGGCTTATGCAACCTCAATGAACGGCAAGTGCAGCCTGAATTTCAAGATTGTCAAATGCCAACGAACGCTGTTCAATTTGAAAAGCGCTACAAGGAGTCTGCCATGTTTAATAAGATGATCACAGAACGCGATCAGTACGAGAAAGAGATCAACCAAGACAAGCCCTATGAGTCTTTTCTCGAAGCATTCAAGCAAGCACATGATATACCTGCTGTTGTTAGCTACTATGATCAAGTAAAGGCGCTCACCATTCGTCAATTCCAACTGATTTGGGGTGATAAGTACTCTCTTTTTGTACGCTATGGCGATGTTATTGTCAAAGGACTGATCACAGCTTCTGTCTTTTATATGATGCCTTTAAATGGCACTGGTGCTGTAAGTAAATTTCTTGCTTGATTGTGTGTCCATTTTACTAACATTGTCTACAGTTTAGCCGCTCTGGAGCCTTCTTGTTTGCACTCATCTTTAACGCGTTCATCGCTCAGTCCGAATTGCCTTCTTTCATGAAAGGTAGACGAGTATTGGAAAAGCACAAGCATTTTGCCTTGTATCATCCATCTGCCTTTTACTTTGCTCAGGTCATGGTGGATATTCCTTTGGCTGTCCTTCAGGCTATCGTGTTTGAGGTTTGCATCTACTTTCTTATGGGCCTTGCTTCTGACGCTGGAAAAGTAAGTATATTCTCGCTGTCTACACAATCGAATGCGCTTACTGATACTACTCTTGTTCTAGTTTTTCACGCTGTTTGTCAACCTGATAGCTATCACGCTTTGCATGAATGGTTTCTTTCGTTTCTTGGGTGCTGTCTGTCCTAACTTTTTTCTTGCTTCTCAGCTCTCTAGTTTTGCATTTGTTGCCTTGTTGATCAACTCTGGCTATCAGCTTCCTTACCCAGACATGCATCCCTGGTTTATGTGGATCTATTGGATCAATCCCATTGCCTACAGTTACAAGTCCATCCTGTCTTCCGAACTGAGAGGAGCCTTGTTCAGCTGCGATGGCGTTAATAGTGTTCCCAATGGCCCTGGTTATACTAATCCTGCCTACCGTACTTGCGTTCTTCCAGGTGCCAGCCCTGGCGCTAGCTTTGTTCTCGGTGATGACTACTTGGCTCAGCAGTACGAGTATTACACATCGCAAATCTGGATCAACTTTGTGGCTGTAGTGCTGTTCTTTGTACTTTTCACTGCTCTCACTGCACTCTGCATGGAATATGTTGACCTCAAGCAAGAAGGAGCCATCACAAAGGTGTACAAGAAGGGCGCCTCTCCCCAAGTAGAGTCCACAGAAGCTCAGTTGAAACAAGAAAAGACAAGAAAAGAGCAGCAACTAGAACCAGTGGCCAATGGAACCACTTTCTCATGGCACCACGTCAACTACACTGTTCCCATCAAAGGTGGAAGTCGTCAATTACTGGATAACGTGGCTGGTTTAGTCAAGCCTGGACATCTCTGCGCCTTGATGGGCTCTTCTGGTGCTGGTAAAACTACGCTGCTGGATGTCTTGGCCAAGAGAAAAACTATTGGCACCATTGAAGGCAATATCTACATGAATGGCGAGCATTTAGCGAGTGATTTTGAGCGTCTTACTGGCTACTGTGAGCAAATGGACGTCCACAACCCCAACACCACTGTCCGCGAAGCACTGCAATTCTCTGCTTACCTTCGCCAGTCTGCTGATATGCCCAAGGAAGAGAAAGATGCCTATGTGGAGCAAATTCTGGACCTCTTGGAGATGCAAAAGATTGGCGAAGCTTTGGTAGGAGACCTTGAAGAAGGCATTGGTATCTCTGTTGAAGAACGCAAACGCCTTACTATCGCTGTAGAGCTCGTTGGAAAGCCAAAGCTTCTCTTTTTGGATGAGCCCACCTCTGGTCTTGATGCCCAATCCTCTTACAACATCATTCGATTCATTCGCAGATTAGCTGATGCTGGCTGGCCCGTGCTTTGTACCATCCATCAACCCTCTGCTACTCTGTTCGAGCATTTTGATCACTTGCTGCTTCTGATGAGAGGTGGCCGCACGGCTTACTTTGGTGAAGTTGGCAAGGACTCTCGCACGATGATTGACTATTTCGAGTCCAACGGTGGCCCCACTTGCTCTCCTGAGGCTAACCCTGCAGAGTACATATTGGAATGCGTGGGTGCTGGTACTGCTGGCAAAGTAACTACTGACTGGGCTCAAGTCTGGGCCAACTCGCCTGAAGCTACTGCTCTTGAGGAGGAACTGGAAGCCATTCACAGCTCTATTGATCACACTGTCAATCGCAAAGTGGAGGCCTATGCACAATCATTCTGGCCACAACTGTACTATGTGCTCAAACGAATGAATATCTCCTGGTGGAGATCACCTTCTTACAATGTGGGCCGTTTACTCAACGTTGTCTTTATTGGCTTGATCACTGGTTTTACTTTTTGGAAGGTGGGCAATACTCCCAAAGACATGCAAAACCGCATGTTTGGCCTCTTGACGTCCATGTTTATGGGAAATACCATAATTATCTTGATCCAACCGCGCTACATGCAAGAGCGTACGTGGTTCCGTCGCGAATATGCTAGCAAGTACTATGGATGGTTTCCATTTGCCTTGTCCTGTATACTGGTGGAGATTCCGTACCTCGTATCTCTCTCGGCTGTCTTCTTGGTCTGCTACTACTGGACTACAGGTCTGCAAAACGTATCTGAGCGTGTAGGTTACTTTTTCATTCAGTTTGTTGTCTACATGTTCCATTCCGTCACCTTTGGATACGCTATTGCTGCTTTCTGTGAGTCTCCTACTATGGCTGCCATTTTGAACCCCTTCTTTACCACTATTTTGTACCTCTTTTCTGGTCTTTTCCAAACGCCCAAAGCTATGCCCAAGTTTTGGAGCGCCTGGATGTACTGGCTTGATCCTTATCACTATTTTATTGAAGGTCTCGTTACAAATGGCCTGGATAGTGTCCCTGTTGTGTGTAGCGACAGCAACTACATCAAAATAAAGGCACCTCCTGGTAGAAACTGTGGCGAGTACATGGCTGATTTCTTTGCTGATGGCGGTTTAGGCTACATTGGCAATCCTAATGGTACTGATTACTGCGATTACTGCCAATATAGCATTGGTAATGACTATTATGAAACTAATATTGGCTGGTCTTATTCCAACAGATGGCGTAACTTTGGTCTTCTCTGGGTGTTCACCGCTTTTAATGTCGTCTTGTTTGTTGTGCTTGTATACTTGTTTAGAAAGCAAAAGCGATAAACGGGACTAGATACTTGTAAATACCTATCTTAAATAAACTTCTTTTGTACATAAATCTTATCGGTATCATAGCCGTAAATGTTGCATATATCATTTCCAGCCGCGTGCCATCTGAGCATTGTTGAGTGCTTATCTAATGTTGCACTCAAGCCTGTTTGTTACTTTCAACGACATTTAGAAAGAATCACTTTTACATGGTGTACGACTATCGTCGTAAACATGATGTCTTGTTATTGGTTGTTTTGAGTAGAAAATAGTCTGTAACGATGATCCAGATTATCCAACAAGTGATCTTCACTATATACTGTAAAACATTAAAAAAAAGTAGACAAGCTAATCATATCCTTTCAAAGCTTTAATAAATTGTATGCCATAAAACGTGAGTAAAACCACCTGCAAAGCCGGCAATGGGGGGGGGGGTTTACCGTAGCGAAGCAAAGGTGTAAAACAATAGTGTTCAAACAGCAAATTCGGTTTTCATTTCTATTGTTAATAAGCTTACCAACATCAGAACGCATCAGAATTTGCATGAATTAGCTTTACCAAAATCAATATGACTCCTGTTCGAATTAGAAGTTGCACAGGCTGCATAACTCCCCTTCCAGAAGACTTCAGCCACTAAAGATATGATTCATGCCATGTAAATAAAAGCTATAAAGCAAAACATAACCAAATTTGACAGTTTTCAAGCCTTCATATCTTGACATATAGACTTTTCTGAGCCACCGGAATAATGCCAAACAATTCCACTTGAGTAGCAGCAACTTCCTGGTACCTTTGTTCAACTTTTTGGGCCAAAAAAAAACATGGCCAAAAAATCGACCAAAAAGCATGAGGTACCCCTCATGGTTTTCACCAAAAATCAAACGATCGCATTTTTCACCTTGAAAATGAAGACTTTTACTATGGTATATCTTGAATCAAAATGTTTCTCTCGATCCAAAGCAACCTCTGAAACCACTTTTATGAGGTTTTCATATGCAAAATATGGCTATTTTCGCTAAAAACCTCATTTCAAATTTTATTAAATTGCTCAATAATTTCAGTCAAAACACTTAGTACAGTTAGAACCATTAGAAGCGCCTTAAAAAGTATTTCAAGGATGTATTAGGAAACGTACAGTGATCATTAGAGTTTATATAGTCGGATATCACAAAATAGATTTTTTTTTTTTTTTTTTTTTTTTAAATTTTGTTTATTGATTGATTCGCGTACACTGAGAGTAATAGGTCAGAGTGAAGAGGCGAGTGCAATTTAGATAAAGAATTGGATAACTATAAGCTAAAATATGAAGAATAATATACTAAACTAAACTATATAAAAAAAAACTATCTAATAATTGGCTTTGGATTACAGGAGGGAATGGCACTGATCTTCCGCAATGGTCTGACGAACACTGGTTCGAATACTGGCCAATATCGCTGTATGGTCCATAGGAACATTGTCATAGATGAACCTCATGTGGGCAAGCCACAGTTGACCAAGGGTGATGATGAGGATTCGGAAAGGCTTGATTCCAGCAATTTGGCAATACCAAACGTTGGAGAAATCAAGTTGCAGAAGAGCCTCTTTAATATCTAGAATCGAGGTGGTAGGCCACAGAAACTCGAAGATGACTCCCTGCCAAACTTTCTCTTTAGAAGGACAATGAAAGAGGAGGTGACTTGGGGAATCGTTCATAGACAAACAAACTGGACAGAGAGGAGACACAAAGACTTTGGGCATAATAAAATGCAAAAATCGACGGTGAGGAATTCGACCCAGAATGAGACGGTATATCACATTACGTTGGACAGTGGTAAGAGACAGGGACCAAAAAAATTTCCAGCTGGACGCAGAGATTTTGCGCAATGCCAAAGGAGAGACCACAGACGAAAGGACAGCCCGACGAAATGCCTTAGCCGAGGCCTGAACATTACCAAGAGGTTGATCATCAAGGAGACGAAACTGCTCAATCAAAGGAGCAAATGAGACGACTGAATCCTCTAAAGGAGCTGGGCTACAGACTGGCTCGAAGTAAGGTTGAAACTGTAATTTCCCTGTCGCTAGGCCTTTGAACACTGTGGAGGGAGTTCTTTTCCAGGTGAGCAGAGAGGGGTCGCGAGTATCCTTCCAATGGACGAAATTGAGCCGGGAATCATACTGAAAAACGTCGGCCACCATCATTTCTTTGACACGAAGGGGAAGCACGAAGCTGGAGGAGGGAGGTACAAACACTGCAGCCTGCAGTGGCAACGCCATAGCAGTAGCTGTATTAATGCGGGCAGAGCCAAAAGAACGAGGGAGATAATCAACAGCACGATATATCATATCCACAGTGCCAGTTCGTTGTTTCAGTAACCCTTGAGAACGAGACGAGGGAAAAAGCAAAGGGATTTGGTGAAATTGGCAGTTGTTAACATTTCGAATGTGATGGCTGAGAAGAGATGACACAGGATGGGCATCAATGGTGGATTGATCATACACCAACAAAGGTTGCAACCATCGAAAGTACAACGCTGAAGCTTGTAGCTGGATGTCGATCACCCCGAGACCACCTTGTTCCTTTGGGAGAGTCCAGACAGACCATGGGATGACGGGGAATATGTTCTTTCTCAAAAATTGTATGGCAAGAGATCTCAGCTGTTTGAAGTCTGCCAGAGTCAACGGAGTAACCCGTAGAATGTACCAAAGTTTGGAGAGCAAAAGAGAGTTCAAGACAGTAGCTCGACCGACAACCGACAGTGATCGAGTAGAATGTATTTGAGTGGCAATTTTGATCTTTGTTACTAGCGAGCCCATGAAGTTGACACGTTGGAGACGACTTTGAACCAAAGGAAACCCCAAATAGATTAAAGGTACATCATCTTCGACGGAATGTAGATGATTGATGTGGATTTGAGCCAACGAGGTCTCCCAAATATCCCATGTATCTCTGCCAGATACCGAAAAAGCCTCCACCTTATCGTAGTTGAATTTGGCATTGGAAGCGCCGCAATACCTGGACATATGTATTTGCAACCGAGCGAGATCAGCAGAATCATGGACAAATACCAAGGCATCATCAGCATAACACAGAAGCTTGGTTCGTTCAGTTCCCATAAGGTACCCTTGGAATTGACGATCGTTAATAATGGCCAACAAGAAGGGTTCAAAAGCTAGATTGTATAGGATTGGAGACAGTGGATCACCCTGCTTCAAACCTCTCAGTTTCGCCACTTCGGACGATAAGTGTCCATTGAGGTTGATGCGAATCAGGTTGTCACCCATTAACTTGTAGATGCATTTCACCAAAGGACGGGGGAAGCCAAATTTCAGCAAGACGTGCCGAAGGTAGTCTAAATTTACACGATCATACGCCTTTTCTTGATCAAGGAGAAGGCCAATATCAGTATCCAAAGAGCCAAATGTAGGATCGTCGTCCCGTTGTTCCGCAACTGTCCATTTTCGTTGTGCGTCTTCCATGATTAGTTGACAAATCATACCATTTTCAGCAATATATCGTCCTGGAATGAATCCTAACTGGTGGCGGCTGATAAGCTGGGTAGAGACGTCCATGATACGCCGGTTGATGCATCGAGTAAAAAGCTTGTAATCCGAGTTGGCCAAGGATAAAGGTCGATAGTTTTTCATGTGAGCTGGATCGCCTTTCTTGTACAAAAGACACATAATGGTTTCGTTCCAAGATTTAGGAAACTTACCCTTCTGTAGAGCTGTGTTGAATACATCGGTGACAAGGGCATGCAACGGAGGATATTTCAAAACCAAGTACAGAATCTCGTAAGGCAGGCCATCTGGGCCAGGGCTGCTGAGTCTGCGGGTGTGTTTGCTATCTTCCAAGAGTTCTTCCATGTCGATTGATAACATCAGAGATTCCTGCTGTTCGCTAGAGATTTTCAAATGACCAGGAATGGATCGGATCAAGGTACTAAGAGCTACTGAATCAGTTGGGTCGGGAGTAAATAGAGTAGAGTAGAAGTTAGTCGCTATGGTGGAGATACCCTGTTGATCGCGACAGAGTTCATCAGTAGTGGGGTCCCTCAATTCAGTGATAGAGCGCTGATTCTCTCTGGCCAAAGCTCTCCTCTTCAGGAAACCAGCAGACTTCTCTCCATTTTCCCTCCAAAACTTGCCGGCTTTGAGAATCTCAATTTCCGCTATAGTGTGTTGCAGTAGTTTGATTTGAGTATTGACATGATCGAGGCCTTGGAAAACCAAACCTCTATGCTTGTGTTGTCTCATCATCTTATTTCGCTTGGACAGTAACTGATGCAGTTGTTTCTTCCTCCAATTCAGATCTTCTAATTGAAATGACTTGATGAAAATCTTGACTTCAGCTTTTACCCAATCCCACTGTTGTTGAGGAGTAGAAAAGGATTTGATTAGTGTAAATTGCTCTTCATTAGCCAAGAGAAATTCGGCTAATGCCTTGCGAAACTGTCGATTGCGAGCCAAAAATGGGTTAGCCTTCCAGCTGCCAGGTCCTCGTCCATTATTGTCTTGATACTTGAAAGTGAAGCCTAATAATTCATGATCCGTCCATTCTGGAGAGAGATACTGTTGATGGATACTAGGAATTTGATGATGAGCATTCGTACTGCAAAACACATAATCCAAGATGGCCGAGTTTCTCCCACTATGCCATGTTATCTGTTTGTCATCTCCAAAAATGTCAATGTAGTAGTCATCTAACAGATCCGTCCATTCCTTAGGGGCGCTAGACAATGTTCCGTCCATCCTTCGATCCTTGTATTGATAATTAAAGTCCCCCATAATAAAAGTGTTGTGTAGTGTGTTGGTAATAGTATCCTTAACAATGGGTATGTCAAGGAGTTCTGTATAAAAGGCTGATCGAGCTGATGGAAGCGATGATCGACCATATATGTTTAGAATAGTTGCAATTGGTGTTGTAGTTGTAGATCCCTGTATATCGCGAGTTAGGTGAACAGAAGCTAGTATATAGCGTCCCTTATCGATGCCTTCCGATATAAGATTAATTGTTAAATGTTTGTTGAGGGCTATGATGCCACAATGTTGTGTCCAGAGACTTGATTTGCTGATAAAATGATTATTGAGTATGTCAATTGATGTTGAGTTTGTAGCATGTGTTTCTTGTAACACCAGTATATCATATTCTAGTGTTCGAAGATATCGAATGAATTGTTGTCTTTTTTTGGGATTTTCTGATTTGATTAAGCCACGGCAATTGAGGGTGGCTATTTTGAGTTGATAGTGGATATTATTCATATTTAAAGATTGGTGGAAGGTGGTGTACCTGAAGGTGCAGGTGGTGTCAAATTCCTATCAATCGTATCCGTATCATCACCAGACATGCGCCTGGCATCACTGTGGGGGTTAGAGGTTTCAGCGTGTTGATATCTGGCATAACCGATATCTAAAGATCCTTCCTGGCGGGTTAACTTCTTCGCTGCTTTCGAGGGATCAAATTCAGGATGAGATCTGCGCACATCCTTGGAAACACTGTTTAATGCATCCGCATCAGAAAACTTTGTATTCGTGTTGTTCTCTTCCATAATGGTATCTCCAGTTATTTTGGTTTGTTGTTGAGAAGCTTCAGGGGAGGGTGCATCAGCATTAGGTTGAGGAGCATCCTGCATGATATGATCCTTGTCTTCTACTGGTTTGCTTCGACGTTCAGAATCGGCCCTCTTTGGAAGAGTAGGCTTGGCTCCCTTTCGTTCCTTGGGCTTAGCAGAAGTTCTGTCAACAGCACGAACCTTTGCAGGTACCGATTCTGCGTTGTTTCTATCACAATTCTTCGATACATGTCCACGTTTGTTGCAGTAGTAGCATATTGCCCATTTGTGGTAGTCTGGGCAGTCAGCACGACAGTGATCAGATTTCTGACACTGGCGGCAAAAGGCTGGCATTTGATCCCATTGTAATAGGATTTGTCGCTGGTCATCTTCCTTCGCGCGAGTGTCCCAAATGATAACTCTCTTGAGAGGTTCCAAGTGTCGCTGTCCACTACATTCAACTCCAGCTTCATGTGAATCCATACATTCATTACCAGGAACATTGGATAAGGTGAGATTGAGGGTGACATATCCTTCACCTTGAAAGATACCAGTCTCTGTCTTGAAAATACCATGATCCAATACGTCTCCAAAACAAGAGAAGCGCTCCGCCATTTCTTTCTTCAGCTGGACAGCAGGAAGAAAAGGTAGCTTCTCCATAGTGATACGCACAATGTTGGCATCTTCGGTAAAAGAGGGAAAGCCCTTCAGGTAGGTCCCATCCTCCAAGGTAATTCCCTGTTCGATGAGAGTTTTTCGGCCAGCTGCATTTGGTAGCCAAAGAGTTTCCAAGAATTGGTGACCAAGGTAGTGTCTAGTTTGTTTTCGATATCCTAGAAAATCCTCATACAGATCATCTCTTTCTGCCTCTTCATTGAACTTGACAAGTGCCTTGTCCAGAAGAGTTCTATCTTTAACTGTAGTCAAGTCTATGAATACCGAGTCCTCTTCTATACCATTCATGAATGGTCGAACCATTGCAATAGGTTTGGGAGGAGTGGTGTTAGCTGCAGACGCGTTCTGGATCGAGTCGGCAGGAGGGGTGATCAACGTAGGGTTGAATGAAACATTTTGCTGTTGTTGTCGTAGTTTGCCCTTCTTGTTGTTGCGAACGACATGAGTCCACAACTCAGGAAGTGGGCGTTGCGATGTCATTGATACAAAATTCGTACAAAAGAGTTCGCAAAATAGATCAATTACAAAATAGATTAAAGAAGTCGACAAAAGACAAAATCTGGCCAATCTTGAACAAAAAAAAATAAGCTGAGCTTGAATCAATTTTGGCGGTGGCATTGCTGCTGGCTGACCTAAATGCCTTTCTTCTGTTGATGACAATGATGATTGCGATTCTGATTAAATGGGGATCATGGAATTGAAAGGACAATTGCTTAATGCAAATACTTTTTTTTGGGGGGAGTTTTGTCTCATGGAGATGTCTTTTGCAATGATAATATCTCAAAAAAGCCGCTGTAGACCTTACGCAAGTCCTGTATTTACTTATGGCCAGCTTTATGTCGCCATCTTATTAAGAGCATCAGCGGCAGCGAATGATATGGCAATTCTACTATCAGAAAATGACGATTGTGATATAAAAATGCTGCATAAAACTTGAATTTTCTTTTATATCGTCTCAATAATAGGCTTTGTCTGATATCAGTGTAAGCAAAAAGGATGCTGGGGGGGGGGGGAGATATGTCCTCTCCTCCTCCTGGTAACTCTAATATAACCTTTCTTTTACTAACTAACTAATAATAAATTGTTTAAAATCTACTTGATATACCAAAATTTTATTATATCTGATTTAAAATGTCTTCGGTGAGAGCCCGCAGGGCGACGCCAACATCGAGCGTAGCGTCACTGCTACCATACAGCAATCTGAAGGCCAACAAATAAAGGGTGGTGGTGGGATGTGAGTGGGGGCCACTGCATCCCCCAACTTTTTCTTTATGACGTTATTACTGAATATTAACTCGCAAGATTTAAGGCATGCGAAAAAACCGACTTCGGGGATCGAATTGTGAACATCGCTCAGTTGAAGAGGCCTCGTCATCACCCTAGCAGAAATTTTCTGATGATGCCGCCACCACAACAGTTAACATAACAAATACTTTTTTCACAACATTTTTCCTCCAAGCAAAGCTCATTTCTGTTAATCTGAAAGCTTTGCTGATGAAAGATAATTCACAGATTATATTTAAATAGGTAGCGCTACTTTTCCGTTCAAATATGTCTGATTTCTTTTCTCTGGCTTTGCTTTTTAGTCTGGTTTTCCTGTGGTTATCGCTGTTTTTCACAACTGCTGGTCAATGTGTTGTCAGGCATGCGAGTCTCGCTATTTGTGCTGAAAGTATGATTCTCTATTGGCTTTACTTATCTTTATGCGAAGTGTGGTGTTGCAATCTCCCACTATAATGGTGCGAACATTGGCTTACAACCCATTTACCTCCCACAAAGTGATAGTTTCAGTGGTTTGTGTATGCGAAGTGTGGTGTTGCGATCTCCCACTGTAAGAGTGCGAACATCGGCTTACGACCCATCTACCTCCCATCACAAAACATGGTCCTGCTAATGCGGCATTCTTTACAGCCCAACTAGTTGAAACTGGCTTGTTGATGTAACATAATTGACTGGCTATATTTGAATAGGTAATGTAAAATACTACAATTATAATTTTTGTTCAAAGATGCCTGATTTCTTTCTTTTTGCTCGATATTCTTCATAGCTCTGCATCATCGATTGGAATAGGAGTAATGATTTTTGCACTAATTGGACGACCAAGCACTAGTAAGCGAAAAACTTGATAATACAAAGGCATTATTTAAAACAGGATTATTATAGACTTACACACTATTTTCACAAATTATTGTCGCACATTTGGAAATAAATTTGTCGCACTTTTCGAAAATAAAATGGAACACGTCTGGAAAAAAATTTGACGTACTAACTGGCACATAAACGGATCAAAAATTGGCGCAAAAGTTGAATGCGACATATGCGACAAATAATCTTTATTTCTAAATAGGCTTCTCTTGCAAGCAATCATCGAATCTATCACAAGAGTATTTACAGAATCCTTTAAGATCGCTAATAAGCACTTGATTGCATGCATCTCCGATTCTAGATGTAAGTGTCTCTTCCTTCAACAACTTCTCTCTTTTAAGCTTGCTCTTACAAACAGACCAGAATTGCTCAATGGGGTTGAGCTCTGGAGAGTATGGAGGAAGGTAGACGCACCTATAACCACGACTTTCTATGAAAAGCTTAATGTCGTCATTCATGTGGATTGGAGCATTGTCCATGATCAAGTAGTTGTCCTTAAAAATATCAGGATGCTTGTCCATTTCGTCCATGGTGTCGCTCAAAAAGTTAAAGTAATGGCCTGTAACAGTGCCTTTACTCTAGGTTTGAGCTGGTCCACTTGATCCAGTTGTTTTTCTTTTCTTAGAAGAGGGCATCATTCGAGGCCGTCTTACTTTAATATTGACAACACCAAAAGCAGAAGTAGCACTCAAGATTGTTGTTGTTTTTGCCCTAGTCTTTGGCACTTTGACAACGGCGCGAGTTCCCACCTTTGACCAAGCAACAGATCGCTTCGTATTGATATGAAATGCTGCCTCGTCGATGAACACGCAATTGCTCATGTAGTCCATATCGGTGTTCATCCATTTCTCTACCCACTCCTTTCGTGCTTTGATCTTTTCTGGGCTGTTGCGATCCACAGAATGAAAGTGAGCTCTCTTCAGACTAATCTTGCATTCGTTGGTAACGAAATTGTAGAGAGCTGTTTTCGATATCTTGAGGTCACTGAACGAGGCTGTCAAGCTTCTTTCCATCATTTGATCCAAAACTAATGCAGGCTCTTCGTCGATTAAGTTGATCAAATGAGTTTTATGACGCTCATCCATCAGTGCTGATCTACCAACTGGTCTTCCGCTACCCCCTTTTCTTGCGATGTAGGTTTGCGGATCTTGCTGGTCGTTTGCTACCCATCTCTGGGCGGTGCGTAGGTTGATTTGTAGTTTCAGGGCAGCTTGTCTTGCACTCATGCCTCTTTCATGCAAAGGCAAACAGCTGCTCCTTTTCTGATTCCTTGTAAGTTTTGTATGTACTGCCTGCCCTCTTGCCCTCCATCTTAACATCTTCTCTCTCTTGCTGCTTTGCATTGTTTTTCTCGGGTTTTTCAGGTGCTTTAAGCTCATGATACATTCCAAAATTCGTCACTGTTTCAATAGGATACATCTCTTCATCTACTTCCATTTCTACGACTGCAACCGCCATGCCTTTGTCGTCGTAAAGGTTTCCTTGACCATCTTCATGTACAAAATAATCCATATTCAAAATAAATGTAAAACTAAAGAAGCCCTGAAATATGTCAATATTAAATCTTTTAATGTGCCAAATTTTGATTTTTTAATGCGCCAACCTTTTCCCAGTTAGTACGTCAAATTTTTTCCAGATGTGTGCCATTTTATTTTCGAAAAGTGCGACAAATTTATTTCCAAATGTGCGACAATAATTTGTGAAAATAGTGTATAAGCTATCTGTTTGTTAAATCTCATAAATGGCTGGGAAACTAGTGATGAGAAACCTCACTGCGTTTATCAACACCAAGAAACTTGTACTGCGTAGATAACAAAATGTTAATCAGGGCAGAATTGAATTGATGAGAATGCAGCTAGATTCGACATTCACAATAATGTGTGTGTGTGTGTTTTTTTTTTTTTTTTTTTTTTTACTATTCAATTCATATATTTCATGTATTTAGATGTCTTAAACTACCGTTTAATTTCACTATATTGGCTTATGTAAAGTAACCCCACCCTTACCACTTTTGGTCATCTGTAGTAGCAGTTCTCCACTTCGTGTTCCTTGTTTCTTAACATCCAGATCGTTCATTTTATAGAAAACCTATATGAGGATTTGACCCTAGCGAAGCCAAAGTGCAAAAACTTAGTATTCAAGTAGTAAATTCGGTTTTTCATTTTCCTTACTAGTAAGCTTACCAACGACATAACGCGTCAAAATTTGCATGAATTAGCTTTACCAAAATCAATATGACTCCTGTTCGAATTAAATATTACACAGGCTACAGAACTGCTCTTCCAGTAAATTACAGCTACCAAAGATGCATTTCATGCCATGTAAATAAAAGCTATAAAGCAAAACATAACCAAATTTGACAGCTTTCAAGCCTTCATATCTTGACATATAGACTTTTCTGAGCCACCGGAATAATGCCAAACAATTCCACTTGAGTAGCAGCAACTTCCTGGTACCTTTGTTCAACTTTTTGGGCCAAAAAAAAACATGGCCAAAAAATCGACCAAAAAGCATGAGGTACCCCTCATGGTTTTCACCAAAAATCAAACGATCGCATTTTTCACCTTGAAAGTGAAGACTTTTACTATGGTATATCTTGAATCAAAATGTTTCTCTCGATCCAAAGCCACCTCTGAAATTATCTTTGTGGGACTTTGATATGTAAAATTTCGACATTTTGGCCAGAAACCTCTTTTAGTATTTTCATAAATCATTCAATAAGTTTATTCAAGAAATCTATATTACTTGGTACCATTGGATGCGCCTTGAAAAGTACTCCAGGAAAGCTTAAGGAAGCATTTTTTTTTGTAGGGGAGACGAGCTCCAGGTTTTATTTAAAGTCCTTTAAATGTCATACTGAGGGATAAAAAAAGACTGTTGGTGGACCCAATGTCTGCAATGAAGGGGAATAAGATATCTTTGAACTAAGTTGGGAAAGAAATCTACTACTAATAATAAGGTGCGACTCCTAGAGCCAGTACAGTCTTGAGGAAATCGTCAAAATAGAGATCATGGATAAGAGTACAAAACACCAAACGAGGACATCAGTACTACGTCAAAAAATCAAACAACTTGCGTTCACCAGGATTTGAACCGGGGATCCTCCAGTTGGCATACGGAAGTTCTACCACTTCGCCCTACCACCAGCTTAAGGAAGCATATTTTTTTTTTTTTTTTTGTAGGGGAGTCGAGCTCCAGGTTTTATTTAAAGTCCTTAAAATGTCATACTGAGGGAAAGAAAAAGACTGTTGGTGGACCCAATGTCTGCAAAAAAGGGGAATAAGATATTTTTGAATTAAGTTGAGAAAAGCATGCATCTTGGAGAATTGATATATCAGTGAAATGGACTTCTTCGAGAACTGTCTTTCTTGATGGAATACTTACCATTACACCACGTCGTTGGGAGACAGAAGCAGCTTCACCACCAGGAGAGGGCCAGACAATACTTCGAGATACTTGAGATGATAAAAGTGCAGCTTTGAATACTACGCTGAGACCATGAAAGAACATGTTTCGATACGTCAGTCAAATGGACCTCTTTAGCGGCAGCTTGCTTGACAAGGGATCTGCCACCACATCATGTCATCAGGAAAATACCTTGCCATCTAGAATAGAAGAGTAGATGAAATATCTATTGTAAATTATGTAAAGACATACCTAATATCGGCTCAGATGTGAATGAATGTATGAATGAAAAGAAGATGAGAGAGAAGGGAAAGAGGATAAAAAATGCGTTTATCTATACACAGTATATCACTGATTGATTAAATAAATTGCGCAAGCCTTGGAACTTGCTAAAAGCAATGGATAAAGCCCAGTGTGAATGATAACTAGAGCACTGTGAAGGTAGTTACCAGACAACTCATTCTGTTTATTAACATACAGCATTTGTGCAGTCATTCTGGCTGGCGATCATCTTTCAGCGTGTAATGGGATAACTTGGCTACCAAAACAGCTCATACCGCTTGCAATCACACAATGTTTTCAGCCATCCTTACTGAGCCTGTCGGATTAGATGAGCTTTACACAACTCAGCTCTGGTTGGATCAAGACTTTCATTGTTACTCGTTCTTAATAATGGAAGGAACTATAAAGGTTGGGTTGTTGATGTTTGAGAATATACACGGTTCGAACCTGTTAATGTCAATTGGGCTGTGTTGTTGTATTTACTAGAATACCAATCTCAATCGACCAAATAACCGGATGCTTCTTGAAAAGTACAAGGATTACAGGAACTCTATCCTATTGGTTCCTGATTGCTAAAAGAAGGTTGGCTTGTTGAACGATGTTGATTTGCATAAAAGGACCTCATAATGTCTTTCAATAAAAGTTCTTCAGTTTTAGTGCCTAGTCATTTCAAGTGCCTATAGAAATCCTCTTTATTACTACATATGTATCTTTCTAAGCTTGGATACAACAATCCTTTACAGACAACCTTGTTTAATAGGGCGCATCCGCAAATAAGGTTCTAAATATTCACTCTGCCATTATAGGTTCCAATGCCAATTTGTATCTGGTCTGTAGAGCTGTTAATCGTTTGCGCTTCAATTTTCAGTCGTCGTAATGAGGCTATCAAATTAGGTGGAATATAGTGTACGATATTACATCCAAGTTTGCCAATTTGATCCGAACACACGTGAGTACTTCCTATGTGTGTTTTGACCTGGTCCCACTTTAATGACGCGTCTTAATGATCTCTGAGCACTGTCACTAAATTGGATGCTTGGTGATGGCTATACTGAAGCGTGAAAAAAAAACACACACTTTATCATTTGCTTTCTTTATCACATAAATATGTCAATTAATTTCTTCTTTCGAACGTCTGCAAAAGAGTGGGATATCACTGAAGCCATTATATATTATGACCAAAATAACAGCACATCTGAAACAAGTTTACATCAGCTTCTATTGACAATCAAGAACGATCTCAAATCAATTGGAAAAACGCAAGCAAGCTTAAACAGATACGTTTTGAAAGCTATCAGACAGGTTGATGTAAGTAAAAACTAAATACATCTCTTTGTCAAACAGACGATTGAGTCTTTATTTTCTATTTAGAAACTTTTGCAGTTAAGATGCTTAGTAGCTACAAGAAGTGATCCTCAAGCATTGGAGAATGAAAAAACCCCAACAGTTAATAATATCAACAATATATCGCAGAACGAACAAGTGAATATTGCTGGCGTCAATAATATAGCTATGAGTCAACCTGTAAGTAAAATAAAAAACGAAAAGTAGATTCGTGAGTATTAACTACATTATTAAGCGTACTAAACGACGAACTCTTCATGAAATAACGAATCAGGTACTTGCACTTTACCACTGGCATTATTTTATTTTGAATTGATTACTAAACCTTGCTACTTTTCCACAGACTGAAACAGATGTGGGCGAGGGCTCATCAATTTACAATATCAATTCACCCTCTGCACCGGTTGAACGCCCCCATAAACCCAAGTTACGTAAACTTCAAATTGAAGCTCTAAATCAAGTTATCCACTTTGGTACCTCATTTTCTCAGGATCACTCATCATCAAAGATTTTATACAACCAATACAAGGATGAACAAAAAGAGAATCGCTCACTCAGGTCTCTTGGTTTGTTCGATTATGTTGTTGACCTATTAGACAGTGAAACCAATTACGAATCATTTGTTGAAGAAATGTGGATCTCGAAGCTTAGTGAAACCCAAGACAGTCGCAAAGAGTCTTTCTTAAATATCATCAAGTACTCTTTAACAACGTTCCACCTTGTTTGCCGATCTCCACCAGTCAATATTTCAAATCATGAGAGAACGCACTTTGTCGAAAATGTTATGCCATCCTTGTTAGCACTTGAAAAGCTATTGGACTTCATCGAGTTCAAATGGTGAAGAGAAAGCATAAAAAGTGTAAAATGGGAAGAAAATATTGAACTCTTTTTTTAGGTGCGAATCAGAATTCATCTCATCCAAAATGCTAAATCAAAAAAACTTGGATTACGACCTTCGATCAACTACATGCAAATACATTGACGCTCTTGGTAGTTTAACTACGCTGAATAATATGGAACTTATCATCGTGGAGGCATCTAGGTAGAACATTTAATGCATTTATTTAAAACAAACAAGTCTTTATTCATTTATTTATCTAGTGGACAACTCAAAGAAAATACTGTCCATTCAATTGAAGATACTCTTAAGATACTGGAATGTGGGATATCATCATTGAGAAAGGAAGCAGCCCATTACAATGGCGCGTCATTGTCCACATTCATGAAGCTGAAGGTCTATGGGATTCATGTTATCAAATCTCAAGTTACACTGTCAGAAATCTCTTTCGATGATGAAAATCACTGGAAATGCATTGAACTAAGAAGGGCCAAATTACCAACAGCTTGGAGGGATAGAATTGGTCTTTTGCAATATATGGAACTGCTAGCAACCCTTTATGTAAATATGTTTACAGGATATAATACAGAACGTTTTTTATGAAACTCACCATGTTTTTTTTAGAATGCCTGTCATGAAAACCAAAAGATCCAAAAGCAGCTCATCAAAGAAGATGTTGGCTTGATCCCTTTCAGTGGTCCTACTATTGGATCAGTGATAAAAGACAATTGATGCCCCCCCCCCTCTTGTATTTTTTTTTTCACTCTTTTTTTTTTTCATATCATCAAGTGGCAACGTTTCCATTGCTAAATGAATACTCTTTTCGTGTCAGCTTATATCTATTATGCTTTGGTTATAAAATTTATCAAAAATTGACAAAAAACACACTGACAGAACCAGTACAAAATCTACAATAGAAGTATGCCAGCATGCACTTCGAGAACAATCAACTGACGTCCTTAAGCTAGGGATTAAAGGTAGAGAAAACACATACAGACGGTATGTTATATATATAATTGAATACATGGCAGCATGATAAGAGGCTCCTGCTGCGTATTTTCTCGTGGGTAAGGCCCTTAACAGGCTAAAATATTCATTAGGACTGCAATGTACTGCTCAAACAGCAATATACAGTACTAAATACCTTTATTGACTCACCTCAATCAAAGTTACAAGGTGTTGAGTCTATAAAGCTGCGCGAGTTCAGTAATTCTGCGGTAGTCAGATCATGTTACTCATTGTCTATGTTGGGACGCAAGGTTCAACAAGAAGTGAATTATATATGATTGGTTATCAAAATCCGTGCTTACGAATGATCGAAGATGATGGGTTGTGAATCGTATCACCGTAGCTGAACTGACGATCGGATCCTTCATCATAATCGATATTGGATATACAGAACTCGATGTATTTACTCAGTTTAGACAAGAAGATAGATTGATTGATTGATTTAGCGATCTTTAATTTTCGTATCTGATTACTTTTGAGGTCTCCCTTTTAATTTTTATCTTATTTTGTTAATATTGCATCTACCGATACAACACAAGGCATGTCCTCAGGTTCACAAGACGCACAACATCTTGATCAATGAATGTGGCATCCTCATACTATAGACGATAACGATTCCATCACTCTAAAGCCAATAATAGGCCAAAATAAGGCAAAAGTTCATGACGTTAAGCCTCCTTTATAAATCTATATAGGCCGCTGTAGAGCGTCAGAGGGGTGCTAAACGATTGCTCTCGACTAGCACTTGCTTGCTGACACTTGGCCGCATTTTTTTTTTTTTTTTTTTTTTTTTTTGATCATGACAAATTGACCCAGATCGTCATTTCTGGATGTGTAATAGCAAGGGAAAATTATCAAATTTCAAAGAATCGCGAAGTATTTTACTATGACATGCCATAGTGAAAAAAAAAGGTCTGCGAGTTCGATTTAAGATATAAATTTGCTATTTTGGGTAATCAATTATATAAAAATTAAAATTTCGATTCTTTGTTTTTGTCAATTTGGAAAATACTTTTGGTGAAACATGGAAAAGTTATTAGCACAATTTGAAAGAAAATTCAAGGAGGTAATCGAGACAGTTAACACACAAAGTAGATTGGATAGAGCGTTTTTCAAGAAATCATCAATAGAAAGCATTTTGATGTCTATTTTATCATAAATAACCCAGCTTTCAGGATTATAGAATTTATGATTTGGGATGTTTTAGATCAAATGCAGGTACAAAAACAAAAATAAGCAAATTAAATCTTCTTTATATATGTCTAATATATATACTGGAAAACAAAAGCATCAAGCAGCACAATTTGCATAAAGTTTATGGAATATCTTTTGTTAAAATCAAATCGAATTGTCATGCCTCCTGTTCAAGCCAGAAACTGTGTAACCTGTAGAGTTGCTCTACCTGAAGAGTTCAATTTTTGAAAATGTGATTTATGTCAAGTGAATAGAGAAATTTGATAAATAAACCAAAAGAAATGAAAAACAAATATTCGAAAGAACCTTATATATTTTTTGTTTCAAGAACGTGCCCGAAACTACGCCATACAAAGAGCTGCATTGAAACCATCCAGGGCAACAAGACCACCGAGATCACCTGCCGCTTTCATTTCAGAGCTAAGAAGAATGCGACTTCATTATCTCCAAGAACATAAAAATGCATCTAATTCAACATTTGATAGCATTAGTTTATAGAAAGGGTTTACCATATTGAAGCAAAGATGCAAAGCCATGGTAATCAAGTATTGAATCCAATACTTGATAGCATTGGCTTTAATGACGATTTTACCGTAGCGAAGCGAATGTGAAAAACTATAGCATCTAAGCAGCAAATTCAATTTCTCGTTTCCTTTATTAATAGTGGATTGTTTAAAATCTACTGATATAGCAGATTTTTATTATTACTGCTTTGAGATATCTACGGCGACAGTCCGCACGGCGACACCGTCATCGAGCGTAGCGAGTTTGCATATAATTCAAAATTTGGTAACATTGACCTATAAGAGGGTTTTACCGTAGTGAAGCGAAGGCGCAAAGCCATAGTATTCAAATTCGGGTTTTCATCTCCATCGTTAATAAGCTTACCAACATCAGAACGCATCAGAATCTGCATGAATTAGCTTTACCAAAATCAATATGACTCCTGTTCGAATTAGAAGTTGCACAGGCTGCATAACTCCCCTTCCAGAAGACTTCAGCCACTAAAGATATGATTCATGCCATGTAAATAAAAGCTATAAAGCAAAACATAACCAAATTTGACAGTTTTCAAGCCTTCATATCTTGACATATAGACTTTTCTGAGCCACCGGAATAATGCCAAACAATTCCACTTGAGTAGCAGCAACTTCCTGGTACCTTTGTTCAACTTTTTGGGCCAAAAAAAGACATGGCCAAAAAATCGACCAAAAAGCATGAGGTACCCCTCATGGTTTTCACCAAAAATCAAACGATCGCATTTTTCACCTTGAAAATGAAGACTTTTACTATGGTATATCTTGAATCAAAATGTTTCTCTCGATCCAAAGCAACCTCTGAAACCACTTTTATGAGGTTTTCATATGCAAAATATGGCTATTTTCGCTAAAAACCTCATTTCAAATTTTATTAAATTGCTCAATAATTTCAGTCAAAACACTTAGTACAGTTAGAACCATTAGAAGCGCCTTAAAAAGTATTTCAAGGATGTATTAGGAAACGTACAGTGATCATTACAGTTTATATAGTCGGATATCACAAAATAGATTAAAGAAGTCGACAAAAGACAAAATCTGGCCAATCTTGAACAAAAAAAAATAAGCTGAGCTTGAATCAATTTTGGCGGTGGCATTGCTGCTGGCTGACCTAAATGCCTTTCTTCTGTTGATGACAATGATGATTGCGATTCTGATTAAATGGGGATCATGGAATTGAAAGGACAATTGCGTAATGCAAATACTTTTTTTGGGGGGAGTTTTGTCTCATGGAGGTGTCTTTTGCAATGATAATATCTCAAAAAAGTCGCTGTAGATCTTACACAAGTCCTGTATTTACTTATGGCCAGCTTTATGTCGCCATCTTATTAAGAGCATCAGCGGCAGCGAATGATATGGCAATTCTACTATCAGAAAATGACGATTGTAATATACAAATGCTACATAGAACTTGAATTTTCTTTTATATCGTCTCAATAATAGGCTTTGTCTGATATCAGTGTAAGCAAAAAGGATGCTGGGGGGGGAGATATGTCCTCTCCTCCTGGTAACTCTAATATAACCTTTCTTTTACTAACTAACTAATAATAAATTATTTAAAATCTACTTGATATACCAAAATTTTATTATATCTGACTAGTTTGAAAGACCTCAGAGTATACTATATTGTGTGTATAGTGGCCAGGTAGGTTTTCCAGTATAGAAATATCAGGATCAACCATGATTCTTATCGACGATGGATTACTGACCCTTGACATTGCGACGTACAACTGACCATGCGAGAAGACGTGAGAAGGAAGATATAGTCCAATGTTAGATAATGTTTGGCCCTGTGATTTGTTTATAGTCATGGCAAAGGCCAATCTCACAGGAAACTGGGTGCGACTGAAGTCGAAGGGAATTCTACCGTTGGCTTCTGTAATAAACTTGGTCCTTAGGATATACACAATGTCACCTGCTTTTGGCCCTGTGGCAATGGTGGCTTCAATTATTCTAACACCCAAAGATTTCACGATTAGTCTGGTTCCATTGCATAATCCAGCTGAAGGATCTAAGTTTCTCAAGATCATTATTGGAGACCCAACTCTCAAAGCCAATGCATGTGGAGGCAGAGAGCCAGATTCTATGGAGTTGAGAAGCTCGAGAGGCACCTGCATTCGAAATTGAGGATCACAGACTTGATCATAGCTGTAATAAGTGAACTTTCTTCCCGGCAAGTTGTCAAGTAGAAGATTGTTTATGACTGAGACATCTTGGTTTTTTGGGGTCAATATAACACGTTTTGCAAAATATTGGTCAATCGTTAAGCTATTGCTGATGTTTGGAAACACAGCAGCTAGCAAATCCAGCAAGTTGGTAGAATTGAAATACATTTCATCTGGGATACGCACAAAATCCGAAGGAATGTCCCCAAATAATGTCACCGTTCTAACTTTTCGTTCACCAATTTGTAGTAAATAGCTAGAAAACTGTTGTATCTGGTTGGCTAAGTCCTGATTGTTGTCTTCAAGTGCTTGCTGCACTCGCATGTTAGTTTCCAGCTTGAATTTTCTAACTTGTGGCCAAAAGTAGCAGCGGTTGATACATTGAGACACAATGCCTGATCTACTTGCACCTGGGACGATTGGGAGAACTTGGCAAAAATCGCCAGCGAAAACGATCAAGCGGCTACCAAAGGGTAAGCTGTTTTTTACCACGTCTTTGAAGGTTCTGTCTACAGTTTCAATCAAGTCTTTTCGAATCATGGAACACTCGTCCCATATAATCAGCCTTGCTCTCTTGATGAATTGAGCTATTTCAGAGGATGGTGTAAAATCACACATTGTTGTAGATGAGGTGTCGATAGGTATTTTAAAGGTAGTGTGGGCAGTTCGACCTCCTTTCAGCAGCAGAGCCGCCGTTCCTGTTGAAGCAACTGCAATTGCAATATGATTTTGTTTGCGAACGGCATCTAACAAAGCATTGATGATGAAAGTTTTCCCAGTACCGCCAGGCCCGTCAATAAAAAACAGTTTGGACTGTGCAGCATCATAGTTTTCGTCAGCTAACGCGCAACGTTGAATGGCATTGTAAGCTATCAATTGGCTTGGATTGAATGGCAAAGAGTTTGGGTCAGGAGCTTCCAAGGCTTCAATTAGCAGAGTGGCATGCATCCTTTCCAGCGGGGTAGAGTCCTCAGGGTAAGCATGATTATCCCTGGTATCAACAGTAGAGAAAACGTTCTTGAAACCATCCATAGTTTTCAAATCAAATTGGTTGGCAACCAAAATTTGATTCAAATCAAGAAGGCAGTGGCTATACATCTCATCTGTTATTTCAGTGGGAACAGGTTGATTCAGAGCTCTTGCCTTTTGTTGCCTACGATACAGATAGTCCTCGGCTAGATGCAGTCTGTGATTCAACCATAGCTGAAAAGGATCAGAGACATCGCAGAAGGAGAGCAGAATACAGAAGAGTTGCCGTATTTTTTGAGGTGACATAGTGGTGCTTGCTTCTGACATGGTATCATTCCATTCATTGTCATCTTGAAGAAGACCCATTGCTCTGGCAGTAGCCTGATAAGACGGATAGACGCGGCCATTGTACGTTCGCATGTAGGTAAAGGATGTTGCTCCTGGAATTCGATACAATAGAATTCTTAAATGATACTTTTCAATATCTTTTGGAGATACAGCGTAGACTCTGCCAATGGCTCCACCAAAACCTGAACGTCTAGGTCTCCAAACTCTTGGGTTCTGTTGTTTATGAAAAACGTACTTTTCACAGAAGTCTGGATACAAAGTTTGCTTAGCTTCGTTGTCTTCAGGATTTTCGAGATTGTACTTGAACCAAGCTGTCAGGGTTGTTTCTGGAAGTGTACGGCTCAAGGCCTGGTCAGAACTTTTGTTCTCGTTAAAGTACACCCTTCTATCGTTCTCCAAATGGATATCCAGGCGCTGTGTAGAGGGGTATTCCTTATGCATAGGGAAAGACATGATTCTCCAACAGGCTTCAGATGCCGAGACATATCTTGCATCAAGAAACTTTTTGATCTCATCCTGGTGATCATCTTGAGCGGATGAACCCATATATACCTGTGCTCTGCCATGGCCCTTGTATACATATTTGTATATGTATTTGACCGAGTTGACTTGGCTGTAAATCTCCACGTTGATATGTGCGTTGTATTTAGCAACCAAATAAAGATTATGAGGCACAACCCAACGATTATCAATAGTGATTCTTCCACTGTGCCTGGAAATTGTACGATCAGTCATCAACCGTCTTCTGTATCTAATTTTGCTTGATTCTTCTGGGCTGATAGTCGTTTCGTCCATGAATGGGTACGGATAATTTTTGGAACATTTGCCGTTCACCATACAGGGAGCATTCGGATCTAACAGACCGCATGGACCGTGAATCATGCTATTAGACACAGTTTCATAGGCAAGTGGGTTGGAAGCAGGATCAGGCATTTCTGCGGATACAATCCTATCAATTTGTTCAGTGGTCATTGGCTTGTCCTGGTCTTGCAATATAAACAGCATATGACAATGAGGTAGCCCCCGTTTCTGAAATTCAATGGAGTAAACATATGCAATTACTTTTCCCAGAACAGACTTTTTTACAGCATCTTCAATGAAAAGCTTCAGCTTCAGATGAAAAACTCTGGCACAAAGATCTGGTCTGTCAGCTGCGATTTGGTGCTCAAGCAATTCTCTGGTTATTTCTGGCCAGGCCGGGTTGCAGGTAAACGTAATGAATAAATCTGGCTTGCCAAATCTTCTGACCAAATTCATAGCGTCTTGATAAAGTTGAGCCATGAACCTTGGGCCACCAATGAATGTTGAAGGCAATATAACCTTTTTTCCAATCGCACTTATGTCATGCTCGTTCAGCTGAATTGCATCTTGAAGGCCGCTATAAACAGCAGCTCGTAAGGTATCTTGATTGAATCTAATAAAGTTCAGTCGCTGTTGTTCCATCTTTGCATACATATCGACGACGTATTGGTGAAATAATCTTCCAAATGAATGCAGGCTAATTTGCTGATTTTTTGGTAGTCCTTGCTGTTGTCCTTGTCGTACCATTAATCTTGAGCTGTAGTATTGCATGATGGTGATGGTTTTGTCCTCACCATCATTATTGCTATCAGATGCAATGTCGATTTCGGTTTCAGAGGGATCAAAGCTTTTCACTTTGATGTGCCACCCAGGATCGCCAAATGGAAACATCAAAACGTATTGAAGAGGATCAAAGAATTGATTGGTTTCATTAATCCTTGTTAGGTTATCACCAGAGCCTTTCAATCTTAAAACGATATCACGATTTTTTGGCTGTTCGTTGCTGCTTTCATCGTCGCCATCAAACAATAGTATACCCATTTCTGGAACTCTAGGTCTATTGCACCTTCTTGGATTAGGAGAATCCTCTGAACGAAATACCATTCGTATATTCTGAATTCCTCCAGGTTGCCCAACTGATAGCTCCTCCATGGTTTTAAATAATTCAACAAAAGGATTGACTTCGTGCATCATATTTTGGAGGAGACGCATAGTGGTTCTCTCAGCGTTGGGGTTTCCAGCAACATTCAGTCGGTTTTGGAGCTCATTTTCCCCGTCGAATATATATATATATTTGAGCAAATTTTGGGCGTGTATCATTTGCTGGCATAAGTGCAGAGCTCATGAGATGATAGACGCTACCGTGAATACGGAATGCGTAGGCACCATTTTGATTATTCGCAACTGATTGATCTAAAGTTGCATTCATGGAGGTAAAGCTGAGAGCAGAATTGTACGTCCTAATATTCGATTTGAACTCTTTGCTAGCATCGTCATTGCCACTCAAAAGATTGACAATAAGCTCTGGAAAATGGTGTACTGGCTTCAAGATTGCCTAGCCATCTTGACAGTAGATTTGAAACGTTGGAGAAGCTCTTGTTGTTCTTTGCTTTCTTTCATCAATCCACATGTAGGCTCCACATTTTGAGCACAAAGCGTTCATGCCTCCCAAATCATTTCGGTTAGCCTCAGGTGCTTCAGGATTTCGCACCATCAAAAAAGAATCTATTGCACCTGTACGTAGAGGATTTTTGGCACAATTATAATGAGATCGGCATTGGTGTCCTTCTCTTCCACAAAAGGGACATACAACTGCTGTTACAATGACATTGGAGTCCAGAGTTTCGGCTGTGGCCTCAGATTGAGAGGCATTTGGAAAGTCTTGTACAACTGGTGTTGGAGATGGTTGCTCAGATGGCTGATTGATTGGATTTAGCGCACAGTCAAGATGATTTCTGCGTGTTTGTCCTTCTCTATAGCACCATGGGCAAGTTGCTCTCCTGTCAGAAGTATTTCGAAGTATCCTCATTCTACAATCCTTATGCGAACGCCTTTGGTGTCCATTGCGGCCACACCAATTACACCTTACTATATTCTCGTTGACGGTAGCTCCTAATTCAAAAATTGGGCTCATGTACGTTGGGGAAGTTGTTACTGGAATCTTACCTTCAATAGGTTCAGGAACAACAGGATTTGCAGTTTCAGGAAAGTTGTGAAAGACAAAATTTACAGTATATGGCTCAATTGGAGTATTCAAAGAATCAGAGCGGTTTAAACGACTTCTCAAGCTTCGAGGCATTTGGATTGTTAGGTAAAACTTGGGAATATGAAGAGAAAAGGATTATGTAAATGCTTTATTTTCCAAGAATTTTGTTAGGCTTCTGCCAAGCTGACAGTAATGGCTGCTTTCCCTACGGGTACTCTTGTAATTAATTTTTTACTATAATAAAATGTATTATTTTAGGAGTTTGGTGATTTAAAATGTCTTTGGCCAGAGATCACAGGGCGACGCCGACATCGGGCGTAGCGAGATAGATCAACTAGTTAGCTATATATATATATATATATATAGTAACTGTAATTTCGCCGTCATTATGGAACGGAAAAATAACCAAAATCCTTGGAATGTACCACGCGAGAGGGTAACCTTATTTCTATGTGTGTCACCCAAGATCAAAATATAGAACACAGAGATCTAGATATGTGATACTTTTACATGCAGGACATGCGATGTAGCCTTCAGCTGAATGAGATTTACAGCAAAAATGTGTCGCATTTAAGGCAGGCTTAAAGCTGCGTATATGCTTAATTCAGTGCTTAAGAGACGAGCTAATTAGCATACGCTTAAATTAGTTTTTAATCTACTTGAGAGTATTTGGTACTCCCATTGCTCTAGAGATGAGTGTGTACTACAATACTATTTCACGAAAAATTGACATTTGATTTCTTCAAGATTGAATAAGGATGTTTATTAAATAATTAGTGAGCTCCAGGCCACGATTAAATTAGATAGTTAATTAGCAGAGAAAGAGATTAAAAATACAAGAGGTGGTATCATTGTTGAATGTGTTTATATTTAAAAGAAAGGCAACTTGATCATGGTGTGATCAGGAGTGTACAAAAGAGCACACATAATGTACCAAGCAGTGATGGCAAGAGTGAATGATATCCAACCACTGGCTTGGTTGCAAGCATTGCTACCAGCCAATCCACCAATGGCACCAAACAAGAAGGCCAAGAAGACTTGCAAGAGAACGAGACGGATGAGAATAGGTTGACGGAGTGTGCCGAGCAAGAAGAAGAAGGCAGCAAAAGCAAAACCAAGTTGAACAAGGCCCATACACAAATGAACAGTGTGGATACCGCCGTTGGCCATAGCAATTTCGAGGAAGCCAGAGCTAGGGATCATCATGATGCCAAATGTAAAGAAGAAACCAGAGAAAGTTAACATGGAAGTAGCAGCAAACATATTGCCGAGCACCAATTCACAGATACCGCAGACGAATTGGCCCATTGCACCGTAGCCAAAAGCAACACCAACAGCCACTTGAGGCAAATCAGTAATCAAGCCAGTGTTATACATGCCGAGCACGAATGAGCAGAGGGCAAATGCACCGAAACCGATGGGAGCAGGCTGCAACTTTGCAAGATGATTAGGAACAGCATTGACGTGCAATTGAGCAGCACGTTGAGCAACTACATCATCCACAGGCATGTCAATTTCGCGATGTTGGATATCAGCTTTTTGTTCGACAGAAGAGGTATTAGAAGAAGAGGTCATTTGAAGAAGAGATGGATAGTTATTGTACCTTCTGGGATCTGTCGAAAATGTAGCTTGTATTTATAGTGAAATAAGGGTCTTGCTTTGATTCACATGGTCACGTTTGTTTGGCGATACAGACCATACCTAAAAAGTTCAAAAAGGAAGGTGATACCACCAAATGCTTTATTTCCCCACAAAAACATACATGCCAGGCGTTTCAATTTCATTAAATTTCGTATATTTCCCAAGGTACAAAAACCGTGAAAAAGAGAGAGCTCAAAGAACAACTAGAGATCCAAATGTGATATGTTGTCTAATCAAATGCCAGCGTCAATGATGATGCAAGCCAATGAAAACATGCAACTATTGCCATAAAATCAAGCATAGCATCATGGACAGTAACAAGATGCCATCGTTGGTATCCACCTTTCCTAATCCATGGAGATTGTGCGACAGCAATCATCGATTCCATTGGACCTTGTAGGGTTCACCCAATAATAGATCAGCGATTACCCACCATTGGCTTCTCGCAGCCAGATGTAAATTCCCATGCCCTTCACTTGTATACTTGTCAATCGATCTAGAATAGGTAAATACAGGCCCCATTAGGTGAATTCTCCTTATATCCAAAATACTCACACCTTCTAGTTGATATTTAACGACCTAATAGACAGGTACCACAATTAAATATGGAGAAATTTACCTTCGCAGATTAGAGTTATGCGATATAGAATCCAGAAAGTCGTTCAGCAAAAATTGCGGCTGTTGTACGTCAGAAATGACAACTCCCCCAAATATAACTGCCTGATATTGGCACTGATAAGGGACGTTACTTGAGGTTACTATTAGTATAGCGGATCTTGGATTATCAAAAAACACTCACAACAGACTCACATTTAATTTATGTTTGTCATCGCAAATCCCACGAGAGAGAGCCACATTTTGGCTGTCGTTTGCTGATCTCTTGCTTGTCTCTTGTCTTTTTTTCTACTTAAACAAGTCGAAACCCGTATCTTAGGGTCAATACACTTCTCTTTGTTCTTTTTTCTCATCAAACCCATATAAGGACTATCTCGCTTCCTCCAACTTCCCACCCTTTTTTCAACAATACCAGCGAAATGCGTCGTTTTTTCACAATAATTCTGAATATAGACATGATAATTGATACTATGGTTTATACACATACACAAACTCAAACAGGAAATACATCCCCGGTAACCGTAAATATCGAGAAATTGCCTCGAATAGAAGAAATGCATGGTACACACAACATTAGCCCCTCGTATATTAAGCATTGAGCGGTCGCCCAGTACAAATCACAGCGACAATGGCTCACAATAGCCACTAGAAGAGTGCATTCCCAAATAATAGTTGTTACACGTTCCGTATATTCTTTCTGGACGCCATGTATAAACTTTTAAAGCGCTCGAATCAATGAATATGTACAGTTGATAATTACACGGCGTTCAGCTCGTTTAAAGAGATTTTTTATGAGCTATCTGTACCACCGCCTATTTAGAGCATTCAATCCAAAGACATGTACAAGAAGCTGTATGAATCAAATGTTATGACAAGTTGTGTTTTTTTGGAAAAGTCGTTGAGGATTGATTGTATCGTATGATTGACCTACTCCAAAACCATTAATTCTCAAACAGAGAAGAATTGCTCTAATTCGCACCGCCTCATTCAGTCATATGAAGCTCACACCTGTGATCTGTTCACACATGGTTTAAGACAGTCGATAGTATGAAACAATGTCGCATTGAGAAGGCAAATATTCTCATAGACTGCCAATATCGATAGTTTTTAGTAATGACAATGTAGTCTGGGCGTTTACAATGACTGCACAAGATGAGTGCCACGCTTCCTATTCTAGATTTGATTTTGCTACTAAAAAAGACGTATTTACAACATCATTAGCATCATTACATTCAGTTCTAGTCTTATTTTAAGCATAGCACGCATTGAAGCTATATATGCTGCGCCTTTCAGGCTTTTCAAAGAAGAAGCATTTCACATTTTGTTTGTTGAATGCCCTCAGGTTGCTATGTCTGACGGCGCAATCAGCGCTATCTGTACTATAGAATATGCGTTTAAGCATCCACTTGACATTTTTAAGAAGCTTCATATACAAATGGCCTAATGCCTAAATGACGGTGATGGTAAGATCTACTTGAACGACTGAAATACAATACAAATGCTTCTAGGTATAAAATACGTAATGTAAAAAATATATGAGGCGACTCCGGTTAGCAATAATTTAAATTAAAGCATACAAGTGTCTTTGCTTCGGATGGCTCTCTACCTTCGCTTCGCTTCGGTGAGAACCAACCTGTGCAGCGACAGCTCGTGCTACTGGTTGCCTTTGCATGTCATATCAAAATACTGCTACTTTCATTTTGACCCTCCACTTACACATGAAAGTCCTTCATATTATCTGCGGATCTAACTCTTATGTGATACTCTACAACCATATACACGTAGCTACTTCATATACGGGCAAGCAGCATACTGGTATTCCCACTTTTTAGTCCTTAGTGTCCTTAATACAGCAAAATATGAGTGCATTTGAGCTGCATTTTCTTGCGTTCAAGGCCGTTTTAGATCGTCAGAATAGCCCCAAATGGTTGCTTTCATCTGGCAGTTACTTTCTGACACTTTTGCTCGACTTTTTGGGGATCAAAAAAACATGACCAAAAATCGACCAAAAACCATGAGGTACCCCTCATGGTTTTCATCGAAAATCAAACGATCGCGTTTTTCACCTTGAAAATGGAGACTTTTACTATGGTATATCTTGAATCAAAACGTTTCTATCGATCCAAAGCAACCTCTGAAATCATCTTTGTGGGACTTTGATATATAAAATTTCGACATTTTGGCCGAAAACCTCTTTTCATATTTTCATAAATCATTCGGTAAGTTTATTTAAAACATCTATATAACTTGGCACCATTGAAAGCGCCTTGAAAAGTACTCCAGGAAAGCTTAAGGAAGCATGGGGTGATTATCATACTTCACTTAGTCGAATCTGCAAAAATAGCTCGATCGAGTCCAGAATTATCAAAATTTGTCCAATCTGGAACAGACTATGATTCTGGGTTTGAATTAATTTTGGCTGGTGGGGCCAGCTGGAAAACTCATGCCCTTTTCATAAGGCAATACAGTAGTAAATGCCCTTGAAGCGTATAGAAAGTAGGTGGCAGGTCATAGCACTATCGTTTATGATGATATTTTATTGCATTCTATATCGTTCATAATGATATTTTATTGCATTCTATATTTAATAACGTTAGTCTGGACATTGATATGGCCCATGCCTGACAAATGTCTGGCAACTCAGTTTCCATATTAGTATTATAACCTGTGGACTATAAACTTATCATGTTATGATATTACGCCTGATGGCTGACTATTTGCCGAATCCTGCAATAATTATATCAATTGCACTCTCAACGTCTTCATTAGAATTGCTCAGGGGAACAGAGCTACTTTAGAAGCTCGATGATTGTTCTGGAGTTGACAAACGTTGCGAAAACCAACATTTAAGATTTTATGTTCTTGACAAGGGCTGATATCTCGAGATTCTTGATATCCTGGAAACAAGTCGATCTCGCGAGCAGACCATTAATGCCGAAGCAGAGCTTGGCGATTCTTGCCAGAACAGTGACTGAAATAAGAGACGTAGGCGGCTTCGCCACCATTGAGTATATCACTAGCTGGCCTTCTCTGGGCCGACTTTTGGATAAACCTAATGTATAGTATGATCAATTTAAATGGTTTCAATAAATCCTTGGCACAGACTGGGCAGTGATTTACAAATGATAGTGGATCCGTGTTGAGAAGTAAGGAAAGTCGCAAGTGCAAATTTAGAAGCTACGTCTATTAACATCATCGACGATTCATGAGTCTCATCATTATCAATGTGCACCTTGCACCAATGCATTATTGTATACGCAATAGTGTTGCCTCATTGCTACTATTCTTATTATATAACAACAAATAGTATACGGTATTCCAATAAAATTGTACCAACTCATACCAAAACTTAACCTTTTGTATCTGAATTCTGCGATTTGAAATCTATTTTCTCATCAATGTACATCGCCTATAAATAAACATGAATCTATTTATCACTATTGGCCTCAAATTGTGTCTGTAAAATGTATGTTGGCTGTATATTGTATCAGCAAAATGTAGAAGATAAAATCTCCGTTGTTCTAAGGTTGCTTGCGTAGATTTGACATATAAACTTCATTGAGCTAAAGTTGCTTGGTATTGATCTTGTTGAGAGAAAAAAAAGGGATAGTTGCAAGTCAACCCGTAGCAATTAGGGATCAAGAAGCAAAATGATTGAATAGACAGAGTGGTCTACTACATGCACTACTTTTAGTAAGAAAAGTAAAAAAGCGTCGCCTGCAGGATTCGAACCTGCGCGCTCAAAGAGCAATAGCTTAGCAGGCTATCTCGTTAACCACTCCGACAAAGCGACAACTTGTTGTCATGTCGTCTTGACAGATATATCTAGCGGTAGGAGTTAACAGATAATAGAGTGTAACTAATAGATTGAGATTATGTTCGAAGATACTGTTTATTGATTGCATTTACAACTTATATTTATACTATTTCTACGATCGATAATTACTTAATCAATAGAACTTTCGAGTAGATATAATACTTGATATAGCAACTGATAATCAAATCAATGTCTGCTGCTATCAGTTTCCAGAACCTTCGAGTATGTGCTGGCGCCTTTTAGTTGAATGGATTGTGGAATAGATCCACTATGATCTGCATTCCGACAGTTCATCTAGTTACCAGACTTAGATATAAACTGTATGTACACTGGATTAGATGTACAATATCGATTTTTACTATAAGAAGATATAGACTTCAGATACGCTAGTACTATAAGATTCATACTATATAAGATATAGGCTATAGATGGCACCACGGACATGGATGGCACTATAGACTTATACTTGTATTCCGACATTGACTACGGATGTTTACCATAT